TTCATAAGGCTCTGTTAATAAGAGGGATCGTGCAAGTTTGTTTCTAAATTTCCATATTTTGTTATTTGGGTAAACCTCCATAGACGCGTTGCTTGCGAGGGTGACATAAAATCCTTCATTATGCTTCATTGGTTCTTCTTCCTATGTCTATAACCTCCTTAGCATTTATCCACGAGTTAAACTCCTTAGGCCAACCGATCCAGCTAACAAAATACTGTTTAGTTTTGCCCACACGCTTTGTTTTTAAAATATCTTGAATTTTAAAAACTCTGTTATGTTCGATAATGACACGTAGTTCTGATTCATAAAAAGTCCCTTGCAATAACGCCTCTGATAGATCTTTCAATCTATAGACAGGTGGTGTTCGCCCTATGCGCTCGACTATTGTGAAATATTCATCTGTGAAGCTCTGCTCATATCCTTTACGAAAAATCCCTTTCTTTTTAGATATTCGCACTGTGTCACCTATTGCATATTTAAAAACTAGTTGCTTTGTCGGATTCTTCTTGTATAATGCCTTAAAAACCTGTGCCTCATTATCTTTATTCACACTCACAGGTTTCATCTTGATACTTCTATGGTATGCATGATTATATCCATGGACTAGTTGATCCAACACGTCTATGTACTGTCTCGAATTTACAGATGTTAAATACCTCCACATCCGGGTCTTAAAAGTGCGGTTGAATCGCTCAACCACGCTGGCCTTTGTTTCATTCCCCGTGGAAAAATGTTTAATTTGATAGGTACTCAACACGTTCTGAACATGCTTATTATAAAATTCTTTTCCATGATCTGTTTGTAGTTTTCGAGGGATCCGTCCTTCACTTAGAATTTGTTTAAACACTTCTGGACCGTTTTTGGATTTGAGACACTTCACCCACGCATATTTTGAAAATACATCTATACATGTTAGTAAATACCTAACATTATCGTTTTCATTGACATATTCTCTCATGTCTACTAAATCAGCCTGAAATTGATTGTTTATGCCATTTACCAATACTCTGTTGGTTGGAAAATGTATCCTAGGTGATGTATGGAGTGTATAAACGTCTTGTTTAAGTAAATAGTTTTTGACTTCAGGTCTCGTAATATTAACCCCTTCCAATTCGTTAACAACCTTGTACAACTTATTAAAACCACCTAGACCCCCTGGGTGCTTCGGGTCATTGTATATTTTACTAAGAGTACCTTCCATGTTGAAGAACTTTGAGACACTGAGTTATAAAAGATGTTTTATTAGCTTTAAAAATAAAAAAAATAAACAACACACACACATACAGTGTCTCATCATGAATTATTCCCTTCCCACACAACCAATGCGTCATCAAGAAAACTTTTCTCGTCAGTTAGTGAATCCGTCATATCTTGTATTACAGCATTCAAATCGTCTTGCGTGAACACATACAATAGCGCTTCGACTGCCCCCGTCACACGTTGTCTAGGCAACACAACGCCTTGTGTTGCTAGGTAAGCTTCGACAGCTGGTATGAAACGTGCATTCCACAATTCAGGAAGTCGTTTTTTACCCAGAGTATGGTAGAAGTATTCGGGGTATCTCTCGAGACAGCTGTGCTGGATCTGACTCGGGTGGTCGACCTCACAACCATAACACTCTGCCTTCCAACTCTTGATCATTTGAGCATCAATTAGGTATAAAAGGATCTTCCGCAAATTCAATATGAAATGCTCTGATTCATCTGTGAAACCCTCTGTGGGCTCTGGCTCCTTCTCCGCAGGGGATTCAGGCTCCTTCTCCGCGGGGGATTCTGGTTCCTTCTCTGGTGTCACTATAAAACAAAAAAAACAAAAAACATTCTGTTAGTAATAATATAGTGGTAAAATAATAATAATAATAATCACTTATACACACCATAAGCCATAGCATTGTCATCGTTAAGGACCGGGGAGTTTGGTACAGGAAGGAGTGAGATTTCCAATTCATCAGTTGCATCGGTTTCACTTCCATCTTTTAAAGAACATAGAGGGGTATTAATAAAAAAAATATATACTGAATATCTTTAAATAACCGTACCTGTTGACTGTGTGTTTTCACCGGCCTCTGAGGACGCATCCATTGGTTGCCCTCCTGTGGAATAAAAACATTATTACGCTGTATAGAAAAATACACTAAATACATTAGTAATACTTACCATAATCTCTTGTTGTTGTTGTATTCAGAGGGAACCGCATATTAGCTGTTTCAGTCTCAGCTTCCAAGTATCGCAGTCGTTTTTTGACCGTTTCCAACTCCATGTAAAAATAATCTTTTTGAATAGCTTTATCAATTTTGCTAAATATTCTAGATACTTCAGCCCAGTCTTTGTACTGTATAGAAACAATATTCACCTGTTTTTTGGGTAAGGCTCCCAATGTAACACATTCAGCGTAATTATGTAATTTATGTAATAGTGTAACCACTATCTCATAATCCCCCTTATTATCCTCTCTCCAAAAATGTCTATACTCTACATTTTTAACCATAGCCGTATTTATAGCGTTGGAGTGAGTCCTGAAATGGAACCAACTCGCTATAGACATGCTTTCCTCCCCAAAAATAACATACCCAGCGGTGTACGTAATTGTATAAGACGCATCACTTCTCCCTTGCCTCGTGACGGTGTATGGCTTGCGCTTGAGAGCTTTCCTTGTGAACGAGCGCCTTTTCGATGACTTCTGGGCTGACATCTGAGATCTTTGAGGAGTAGCCATTATTGCTTTGTTGGAGAGAAAAAAAAAAAGTTATTCTTGTGTGTAATCACAGGCCTATATAGGGCCCACCTTAAACAGAGCAACCTATCACAAACCCTCCTCACTCTGATAGGACGGTGTAAACAGACCTCCCACCACCGATTCTGATTGGTTCTTATAAAGCCCTCCCTTTAACATTACCGGTTTGACTGGTCCATCCTCCCACCCCTTCATCCTCCCATCATGTTTGTATAGGTTGGCAGGTCTGGGGCCGGTCCCCGTGTAGATTAATTAGTTATTGACGTGTCTTCACCATCACTGTTTGTTTTAGAATAAGCTCGGTGTGAGCCAGACATGTGCTACGATAAACGCTGATCAATAAATCACTTTAGATAACTGTGAAGCACCAGGCAGAGGCTAACTCATTACACATTCAAAATGACACCTCTTTGAAAAAATACAGTGCAGTAACACTTTTTCACCACTTGCTCAATAGCGGTGCCTCTATTCTGGGGGGGAGTTCAGGGTGCAGTACCACCTTTTCACCACTTGCTCAATACTGGTACCTTATATATCTACTAGCGTGCCTCCTGACCCTGCTGCTGCGGTCTTCTCCTCCCCCAGAATGAGCGCTCTTGGGCGGATGGCAGACGCGCGGTCCCCCGGTGGTTTCCAAGGGCCATAACTTTCTGGTCCTTTGTCCCCCGCGCGTCAAATTCACACCGCGGTAGCCCGGGACCAGGGGAGTCCCTGGGTCCCACCCCGCGTCTGTAGCCCCCCTGGCTCGGCTTTGAGGAGCCCGCGAGGTCTCTTCTCTCTTCCGGTGTCGCAAATAATAATAAAACGAAATAATAGTAATGCCATAATTCTGTTGAGAATTTTAAACTAGAGCCAAAACAAACACATTGATATTGAAGCATATAGGATGTATTTTTTTATTCAAGTTTAGAAAAGGAAAAGAACAATAAACGAATGGAAATTTTGATTTTCTGATTTTATTTTGAAACTGAATAACTAATGATCGAAGGGTACACGGATTCAAAACATTCTTCGTTTTTAGTTTTTTCAATTTGTTTTATTTAGAAAATGAAAAGAACGGATGATACACGGATTTACACGGACCGTTTAATGCATGAGAAATTCCAAAATATGTGGGCGAGTGAGGCTGGTTGCTGTTTACTGTACACCTGTCATCCACAGAAGGAAGTTTTTGAGGGAGTTTGAGTTGAGTTTTAAGTGCAGTCACTGTTCTTTAGATTGTGTAAGACTTTTCATATTAGTAAGTAAAAAGAAACATACTCAATTTAAGGATCACAAAAACAATACTATAAAACACACTTTTAATCTTATCTGATCAGTTCACTTCAAATTTGTTCATGTATCTCCAAATTGAACTATTTCAGAAATTGGTTATACTGTCAGTGGGAACAACAATGGACATCCTAGACAGCAGGGTCCGTGTACTTTTGTTTAGTTCCCAAATCCGGTTATTATAATATATATATATTATATAATATATATATATATATATATATATATATATATATATAATGTCTTTTAAGCAATGAAAAAAACCAAAATGGCCATTTTTGTATATTGCTGTGTGCCTGAAAATGCAAAATAGCCTTTTTTCGATTTTCCATTTCCCTTCAAAAATAGAAAATGTATTGAACGCAAAAGTACACGGACCCAGCAGCCAAAGCATTAAGGTTTACAACATGTACTGTATAGAATGATATATTTGTAACTCATACAAATAAAACATGCAATAATTATAATAATCAGTTCTTTTTAATCAATTTAGTGAGAGAAATGGCCTTACCTCATAGTTTCTGTGTGGTTGTTGGTTATGGAGTGAGAGAAGTGCTTCTTTTCCGCATAACTTTGAGCTGGTCAAACCAGTCTGACGTGATGACACTTGTCCAACATCAAACTGCTCCTTCTCACGTGGCAATGCACTGAAGGAAAGAAACTTTTCCAAATGGATCTCTGTTTTAACTCCCTTCCCCTAACTGCAGGTGTCCACGTTACTTAATGCAAGACCCTTTATTTGACAGGGCCATGTGTATCTATTCTAAGGAAAGAATGTTTAAGGATATTGTAAGGATGTTACATATTACCGGTTAGGCGGTCACATAATATCGATGGTAATAATCAGTTGAACATTCGGTTATAGAATAATCGATAGCTGCAGCAAAACTCCAGTAGGTGAAGATCTTTACATAAGAAGTCATCATGAACATGTAAAGGGACAACATACAAATAAAAGAATAGTAATGACAATATGAGCAACATTTCAGTCTGTCATGTACAGTATAATGATTGTTTTTCCACATTTGTCAGGTTTGAGAGGAGCCCATGATGCGGAGCTTAGGCGTGTTGTGTCGGAGCCTCAGGAGGAGCACCTGTTTATTGGGGCAGAATTCTCTCGGCTTGATAACGTCCTCCCCAGACTGTCCCGTAGAGTGTGCATCACAGCATCGGAACCACCACGACCTGTGAAAGCCCCTGAGCCTGGTAATTTCCCTTTTACTTTTATAGAACATACAATTTACATTTACAAGTTAGTTGGACAGTGGGAAAAGCCATCTGGTCTGGTTCCAGGATTCCTACAGGGTCTTAAATGTATTGAATTTTTGAATTTTTGAATTCATACATTTTGATATCTGGTTTGGTTTGTGGTGTGTACCTTCTCTTAAGGCCCCGACTCCACCGGCTGCGTAAAACGTACTACGCATCTGTCCAGACGTGTCCGTTTCATCCATGAGGGTGAATGGAAGTGGCTCCACTGCCCGCGACATGCGTCCGTATAACGCGTAGGGAGCAGTGCGTCCACGCAGGGTGCAACGGATGCGGACGGACGAAATAGAAACAATCTTATTTTTTACGTATGTTGATGCGCGTCTGGTCCGTTTTCCATTGGAAATACGAGGGGAAATACATTTACTACATTATTATACATGTGTCATGGTACCGAGCCTTAGCTGATGGTAATTTAGAGTAACTTCTAAATGAGAGTAGTGGTTGCAACAACGCCACCCTATTTTTAGTTATAGGGAACTATTCCTCAAGGCACACAGGTAAGTAATAGGACAGGCCAAGGTTCCATTTAAAGTACATTCAGTTTATTTTCAGACATTGGTAAAACAAAATTTATAAAACTTGCAATTTGAAGATACTAATTTAAAATACTAGCTCCCACTGCACCACGACCGCTCCGTTCAGCAGCCCTCCGTGCCTGACAGACAAGAATGGGAGGGGAGGGGGACTCCGAATGAGCCAAGCGCGCAGAGCGCGGCTGGAGCACCGACCGCTGGATGGAAGCGGGGCCACAGAGGAGGTGGGGGCAGAACGGGTCAGAGGGAAGCAGCAGCACAAAACAAAAACATAATGTTACAGTGAATGGAAACGGGGATGGTAAAACAAGGGGGGGGGAGGGCAAAGCAGCAGAGGAGACGTGTCCCAACGCTGCAGACCGCCGCTGACACCTGGGAATTAATAATAATAATTAATCTGCTATTAAATGTGGTAGGTGTGACTGAGGCGCGCACCTACCGCTGTGATAGACTGGAGAGCGCACACAGAAAGTTACGTACTGTACAAGCAAATGTAGCAGGGGGGCGGGGCAGGGCACGGGCTGGCCCAAGCCGCGGACACCAGCTGCCAATCCTGCAGCAGCACTATGAGGAGACAGCGGGATTTAAAGGCTGTCTTAATCAATAAATAAATTAAATTATACCTGTTGCCCCAATTGAACGGACACAGTGATGCCCAACAATGCCCAGCACAGACAAGGCCAATCACCATCGGGGACTAGGAGAGCAGTAGTTAGATTTTTGTGAATGAATGAATGGGGAGAGGAGTATTACCAGTCACAGCAGATGAGGCAGCATGCCCCGGGCGCGACACACAAAATCAAGCCGTGCAAACGGGCGGTGTGAGGCTGCAGTCATACAGCAGCGCTAAAAGGACAATATTGTAAGAAATGGGGAGATTTAGGCAATTTGGAGCCACGCATTTGGGACTTTACCTAGGACTGGAGAGGAGCAGAGTCACACGGCCCAGTGGGAAGTGCGGGCAAACAGGGAGTGACATGGGATGGGAGCGCTTAAATAGGCCACCAGCTCAGCGCCGCAAGGCGGCGAGTAACAATGCCCTCAGCATAGACCACCAGACCTGGGGCCGTATTCCTAAAGATTCTTAGTGCTAAAAGTTGCTCCTAGTGGCCAAATTCTAAGAATTTTCTTAGAATCTTGACCAACTCTTAGAATTTCCCCTAAAAGTGAGGAGTAGCTCCTAGTTAAGATAAAAGCTATTCCTAAAAAATCCTAGCTCTTAAGAGTGCTCTTAAGGGGAGATCCCTTAAGAGTTGAGAGGTGGACTTTTAGCGACTTAAAAGTTCCCTAAGAGCACAAAATGGTGGACGGTGGAGACAGGAGAAATATTCTATACACTGGATGACAGTGAATCAGTGAAACGCTACAGATTCAAGCAGGAATCATGTTTGTGGTATATTTAAAAGTCAATCATGTGACCAGCTTCTCATTGGCTGGTCAGCAATAACACCTCATCCATTTTACCTTTGTTACACAAAAGTAAGTAGAAATGGTAAAAGTTGAAAGAGAGGAAAAAGTGGTCCTAAATTGTCACACATTCAGTACGAATGAATGAATACTTTATTTTGAGCCATGGCAAACAAGAAAAAAAAGGACAAAACAAACAAAACAACAACAGAATAGAAGTACAAATATACAGTTTTGTTTTATCAACAACAATCCAGCTCAAAAAGGAGTGGGAGAGGATAAGACTTTTAAACTCCCTTGTACTTGATTTGTACAGTGTATGTATAATATGTTTATATTAATATTGTTTCCTTAATTTCTTATAAGTCTATACATATCACAGCCTTTACTAATCCTAACGTTATCATTATCATCATTTATCCATATAATATTTATAATAATAATTTTCTTTATCATGTATATTATATATAGAGTAATATTTAAATTATATGTATATATATATAAAATTATAAGTGCTCATGATATATACGTATTATGTGTGATAAATTGGTGCTGAGCAAGCTCTGATGATGGTGTATAAGTCTAACTTTACTATTCACAGTATTTATGTACCATTGATATATCTGACTTTATAGCTTTTGGTTATTATTTACAATAACACAGTGTTCCTAAGATTAGATTCCATGATTGAGTTTGTCCATTTTAGGGCCCTTATTTTGCCTATTATCATCAAAAATATGTTTGTTCTAACTTTTAGGATCAACCAATCACAGCGTCTGAAATGATGACTCATACCTAGCAACGGGGTCGGCCACGCCTCCTCACTAAGATAAAAGTTGTTGTCAATTCCTTGCTCAGAATTCTCTAAGAGTGTTCTGGAATAACTTTTAAGCTAAGACTCCTAGCTAGGAGTTTTTAGGTTAAGATAGGAGCTCTCTGAGAGGACTCTCAGAATCTTTAGGAATACGGCCCCTGGTCTTGCCACACATGTATTGATATATGCCTATAGTCCTTGGTTAAAAGAGTTTGTTAATGACAATGATTATTAACAAATGTGTGTAATTTTTTCATGTATTAAATTTAAATATTTTTTTCCTGGTCATAAATCTGCCGTTTATTTTTCGCGTAATGTTAATATTGACTCGCTTTCAAAAAAGCCTGGATATGTTTGTTCTTTTCTCTTTTCTCTCTCCACCCCTTTTTACCAATTGCTCTCAATAAGTTCTACGTCATGGTGCTACGTCCCTTAGCAGACTTCGCTAGTGGGATATCACGTGACCCCCAGGTCACAGACGCCAGAGAGATCAACAAAAAATGCTCCAATCACTAGCCACCCTCCTCTATAAAGGCCCCTGCTCCATAGCCGCGCCCCCTCTTTCACTCTGGCGCCGATTGAGATCTACCACAGTACTCACTTCATTCTAGAGATGTCTTCTGCTGTTCGTCCGAGTTCCCCTTCGCCCTCCGGCGTCGGACGTCGTCATTGCTCGGAGTGTCGAGTCAGGCGCGAGGACCACCTCGGCGGCGATCCTGCGCATGTGCCAGGCGCTAGCCGTGGATGGCGGCCGCTCCATGGCAGCAGCCCAAGTCGGGGCCAGGCACCTTTGGCTTGGGCTAGCTAACATCAGGGAGGCGGAGAAGAGGCAGCTGCTGGACCTGCCCGTTTCCCAGACGTCCCTCTTCGGCCCGGACATGCAGGCCCTGGTGGCTAGACTGGAGGCTGCAGCCAACGACTCGGCTAGGCTAGCGCCGCACCTAGCACCGAGGCGCGAGGCCCGCCCACCATCACGGAGCCGGGACAGAGGCAGAGAGCGTTCGCCCGGGAGGCGTCCTGACCCGTATCCGCGCTCTGTGGTCCATCGTCCCCCCTCGACGAGGCCCCCGGGTCCAGACAGACCCACGGGTGGCTCGCGGGCGCAACGCACCCACCGCCGGCCTCCCTATGGCAGAGGAGGTCGGGGTGGAAAGAATTTTTTCAATAAAGGCCGGCCGGCATTTCATCATTACTCGTTGTCTGAGTCTCATTTGGGGGTACGTAACATGTCTAATGTGAAATCTGATTGTGTTACTTCCCGGGCACATAACGTTGCTTCGCTAGGCCTGCAGCCCCCAGAGCAGGTGTGTGCAGTGCATTACGCGAGCTACGAGCTCCGGTCCTCTGATCCATACTATGCCCTCCCAGAGAGAGGTCAGGCGGAGGGATCTGGTGAGTAGTGATGTGTGTGCTTCGGCCGAACGCGTGTTAGCCCCTCTGAGCTACAAGGCTAACACGGGGTTTCCCACTCCAGGGGCTCGCCCCCCCCTCCATGAGGCAAGAGCCAGGGGGGGGCGCAGCAGTCGAGTCACGTGGTATGAGCAGAGCCGTTCTTATGGCGTCGGGCCTGCAGGACACGTGACCGCCCCCAGCGCACACGGGATGACGCAGGGCCCCCCTGCCCTTTCGTCCACCCCCCCTCCCTGCTAGGAACACCAGGAGAGGGCGGGGCCGTGACGTCTCGTGTTCCAGCTCCTGTTCCGCCCCTCACAGACTTCTACAGCATCTGGAGGGAGCAGGGATTGCTGACGGATCCATGGCTGGAGAAGACATTGCGCAGAGGTTACGCACTGCAATTCTCCCGAAAGCCACCACCATTCCGAGGCGTACGGGCAGCACGTTCTCAGGTACGGGGATCATTAGTGGCACTACAAGCGGAGGTCTCCTCTCTGCTGAGTCGAGGCGCAGCAGTGGAGGTAGACCCACAGGACGCCACCAGGGGGCTGTACTCCCCTTACTTCTTGGTGCCAAAGAAGTCAGGCGGGGTGCGTCCCATTTTGGATTTGCGCGTTCTGAACGAGTGCATTTCCAAACGGCAGTTTCGGATGCTGTCCACAAAACAGCTCCTCGAGTGTGTCAGGCAGGGAGATTGGATGTCCTCCATAGACCTGACAGACGCTTACTTTCACGTGCCGATAGTTCCGGAACACAGGAGGTTTCTGCGCTTCGCAGTGGGAGAGAGGAATTACGAGTACTGCCGTCTCCCCTTCGGCTACGCGCTCGCGCCTCGGACCTTCTCAAAGTGCGTGGAGGCGGCACTGGAGCCGCTCAGACGCACAGGGGTAAGAATATTAACCTACATAGACGACTGGTTAATACTGGCCTCATCCAGGGAAGTGGCCGTGAGTCACACGCACTGGGTCCTGTCCCACATACAGCGCCTGGGCTTTGTGGTGAAAAGGGAGAAGAGCAGGCTGCAGCCGGCTCAGCGCGTGATCTATCTTGGCCTGCAGCTAGACTCTGTGACATTCCGTGCTGCATTGTCCGAGGACAGACGGAGGAACATTACCCGTCTGGCCAGGGAGGTTCTGGCGGGCCCCAGGGTCCCCGCTCGGCGCCTCAGGTCCCTGCTGGGAATGATGGCGGCGGCTCATGCTGTGGTGCGGCTAGGCCTTCTCCACATGAGGAATTTTCAGAGGTGGTTCTCGCGCCTCAGGCTTCACCCCTCCCGGGACGGGGGGAGGCTTATCTGGGTTCCCCAAGTGGCAGCATCTGACATCAGGTTTTGGCTCACTCCGGGTCTGTTGCGGGACGGAGTGACTCTGGCCTGCGCCGTGTCTCACGTAGAGGTGTTCACGGACGCCTCACTCGAGGGTTGTGGCGGGGTCCTCGGCCAGAGCTCTGTAGGAGGCTGCTGGTCGGACTCAGCCCGCCACATCAACCTTCTGGAGATGGAGGCAGTACACAGGGTACTGCTGCACTTTGCTCCTCAGCTGCAGGGGAGACACGTGATGGTGCGCTCAGACAACACCACAGTGGTCTCTTATCTGAACAGGCAGGGGGGCACCAGATCCCCCGCCCTCCATCGCATGGCGATGGTGACGCTGCTGTGGGCGGCGCTTCACCTTCTGTCTCTGAGGGCGCGCCACGTCCCGGGGGTCCGGAACGTGGGGGCCGACAGGATGTCCAGGGGGGGCCCACTCCAGGACGAGTGGGGCCTGGCCCCACGAGTAGCTGCGGAGGTCTGGCGGAGGTTCGGTCGTCCAGTGGTCGACCTTTTCGCCAGTGCAGAGAACGCACAGTGCCCGTCCTGGTTCGCCTTAAGAGCCGCGGACGAGCCGCCCCTTAGGCGTGGACGCTCTGGCTCATTACCCCTGGCCAGAGGGCCTGCTGTATGCCTTCCCACCAGTGCGTCTCCTGCTGGTCCTGCTGCGGAGGATCGAACAGGAGAGGAGGTCGGTGATCCTGGTGGCTCCGGACAGTCCACATGCCCGCTGGTTTCCCTTCCTGAGGGGCATGGCGGTGATGAAGCCCTGGGCTCTCCCGGACGAGCCGGGGGCTCTAGTCCAGGGGGGGGGCTCTAGTCCAGGGGGGGGGCCCTGTTTTCACGCCTGATGATCGGCCGCAGGCTCTGGGTTTGGAGGCTGAGAGGCGGAACCTCGTAGACCTGGGTCTTCCCCCGGCGGTGGTGGAGACCATTCAGGGGGCGAGGGCGCCGTCCACTGTGAGGGCCTACGCCACGAGATGGAGGCTCTTCAGCGACTGGTGCGGTTCTCGCTCCTGGGATCCCAGGCGTTGCCCGCTGGAGGGAGTCCTGGGGTTCCTACAGGAGCTTTTTGACAAAGGGAGGGCTGTCGCCACCTTGGCGGTGTTCGCGGCAGCCATTACCTCGGGTCACGACGGATTCGGGGGGTTCACAGCCCGCTCTCATCCGTTGGTTAAACGTTTTCTGCGGGGGGCGCACAGGAGGAGGCCCCCGCTTCAGAAAACGCCCCCGGTTTGGGACCTCAGGGTGGTCTTTAGGGGTCTGTCGGGCCCGCCTTTTGAACCGGCGGCGGAGGCGAGTCCCAAGTGTGTTGCTTTTAAGATGGCCCTCTTGCTGGCGTTGGCGTCTGCCAAGAGGGCGGGCGACTTGTGTGCGCTCTCCGTCCATGCGTCTTGCCTGTCCTTTGGAGAGGGCGACGGCCTGATGGAGTTGTGGCCCAATCCGGCTTTTCTCCCTAAGGTCATCACGTCGGCCTTCAGGTCGAGAGTGATCAGGATCAGGGCATTCCATCCGCCGCCCCATGCCTCCCCCGAGGAGGGGCGGCGGCACCTTCTGTGTCCTGTCACATGCTTAGGCATTACCTGGCCATGACGTCTTCATTCAGGTTGGTTGATCAGCTGTTTGTGTGTCTGGGCCCCAAGAACAGGGGCGCCCCGGTGTCGGCTCAGCGGCTGGCGCACTGGGTCGCCACGGCTGTGCGGCGGCCGTATCAGGCTCAGGGTCTGGCCCCCCCGGTGGGCTTCAGGTCGCATTCCACGCGTGGGGTGGCGGCCTCTACGGCCCTCCTCAGGGGGGCGTCGGTCGAGGACGTGTGCCGTGCGGCTTCTTGGGCGTCGTCCTCTTCTTTCGTCTGGTCTTATCTTTTGGATGTGTCGGACCGGTCGGTGGCCCATTCCGTGCTGAGTGCAGCGGACTGAGTTGAAACCGTTAGGTTCCTCCTCTGAGGGGGCCTTCGGTTGATTTTCCGCCCTGGTTCAGGAGCTCTTGGGAGAGGCGTCCTGCAGGTGCGGTATATGTGTGCTTTTGCTCAGTCAGGTAGTCCACGTCGGGAGCTCTTGGGAGAGGCGTCCTGGGACTACGGGTGACCTACGGTCTGTGTTATTTGGGGGTATCCTTGGGAGGAGTGGCCCTGTAACACGCAATTGCTTCTTCTGCCCTGAGTCCTCTCACTTTGTGAGGGCCTTGCTCGGGCGGAGCTCCAATCACTCTTCGCTGGCCTGCTGGGAGTACATGTTCCTACGGCCTCCGCGTTGTGTCCCACTAGCGAAGTCCGCTAAGGGACTACGCACCTATTTGTGTAACTTAAGTTACATTAGGTAACTATTAATTTTGCCTCATCCATCGTGATGTCCTCAATGCTTCAATATGCCGTACTTTGCATTGATTTGCATGAGCCACAGCTCACATTGCATGAGCCACAGCTCATGCAAATCACACACTGCTTCTTCTGTTTAAAACAAAGGCTCACGGGTGCTGATAAACGCACAGCCAGAGCTGCGCGCTGCTGAAGCCGGTGTGGCCACTCTTCCGTTTTACACACATCTGACGGGCTGCAGCCTATACGCGCGTAAACGGAGACGCGGTTGGTGAAGTCCAGCACTCTCGCCAGACCCTTGTACTTCCGCCATGCTCCACCAGAGGCGTTTCGCTTCATACAGAAATGAGAAGCGCAGCGATCTACAAGAGTCTGGCAAGAGTCAGGCTATCTCTTTATCCCATTCACCTCAAAAGTTTCATTCATACTGAATAAATGACCAAACTTACATCAAACAATGCCTACCACAGCCATTCTACGACATTCTATATTGACATTTACTCAAAGTGGAGAAGACTAAACAGCAGCATTTGGTTTCCAAAAATATGTATAGAGATGCATGATGTTGTGATATATATTTGATTTGTTGCTGCATATTTCAGTGGAGCAGCCAGTGGTGGGTCCGAGGGATTTGCAGATCAGAGAGGTCAATCATAACTCCTTCAGACTGAGTTGGACTCCAGCCTCTGGGGACGTGACGGGATACAGGCTGCTGGTCACCGCCCTCAGCCCAAGAGGACAGCCCCTTCACTCACAGCAGAGACAGGTCACCACAGTGCGACACACACCTCACCACTGTATTCTCATCATGTTTTACTAAACTTTGAACTCCAATCTTTGTAGGAACAATAATCTCAGTAACACATAATGATTTCCTTTCTTACATATGACAATAAAGTACTCAAAGACATTTATGGAGTCATATTTCTTGTATTTGTTTGTGTTGTTTTCTTATTCCTCAGACTGACTTAAAGGCCGATATAAGCACAGTGTTGGTGACAGAGCTGACTCCTAAGACAGAATACACCATCACCCTGTACGCCATCTACCCCAGCCTCATCGGTGACCCAGTAACCATTCCACTTCAGACAAGTAAGACAAAGAAAAATAACCCCATTTCTTGACAGCTTATTAACATTACAAATTATATTTTCAGCTGCTTTACCGCAAGTATTCAACTTCCGTGTGATTGAAGAGGGGTTATTCTCTCTGCGTCTGGGATGGACACTGCCTCAAGGAAAAATAGATGGATTCAAGATTTACATTCCAAGAAGTAAGTGTGCCAAACTATTCACAATTATCTAACTATTTAGTCATTAAGATTATGATTTGGTTAAAATGTTCTATGACTCAGACTTTATATTCATCACCGTATAATCTTTGCCAATTCTGTTTTCCAGCCAACAGGCCAGGCTTGACGTACGAGCAGCTCCTCCCTGGGGACACCTCCTCTCACGTCATCGACAGTTTAGAGGAGGACAGAAAGTACAGTGTCAGTATCTACGCTGTGTTTCCTGAGGGCCCCAGTGAGCCTGTGTCTGTGGTGGGAAAGACATGTGAGTCAAAGTATATCCATCACTGCTGTGGTTTACATTTAACTTTTTCTCTGCTGATTAGAAGTAATTTTCCCATTTAAAAAAATAAAAAAAACATTCATTCATTTTATATAGACTCAAATTAGTCTATACTTTAAACCAAAATAGGCTAAATCCCATCATTCTAAGGCTTTCAAGATGTATCATGATCAAGGTGAATGTTGAACATAATTGTATCGTTTGTTGAAGCTGATGTGTCTTTATAAATGGGATCGCAGCAGGTCTATTGTCATGTATCTGAGAGAGGTCCAAGATGTTCATCACTTTCTCACAGTCCTCCCGTCCTGGAGGATAGGATTTTGCTTAGAACCATGAACAATAGAGGAAACAAGTTTTATTGGAAATGATTACCTCCACACCCTCAAACTTCTCTTCCAATATAGATACTGCGGAATCCTTTAGTCCTAGTCTATGCAACTATTATCGATATCCGTAAAAAGTGTGCTACTAATAGATCTCAAGGACCAAAGCAGCACACAAATAAACAAATAAATAAATACACACAAGTTCAACGCTGCGAAAAACGTCATTCATCATTTTAAAGCTAAACCCCAAAAGGGGAAATGCATTAGTTTTCAGTTCGTAGGAGCTTCATATGTCCCAGACAGGAAGATTCTGGCAACAAAAGTTGGATTGTTTTGAATGTATTAGATCACTAATAGTGAATATGATCTGCGATCATTTTTATAAACATAGAATATACAACTTTTTTGAGCTCTTCACAGCAAGTCTGTGGATTCACTTTTTTAATTGTTGGATAAACAGTATTTCACAACGTCATCCATCTAACGTCAGCAACTGCCAATAACATCTCATTCATCATTTTCAGGAATACTTTTTTTCTTTAACACACTCAGACTGCCCTTTTCTATCTATTTTTCAAGGAAACCAATGCATGTTTCATGTTGCGTTCACTTGCAGGTGCCTGTTACTTGTGTGTGAAACTTCAGTAGGAGAGTTCCATGTTTGATTCGTTGTGGTTCCAGACATTGTTTTCCAAGCAGTACAGAGGACACATGTAACATCTTCAACATCCTAACTTTGTATTTACTTTACCCACAAGTGACCCTTTAGTTTTGCGTGAGTTGGCCTCCTGTTTCCTGACAATCCTTCCGCCCTGAATATTCTCTGTTGCAATAGTTTTAAAAAGCCAAGAGATGGTGCTGTTGCCCTGTGTTCGTCTTGTGTTGTCTTTGTACAAGTAACATCTCCGTCATTGTTTGCCTCCATTTTCAATATTATATTTCTAACAATCTTTCACTTGGATACCATGTGTCATTAGAACTCCTCAAATGTATGATTTTTTTTCTCTGAATTCATTCCTAATCAAGGATTCATTGTTTATTAATTGTTTTGTGTTTTGTGTACCATTTAGATTATTTGTAAACATTTTTGGTCAGGCTACAAATTTCTTTGACTTGATGAAACCTGCTTTTCTTCTTTTTGCTGATAGTAAAGTTGATGCCCGTTCAGCATTTTTTGGTCCAAAACGCCACCACAGACACGTGCCAGGCCAAGTGGACCTCAGTGAGAGGGGCCAGTGGATACCGCCTCACATGGGAAGCTCCAGGTAACTACCACATATAGAGCAAGCGTGTCCAAACTATGGCCCTGAGACAAAACATGGCCCTCAATACAAATGTTTGTGGCCCACACCAGGATGTTTTGTCATCGATGATATACAGTAAACACTGAAAGAGGTGTGATATCACCTGCAGAAGTTCTCCAACGACTCCGCCATCGTGGGCTGTGTGTCTGAGGGGAACTATCTGGAATATCGGTCGGTTATCACGGACTTTGTCGACTGGTGTGAGCGCAACCACTTGTGCTTGAACACCAGTAAGACCAAGGAGATGATCATCGACTTCAGGAGAAAACCACTTTCCCACACGCTGCTAAACATCCAGGGGGAGGACATTGAGCTGGTGGACAGCTTCAAGTACCTGGGTGTTCACATTAACAATAAACTGGACTGGTCCCATAATACAAACGCCCTGCACAAGAAGGGCCAATGTCGCCTCTTCCTTCTGAGGAGGCTGAGGTCCTTCGGAGTGAGCAGGCCTCTGCTCAGGACTTTTTATGACTCTGTGGTAGCTTCTGCCATTTACTACGCTGCTCGTGTGCTGGGCCCCGGGCAGCACAGAGCGGGACAGAAACAGACTGAACAAGCTGGTCAGGAGGGCCAGCTCCACTCCGGGCTGCTCCCTGGACTCTGTGGAGGAGGTGAGGGACAGGAGGGTGCTAGTCAGTCACCTCCATCATGGACAACACCTCCCACCCACTGCACAGGACTGTAGAGGAGCTGAGGAGCTCCTTCAGTGGAAGACTGAGACACCCTCACTGCAAGAAGGAGCGCTACCGCAGGGCCTTTATCCCCACCGCTGTCAGACTGTACAATAAGTCACTTTAAGTCACTGCACTATGACTGAAAAAAAACCTGCACTAATATTGACACTATTTCTGATTGCCACTTTTAAACTGCCACTTTTTTATTGTACATAATATATCCAGCATTTAACATGTTTGCACATTTCCTCCCTTTTTGCACAATCTGAGGTTTCTATCGATGCCAAATGTGACATGTATATTTCTCCTCCTTGTGAGATAAATAAAGAATATCTTATCCTATCTTATCTTATCTTAATGGTATGTTATTATGGCTTGTCGTATTTAGTATATATATATATATATATATATATATATATATATATATATACTGGCTGGCACTTATCTTTTTCTTAAAAAAAAAAAAATGAATGAATATGAATAAAAAAATAAATATGAATGAATATGAATATGAAAAAATAAAATGAAACATGGTGAAAAAATAAGTAGCCGTAGAGAACTTGAAAAATCCCAGGTGAAAGGCCCTGGTTATCAGTGTTTAGAAACATCATTTGATCTATGGTCCCTTCAAAAATATAGTATAAATGCTACTTTTTTGAGTAATTCAGAGCATTTACAATAAGTCTTTGGCTTCACTTTGTGTTTGTTGAATATACAGCATGTTCCCATTCCAGACAAAGTCATTTCATCTGCATGATGGTGATAGTATCACTTTAATATTGCTTTAACTTTAGCTTTAATGATTAACTGTATAAGTACCTTGTGGATGACATGTACAATGATTACTTTTCAGACGGCCACATTGAGAGCGTAAATCTTGGGGACAACTTCAACTTTTACATGATCCAGGGTCTACGTTCAGGCGCGGAGTACACCATCACCATCAACCCCATCTTTGGAGACATCGAGGGCCCCGTCACAACGAGCAAAACCAAAACATGTAAGAGCCAATACAATATTGGGTGAAACAGTAACAAAAAAAAACAAAAAAAAGGATACAAATACCATACATTTCAGTCACCACTTGAATTAAAGATTGGGAGTTTGTGTTTTAGTGGAGAGCAGTGCAGTGCAGACTCTCAAAGTGTCTGCGGTCACAACAAGTTCAGCTGTCGTCGCTTGGAACAGCGTCCCGGGGGCCACTGGATACAGACTGGCCTGGGGACCCACGCCAGGTAAAGAATTCCTAATAAATGTACACAATCATCAGTTGTTACTAAATGTAGTTAGTTAGTTTAGTCTTTACCTGAGTGCACAGCAACATCATGTACAAAGGTGAAGAATCTATCTATATCATTTATCTATATGTTGATAAAATAAAAATGAAAATAACTTAAAAACACAGGAAATAAGTTCATGCCACTTCATGTCATATCATATATTTCCTGATTTTTTTAGTTATTTACTTATTATTTATTTTTTGTATGTGCTGCTCAAATGAATTGCCCCTGGTGGGATAAATAAAGTAGTCTGAATCTGAATCAATATGTACATTTATTTCTTTGATTCACCTCTCAATGTGAAACCAACATATGATAAAGACTCATTACATGCAAAGTGACACATGCCCAGCTTTTGTTTGCTATAATTGTTTGCTAATAGTAATTTTTTTTTTCCATATTCTAATTTCATGAGATGTTTTATTTGAATTTGTTTGAAGCTGTGAACCTATTAATGAGATTATAACAAACAATAGCTTGATATGTCTCACTTTGCATGTACAGAAATAAATTGTTAAAATAAATTGAAAGCAGATATTCATATTTTTACTCTACAAAAAGATATTAATATTTTGACTTTGACTTCAAAAGGTTAAAGTAAAAACACCTAATCTAGAACTTTAAGTATTCTACGAGTGCTTTCCTAGTTTTCATCTTGCGCTTGCTGAGCCCAGGATGAACAGTTGAACACATTTTGAGGGGTCCGCCTACAACAGTTACCGTGACGATTTCCATGAAAACAAGAGAGGATGTGGTCCAACAGAAGGAGACAAGATTTTGCTGTTGATATATTACACAAATAAATTCAACTGTGGTGTTGTTTATTTTAGTCGTATACTAAAATATGTGTTATACTGCACATGGCTAATAAAAAAAAAATGAATCTGTATAATTGAATAAAAAGTAAATCATAATTTCACCATTTGAGCCTTTCTGGTTCATATCTTTGCAGTTGTTACTTCTGATACTCAAACTGTGTAATTCTAAGCCAAATGTAAACGAGAGTTCTACTAGGGCTGCACAATATATCGAAAAAATATTGTTAACGCGATATTGGTGCGTGCAATAGCCAAATAAAATAAAAATTATATATACATTTTTTTTTCTTTATTAAAGACAACAAAACAGACAGACACATCAACATTCAACAAAAACAACAAACAAAAAAATATACACATGCATTTGAATGTCATTAATGTTGTGCTTATTTCTATCTTATTATTTGTCAATTATCTCTTGCGTTTCAATGCAGATTGCAATTTTAGGTGAAAGACAAAAATATCGCAATATTGTTATCAAAATACTAAACACTCACTAATTTCCAATATTGTGCCGCCCTAAGCACTACTCCTTCTTGCAACATTTTGAGGCCTACTCTTCTAGTCACCCAAGAGGTCCCATTGACTGTGACAAATAATGACCATACTAAACACACGCTGAGGAGAAGCATATTGCATTTGTTTGATATTTCTCTGTGATCACTTAAGCTTCATGGTCTCTGAGCTCATAGAGGTCTGTCTTGCAGAGTTCGTGGGCCGCGACCGTCCACGGCAGCTGGCTCTGAACGGCAGCTCCACAGAGTACCAGCTGAAGAATGTGGCCCACGACACGGAGTACGTGCTGACGCTCTACGTGCTCTTTGGCTCAGTGCTGGGGCCTGGCATCAGCGCCACCTTCAGGACCTGTGAGTTACTGCATGTGCTGTTCAGAGTCACAAAATGAGTTGGAATTTGTCTCAGAATATGAAAGAGTGCAAACTTCCTGAAGTAAGATGAACATGGGTACACCATGTTCATCTTACTTTGGAAGAATATTATTTTGTTTAAATTGTAAAAACGGGGACGACAGTGGCTCAGATGTAGAGCATTGGTCTTTGAACCTAATGGTCGTGGGTTAGATAACCCCATGACCCATGTCACCTGCTCCCACTGATGTCTGCTGGGCAAGACACTTAACCCCACTTTGCCTGAAGTCCCCACTGAAAGATCAAGGCCGTATCTGCAGCCATCTTCCTGTGGACCCACCACCTGCAGGAGGATCAGCAATGGACTGGTGCTTTGTGAATTGGGTGGCAGCTGATTTCCACCACCCTGACCCAGAAATGGATAAAAAAGGATGAAAATGAATGAATGAATGTAAAAACAGGTTCATAGGTAGATAATTGGACAAGATTTCAACTCTATCTGGAAGATCCTTGTCTGCAACGCTGGTTATATTTGCTTTACTGCCAAAATAAGTATTAGTATTATTTTCGTCTTCTTGGACAGTTCTGTAACCTCAATAAGGAGGCAGTAATTTACACTCCCCTAAGGCATGGCTATTTTTTATCACCAAAGGCACCAGTGACGTTTGTCTCACATCAGCTATGTGGTTCAATCATGCATGTCACCAGGTTATGCTCCCTTGACCTACTTGTTTTAATATTGAATACAATGAAATATGATGAAACCATTAACCCTTTAATAGTTTCCTCAACCATTTGGTAGATCATCTTTTGAGTCATTATATCTACCCTAGACATGCTTGGAACTGAAATATTCTTCTTTGGGTCATCACACTTGGTTTAAGGCACTTTTATGGTCACATTGCCTCGCAACCATTTGGTAAAGGCCTATTATTCAAGAAAATAGGTAAAAACAAATTGTGTTATCAGTGCTCCTACAGCTTAGAAAATTCCCAAAAGAAAACATTACATTGCTTTTCTCAAGAAGTGAATGTTAAAGGGTTAAGGCACAACTTTAACACATTTCTGCCACAATGTGAGTGACGGTGACTTAATGACCTGTATTTTTTGTCTCAGCTCCTCTTGGATATGTGTCCAACTTCAAGGTGATCTCTTACACCAGTACATCCATAGATTTAGAGTGGAGTCCGATCGTGGGGGCCACAGAATACAGACTCACCTGGACAACTGGTAACGGGCCTTTATCTCGATATAGAGGAAACAGTTCCCTAACCGTTTTCATTCTTACAGATGGCTCCAGTCCACAGTCAAAATACCTGGAGCAGAGTGTCTTGTTCTACTCGATTAAAGACCTGAATCCAACGTCTGTTTACACAGTCACTATTTGTGCTCTTTATGGAAACGCAGAAGGTCCAGAGATTTTTTTGTCACAACTCACAGGTAAAGATCAGGGCTATTTTTGTTGTTGTTGTCCAGTCCGCATCATAGAGTCCAGTCCACTCATAGAGTGCCTGAAGTTTGCACAACCCTGGATGAGCCATGTTTTTTCATGTGTTAGCCATGTTTTTATCATTTATGCTAACTGATAATAACTTTAATTGAGAACTGGGGCGTGCCGCGTGGAAACTTCTGATCATGGTCTTTTGGGTAGTTTCTGTTGTTAGTATCATTTGAAAATAGAAATGTATTGCATATGACAACTGGTTTCACACAGTTGGGCGGCACGGTGGCTGAGTGGTTAGCACTCTCGCCTCTCAGCAAGAAGGTCCTGGGTTCGAATCCCGGTTGGACCAGAGCCTTTCTGAGTGGAGTTTGCATGTTCTCCCCGTGTCTGCGTAGGTTTCCTCCGGGTGCTCCGGTTTCCCCTACCACTAAAAATATGTACAATAGGTCTGGCATGTGCCTCCTGTACTGGCACCCCTGCTCCCAAAAATAACAATTGTAAACAGCTTTGAGACTCCGATATGCAGTGAAAAGGCGGTATATAAATAAAGATTACTTACTACTACTACTACTACAACCACTGATAATGGGGGGAAAAATAATCTCTAAAATATGGTCCATTTTTTGTGTGTAAAATGTCTGCCTGAGCTTGTAAACTTTCAAGCACAACTGTAATTATGATGTTTATATTTCTGTTCTGTATATACATTTAATACTGTGGACTCTTCCATACATAGAAGACACACATTTGCAGGTGATGGACAGTTTTTAAAATGTTAATAGCAGCATTGTGAGGTCTTGATTTATGTGTCACCAAAAGTGGCCTTTCTAGACACTTATTTAGTGGTAAAGGCTTCATTCTGTTCTCGGTGGTGCATGGACTGCATCTGTCGTTATGTTGGTTCTGGGAGAAATGAAAGAGGGAACACATGACTCACAAAACCATTTACAACCGAATTTTCCAACACATTGCGGCCCAAATTAATATTAACAACTGTGTAAAAGTGATGTGAATGGTGAAGCCTCATCACAAATAAGATTCTGAATACAGTACATTTATTTATCTCTAAAGAAATTTTTCCCTTTTGACTTTTCACTTTACTATAATTTAAATATAAATGCATCAATAGTGTTGATTTTCATATACAAATGTGGCTGAATGTTAGCTAAGCAACCAAAACAAAAAGCAATATTGAACTGTATCAAATTGCTTAAAAATAAATCCTATTTAATCAGATTGAATTGAAAGTCCCCTGTATTAAGATACAGTACATATCCTTTGGCTACGGCCGGCTCTGAAACACACCCAGCCACCATGTGAAAATTGTGCAATACTGCATATGATATTGTAATTTGTCAACATTTATGTCATAATTGTGCCTTTTACTATTTATATTTATCGCTTTATATTTCAGCTGCAGTTTCAGATTCAGACATCATCAAGGCGCCGCGCGAAGTGAAAGTCATGGACATTGGAGTGAACTTTTTTACTCTGACGTGGAAGAAAACTTCAGGGGCCTCTGGATATAGAATTTCCTGGACTCCCTTCTTAGGTATCTCTCCACAATAAATGAGATGAGATGAGATATAAATGACCATTTGTTGACTTTCTTGAGAATTATTTTAAATGCATTTGGCTTTATTCTTTGTGTTAGTAAGCTCACAGCGGCACCATCGAACTAACGGTCTATTCTCATTAGGAGGTGAGGATAAGTCGCATGTAGTCCCAGCCTCGTCCACATCATACACCATTCCAAACCTGCGTGAGAGCTCGGCCTACAAGATCCAGCTGGCCTCAGTGGTGGGCAACAAGGAGGGCAGCCCAGTCCTGGTCACTGCTCGGACTCGTGAGTGTACACAACATGAGGATCACTTGGATGTTGTCGAGGAAAAGAGGTTTACCTTTGTTTAGTTTCCTTTGATCCAGCTTCATTGTTGGAAGCACTGTACAATTAGCCAGACGAGAATAATGTTAATGCGCCAGCAGGCATTTATTGTAGATCACATATAAAGTTGCGTGGCCACAGGGCTAATACAGAGTTTAACCGAGTAGTCTTCCTCCGTCTTAGCTGCTAATACAAAGTGTCCACTAACAGATATAGGTGCTGGCCCTTGGGGCGGACCTTTCCCGAATCTTCATCAGTAGCTGTGCTTCTGTTCTTCACTGCCTAACTATTGTCCCCGTTCTACAAAATAGCAACACCATGTCCGTGGAAGATGTTATATTTCCCATAAAGGGAATATTGTTCACCGAATATGTCTAAATGTATCAAAATAGAAAATCAAACTTACTGTAAGCGTGTGTGTGCCCAATATCCTCAAAAAGATGTGAATCTCCCAATCTATGAGTTAACCTGGAAGTTTTACTCATAATAAGCAAATAAAGAAAAAGATCCTTAATATACTTTATTCTCTTATGATAATGTAGTTATTTTGTTTATAGAGTTATATTATATTACATATAGTGTTTTTTTGCCCAAAGGACAATATTTTTTAGAGTCACGTCATTTAAAAAACTGGCCTTTTTGATGTTTGATAAAAGTTAGCATTCAGCAGTCTTGTCCGGATTACTTATCAACATCTACTTTGTAATTGTATGTGGGAATTAAATACATGAAACAAAAGTATGTCTTCAGACTTTATACTGGTGGAGTTTATTTGAAAAAATATTTTTGTGGAGTTTATATATTTATATATAAGATAGCGTTCAATGAATGTGTGGAAATACAATACATACATACAAACAAGTATATAGAAACTATAAATTGTTGAAGTATTATTCACATCATTGGTTATGGCAGACAAATAGGGAGTTCAGCTTACACAGTGGAGGCCAATGCAAGGCAATTACTCAGACATTCTAATATTCAGACCTTTCTTACATAACTGTTGTTACATTTAGTGCTTCCTTTGCTTCTCTCAGTTGATCTTCCTAAAGTGAACGAGTTTGTGGCGTTGAACACGACAGACAGAAGCACCGTCCTCAGCTGGAGCCGGGTGGACGGGGTGTCTGGGTATCTCGTCTCTTGGAGACACATTTCAGGTTTGTCATCACACACACTTTAGAATCCCTAACAAATGTGAAGAATTAGTAAATGAATGAATGAATAAATAATAACACTAAAACAATATGTATTTAATCTTCTCTTCAGTTCTAGACACTAAGACTGAAGTCCTGGGGCCTGGTGTCACTTCTCTCAAAGTTGGGGACCTGCTTTATGGAAGAACATACATTTTTACCATTCAGCCGCTTTATGGAGAGGTGGAGGGGCCTGTAGCTACAATATACCAAAGAATACGTAAGCTTTGTGATATAGACATTTGTAATTACTTTCAATGAGGCACACCTATTGTACCAAAGCTCGAAGAAATTGGAATGACCATTACATTTTGAATATCAAATTTCAGGAAAATACATCATTCTTTATCCTTCCTGGTCCTTTATTGTGCTTTTTTATGAGCCTATAGCAAAATATTTGGTCCAGTGAAATATTACACCCTTTAAAGAATTTTCTAATGCCACTTTGGTCAGACTTTATGCAACAAAAGTCAGTAAAAGGGAGAATAAAGGCCAAGGAAGGATAAGGAATGCATTTTTGCGGATTTATTATCCTCTGGCTCTCCTAAATAAATAAATGAATAAATAGGAAATAACAAATACATGCAAATAAACTGTTTTTCTGACTTCTGTTTTAAACATACCTTCTCTGAGATGTATTTTGAGAGTTCATGTCCTACGTACCCACAGTAAACAATTAAATTATCAAAAGCCTCATTACTTTAACTCGGTATCTTTCTTTTTCGCAGTGGGGGAGGACCCTCAGGTGGCGTCTGTCCTGGCCAGTGCAGCTCCAGATTTGGCACATATTTCCCCTAATACCAAAGCTTCACAGCCTGCTCCCATCAGCAATCCTGCAAAACTTCCTTCCACCACGAGGAGGAACCAGCCCCCCGCTGTTGTGCCCCTGCAAAAACCCAACATTATAAAGAAAGCTGAAGGCAAAGCAACTGTGAGTGAGACAGAAATAGATGCACAACTGACCACCAAGAAGTCCGAAGCAGCCACGCCACAGAACACAGGTAGTTACAAGCTAAACAGCTTGCACACAACGAATAACTATGTTTTTCTCTCAACAGACAAAATGCATAAATAAGAACCAAAAATTCCAATATCACTATTTATTTTCCAAAAAATCCAAGATGGCAGCATGTCCACTGTCTGCTCAGTGTCTCTCTCTGGACTAACTCGTTTTAATGGATTTTTACTGCTTTTAATTCTTTTTAAAGTTACAGTTTAATGTATTTTTTATTGAAACTTCTTCACAAGCTCTTGAGAATTGTGAATTGTGGACCTTTAATGAGTTTAACTTAGCCTCTCCCACACCCTGAGCTTGGGCTAACAGGCCTGAGCCTGCTACATCCACCTGGAGCCTGGCCTGAGCCTGCCACATCCACCTGGAGCCTGGCCTGAGCCTCCTACATCCACCTGGGGCCTGGCCCGAGACTCCTACATCCACCTGGGGCCTGGCCCGAGACTCCTAGAATCCACCTGGAGCCTGGCCTGAGCCTGCCACATCCACCTGGAGCTTGAGCCTGCTACATCCATCTGGAGCCTGGGCTAACAGGCCTGAGCATGCTACATCCACCTGGAGCCTGGCCTGAGCCTGCTACATCCATCTGGAGCCCGGCCTGAGCCTGCTACATCCATCATCTGGAGCCCGGCCTGAGCTTGCTACATCCATCTGGAGCCCGGCCTGAGCCTGCTACATCCATCTGGAGCCCGGCCCGAGCCTGCTACATCCACCTGGAGCCCGGCCTGAGCCTGCTACATCCATCTGGAGCCCGGCCTGAGCCTGCTACATCCATCTGGAGCCCGGCCTGAGCCTGCTACATCCATCTGGAGCCCGGCCTGAGCCTGCTACATCCACCTGGAGCTTGAGCCTGCTACATCCATCTGGAGCCTGGGCTAACAGGCCTGAGCCTGCAGCATCCACCTAGAGCCTGAACAGGCAGGCTTGAGCCTGCTACATCCACCTGGCCTTGGCCTGCTACATCCAACATAACAGTATCTGTTTATGTCATTCAACATGAGGATGGTATTTTTCATGACTTTATTGTGTGTGTTGACTGTGTGGGACTTGGGACCGGGCAGTGCTCCTTGGGTGAGTACATCTAATACTATGCAGACCATGTGTGAAACCTACTATAGAGGCACTAAAACTAGTGCAGCAGGTCACCCTGAGCCACCACTGACTCATTTTGTTTTGGCCTTCAGCTTCAATCTGCCTGGGGTTTTACCAAAACTTCAAGGTTTTCTTGCTTTATATAATCTTTCTCTTTCACTTAAGGAAAAGCAATGTCTGGCTTCAACATATAAAAAGACTGCTTCAAAATGTAACGTGAAACGAAGATTGATTATGATTGTTCTACTTTTACTTTTATCTGGAAATGTGCAACCAAACCCTGGACCTGAGCTGAAATGTGTCCAGACCCCTGCTGATTTCAAATCTATGCCTGGGTTAAAATTTGTTCATCTTAATGTGCGCAGCTTATTACCCAAGATGGACATGGTCAAAATTTGGGTGAAATCGACAGATGCAGATATTGTGATCATTTCTGAAACATGGCTATCCAAATCTACTTCTAATGATGACATCAACATACTTGGATACAATGTTTATCGCACGGATAGGCCCAAGAAAGGTGGTGGCGTAGCCATTTATGTAAAATCAAGATTTGATGTATCAATTGTTCTATCTGAGTCTATTACTAAGCAAATTGAGTTTTTGGCTTTAAATATGGAAATAGTTAAATCCCTCTCTATAACTGTCGTGGGGTGCTACAGGCCTCCATCTGCCACCAAGGAAGCATTATCAACCTTACAGCGTCTTTTGTCCAAATTAAATTATAATGAACTCTTATTGGCCGGAGACTTGAATTGGGACTGGCTGAATACAGCTTCTGGTGAATTTAAATCTTTCTGTGACTCTATTAATCTTAGCCAGTTGGTCAACCTACCTACAAGGCCAAATGTGAAGAGTCCTGATAAGTCTACTTTGATTGATTTAGTCCTAACAAATGTCCCTCATAAATTCTCAACATTGGGTGTGTTCTGCAATGATTTGAGCGATCATTGTGTTGTTGCTACTTGTAGGAACACTAAAATCCCCAAATGCAAACCACATATTATTTGCAAGAGAAATATAAAATTATTCAATGAACAGGCGTATCATCATGATTTGTCTTTGGTTAATTGGGGGCAATTGAGCCTGCTGCCAGATGTGGAGCTGGCTTGGACATACTTCAAGGAAAGTTTTATGAAGATTGTAAATAAACATGCTCCAATCCGGAAATTCAGAATCAAGGGACGAGAGAACCCTTGGTTTTCCCCAGAATTGTCAGAGTCCATCCATCAACGCAATGTGGCATGGGCCAAAGCCAGGAAATGTGATTCTCCATCTGACTGGTCTAATTTCAGGCATTTAAGAAATAAATGTACTTCTCTTATCAAAAAGGCTAAATCAGAATATTACTTATCTGTCACAACAGAAAACCTCAACAACCCACAGAAATTTTGGAAAGTGATAAAGTCTCTATCTGTAAACAGAAGACCTCATGCTTTTCCAAAATGTGTCTTAAAAGACTCTGTCCCTGTGTATGATAGGACTGAGGTCTTAAATAGCTTTAACGAGCACTTTGTAGCTTCTGGTTCTTTGTTTGACTTCTCAGGAGCAGCCCCTGTGACTCCCTGCACAGAATCTCCAATGTCTTCTGGAGAGCGTTTTAATTTTGTTCCTTTTACTGTGCAGGAAGTGCATAAAGCTCTCAAAGCACTAGACCACAGAAAACCCCCTGGACCAGACTTGATAGAGCCCTACTTCTTGAAAATAGCAGCTGACTATGTAGCACAGCCTCTTACGGTCCTTTTTAAATCTTTCAATTCAAAGCAAAGAAATCCCACTTGTTTGGAAGTCTGCTTTTGTTAGCCCTTTACTAAAAGGAGGTGACCCAGCTGTTTTAAGTAACTACAGGCCAATATCAAATTTGTGTGTATTGTCAAAAGTTCTTGAATCTCTTGTTTGTGATCAACTCAAAGAGTTCCTGCACTCTAATGAACTTCTCTCTAAACTGCAATCCGGCTTCAGGAAAAAGCACAGTACCATCACAGCTGCTACAAAAGTGATAAATGACATACTTGTTGCTCTTGATAAAAAGCAATATTGTGCTTCCCTTTTTATTGATCTGTCAAAGGCTTTTGACACTGTGCCACATGCTATTTTAAAGCATAGGCTTCTTTGTTTGGGACTGTCTAATCATGTTGTTTCCTGGTTCGCAAATTATCTGAGTCACAGGACCCAGTGTATTAAATGTGAGGGCCTGTGTTCTGAATTTTTGAATGTCCACAAGGGGGTGCCACAGGGTTCAATATTAGGACCCCTTCTGTTCATCATGTATATTAATGAATTGGGACAAAATGTGTCTGACGCTAATATGCATTTTTACGCTGATGACACAATAATTTACTGTTTTGGAATTAACCCTGTTAAAGCTGTAGAATCTCTGCAGAAAGCTTTTGATGTGGTCCAGCACACACTTCTGCAGCTAAAACTGGTCCTCAACCCTGAAAAGACTAAACTAATGTTGTTTTCAAATACTAAGAAGGTTTCTCAAACGATCCCCTCAGTGTCCACTTTTGAAGGAAAAGTCATAGAGGTGGTTCACACTTACAAATACCTTGGTATATTGCTTGATGACTCCCTGAATTTCAAGCCCCACATAGACAATCTTGTGAAAAAACTTAAACTCAAATTGGGCTTTTTCTTTCGAAATAAATTTTGTTTTTCTTTTAAAGCAAAAAAGCGGCTTGTCACTGCAACATTTGTATCTATTTTAGACTATGGAGACCTGCTGTACATGAACGCGTCTGCTCAATGTCTACACAAGATTGACACTGTATATCATGCTTCTCTGAGGTTCATTACTAACTGTAGGGCCTTGACCCATCATTGTGAGCTGTATTCTCGAGTGGGATGGCCTTCTTTGTCCTCCAGGAGGCAGAGTCATTGGTATACTTTTATTTATAAAGCCATGCTTGGTCTACTGCCCTCTTACATCTGTAACCTAATCTCACGGAGGAGCGTTGGCTCTTATAGTTTGCGTTCAAATGATCATTTGTTGCTCACTGTTCCATTTGCCCGTTCAGAACTGGGAAAAAGGGCATTTGTTCACTCTGCTCCTTCTACATGGAACACGTTGCAAAAAGACTGGAAAATAACTGGTCTTATTCCATTGAACGAATTTAAGTCCAAAGTGAGAGCACTTGAGTCAACCTCTTGTAAATGTTTTTTATAATGAGTATGTAATGTGTATGTAATTCTTAAACTGTATATTTTGCTGCCTCTTGGCCAGGACTCCCTTGAAAAAGAGGTTTTTAATCTCAATAGGACTTTCCTGGTTAAATAAAGGTTAAAAAAAAAAAAAAAAAAAAAAATTTTGAAGGTTTTTTGTATGTATTTGTATCTGTGCAACAAGGACAAGAAATAGACTGATATTAAAGATTCCTCTAACGCTATCACATATTGAAAGTTCTGACCATCTCCTCAGGAACACTAAACAGCAGAAGGATTATCACTACAGGACTGCTTTGAATGCGCACAATGGGAAGTTTGAATAAAGCTGCAGCTTTAGGATCAGGCACTGACTTGCAAGAATATTCTCAGGCAGCAAATACATTGATGATGTGACCTGCGTCAAACCTGTCATATGCAATCATATGCAACCCCAACACCTCAGGTTACGGGGAGTCGTGTTCCTTATCAAAGCAAGGAATAATCTGAAAACAGATATTGGAGACGCAAAGAGTGAGAATTTATGACAAGGTTTTCAGGCAATGACTGGTTTCAAACCAAGCTTAGAAATGGATTGTAATAAATAAATAGTTGTAATAGTAATCTCAACACATAGTGTCGTCGTAGATTCAACTCTAGTGCTAGTGGACGTTCCATGACGTTCCATGAACTTGTCTGGTCAAGCCCTCATGCATGCCTCTCAACAGTGTGAAAGACATTTTTCAGTTCCTCATCTTGCAGCTAGCGCCTTACCTGATTAAACCCTGGTCATGTGTTGATTGAGTGTGCAGAAAAACCCCTTCAACACATGCTGAATAATATTAATAACATTAAGAGATATGTTTTCCAACATATTTAATATCTCCTTAGATCAAGCCCTGTAGAAATGCTTTCCCCAACAGATGGTAATCAGGCAAGTTATAACAACTCATGGTCAACCGTTGTACGTACCTGCAACTGGATCCTGGCTTTTTAACTCCCAGGCAGCAATGAAATTTGGCAAGAGACTTTCAAACACCGTCACTGTAAGCACCGGAGGTTGTGTACTCAGCCCCTTACTATAATCTATTGTTGTACTGTTCAAAATTCTACGATGACACCACAGCCATGGGACTCAATAACATTGAAATCATCTTTGATATTAGGAAACACACACAAAGCCACAATCCACATCCATTCCCGCGAGTCCGATAAAGTGGATCTCACTTGTGGAGGACACAACTTTCCACAGCTGCTCCTGATGCACTGCAGAACATGGTTCGGCAACAGTAGGACAGAGGAGAAATATAAACGGGAGCACAGGGTATGCACAGCCGAGAATATCGTTCCTCTCCCTTCTCTGCACAATGTCTACACCCAGAGATGCTTTAGGAGAGGAGACTCACAAGAGTCGCATGCACAGCTCCTCATTACTGTTAAACAAGAACAATTTTTAGATTAGATTGACTCCATAAAAATAGGAAACTTTCACCTTGAAAACTTCTGATATGCTTTCAATCAAGAGCATAGAAATGGCTTAGAAAAGGTCTGTGTGCAAATATTTAGTATGTCCGTCAGGATTGTAACATCATTTAGATAAAAAACTTTCTTTTTGAAAAATTCATGATATTTTTTTTTTTATCATTCCACTTCATAAAATCAAATGTGGTTTAATAAAATGTGTCCTTACATGTATCGATAGTTTCATGTAATAATTGCATTTGTATATCAGATATACTGCTTTCACACGCGATGATATTTTCCGGCTTGTTCAGTTTCCCACTTACAGGTAACAGCTTTGTCTTTTCCCCCTCTGTAACTTTTTTGCCATATGCCTCTCTTCAGGATGTGATCAGGCCAGAGCAGATGTGGTTTTTCTGGTGGATGAGTCATCAAGCATTGGCATCGACAACTTTAACAGAATAAAGGATTTCATCTTTAGAGCAGTGACTTATTTCCCGTTCATTGGACCTCAGGGAACGCAGGTTAGTCACCCGTCCAGCTTATAATTTTGGAATGGGAAAACGTTTATTGTTGTCCAAATCTTGAATTTCATGCATGTTTTGGCGTGTTGTGATGAAGGTTGAGATGAGCATATACATTTACGCCACCTCCAGATTCGGCGTATATTCTGTGCGTACTGTACGCTCACTTCCAGATTGATAAATGCCAAAAGGTGTACATTTTTTGCGTACGCCTCATTTACACCTTGATTTGGCCGCAAGTTTCATAAATGAGGGCCACTGTGTCCATATCATATATTGGTTTAACATTTGAAGTCAATTTATAGAATTAAACACACACAAGTTTCAGGTTTGGATTATCAGTTGTGGTCTCGTTTGGCATTCCATTTACCATACACATAGGTCTCACGAATGTCTGCCATGTCCAACCACTTTCTTGACTCATTAGTAGTTCCAATTGCTGCAATTCCAATTTATTTCAATTACAATCAACATTTATCCTTTAAACAGAAGCATAGTGAAGGTGTATAGAGTGAAAGAACTCTGACATCATCAAGTGCAGCAGAGCATTTCAAGCTCTTGAGAAAGAGATAATATTTCAGATTATTCAGGGCTTTTTGGAATATAAAAGGATCTACAGTGTATGTGTGGATTTGGTGCTATTTTGTTGTCTAACGTTTATAACAAAAATCATGGTTAATCTTCTCAATCCGGGCTCAGATTGCGGTGGTCCATTACAGCGATGACCCTCGAATTGAGTTTCGTCTGAGCGACAACAAGGACCGTAGTTCTTTGCTCCGGGCCCTGCAAGCTCTGCCATACAGAGGAGGCAACACCAAAACAGGTTAGACACAACATATAACTGCAATATTCTCCATCAAATGGAATTATATAAACTAACAAAGAATATTGGAGCTCTGATTTCCACTTTTGAGATGTGTTTATCTGGCCATTGCTTTGACAATGATTATAGATGATCTTTGTTAAAACTCTGTTCGCAGGAAAAGGCATTGGTTACGTCCTGCAGGAGTTGTTCCAGGAGTCTTTAGGGATGAGACAAAACGCTCCCCACGTCCTGGTCCTCATCACTGACGGCAGGGCACAGGATGACGTGTTACCGCCTTCAAGAGTGGCACGGGCTCTAGGTCACATTTCAGCTATAATCATTATGTTACAACTGTTTATTTATTTATTGATTTATTAAAGGGACAGTGCATATTAATATACATTATACATGCTAATATGCCTTTATTAGCCTAAGGGTCGTCCTGAAGGGAATAAAATTACACATAACACAATCAGATAACGTATGACAAAGTAAAATATATACAAACAAACAATATAACACAAATCAAACATGATAGACATGAACACACGACCGTTACAAACTCAAAAGGAAATGAGCTCCAAAAGAAAAAAGGTAACCAATAGCAAATGTGACCTTTTTAAGATTATTTACCTCCACCATGTTTTTAATTGTTGTCATAGGCTTAGAATTTGAATTATAAATGTACATGAGAGCTGAGGACTCTACATGTTTTTTTTTCTTCGGCCAATATGTACACCAGATCTCGGGTCACATGGTTACAGAGATCACTTATACTTTTTACAACAATAAAAAAAGAAATTCAGAACCAAAATGTGTCCATTAAGGACCTTGTGCAAAACAATGCCTGACCGAAAGGGTTTAGGCCAAAGTCGAGACTTATACTGCCTAACCCCTGTTACAATACAAAGATGACAACTTATACAGTTTCTCATATACCAACGACAGTAACATGGAGCCCAAAATTTAAACTTCTACAAATCAAAATTATGCTAAACCTGATCAAAATGTTAAATTACACAATTAGCAGTTCCTCATTTACCAATGATGGTAACATGAAGCACAAAAACTTAAACTTTGACAAATCAAACGTATGTTATACATGATCAAAAATATAGATGACACAATATACAGTTCCTCATATGTCAACAATAGTAACATGTTACACAAAACTTAAAATTCCATAATCAAAAGTTATTCAGCATAATCCAACTCAATTCCTTTGTACTTCTCCATAATGTTTGACTTATACTTTTTTTTATATGTTTTAATAGTTCTAGAGCCCTTAAGTTGAATAGGTAGACTGTTCCATAGATCAACTCCTTTGACTGATACACATCTCCTCTTAGTATTAGTCTTTGCTCTGGGTTTCTGTAGCAGATCACTTCCTCTGAGGCTGTAGCTACATTCTCTAGTATGAAACATCATTTGATCTCAATGCTAGATAAAACTACAGTAAAAACTACACAGTGTACCTTTAAGGCTTAGAAGGTTCTTATGATAAGACAAAAGTGTGAAACTGCTCAAAATGAGTGGGTTCAAGCAAAAAGCCCATGACCTTCCCAACCCCCAAACTCAAGACGATCAACCTTTTCATATTACAGTAAAACAATACAGAACAAGAACACAAAAGCACACACAGGCCTAACTGTAACAACTGTCTTGATTAAGTCAGATCTCCACAAAGCAATAAACAAAAGGTTCTTATGTTTCTACAATTTTTTACATTGTACTAATGCAAAATAGTAGGAACAGAAGGAAAGGTGGGCGTGGTCAGTCTGACAGATCAGATTGATCTGTCAAGACTCACATGTCACTTCTGACGAATGCGGAAATCTACAGCTGAGACACGCAGGTATTTAAGCAGTAGCTTCTTTACACTTTTATCTTATTATAGGAAAAACGTATTTTCTCATGTATATCTTTTACTGATATATTGAAATGCATTTATTTAAAAACTAGAAAAGCACGCAGAACTCAGACCTCTTTTTGCTATTATCTCACAATATATTATGTATTGTGATGTATGAAAATCACAAGCTCTATCAGATACCATGTATTGTGAAATTATTGTATTGAGGTAGCTCTTCAAAATGCATGATGACTTACAGAGGGTGGATGGTATCTGTCACAATTAGCATATTGTCTTATTAAAGTGATAGTCTGTAACTCTAAATTAATTACAAATTTTAGGAAATGTGTTAAAATGACCCCCTGGCTTTAAATGTTGATATAAAATAAGTAATTTTATTAATTCTAATATTACGGGTAAGTCCCGCCTTCCCTGCTCTTAGCTATAGTTCAGAATCCACGATGCCGTCCACGTTAACCAATCGAGTCATGCCAAGGGCTGTCAATCATCAGCGCTGATGCTCGTAGCTGCGCATGCTCAATTGTTTGTTTTCACGGAGCCTCCGAATCAAGCCTCCATTAGGCTCTAGAACTACATGAAAACTGAACAAAGAATTCTGAACATCCGCGCTGAGGTACTTATGTGTATACTGAACCTATATCCATAATCAGATCCTCTGCAGATGTGTCCTATAATGTGCAATTCATGAAAATAGCTTGTTCCGGGTTTGCATAAAAACATTATTTTTTTCATTAAAACGTTAACAGATAATTCTGAAAACCTCCGTGCATGTGTATTAATAATGTATATGTATGATGTGTTCTCTGATTAACATTTCAAAGTGTTACGGAAACGTAGGTGTAGACCAATCAGAAAGGAAGTTGGAGGGAGCTTGCGTCGTTTTTTTCAAATCCAGTGCCTCTCTGTCTCTCTTTCTGACAAACTCCAGACAATCACTTTAATTCATATTTTTGTATTAAACTCACAAACTATTACATCACCTGGACAGTGGCGTGCACCAGAGTAGCACATTGAAACACTGAAATCAGCAAGACCACTGAGTAATAAAATTATTATTGTTAATTTGTCCATGTATCATTGTATCATGATATATTCAGCATAGACACTGATGGAAGCTAGCAGACTCATAAAAGGATGTCTTTTCCCATATCTAATCAAAAACAATCTTCCTAATCTGAAGAGTAGCATAATAACCTCATCATACAATCACCCCCTGTCTATGGGTGAGTAAAAAGGACAGAACAGGTGAAAGTGGCCCTTTCCATTGCATTAAAGACAGTCATTGTATGGTCATTGTGATTGCAGGTGTGAGTGTCCTGGCTGTTGGCGTGGCTAATGCAGACATTGATGAGTTGAATAAAATTGCGGCACCCACAAGCTACAAAAACATCTTCTATTCTCCCTCGTTTGATGACTTCCCATCAATCGAGAGAGACTTCATCAGCAGCATCTGCAGTGATGAGCTGTTGTCTGAATACAAGCCAGAGGCCGAGGTGAAATATTCAACCACATTTTACTGCATGATTTTAGACTCAATGTAAAGTTGTAGTTATTGTAGTTAAGATTCTGCTCTTTATGGTCCATCATTATATTCTTCATAACTACTTTTTCATTGTTTTAAATGTATCTGTTTTTCAGGATGCTCAATTAGACAACCCGACAGGAGACCCAGAGGAGGTGGCCAAGCCTGAGGCCCCATGCCCCACCCACTGTGTGAAGGTCATTTCCAAATGATTTTGAATAAAAAGATGAATCAATGTATTTACACATCCTATATGTTTTTTTTAACACAGGGCCAGAAAGGAAATAAGGTTTGGCACATTGTATGATATTATCAATGAAAGCAAAACAATGGATTGTTCTGTTAACTTGATTCTTTATTCTTCAGGGCGATGGATTTGGACTTGGGGGTCTAGTATGATTTGTTACTGCTCTTTTAAATGTCACTTTTGTCAATGTCTCTACATTACACATTAAAATGATTTTCTCTTTAAATTTAGAAATTTAGGGCAAGTCCTGGAAAGTTTGACCCTTTTACAGCTACAAAAGGAGAACCAGGTGAAAAGGTTGGAACACATTTTTTGTATGTTTAATAAACAGTGTAGCATTGTATTACATTATAGATGGTCTAATATGCGTTTCTCAGGGCCCCCCGGGTACAGATGGTGTCCCTGGGTTACCTGGTCGACCGGGAAGATCTGGGCCCCCAGGATCTGCTGGACTGCGGGTAAAACTCATCCTAGACATAACTGCCTGTGTAAGATGTGCAGATCATGAATGCTTTATTTTACTTTTTTAAGGGGCCTCAAGGTTACCCTGGCGACAGGGTAAGCCTCTTCTTTGTTTTTCATCAATAGTTACTCCGAAATAAAACTATTCTATTCTGTCCTAAATTATAGTGAAATTGTGGCTTTAATTTTTCATTTGTTGCAGGGTCTTCCTGGAGCTCCTGGTTCAAAGGGTCAACGAGGAGAAAGGGTTTGTTTACAGTTTAGTTTCTAGTTCAAACATAATTGTAAAATGTAACATCTGCAGGGAGAGCCTGGATATGTCATCGCCGGCCCTGATGCCAACTACGTCCCTGGGAGAAAAGGAGAGCCCGGATCTTCTGTGTGTATTCATTTTGGATCTTTTTTTCCCCATTGACCCTGAATGGCTGTAGGTCTAATAAACTGTCCCCACAGGGTCCTCAAGGCCCTCCCGGAGTCTCAGGCGTCAATGGATCTCCTGGACTTCCTGGCCCTCCAGGTTTTCCTGGTCAACCAGGGACGTCTGTCAAGGTAAAGCTAAACTGTTTAGCTGCTAACATGTGATAGTTGTACTAGATACTAGATCGTTTAGTTTTTTGTAGCATGTGCAATATATAACTTGAATGTTTATTGTTCTCAGGGAGATCCTGGTGAGGCGGGCAAAAGGGTAAATATCTGTTAGTTTTTGTTTACTTGGGTCAGGGGAGATCAAGAGTTATCCAAATTTTTTGAAAGGTTTCATCTGAAATTTTTTAATCTCATCATCTGAAAGGGGTTACCTGGTAACCCGGGAGTGCCAGGAGTCAAAGGAGAGCCTGGAAGAGATGTAAGTACAAATAAATAATTAAACATGACAATTGCTCAAGTTATTATTCCAAGCAGAATAATTCTGTGTAACCCAGGGTGCCGCTGGTCTCCCTGGTCCAATCGGTCTCGATGGAGTGCCTGGGTTAGCAGGACAGAAAGGCCAAAAGGTACATTACACAATCACATTTAAATATGACTGTTATGAAACAGGTATTTGTCGAAGCTCTTGGCAGATATCTGACCATATATAATGCATTAAAAAAAATGGGAAATGAATCTTAGAGTTGTGAGGAGCCAACTTGGGAAAGACTAAATTTAGTTCAGATTTTTTTTTTTCCTGCAACATTTATTCCGATGCAACATTTTTGTAAGATTATATTTCGCTGCATATGAGGGAAAATTAAAATGGTGTCTTTTTATTGCCACGGTAAGTAACATGAAGTCACAAACTAGGAAATTGCTTTGGCTCTCGAGTCAAACCTAGTGCAGAGTGCAGAAAAAAAATCTTGGTAATATCCTTTCATTTTATTACTACTGTGTACAGGTGCAATAAGTACACAGAATAGACATTTAACAGTTAGGTAACGGTAGCATAAAATGACGGTCATAAAAGGGAGGGAACAGTTTTGATGAGTCCAACTGCATAGGGCAAGAATTGGCGTTCTTATGGCGGGAGGTTCTGTAATCTTGATTTTCCTGAGCTGCCTCAAGAAGTAAATCCTCTGCTGGGCCTTGTTGATGAGGGAGCTGATGGTCGGCCACAGAGGTGATGGGGGAGTCCATCAGCGGGGGCGGGGGGACTTTGCTCTTCCTGAAGTCCACGATCATCTCCACTGTCTTCTGGCCGTTCAGCTCCAGGTTGTTACCACTGCACCAGGACACCAGCCGGTCCACCTCCCTCCTGTAGGCGGACTCATCGTTGTTGGAGATGAGTCCAATGAGGGTGGTGTCGTCCACGAATTGATCAGCTTCAGAGTCATGGCTGGAGGTGCAGTGGTTGTACAAGGAAGAAAATCAGAATCACAATCATAATTCTTTGGCACCCCTGCTGTTTGAAACAAACATAAAGAAAATATCAAATTTATTTTGAAAGGGAGAAGATGGTATTGGCATCCAGGGTATTCAAGGCCAGAGAGGGGAACCAGGACAGAAGGTATGTTACTAATTTTGATCAGTTTCATAACATCATTAATATTTTTCATAATACTTCTTCTGTTTTTTTAGGGAAACATTGGGTTAACTGGACCAGGAGGGCCAAAGGTAATTCATCTTAATACAATTTTGTAAATTTCATGATTTTACAGTATTAATCTTGCTGTGTTTAAGGGTGAGCGAGGAGAGCATGGAATCCAAGGAATAGTTGGACCACGGGTGTGTATTTCCCTTCAACAATATTATGCTAGTATATAAATGTACATTCAAATCTAATCGTTATTTTGGTTGGATTGGGATACTTTGCAGGGAAAGAAAGGAGTTGAAGGGAATAAAGGTGACAAGGTAAGGTAACAAGTAATTACAATTGTACAAGGTTGTTTATTATTCACCTCAATGTTGTATTCATTATTTTAAACAAATATTTGTTTCACTTGTAAAGGGAGACAAAGGAGAAATTGGGCCGACAGGACCACAGGGACCAACAGTGAGCTCTTTTATTCTGACTATCCCTCCGTTTTCATTTGCTGTTGACATCTGTGGTTGTGTTTGTAAAGAAGGGAGTGACTTTGACTTGTCCCTTCTTGAACACTGGGTTTAGTACAGGACAGGTAATCTAAATATTAAAGTTGGTGTTAAAGGCATGTGACAGTAATATTAATCATCTAAACATAAACACTCAACTTTGATGTGTCACTTGAGTGGCTAACCTTATGGGCTCTCTTCTGACCCGTAGTGGATAAAAGCAATTTCTTTGGCTGACTCATTTGGATTTGCATGTTGTTGCTTGTAGTGGTTCTTTAGGTCCTTCGGCTCCTTTCACCTATGACAATCTGGCAGCTCTCATTTTTCCCCTCCCCTGTTTGAACATCACACTTAGCGATGGGTGATTCAAACACTGTGATTTCTTATTGTAATGAATGAGTAGACCTGTTGGGAGGAGGAAACTCTTATTATGTTGAGAACATACTAAACATACTGTATGGACAGGGAATCCACAAGTGCTTGTTAGCTTACTGTCATGTTCAAACTGTACTAGGCTGTGATGGTTGTGAAACGTTGTTATAAAATAATTAACATGATGTGAGGTATGTGTGAGATAATTAATTGCACACTCACTTAATAATTAATACAAATTACACGGGGGATTTTGTGAAAAAACTCTTTGTGTTGTTTTCCAATCGGGTGTTATAGTTGAGAACTATACAGGACACAATGGCCCTCATTTATGAAACTTGTGGAGAAAAGGGTGTACATTTTTGGTGCAGATTCCAAATACGCAAAATTCATCGCAGATTTTATGAATGTGTGAGGTCCGCACACATACGGTGCCTTGCGAAAGTATTCGGCCCCCTTGAACCTTTCAACATTTCGCCATATTTCAGGCTTCAAACATAAAGATATATAAAAAAAAAAAAAATTTTCATGAATCAACAACAAGTGGGACACAATCGTGAAGTGGAATGAAATTTGTTGGATAATTTAAACTTTTTTAACAAATAAAAAACTGAAAAGTGGGGCGTGCAATATTATTCGGCCCCTTTACTTTCAGTGCACCAAACTCACTCCAGAAGTTCAGTGAGGATCTTTGAATGATCCAATGTTGTCCTAAATGACTGATGATAATAAATAGAATGCACCTGTGTGTAATCAAGTCTCCGTATAAATGCACCTGCTCTTTGATAGTCTCAGGGTTCTGTTTAAAGCGCAGAGAGAACCATGAAGACAAAGGAACACACCAGGCAGGTCCGAGATACTGTTGTGGAGAAGTTTAAAGCCGGATTTGGATACAAAAAGATTTCCCAAGCTTTAAACATCTCAAGGAGCACTGTGCAAGCAATTATATTGAAATGGAAGGAGTATCAGACCACTGCAAATCTACCAAGACCCGGCCGTCCCTCCAAACTTTCATCTCAAACAAGGAGAAGACTGATCAGAGATGCAGCCAAGAGGCCCATGATCACTCTGGATGAACTGCAGATAACTACAGCTGAGGTGGGGATGGTGTGTTCAGGGTGATGAGCTGTGTTGCTTTTACGCCAAACATATCGTTTTGCATTATGGCCAAAAAGTTTGATTTTGGTTTCATCTGACCAGAGCACCTTCTTCCAAATGTTTGGTGTGTCTCCCAGGTGGCTTGTGGCAAACTTTAAGAGACTTTTATTGGATATCTTTGAGAAATGGCCACTCTTCCATAAAGGCCAGATTTGTGCAGTGCACGACTGATTGTTGTCCTATGGACAGACTCTCCCACCTCAGCTGTAGTTATCTGCAGTTCATCCAGAGCGATCATGGGCCTCTTGTCTGCATCTCTGATCAGTCTTCTCCTTGTTTGAGATGAAAGTTTGGAGGGACGGCCGGGTCTTGGTAGATTTGCAGTGGTCTGATACTCCTTCCATTTCAATATAATTGCTTGCACAGTGCTCCTTGAGATGTTTAAAGCTTGGGAAATCTTTTTGTATCCAAATCCGGCTTTAAACTTCTCCACAACAGTATCTCGGACCTGCCTGGTGTGTTCCTTTGTCTTCATGGTTCTCTCTGCGCTTTAAACAGAACCCTGAGACTATCAAAGAGCAGGTGCATTTATACGGAGACTTGATTACACACAGGTGCATTCTATTTATCATCATCAGTCATTTAGGACAACATTGGATCATTCAAAGATCCTCTCTGAACTTCTGGAGTGAGTTTGCTGCACTGAAAGTAAAGGGGCCGAATAATATTGCACGCCCCACTTTTCAGTTTTTTATTTTTTTTTTAAAGTTTAAATTATCCAATAAATTTTGTTCCACTTCACGATTGTGTCCCACTTGTTGTTGATTCATGACAAAAAATTAAAAATGTTTATCTTTATGTTTGAAGACTGAAATGTGGCAAAATGTTGAAAGGTTCAAGGGGGCCGAATACTTTCGCAAGGCAATAATATTGCTCGGAAGCCTCAAAAGTGGCATAAAGGGGGCTCAATAAAATAAAATATGGAAGGCTATTATAGGCTCCGTAAACAGCATGGGGCCTGTGCCACGCACTCCTGAGGAGGTGAGTTCATTCATGTTTGCTAAAGAAATACACCATGTCAAACAGTTGACAACAATTATTGGACCAATAGTTAGCATTTATTATTCATGCCTAAAGGGGGGAAAAAAATGGAGAAAAATAATCACAAAAAGGCGTTTAGCAGCCCAAAAGCGAAGTGCTCAGCAGACAGGGGGAGGACCGCCGGACCGAAGCCTCTTGTCTGCAACCAGTGGGGGCGGGTCCCAGAGAGATAGGCGTGACTCTGTCCGTTAATATACAGTCTATGTCTGCAACTGAGGAGCAGGTTGGTGCGCTCATCGGTGGGGCCTCAATTGTCGGTGTCTTGGGGGATGAAAGGGACACCGACCTGATGCGTGCAGTCCACTGCCCCAATGATGTTGGGGAGGCCAGCAATCTCATAAAAGTCCCTCTAAATCATTGCTTGCTGGTCATTGTCATATGGGAATCTTATATAATTTGCAGCTTGAGCATCTTCTAGGAGCGCTAGATCTGCCATTGTCGAGGCTGATTTGGTGAACTCATGCCTCAATTTATAGCCGTGGTGGACATGCATGAACCAATTGCCGTTGCGCACTGATTAGGTGATCAAATTAGGTGCTACACATTTCCACACATTTTTGGGAGACTCTTGAGTTTGACATCTTGCACGTTATTCAATGACACAAACTATTGGCATACTGTAGCCCAAACACAATTTTGTCAAATTATATATATGAAATGTGAGACGTGTGCCTTTAATCTTGTCAGATTGGGAATATGTTTATTGTTGTCCAAAACTTGAATTACATGTAAATTTTTTGCGTACGCCTCATTTACACCCTGATTTGGCCGTACGCAAGTTTCATAAATGAGGCCCAATATGTGCCATGTCTTGTGTAATGTGTTCTGGACTAAAACTGTAATATATTTTATTTTATATGAAATAAAGTATGATATAATGTATATAAATGTAAATCTAATCATCTAATATCTACTGTATATATGTGTCATTTTCTAGGGAGTGACCGGTTCAAAAGGTTTAAAGGGAGATGATGGCCAGAGAGGAGTCCCTGGGGATCCAGCCAAGGGTGTAAGACGTGTTCTCTTTACACATTTGAAAGATACAAACATACTTCATCCATCCACGGCCTTTTCTTGTCTCATAACAGATAATTGGCCCAACTGGGAAAAAAGGTGCAAGGGTGAGTCTCAATGTATGTTTTGTCTTTAAGCTTCGTGTGGGATGTATTTAGGTCGGGTCGACTGCATTTTGTTTGTCACTTTGACTTTATTCAATTGTGGCTTTGCACAAATCCAGTAGACCTGTTTAATCACCAGTGGACCTTTGGAGCCTTGAAAAATACAGATTTTTTGCAAACTGGGTTGCTAAATAATATTTATTCTCTTCAGGGAGACATTGGTCCAGTAGGTCCTGTGGGTCCTCAGGGAATAAAGGGTGAACAGGGAGACAAGGGAACAAAGGTACTGTATGGAACACGCATTATTGCGTTGCTTTTTCTTCTCTTATTGATATATTTGTTTTATACAGGGCAGTCCTGGTTTTGGGATCCCTGGTCAACGTGGACCAAAGGGAGAGAATGGAGAGAGGGTGTGTAAGAGAGTGACACAGTAAATAAAAAAGTATGATTTGTGTTAACATTTTTTCTTCATGTTTTGCATATTGTCTTCAGGGAAATGTTGGATTATCAGGCAAACCTGGCCCAAAAGTGAGTCACTTTAGCATTTGTCAAAATACTGTACTACCATCAAGTACAACAACTCATTCTCGGATTTTTACGTTCAGCTTTCATTATAAATTCAATTACCTCGAGAAGAGGTACTGTAAAGTTGTTACAAGAATAGTGTGGTTATTGGAGAAGAAACTACTGTCATCAAAACACAATGTATTGAGTTAGTTTGAGTCTCAGGCAGACTCACTGCTGCCTGAGACTGTTTTAAAGGACAATAAAGGGCTAATGACAGGTCTTCACAAAGGCTCTGACTTTTTCAGGGGCAAGATGGCTCCCAAGGTGACAAAGGGAAAATCGGTATGCCTGGAAGTCCTGGAGAGCCAGGATTAAGAGGTAAAGATGTAAGTAAATCCTGAAAGTTGTTGCAAACAAAACAAGCAAGAAAAGTTTAGATGGCTACCTCTGGAGGATACAACTTGCTTTTAATGAAAAAAATCTAATAACTATTTGTACTGCCAAGAAAAATCAATCGTGTTGTTCACATGTCAAGTTGATTTTAAAAATATGCTTTTACCTGGCAGCCTTTATACTGTTGAAAAAAAAAAAAACACAATTTTTTGCCAAACCAAGATAATGGAAAATATTGTTTTACACTTCTCGAGGATAATTATTTTCTGTCAATCCCTCAATTTTAAGGGTGTCTCCGGTGTGAAAGGAGATCAAGGAATCAAGGTAAACATTTTAAACAAATTTGCAGTGAAAGATAATGGACTTTTCTTGTGAGTAATACATTGTTTCATGGACAGGGAGATATAGGACCACCTGGAGAACCTGGAGACAGAGGCATAAGGGTAAGCACTCCTATGTGAACAGGAAATACAATATTCCTAATTATTCTTGATGCAGGTGAGATCTCATGTGTTCACTTGTGCCCTTCTGATCAGGGCCCATTGGGTCTACCAGGACGACCAGGAGACCAAGGCGAGAAAGGAGACCCAGGGGCTGGTCTGCCCGTAAGTTTTGCTTAATGAGTCATAGTGGGGGCTTTGACGCGCCATGTGTTCAGTGTCTGGCTTTCGTCATCACTGTGTGTGTGTGTGTATAGAAAAATATCTGATATCTGAACATTGTAAAGCGCTTTAGGTGAAGTTGGTATGTGAAATGAACTATAGAGAAATATTTCTTACTTACTTACTATTGGTCCCTGTGTTGTTCCGCCATATATAGATATTTTGGCTAATAAAAAAGGGAATATATATATATATATATATATATATATATACTGTATATATCATTTCTACACACACAAATTCAAGTAAAAGTAAAGCATAACTATATACATTAATAATACTATACTATGCATATTGTGTATTTTTGGATGGTCCATGATTATTGCATGAATCGCTTAGAAAAGCATAAGATTGTCTCTATATCTCTGTAACCTGCAGTGGTCCTGTTTTTATGTTGCAGGGGACGAATGGGGCCAAGGGACAAAAAGGCTCGCCCGTATGTTTGTTGTTCATTGTTACTTTGGTTGTGGTTGAATAGTTCTTTCATTAATGTTTATCTGCTATTTCACATTCTGTTATACTCGCGTGACTGGGTGATGTCAGCACTGATATTTTCATTCACTCACTTTGTGCTGGTTATCCTTCAGTGGCCCTTCACAGTACGCATACTCATTGTCTTCACACTGACACATTCATGAGCATGATAAATGCTTCTATTTTCTTTGTTTTCTGTCTCATTTACACGGCTGTAACGTCCAAAGGGAAAACCTGGACCTCCTGGAAACCAAGTAAGAAAAGATCTTGACTAATTATATGAATGATATGAATTGGTTTACATCAACGCGGACATAAATAGATAAAAACTTACACCATTAACTTACTCAAAGTTTGATTTTGACTCAAAAGCATACTCACAAATCTACTGCTGCCTACAACCATTATTGATATCTTATAGTAACGAATCATGTGAAATCATGATTAGTGTGTGATATAATTTTTCACGCATAATAATAATAATTAATAACGCACGTGTCCCACATAGAGCATAGAAAGTGGTGCTAACGTCACCTATTGCCTTTATCCACATCTTGGAAGAAGCCGATTAAAGCCAACTCAAACAGACTCCTTGAGCGGGAATCTGAAGCCGACCTCCAGGATGGCAACAACCCAGTATTCAATCAGGAGCGAGGCTAGTCCAGGGATAGAAGGCACAGGATCAGTCAGTTATAAAGGGTTATATCTCGATTTAAAAAGACATAATTAATATTTACAAAATGGCGAGACTGACACAAGCTTTTATTGAACAGCGGAAAAACTGTCCATTTTATATATTCTATAAACTCATTGACTGCCAGCCATTTTTGATGACTTCACTGATTTTCAAGACTCACAGAATATTGTGTACTATGACTATGAAAAATATGAGTCTGAAAGACTGGACTGTCAGTCACTTTCAGCAGCAAAAATAAGTTTGTTTTTAGCATGTTTTGTTTTCCTGTGATCTCCAGTTGAAAAGAGGGGAGTGTGACAAAAAGCACCAGTATTAGAAAAAAAGCTGAGAAAATGAGTTGTTTGTGAAAACAGACGAACCTGCGGAAAAGTGACTGCAACACTATTTAGTTTAACTTTAGCCTCTCCTCAAGCATGTCCAGGATCTTACATGTTAGAAAACAGCAACAACAAGTCATGAGAAAGTGTTTTTGATGCAAAATAATGTTTTATGGCACACACACCCACATCCACAAAGTATTGCTTCAATATATCAAAAAGCAGTCATCCAAAAAACGCCAACATTTACATATTGAAAGTAGAGGCCATGAAAATCTATGCCAGAAAGAATGGCCAGTATTCATCCATTGGGGGGCGCTATATTTATGTCAATAACAGTAAATCTGAGATAAGCAAGATTACAATGATAAACACTGCTGCTGGTCTGCTGTCCTGACCCTCCACATGGTCTGCTGCCCTGACCCTCCACATGGTCTGTGTCAGCTCTGGAGACACATTTACTGCTAAAACTGCCTCCAAATGTAGCCTGACCCTGACTTTATTACTCCATCTCTGCTTCACCTCTGTCTCTCCTGCTCAGAGTGCTCAGACAGTGATCTTTGACCAAGACGGAGAGTTCTGCTGCCACCTGCTGGCTTGATAAAATACTGTCTACAGCCAAACCCCAGACATATATGATACAGGGGACACAGACAGACAGGAAAAGATTGAAAAACAATGTTGTCGTCAATTGACGTTGTATGACCAACGTCAGATGTCAGAACAGTAATAATTTGATAAACATCACTAACATTGTAACTAACTTCTTTGTTTGGATTTTAGATTGTTGGTGATAACAATGTTTTGACCAGAGCCATTAAGGTACTTTTAATTTCAAACAAAAGCTTTAAAAATAATGGCTAAACTTTGTTTTATCTGCTTTTCTCTTTCTCAGGGTGAACCAGGCGAGCCTGGAGAGCCGGGTCTTAGGGGAGAGACTGGGCTTCCGGGACCTCGCGTGAGTAGAGGTCCCTTTGACCCTATTTTTACTGCAACCCCTAGGTCTTTGTTCCCTCCTCTGCGCCCCCTGGTCCCACTTTTTCATTGTCACTATTTGACTTCAAGTTCAGACTAATATTGTTTTCTATAAAATACTGCTTTAAGTTTGGCTTATTTTTGTTGTTAAAAAACAAAAATAATTCAGATCATGAATCTGACTTTTGCTCATTGGTAAAAGCAGCATTGTCTCATTGAATTGCTAGATTTCAACCCATTTCTCACACTGAGAATTTATACAAATAAATTGTCTTTCTCATAATCTTTCCTGATGTTCTGTGTGGGCTTTACTTTAGTTTGCAGATCAATAGAATCTAAGACAATTGTGTTTTTACAGGGTCCTGAAGGCAAACCTGGCCTGCCTGGTTCCTCACAGGTACACTGCCACAGCATGAACTCAGGGAGAAAGATATCAGTAAGAGTCTGAATATGGAATTGTTTTTGCAGGAGGGAGCTGGACTCATTGGATTACCAGGCAAACCAGGACCAAAGGTTTTGATTTTGCTGAACATCGCACATACATAGTTTTTTCATATACCTGCCATTAAATATTACTGCCTTTTATAGGGGGAATCAGGATCAAAAGGCGAGTCTGGAGCTGTAAGTTGGACTTGACCACAAAGAATGCTTTTTCATATAATCTGTCATCAGATCAAATAATGACAGACATGCTGAATTGAAGAAAGTTCCATACTGAAACGACCACACCTTTATCCACGGGGTACATAGGAGGGCTACAGGCTGACACTTCAGAACTATTACTGGGCTTTTGTAAGGCGGCTTCTGTTTGGTTTGATAGTCCAGTCGACGTGCCTTGCCAATCTTTAGACGGCTGGCTGAGGTATCATTTGCAACCATAGTCATGCAAAACATTTGTGGACTGTGGGGGTCTTGGACCTGGTGGAGGTTTGAAGCCTCAGCGTCATATTTCCTCTGGGTCCTGTGATGTCCCCCGGTCAACACGGCTCCATGGATAGCGCTTCCTTGGCTAGCGTTACCAGCACTCAGTCTAATGCCCTTTAAGTCTGTGCGAGTGTGTTTGTGTGTCTGTGAACAGATGCTATTACACAACAAACTAAAAAAACCACACCTGCTCAAAGCGAGTGGAGATCTGGAATGATTTACCAGAGGCATTGAAATCATGCTCCAATATGATTAAGTTTAAGAAACATTTCAAAAAAGAAATACGCAGAAGAAGGAGCATGATTCCCTGAGCAGTAGCTGAGCATTGAGCAAGTGGTGTGTGGTCGGTGAACGTTTGAGGCCAGTGTCTGAGTGAGTGACTGAGTCTTGTCCTGTCATGTGTTGTCCCAGTGTTGTATTGCTACAGTATTGTATTATTATATGCCCTTCTTTACTTTACTTTACTGGTGGGGGTAGTCTAACAGGATATAGATTTGTTTGTGTTTTGTTTTGTTTTTTGTGTGATTTTTTTTTTTTTTGCGTTGTGTTGTGGCAATTGTGTGAGAGGTGGTTGGATATAAATAAGCTTTTGCTTCTGCCAACCCCCTTTTCAAACTATTCATATGCTTTACAAGAGAAAGTGTTAATGTCTGTGCAAGTTTGAAATAAATATATTGATTGATGCATGAATGAGACTGCTCTATGTGGATTGTCTGGTCCGTGTCTGTGGATCTGTGGGGAGAGCGAGTAGATGGATCAATGTTTTTAATAACATGAAAAGCACTATGTTTTATCATTGCATGACAAGCACTACACAACTAAAGATTGACTGTCTATTTGGAGCCCTCCATAACGAAAATTGCTGCTTCATGTTCATCAACATGTGGACCAAAACAATTGATAAAATCCAGTTAACTTTTGTGATTATTCTTATTCTTATTCTATCCATTATAAATATGGATTTGGTTTCTTTGTCCTAGACCTGTGTATTTCTGTATGATCTTGTGTTTTTATGTTTTTGAAGTCCCATCTTGCATTGTTATGGGTGTTTTCTTTGTACACATGATACACGGAATTAATCTATATATTTATACATAATTAGGTACTAAACTTTTTATTTCTTGTGTGATGTGTGAGCAGAAAGGGGACAGAGGAGAACACGGAAAAGTGGGGATCGCTGGAATACCCGGTTTACCAGGCACCCCTGTGAGTAACATATGCTCATTTTGCCTGTGGATTATAGCAAAACAAGAGTATTTGTGATAGAAGTTGAATCACACAGAGTATAGTTGATATTGTCCAAAATATGAAATAGCCAGATTGTTTAATATGTGTCTCTCTACAGGGGCGACCAGGCATTGATGGAAAAAGAGGACTGCCCGGGAGCGATGTAAGGGCCATTTGGTTTTACAACTAAAGCCATTTGTTTATGGCCATCTGATTTCATTATTACACTGAGAACCACCCATGTTTTTCAGGGAGACAGAGGACAGAAAGGAGAAGAAGGCAAAAAAGTATTGTTGAAATATCTAACATTACACTAAATGTATAAACATTGTATTTGTTGATTTTTTTTTTTCATCTTTTATTATTGTTTTAGGGAGAAAAGGGTGATTCCGGATCCCATGTTAGTGGCAATTTAAGATTTTGCAAATGTTTGGAATATTGGCGCCAATTTTAATGCACTGTTTGATTACTATAGGGTCGAGATGGGAGCAAAGGCGAACCAGGAGCTCCGGGTTTACCTGGAAAACAAGTGCTGGTGACTGCGGACGTAAGAAGAATTGTCTATAAAACCTGTTGAGTTTAGTTTTCTGCTTTCCAATTGTCCTAATCCTGGATGTGAATTGGTGGTACAATAGTGTATGTTAACAAATAATAAGAAAACGGAGCAAGCAGGACTCTATTCTGCATTTCTGCTCTAAATCCGGTCTGACCAACCACCATGCAGATCTCATTGAGTAGAGGGGATTTTCTAAGGCGTATCGTAACTTTGACTTGAGTTCTAAACATAAACTTTAGAACTCCAATTGTAAATAAGAGTACTATAAGAAAAAATCTAGCATTCATTCACGCAGAATTGTATCACTTAAAATTTGATTTCTGGACAGGCTCAACTGCATGAGTGCATAAGTATTTCATTTTCCAATCCAATTAAATATGAAGTAAACTAAAACAAAACCATCAATGAAACTTGTGCGGCAAGGAACTTCATCACATTGATAACAACAGGTGAGTCGCCTATGTAGCTCAGTAGTATCCAGTTAACAAGGTTACATGTCAGTGTAAACAAAATGTGCAAAATTGTTTGATCTGGATACGCCAAATGGACTGGATATGAGATCACAGGGGCTCAATGGAACTGTATCAGAGTAGGGGAGGGAAGTGCTTTGTAAGTTTATCACTGACTCACACATGAAAGCTTCCCCACTCCATTACGTACTAATGCACCATATCAAAAATCTTAAAGGACTATAGCTAGAGCTACTTTGTTCAAATATGTATCCCAAAACCTCTACTATGCTGTTCCCACGTTCTGTTCATATTTTGATATTGACCAGATGCATCAACGTCATCCAGTCACGTGATTGTGAATGAGCTTACGGCGGAAGTATTGGAAACTAGCATTGCTGCGAGAGCAAAACGGACACAACTCCTAAAAACGGAGCTTCCTCTCTTAAATCGAGAAGTGGCTGCTTCAAGCACATGTTGGATTACGTTATAGGTGGAAGTAGGACATCAGGTCAGGGCTCACAAAGAGTGGTATTTGGAGAAGTTAAGGATCGCCTAACTGGATGTTGACCCGTACCTTCTCCCCCCAGTCAATTTTATCGATTAAATAAAATTTCTATTTTTGCCCAAATTCACCCTACATGATCTTAATCATTATCGTTAACAATGCATCCCCTCACACTGGAGCAGATTTAAATGTACATTTTGCTGGTAGCATTAGCAATAGTCCACTTTTCTGTGGCTTTTCTGTCTACAGCCAAACATGATACGTACTGACGGAGAGGAAAATAGTGAAACACGCAATTGACTTAAAAGATAAAAATGTCAATGTTGCAGCGCACATACAGGACAGTAGTAAGAGACACGTTTGACGTGTGTCATTGTCCTCCAAATTAATGGAAATAAAATAAATACAAACTTGTGATTGCTTTATCTTGTAAAAAGTGTTCACTGCATATTAGGGAGTACTTGGATGGGTCCCAGTCCTTTTGGTTGATTGCCGCTGGCCATCGTCGTCTTCTGTCTTCATGACGAGCAGGTATCAGATAAAAAAGCTTATGTCCTTGCCTGTTAGTATTATCAACCGCACTGCAAAATGTCACAGTTTTGGCTGTAATGCGCTGAAACAGGTTGTTTTGGTCAGGTGTCCGTAGGCTCGCAGTTAGACTTCTGCCGTCTGTCATGGAGAGTGGGCGTGGCCGGGACGTCACATGCAAGGGGTCAATACCTTAATTTATTGCAGCAATTGTAATTTAGTTTCTGTTTTCCAGGGTGCTGGAGTAGACGACTTACGGCAAGCCTTTCCAATACCAATGGGTCCTCCTGGTGCAACAGTGAGAGCCAATTTTATATTTTGAAATGGTTGCGGCTAGGGATGCAATGATACACTACAAGACCCTGCGTAGGTTTCCTCAGGGTGCTCCGGTTTCCCCTACCACTAAAAACATGCACAATAGGTACAGTATGAATGTAATGAGTGAATGGATGGTGTGGATTGGGGGTGTTCGGCGACTCTCTTCCGTCATCACCGAGTGTGGAGTGATTGCAACAATATCTGAACTTTGAACATTATAAAGCGCTTTGGGTGACCTTGATCTGCAAAATGCGCTACATAAATAAACATTACATTACGATACGCATTACAATAAGAAGATTGCAATTTAAATTAAACATGCTGGAGGTATTATCCCAATATTTTGCATTTTAATTTTACCAACAAACAATAACTCAAAGCAGAATCAAAGTATTTTCACTGCAGTCTGAACTATTATTTTATCCGCAGTCCACACTACAGAATCATTTACTCTCAAACTCACAGAAAACGTTTGTACCGTTGTGTGTGAGCTGCTATTCTATGATAAATGCCATATCACTTTAGAGCAGGTATTTTAAAACAGCTTAAAGAGGCCAGCTTCAGCAGGAGAAGTTAAAGACACTAGAATCAAACAGATCAATCAAACAAAATTATGTTTGACTGTTTAACTGGATTTGCGGCAATTCCAGTCCAAGCCTTTTTGCAGAGTGTTTAATCTATCAGCTGTCCATCTATTCAAATCGTATTAAACATACTTGAATTTCAAATTGGAAAAGGCCGTATCTAATTGGATGATTTGATGTGATATTGAGAATCCTTGCGTCCCTATTTGTGGCAATTATTTGAAACATGATGCTTTGTTTTGGTTCCAGGGTTCTCCAGGAATGAAGGTAAGCTTTTCAAAGCATAATTGTTTTTACATGTGCAGAAGTATTAGAATGTTGTTAATACATTTTACTATTCATTTAACCCAAAGAATGTGTTCACTTCTACTGTTTTTGTATATTAGTATTGCTTCTTTGTATTTGAGCAACTAAAATAGAGGGCTAGTTTCAAAATCAAAAAGTACTGTTAATGTTATTATTATAGTGCATATTATGAGAAAGATGTTTATTTATTGTCCTAGGGTGAAATGGGAGGAATGGGCATCAAAGGAGAGAAGGTGTGTGCTCTTTCTTTCCTTTTTGTGTGAAAAATGTCTCAAATATAATGACTCATTACTATAATGCACTGATTTGCTGTGTTACCAAATGTGTTACAGGGGGAAGCTGGAAAAAGTCTTGAAATGAAGGTGAGTAAACCCATTTCATTTACTCTGTCCTGTGTGTTTTCAGACCAGAATCCAGACCCAGATGGGTCTCCTAATAACAAAACAAGCCTTTCCAATTCCATCTTATTTTTGGTGTGCCCAAGGAAGGAAAGCTAAAACATCTCCAAGGAGTATAACAATAGCCTCTGACAGCTGCAATTAGATCATATTAATGCAACTCTTTAATGTGAGTCAGTGCATTAGACAACGTCAGCGATATAGTCACAAAGAAATTAGTAGTTGGCCAGATCATACTTTTAAGACCATTATTTTAAGAGTAAGAGTAATTACTTGGGGATTCATAACTAGTGAATTTGGGTTTTCAAACCACAGCGCGTCCAAAATGTGCTTTAGATGAATTCACAAATATATAAAATAAAGAATCTATCTATCTATATATATGAATATGTCCTAAGATAGGTGGAAGTGTGAGATTGACAGCATGTCCTGTGATGCGGCCGCATGTTGTAGTGAAGAGGCAGCTGAGTTAAAAAGCAAAGCTCTCAATTTACAGGTAAATCTAGGCTCTTACCCTCACCTATGGTCATAAGCTTTGGGTGGTGACAGAAAGCATAGCGGATATGAGATCACTGGGGAGGAACTCGGGGGAGAGTCGCTTCTTCACCACATCAACATGATCCCGGGCAAGAGCCAGGACACGCTGGAGGGACTATGTCTCTAAGCTAGCCTGGAAACACCTCAGGATTCCCCCAGATGAGCTGGACGAAATGTGTTTGGATAGAAAAGTCTGAAGTTGGATAGATGAAGGCAAAAAGAGAATATTTTGTAAACCTTTACTCTGTGAAGAATGGATGTTTTGTAAAGCACTAATAAAGGTTCATCTTATCTTATCTTAGTTACCTTGTCTAAGGACCACGCTATACAAATAAGCTTGCCTTGTTATACTAAAAACCCAAACCCACATAGAATTTCAGGAACATTATTCATCACACAATTTAAATAGTTATTCTAACTATTTTAATTTATCAGGACATTGAGGAGATGTTTGACACCTATGGGATCCGGGTAAGTAATGTTTGAGAGATAAATTACTTCTTTCAAACATCAACATTTCCAACTTTTTTGTAATATTTGTTTTCTCAGCTTCCGTTACTGAAAGCTTTGATTGAGAGGCTTCTTCAGGACGGCATAGAAGAGCTGCTGCAAGTTCTCGGCAATGCAAAGAAAAACAGGGGAAAAGCAGACAGCCACACATCCAACATCATCACTGAGTACACCGTAGGTTTTCTATTGAAATGGTTTTACTTTGGCTAGAATGATCCAAAGCATCATTGATTTTGTCTCTATTCACCAGCAGGCCTTAATTATGCACAAAAACAAGTCACTTTGTCTGGAGCCGAATCCCTCACTGTACAATGCATTGACATCTACAAACTATTCGATTGCTGAAGTTGCCTCAACTTCTTCCTATCAGATATCTAAGGGATAATGTATATTACGCAGGTCATTATCGGAAAATAAGTACCAGGGGAAGGTCTGCTTCTGCCCTGAAGGTACTTATTTTTTATATATATTTGTACAGTACAGACCAAAAGTTTGGACACACCTTCTCATTCAAAGAGTTTTTTATTTCCATGATTGTGAAAATTGTAGATTCACACTGAAGGCATCAAAACTATGAATTCACTCATGTTAAATTATGTACATACAAAAAAAAAATGAAACAACTGATCATATGTCGGGGCGACAGTAGCTCAGTTGGTAGAGCATTGGCCTTAAGGCCAGAAGGTCGTGGGTTCAATTCCCACCTCTGCACCTTCTCCACCGACTCCCACTGATGACTGCTGTCGTTGTGTCCTTGGGCAAGACACTTAACCCCACTTTGCCCAAAAGCCCCCACTGAAAGATCAAGGCTATGCTCACACTCAGAGAGCAGCCGTCCTCCTGTGGACTCACCACCTGCAGAGGATCAGTGAGGGGCTGGTGCTATGAGACTTGGGTGGCATCTCTGATTGTCACCCCCCTGACCCAGAAATCAATCAATCAATCAATCAACGTTTATTTATAGAGCGCCTATTTATTTATAGAGGCAACGCAAAGCGCCTCACAACCCATATAACATCATGCATAAATCATCAAACATTAGAATTTAAGTAAACATAAAAAGACAGATTAAGAGCACAAGATATATAAAATCACACAAGTAGTTAAAAACCGTAAAACATTAAAATCACACAAGGGATTACAATCATAAATAATCATAAATAATCATAGCGCATTAAAAAGATTAAAGATAAAAACAAATATAAAATCATTCACTTGTATGCACAGCTAAAAAGAACTGTTTTCAGTTCAGTTTTAAAAACTGCTAGAGTAGACGCCTGTCTCACACTCTCGGGAAGACGGTTCCAGACTCTAGCTGCATGAATCTGAAACGCAGCCTCCCCATGTCTAGTTCCGACTCTTGGCACTAACAGAAGTCCAGTCCCTGTGCTCCTCAGAGCCCGAGTTGGTTCATATGGCACCAACATGTCGCGGATGTACCCGGTGCGAGGCCATGGAGAGACTTGTACACAAGTAAAGCTACTTTAAAATCTATTCTCTGAGCCACAGGAAGCCAGTGCAGAGACCTGAGGACCGGACTAATGTGGTCGTACTTCCTGGTTCTAGTCAGGACTCGAGCTGCAGCATTTTGGATGTACTGCAGCTGTTTTACCGCTTGTTTAGAGAGACCTGTGAACAAGCCATTGCAGTAGTCCAATCGACTGGAGACAAATGCGTGGATAAGAATCTCCAAGTCTGCTTTAGACACAATGTTCCTAATTTTAGCAATGTTTCTTAGGTGGAAGTAAGCTGATGATGTCACAGATGATATGTGGCTATTGAAGTTTAAGTCTGAGTCCATTTGGATTAAAGGGTAGAAAATGGATGGATGGATGGATGATCATATGTCTTATATTCTAGGTTCTTCAAAGTAGCACCTTTTACTCTGATTACTGCTTCACACACTCTTGGTCTGAGTCTGAGTTCCCACAGATGCTTAGCACTTGTTGGCCCTTTCCCTTTCACTCTGTGGTCCAGCCCCAAAACCATGTGGATTGGGTTCAAGTCCAAAACCATCTGGATTGGGTTCAGGTCCGGTGACTGTGGAGGTCATCTGGCCGAGCACCCCAACACTCTCCTTATTGGTCAAACAGCCCTTACACAGCCTGGGTGTGAATCTACAGTCAATAGTCATGAAAAGAAAGGAAACTAAAAGTGTGTCCAAACTTTTGGTCTGTACTGTATGTATATATACTTTTTTTTTTTAAAGAATTCCAATCCTTACATAACTGATCTAATGTTGTTAAGGAAACAAGAATGCCCAATTTAAAAACAAGTTTGTTGTTCAGCATACCTCCATATTGTAAAAAAACAACCTTTCTAGGGCAATAACAATGTTTTGGGAGATTGTGTTTGAAGGATAACGCTGAAAATCCTTATAAAATGTTGTTTGTTGAATGGGCTAAAATCCTGTAATACAGTTGAATGCTCTCATATTCAGGTGTTGCCCAACGCAAATGTGACAACTGAGGTACTTTGTTGATTCGTAGTTTTGGTTTTGTATATGTAGCCCTGTAATTTAAGAGATATTGACATTGAACAAAGGCATCACACCTGCAGCATTTACACAGACTTATAGAAGAATTGCTTTTGTTCATGGTCTGTTCAGTGCTTTGATGTCACATGGACTTGACCCTTTCATGCTTTCTGTCAGGTGCATTTTTCAAAGCATTTTGACTATTCAAAGTGGTTTGAATTGTTTGCTATTCGTTATTCCATAAGTACTAATGTTCTTCAAAGTAGGGTTGTAACCGTCATTATTTTTCATATATCCAAAATTATATAGACTGATTATTTAGACAATATTTCTGACTAAACTTTATCAATTGCCACACAACATGGCAATTTTTAGAATATTTTGTTTCTTTATTTGAATCCTAAGTAGAATAGATAAGGACTGGTCAATTACTTAAATGGTCAATAATTATATATCGTGAAGTAGTTGTGAGTTTTTGATTAATCTATTTATCATATCAATCAAAAAAGAGCCTGCCTTGTTTTGAAGGAAATCCAAAATATTGAGTGTATTTTAATGGTAGCTCTTGTGATCACCACTTTTTTACGCAGTTTGTTTGGAAGAAAACAGGCACTGGCAGAAAATATATTGAACTTTGTGCCATTTTTGTCCCCAACACCAGTCAGATTCTGGACATAGACCAGTTCAAAATAGCTTTTTTGACACTTTAATAGTCACTTTTACAATAAAATTGTTCTCCTTCACAAAACTTAGATTATAGTACTCTTAAAGTGCCACTTTATTTCTGTGGCTTTATATTTCTGCCTCCTCATGATATCATACTTCTGGACACTTATTGATAATCTGCACAGTTAAAGGTTGACTGTATGTATATATGAAACAGAATTTAACTAAGATTTGTTTTTGCACGTCTTTTTACAGTTTTTACTATTTCCTTCTAGTTTGCACAATATACCAAACCAAATTCCTAGTTTGTGACACTAAAAATAATTCTGAATCAAATTATTTTGACGTCATGTCACCATCAACACTTATTTCCCTTTTTTTCAAAGAGTTCACTGAAGTTTCCAAACCAGCCCCTGTCTGAACTGGCGGACCCTGCTTTTGACAGAGACCTTGTGGAATCTGTAAGTATGATGCTTCTACCATTGCCTATAGTATTTGAACTGCTGTTTTTGGGGAGTGACTGAGGCTGCGAGGGTTATGGTGGCAACTTGAACAGACTGTTTAACTACACCTCTAGTACTAGATTTAGAATATAATTGCCTCTTGACATTGATGAACTACAATTACATTAAAAATGTGATTTCTACAAGCACTGGTGAAATTTTGCTTAAGCCCTTCTCCACTTACACCACCTGTCCTTCTCATCTCTGAAAATGAGCAGCCTCTGGGCTGGTTAGTACTTGGTTCAGAAGGTGCTGGTGTCAGAAAGAAGCAGCAGTGACCTACGTATGTGCGAACTGTCTTTGTGTCCGTCGGCCAGACATGCCACCCCTGTTGCCCAGTATGAATTTAATGCAATTAGTTTCAAACTGTCAAATGGTCTGATCAATGTGCCCCGGAGCCATGCCATTCTATTATAGCCATCTGGCGTGGCTATAATAGAAGCTTGGACACTTCTGAGTTTGAATTCTTAATTTTTTGAAAGCACAGTACAATATAATTCTTATTTTAATTACTACAGCAGATAAGTGTGCTACTACTATGTACTAATAAAACATTTTGTGAAGCACCTTTTGAATGGAACCACTGAAGGCCCAACATTATGGACCCTAAATGGAGAAGAGCATACTACATCTGAGGTCAAGTTTAAGGACTCTGGGAAAAGTGAAAATGCATCCATCAAAACCAACTGGACTGTTGTAAACTCTACTGCTGATACAACAATCAATACGGTAATGGTTTGAATAACAGTATAAATGTGATTCTTACATTATCCATATCATCACATTCTGTGTTTATTGTGAATTGCAGACTGTTTTAAGGTCGTCAGATCCGGTGGTCGAAACTCTACTGTTGACTCATGTTGACTTACAAAAGAAAAGTTCAGATCATAAAAACAGATACCGTGAACGTGGAAAGGTAACGCTGCTCTGAAAACCACACAATTTGCAATAATTCCATAAAATAGGCTTTTGAATAAAACAGAAAAAAATGCAGTCTATAATTTGAATAAAAAGAAAATAAAACCTTTGCATTTTTTTAATATTGGAGATTTATTGCCAAAGTAATAAAATAGATAAATTGCGTTCTGGACTTTAGTCACATGACTGGGGCTTTCTTCAAGATTTTGATGACTTTTTACTTGACCAAAGTTTGAGAGACTTGAAGCTCAACTTGGACTTAAACGCCAGTGACTTGCGACTTCACTTTTTCCTTTTGCGTTTATCTGCTCGTTCAGGAATATGCTTCTGCGCGTGCATTTCTCAGCTGAGATGTGTGGCTCTCACCCTGCTCCCGGGGCTTGTGTCTCATTCAGTCTACAAAGGAGCTAATACTGCACAAGGCAACATGTCTGTTATTGTTATCCCACCTGTTTTAAAGTCACAAAAAAAGCGCCAAAAAAACATCCACAATGTCACTGAAGTCACAGAAAAATCCAAAGCTTTTAACCAGAAGTCTGTACATTTCTCAAGATAGTCAGTTTATATACATGTCTGCATTATTTTTATTATAAAAATGTGTTTGTGAGTGTGACTACTATGATGGAAATAAGGTGCAAAAAGTTACAATTGTTATTCAGCTTTTTAACTGCTGCTTTTCAATAATACATACTGTCCCATGCAAAAGAAAGAAATTACAATGAATGAAGGTTATTTATTTCATGGATCACCTTAAACAAAAAGTGTTTTTCTCCATGGGTAATAAAAAGTTTAGTTTTTTTCTGCCAAAACACATGATTAGTGATTTTTTTTTTCAATCTGTTGTTAAAAAAGACTTGAAAGGACTCAAATAGCAAACTTAGATTTTACATGAGACTTGTCAGCCTTGACCTTTGTCTTGACCTGCGACTTGCCTCAGGGCATGACTCTGGACTTGGTCCCACTTTTGGAAGATTAAAATATTTGTTGTTATTGTCACAAAAACATCCGCCATGTGATTGTCTGGATCCCATTCTGGTGCACAGTCTGAGGTCCTGGTCTCTGTTGGAATCAGCAGTAGAGTTTAGCATGATACAGTATGAAAGGTGGGAGGTCTTAACTGAATGATTTAGAATATCAGTGGGTTTGAATATCCCAAAACTGCAATGAAATTTAACCTGAAGCAAAGATGACCTAGGTTTACTGATACACACAAAATTAACCCTTTTTCGGCCAAAATATCAAAGTACTATATAATACCCATAAACCATGACTAGGCGGCAGAAAATCCATTACAGACAATCTTGTTAGAAAACCATTGATTTGATTAATTTACATGTGCAAGTTATTTTGACAATACTTCAAATAACTTCCTCACATTTTCTTGTGCACCATCTGTAAATCTCAAGACAAATCAATTGTAAACTCTCGGCTAAACCTTTATTTCAACTTTTTTGGTTTTGTGTGGTGGATTTAGGATATATATATATAATATATGTATATATATTGAAATGATCAAAAACTATGACAACAATCATTATACGAGTTGAAAATATTGCAGCATGGGAAACTCATCTGTCTCTCTGTGACTGAACCTTTTAACTAGGGCAAGGGAAAAAAAGGACGGCAAAAGAGGCAAAGACAACTGCCGGTAACTGTCGTCAGTGCGTTAAAATGGCCTCACAAACATGCCACTAACACAGCTTTCTAACTGCTTTTCATAATTCATGTAATAAGAAATGCTTTGCTTATTTTAGGCTCGTGTAAAAAAAAAAGAAGGTTAAATTATGCAATAAAAAGGCTTAAAACAAATTAAAACTTCACCATAATATTGTTCACTGTAATCTTTGTATGCATGCGATTGCTAGTAAGTGGTAAGTTTTGCTGTTTAAATGGGCTGCATTGTATTTGCTTGGCTTTGTGATCGTTTGGCAAATGTTCCCCTTTTGCTTTTATTGTGATGTTGATATATTCAGGGCTGTTACTATATTTTCACTTCTGATCACATTTTTGTTTGGGCCAGAATACATAGTACGCTAAATCAACTTTTTGTATAACCTCTTCTCTAAAGGACAAACAATACATAATATATTGGACCCCCTGTGTGCAGCCCTGAATATACTGCCTGTTATTTAATAGTGTTGTCTAATCGCCTTCTCTTTCTGCAATAGTCAGGAGAAAGGGATGAAGTGGAAGAGGAGCACGATGAGTTGTATGCTGATGAAGAGTACAGTTATGAGGTATGCAGCAAGAACAAATGACTAATAAAAATATGAACACATGGTTAATATAACGATGGCAGGAGGGAGGGCTGCCCGCTAACAAGCAAACTGTCAAAGTCCTGTCAAACTCATACTCTGCACAAGTGTGTCGTAGGTAATTGTGCTGCACCCACTCCTGCACCTCTGATTAATGGAACGCCCACTTTTTCCATTAGTTCAATGTCTTCATCATCACACTACCCCAAACTAACGTATTTTCTTTTTAATAGGAACCTTTATTTCTGGATGCGTCCTTTGTTTCACATGAGGAAACTGATAACAAGGTAAAAGGCTGAAGCTCACACACACACAAATACAAACACACATGGATATTGTGGGAAGTATGTTGAGGTCTAAAGTACTAATACAACTTAAACCTTTACACATTTTTTCAAGTTTACAACCATTGAAAAGGAAGAAAACAACTCTTGCACACTGTACTTTCATACACCAGTGTTTTATTTATTTACAGATGGCTCCTCCTAATAGAAAAAAACATTTTCATGACAAAGGCTCAAGGCTGAAACGATGCATCTGACACACTGGTGTATGCAAGTACAATGTGCAACTTTCCAAGTTGGTGAATCTGTGTGCGAAGCCTGCTCTTTCGCACCTGTAACAGAGTTGGATGTGCAAAGTTTTCCGCTTTCTACAAGTTTCAATCAGTAATAACATTAATTGAACCTTTTGTTAGTAGGCCCCAACACATGCGGCTGGGGACCACCCTGTCAGCAATGTAGGAGCCCCCCAGGGCACTGTCCTGTCTCCGTTCCTGTTCACTCTGATCACCTCTGATTTCCAGTACAACTCCGGGTCCTGCCACCTGCAGAAGTTCTCTGATGACTCTGTGGTGGTGGGGTGTATCAGAGATGGACATGAGCTGGAGTACAGGACACTGATTTCCGTCTTTGTTGAGTGGTCTGAAGCTAACCATCTGCTCCTGAATGTGGACAAGACCAAAGAGCTGGTTGTTGACTTCAGGAGGAAGTGGACGCCAGTGGAGCCCATCACCATCCAGGGCACAGAGGTGGAGACGGTGGACTACTACAAGTACCTGGAAGTCCACGTGAACAGCAGGCTGGACTGGAAGGAGAACTCCAATGCTGTGTACAAGAAGGGCATGAGCAGACTCTATTTCCTGAGGAAGCTCAGATCCTTCCACGTGTACAGTAAACTGCTGGAGATCTTAAACCAGTCTGTGGTGGCCAGCGCCCTTTTCTACGTGGTCTGCTGGGGGAGCAGCACCACCAAAAGAGACCTCTCCCTCGGTCTGTCCTTGTATATATTGTATATTAACAGATGTGAACTCCTATCTCTGCATTTTATACTCTAAATGTGTCCATATTCACAGATATGTATATTCCTGAGTACTTCTATCCAGATTATTCTATTCTCACAATATTATCTTATTATTATTCTTATTTCTAGATTGTTACTTTAATGTTTTTTTGTTTTTTTAAATTGTGAAATACTATGCAAGCTACTGTGACAATGCAATTTCCCTTGAGGATCAATAAAGTTTGTCTAAGTCTATTTAGAATTGTTCCCACTCAAATAACAGACAACTGTGAAGTGAAAGTAAAATGAGAGTATTCATGGCTAAGGAGCACACAAGAGAAGTCAGGAATGAAGTTGTAGAGAAGTTTAAAGCAGGGTGGCACGGTGGCTGAGTGGATAGCACTCTCGCCTCTCAGCAAGAAGGTCCTGGGTTCGAATCCCGGTCGGACCAGGGCCTTTCTGAGTGGAGTTTGCATGTTCTCCCCGTGTCTGCGTAGGTTTCCTCCGGGTGCTCCGGTTTCCCCTACCACTAAAAAATATGTCCAATAGTTCTGGCATGCGCTTCCTGTACTGGCGACCCCGCTCCCATCTCTGTGTGGAGTGAGAGACAAATGCCCAAAATTAACAATTGTAAACCGCTTTGAGACTCAGATCTGCAGTGAAAAGGCGGTATATAAATAAAAACTTACTTACTTACTTACTTACTTACTTAAGTTATATTAAGATTTCCCAAGATTTTTACTTACTTACTATTCAAGTAAATAAGTAAGCAAGTAATCTTTATTTACATACCGCCTTTCACAGACACACAGTGGTTTACAATTGTGGGCATTTCTTTCTTACTCCACACAGAGAGCGTGGTTGCCAGTACAGAAGGCGCACGCCAGACCTATTGTATATGTTTTTAGTGGTAGGGGAAACTGGAGCACCCGGAGGAAACCTACGCAAACCTACGCCTTTGCACACCTTGCCACCTGCGCTTGGCGCCGCACCTGCTCAACGACCAATGATGGCCAATGATGTCTCGGTGTCTGAGGTCTGACTCGGCCTGCTGAATAGCTACAGTTGGGGTCCACTTCTGTCCGGTTGCCAGGGTAGGAGCTGCTTGGGCCACAGGGGTCTCTGGATCCTTTGAGATTCATCTCCGCTCTTACTTTGGAACACTTGAATTCCTCTCTGAGGCTGGACACCGGAAGCTCAAGTACGTCCCTTCCATACAGCCTGGTGTTACTGAAATACTGTATCTTGGGAGGCCCAGCCATTTTCTCACGATTGAGCTGACCTCCCTCTTGAGTTTCTCAACCTTTGAGATTGGGATCTCATAGATGATCAGAGGCCACATGAGGTCTGAGGCTGATGTTCAGGAGGATATAACGGTGGCATGTCGGGTGGAACAATTTTCTGTCTGCTCCGGCTGATGTCCTGTTGAGGTACACCTCAAGATGCTTTAGGGTTGCTTTTCTTCATTGTTGACTGGGATAATAGAAGGTCCTGGGTTCGAATCTTGGTCAGAACAGGGCCTTTCTGAGTGGAGTTTGCATGTTCTCCTTGTGTCTGTGTTTTTTTTCTGGGTACTCCGGTTTTCCCTACCACTACTCCTGTACTGGCGACTCTGCTCCCATCTCTGTGTGGAGTGATAGACAAATGCCCACAATTGTGAAACGTTTTGTGACTCTGGTCTGTGAAAGGCGGTAAATAAATAAAAATTACTTACTTAAGAATGATATGAAGATGGATGGATCCAAATACAGGGACATTTTGGAGGAAAACCTGCTCGAGTCTGCAAGAGAATTGAGGCTGGGGCGAAGATTCACATTCCAGCCGGACAATGACTCTAAACACAAACCTAAATCTACAGTGAAATTGTTTGGGGGAAAAAAAAAATATTAGAAGGGCCCAGTCAAAGTCCAGACCTAAATCCAATAGAAAATCTGTGGAGGGACCTGAAAACTGCTGTTCACAATCTCTGTTGATTGATCTTGAGTTGTTTTGTAAAGAGGAATGGGCTTAACTTTCTGTCTCTAGATGTGCAAATCTTGAAGAGTCATACACCAAAACACTTGCTGCTGTTATTGCTACAAAAGGGGTTTCCACAAAGTATTTACACTGTATGAATACTTGTGCATACCCAACTACATAATCCTCTATAACTTTGCTTTCACTTCACAGTTGTCTGTTGCGTGAAATTTCAGTAAAAGAATTAAAATAACATCTTTTTGTTTATTGTTGTATAAATGTGCAAAGGTTTGAGGTGTATAAGTACTTTCGAAGGGCACTGTACATGAACCATTTTGCTGTGAATGTGAGTATTAAAAAAATATTTAATTGATGAGATTGGAAGAGTAGGAAGGCCAGCTGAGCAGTATTGTATCACGCCACGCTCTAACTTTCCATGCATCGAAAATAAATGCGTCTGTAGAACAAATTGAGGAGCTATACTTAATTATTTTTATTTTGATGTTTTTGTGTATGGTTAGAACGACGAGAAATCCATCTCCAGACCTGTCTCCACTAAAACATCAGAGGATGTGCTCAGTGAGACACAGGTAAGGGTTAGGGGACTGATTACATTTGCCTCGCTTTGTTGTGGGAGTGGAAAAGTCTGGACACCCCATGATGACATTATATTTAAGGTATTAAGGGAAAATGTCACCCGTCAAAAATGTATAGGTGTATAATTGTTGTACCTCACGAGTGACAACCTCACTGTCATCATCATTGTGCTCTCCACCAATCACATGTCCCCTATTATAGTAGTTGCGCAACGCCGGTGGCACATTTGAGTCTGTTTATGTAGCCGGTTAGCAGTCTTTGTGGTTATGGTGTGAGAGTGGGTGACTGGTGGGTGTCTGTGTGTGTTTTGTGTGAAAAGGGTTTCAATCAAATAAACATATGTATCACCCAACCCTTTTCTAAACTGTATCTTTCTATATGTTTGTATCCTGTTTGTTTTTCTTGTTGAATTTTGATTTATACAAAAGTTTGAAATTAATACATTTGAAAGTTGGCTTTGACTTTCTAAAACCTGAAATGGCTCAATAAATAGTTACATTATCTTTCCAGTTTCCAATATGAAACAAGAGAAAAAACATATTTTCTATTTTGTGCAGGGATCAGACCTGATGGACACTCCACTCAGAGAAGAACCAGATAAGGTAAACATTCATGTTTTATTATTTGCATGGCTTTGAGTGCACAGTTTCCATCTGCTCTGTCTGTTTGTCTTAACTTATTCAGATTAACACATGACTTTCAACTTCTCTTCACATTTTCACCAGTGCAAAAGGCTCTATTACATATAGTATGTGAATGCTGAATGTGAGAGAATGCCTCCTATAGCTGCTCTAGGCCAACTGCACCAAAGCATGAGACAGGAGTCCCCCGCATGCTTTGAGCACGACTTTGATCCTGCTTGCCTCATATGAAGTACATAGGCAGCAGACACTGACCTGAGACGATAGATTTTAATACTTTCTCTTTCTTATTTTTGTCCTGAACAGGATGTCTCTTAGTTCCAGAAAAACTGTCTTTAGAGTTGTACGATATCACACCAACGTCTGTGGATAAACACCAGCATTTTTGGATTCCTTGTTCCACATATCATTCAATGTCTTTATTCCTTGCTGCCATCCAACGTATTTATTTAAAAAAAATCTAAATAATTTACATCGAGAGAGACTCACCCTCACCGTATTTCTTTTGTTGAATACTTAATTTATTTGAAGGTTGTGTGCTTCACTGGACACAAATCAAGTATACTATTCACACCTTTTACACTGGTGAGATGTATTTCTGTTGATGCATTATGTGTTTATCTCTTTGCATGTACAAGTAAAGGTGTTTCAATAAGTGGGCGTCTCTTTCTTTTGTATAATCATGTTTGTAAGAATAAAGCCTTTGATTGTATTTGTTGGGACTCGGCAGGTCTCTATAATCAGGGTGAGAAAAAGTGTGCACTGGAATCCCTCAGGGGTAAGTCCAAAGATTGTTTCAATAATGATTTATTATTGAAATGTTTATGGTAAGGGCATTAATATTATTATACTTTTGCCACAGCCCTATAGGTCACAAATAAAACAAATCTGAGCATATTCACTGTAGGATGTTATGGGTTGTCATTTCACATTTGTATTATGATACAGACAGATCAATGTTTTTCTTGCTTTGAGGACCAAGCAGCCAGTTCACACGTGTCTTTGTTTTGTTTTTGATACTATAGGGTGAATTTAGAATGGAAGGACGAATTTATACAGCCTTTTTCTACCATTACTCTGTGCTAAACACAAGATAGGACCAATCCAATCAGGACAAGAAATGTAATAGATTATTATCAATCAATTGTATTTATAAATCACTGTTCATACAACAATTGCTTAACCTTCTATGGCATAACTTTTCACTATAGAGGGAAAAAAACATATTTGTAACAACCCTTTGATTCCTTATGGCTCTGTGATAAAATATCACTTTCAGCATTTGCCCCCCAGATATTGGTTTGTTGCCTCAGGGCAACATTGAGCTACAAAGATACTAAAACACCAAGGTTTTCCATACCACATGGAAATACAAATTGTACAACGGCTGAAGCGTTCAGGTTATGCACACATCAAACAGGATCTATTATTTAAGATGATAGATAATAGAATTATAAGAAAATCATGTAAAGCTCTGAAGGTATAATTGCACAGAAAGAAAGTGTATACAAAGTTCTGAAACATTAAAAACATGAATTTAAAAAGGTAAAATTCACATATATTCTGGGTTCTTGTCCTTCTCAGGAGTTGTGTAATCTGTGCAAAATTGTTGTATTAAGCATTAACTCTCCTGTTATGTGAGCAGCGTTTGTGTTAATGAAAAATGGACACAATATTCTGCTTTGAAACCTTGTCCAAAAACTTAAAATTGTATCAAAAAAGTAGTGTTTTTCCAGTCAAGCACCATGGCCTTGGATTTAAAGGTGTGGATCTTTAGCCCGGCCGCTGCAAACCGTCCCAGCACATGTTGGAGGTCCTGGTCTGTTGAAGTCAACAAAACAACATTAAGATACAATCCTGTGCTCCTCATACTGGACTCTGATTGGCCCCAGGATATGCCTAGAATAGTGTTAATAAAAACAGTGAACTGGTGACACTCTTCACCCATTATTCACTGGGAACAGCAGCTCTGAAAACCATTCCAATCCACTTTATTTATACAGCACATTTCATAACCACAATTTACAAAGTGCTGCACAATAACATACTAATTAAAACAAATCTATTGTAAAACAGACAAAAAAAAAAAAAAAAATATGAAAACCGTGTATGCATAAATGTATAAATATAAAAATAACAATAATAAAATAAAAACACAATACAATTGTTTATTTTATTTTTATTTTGCGTATTATATCTGTCAATTTTTCTCCTGAACAGTGTTCAAGATTTTACTCTGATCCAGAACAGAGAAGAAGGCAGACTATGTGTAAATCCACTGGAGAAAGGCTTTTTGAAAAATGCCATAGCATGCTAATACAGCATCTAGGGTTTCACGCTGAACCAGATCAGAGAAAATGCTCCAAACCAAACTGACGCTGCGAAAATCTACTAGAGGAAATGCTTTGAGGATGCAGCCTCTCGCCAGGTTCACCGGCTCTGAGGGAGATCCATCACAACCAGAAGTACTTCAAGCTGATCTTCTAGTATCTGGTCAGGGAGATTGGGGCTTCATGACCTGATGTTGAACATGGTTAAGGGTGGGTTAGGTTTATATTAGATTCTATTATTTATTTCATGTAACCTTGCACTGCAAGCTGATTTCTTGTGATCTTTGTGAAAACAAATAGCAATTTATTATTTTACTTATCCGTGTGGTATGTCCCATGCATATTCAAATAAACAAAATAAATACATAAAATTGAGCTGGTGCGGTGTTCCACATCCAGGACAAAACCATACTGAATCTGAGATTGATGTATCAGTCTTGGTGTCCTCTGTCTTATACAATAGAATATCATGATTTACCATATCACATTTCTACTGCCACTCCTGTAATCATGTTTTTCCTTCTAATAACATTGTGTAGATGTCCATGCCAGGGGCTCCAGGCGGAAGAGGCCCCTTCAAAGAAGCACCACAAGTACAGCCTTATTCTACTTGAATAATGAAATGATTTACCATTGGCACCTATAAAGTATGTTTATGTTGCAGCATCTCACATCTGGAGCTCAAGGCTATAACAACTTCAATGTAAGTTTGCTCTTGTAAGAAATGTGTTTATTTCTTAGAAAGGGCTGGTGTCAGTTAAACCATATTGATTTTACATTTGTCAAAAAGATATTTTATTTTCAAAATACCACTAGTATTTATAGTATATTTTATGATGATGTTTCTGTAGCAGTTCAGTAGTTCATATGCGTTTTATTCATACCAGTAAGATATAGATAGTGTAGATCAAAAAAGGTGAGCATGTGAGCACAGTGAAAAACACAATTGTCAGTGTTGGGCAAATTACTTGAAAAACTTACCCCATTATGTATTACTTGTTACTGTTATTTCAAAGTAATGTATTACACTACAATATTAGTGTCTCTGTATTGTGACACATTATACTACTTCAGATTAGGATTAAGAAATCCTTTATTTGTTCCACAGCGGGGAAATTTCAGTGTTGCATCACAAGTTACAGAACAGTAGGAGTACAGAGCACACTGCATAAAATAAATGAACAATAGCTCTACTAATTGAAATAAAATAAAATCTCTAACTTTAGCATCAAGCATCAAAGCATACTTCTGCATTACTTTTAAGTTACTTTCAGTTTGGGACATAAAGTGCACTTAAGTGTTCCACAACTTTCTCCAACAAAGGTCCTGGTTCAGTGCTGGCTCAGAACTGGTCAATAGCAGCTTACAGCTTCATTTATTAAACCTGATTCAAGTGCATCATTCTTAGCTATTACGAGCCAGGTGTGATGGCCTAGAGAGTGTGGCTCAGTAACACAAATTAAACGTGCATGGAACAGAGACGGGAAACGGAGGTCTAAAAAGTAACAGTTTGTTTACATAAAGTTAAATGTGCAACGAAAAAGCCTTATTCTTAGAAAGCGTGTGTATCAAAGGAGTGTGCAGCCGCAGGTTCCAGGTCGAAGTGGGAAAGAGGGACCGGTCTGGAGCCAGGCCCTTTATACCTCCCAGCTGATTAGCCCACAGGTGCAGGGTGGGACCTCAGTGGTAGGCAGATCTGAGGAGGTGGAGGCAAGGAGAAAAACAAGGACCTGATCCGTGACATAAGCTCTTTTAAAACATTGAACGTACATACAGAAGAACCCGGCGAATTGACGCTCCTGGCACATATATTCTCTGTGCATTTGTGAACAAGTGTTTTAGGCGGCTCCAGACCTGGCCCATGGCTAAGGTTATGTCAGAAATGGGAAAGACTTTTTATATTACTTTAACTATTTTTTTCTAACTAGTTGTTTTTTAGTACAAAAACCTAAATCTAAATGCAAAGAAATAATAGAAACAATTGAAATAATATAATATCATTGAAACGTTACAACCAGAGAACTGTAAATAGTTACTGTTACTTTAAAGTGGAAAAGGAAGCCATGGGGATGAGCCGCCAAAATGCACTTTTTAAATTTAAAGGGGCAGTAAAGGATTCAGGTTACCTTAGCTTTAGCATCCGAGTAGCACCGAGTCAAAACCACTCCCCCTCTCCCCCTGCCCTTCACCAAACCAAACTCCCAGCACACATGAACGCTGTTTCTGTAATAACGCAGAGATGGAGCCTCCCAGCTTGAAATGTGAAAGCATTACACGACATTAGGGCTCAAGTTTGAGCAATTTGCCTGCCATAATTAACAAGCACTAGCTTCCCCTTACAAACTCGAAATTAGCAAAACTCTACTGCCGTTGCTTTACATAGCCCTGGCTGCGTCCCTGTCTTCTTGTAGAACGCCCTTTCCTCATCTGATGTTCTCTTCTTTGCCACAACAGGGCGAATTGGTGGCAAATGTGAAATTGGCACTTTGGGGTTTTTCGGATCAGCCATTGTAGGTTTTATCAAATCTGACTCAAAAACAACCCAGACCATGGATCTATAATAATATCTGGATAGGGTATTACTAGCTTGGAGCTGAAGGACTCACGTGCTCGGGGGATTCTTGCGGTACTGCAGACTAAACGAGATTCAAATGGGTTACCCAGAAAATGTTTCCATAGAACTCAATGTTAAACAGCTCGACCTCAGCTGACAGATCACTTACAGCTTTTAGTGTCCATTGTCATCCAGAACTTCTTTCTTCTTTATTCCTTCTGTTTTCCATAAATCCACACTTTAGAGCCCCAAACTCTGCTCGATCGTCTTTCGCATGTGTATTTGGCGCAAAGCTTCTTGGGCTCTCATCTACTGCGCAGAACCGGGAGGACCAGAGAAATTCCCAAATATGGGCGAGTTCTGCTTATCTTTTTGTGCCCATGGTGGCACATGCGCTACTGTGCACAAGCATTAAGACATCTTGGAGCACCGGGGCTAGACTCAGACAGGTGCGTGTCCTGACGACGAGCCGGAGGGAAACACATTCCATTGATTCGAGGGGGATGAACATTTATTTCGTTCTATCAAACTGCTGCAAAATATATATATATATATATATTTTTTAGATTACAGGCATCTGGTTATGTCCATTCCTATATATTTGAAAACGACTTAGCCACTTTTAGGGAGGTTTCCCACAGTATTTAAAAAATTGCGTCTGGATAAATTATTGGCTGAATCTTTCATTTTAAAAACAATCTGAAAGAGTTTTGTGACTACTTCCACTGCACACTTGTTCACGTGACGTCCTCTACAAGTGAACAAGAGGCGCCATGATATAATTTTGCCTAGGGCGCCTGATGGCCAAGGGCCGTCCCTGGGTGGCACATATATCTGTGAATATTGACTCTTGAGCTTTAGACTCTCATCTGCCGCGTAGTCCACTTGTCTCTGTTCTTTAACAAACGGCACCTGCTGAGCGAAGGGGCGAAGACAAGAGACTGGGTCAACAGGCTCTGAGACCAACGTTATTTATACATCATGCTTCGTGGGTGCATTTCATGGTCCATGGGCGACCCCGCGATTGCCTATCCAGGCTACTACTATTGGTGCTTTTTCTCCTCTGCTGATCTCGAGGAGGCATAGTATAAACACAAAACTATTTTAGATTAAAATGTTACTGACCTTTAAACTGAGTAAATATTAGTTTTTTTTTTTACATGTTATGCCTTACATTACTGCGACACAACAAAACGTAATACATTACAATAATTACAATACTTTTGTAATACATTACTCCCAACACTGTCTCGTGGGGAGGTGTACATGGCCACAACCTGTAGATTAGTATCTTAGTACCTTAGTATCTAACACCATACCTATTAGGTATGGTGTTAGACACTAAGGTAACAGACCAGGTCGTTGTATCCTCTCTTATTCTCTGACTCTTCTCACATTCTGTGACTGTCATGTTAACCTTATTTGGCTGTCTGGTCATTTTGACCCAAAGACAACAAATGTATTTTTTTAGACAGCTTCCATGGGAATATAAATTGTTACAGATGGAAAAAAACAGCTTGAAAATATTCATTTTAGTTTTTAGTTTTTTTTTTTTATCTTTACACACTGTTGCAAGTCATTTTGACCTGAGGACAACACAAGTCCTGAATACCATGTTTTGAGTTCCAAAACCATGTTTCGAGTACTTTCTAAACCCAAAGTACTTAACTCAAAAAGTGAATTATGTAATCCAAACCTTTGTAACTAGTTCGTTGGTTTTATTACTAGTTTGTAATGTACGGTATGTAGTTTTGGCCTCTGTCACAGCTTTAGATCAGCTTTTTTCAGAGAAAAAGAGAGTATCAGTCCTCACTCTGGCAATCTCAGTATGTAGTGCTCTTTTGTTCACAAAATGTCACTTAAACAACAATTTTTCAAAACAAAAGTTATGTCCTACATTTTTAAAATGTCAAGTCTTATAGTCAAAAAAATGTTTTCTTTTTCAGAACAAAAAACAGGAAAACCCCTTACAACCCAGTGGTAAGTTGAGAGGAGTAAGCCACAAACCTCACTACCTCGCGACAGAGAAGGAAATCACGGAAGAAGCACATGACGTTCAGCCCACCGAGCCGTACTATGACCCTATTTACGAGGAAGAGGAGGAGAGCGGAGACTATGAGTGGCCCACCGACGACGAAGATGGAGACCTGGACCTGGAGCGCGAACGGGAGCGCCTTTCCATGGAGGAGGAGAGAAGAGAGCTGGAGAGAGAAAGACAGGCTGAAATTGAGAGTGGAGTGGATCAAAATGTGGACCAGGATGTGGACCGTGTGAGAACTGAGGAAGAGCTGAAGAGGTTGGAGTGGGAAAGAAGGAGACAGGAAGGCTATGACCCCGGATCACAGCAACCATACCCCTACCCCCCAGAGTACTTTTTATTTAAGGTATTATGATTAACATACATATATATTTCTCAAAGGTTATGAATCGTAATGTTTGATTTTATGAAACAGGGGCAGCCTGGGGAGATGGGGAAAGCCGGAGAAAAGGTGAATAAAAACACTAAACATATGCTCCCCAATGGTGATAAAGAGTCCCTCACATGGGAAATAGCATCAAATATTTATAACTGTGTGTTATCTGGATGTTATTGTTTGGTTAATCTGTCACATTGCACAATTTTCCCTCATGTTGAGTCTTAATAACAGAGATACGTTTTCCTGTCTATTGAAATGCAAAGGAAAACGTGAAAGTTGGAGTGACATGTTTTATAATATGCAGTCTTTACTGATCCACGAGATATATACTTGTGAACAGAAAATATAAGGAAAACGTTGGCTACATGTGTTTGACTACTCCAATTTAGAACAACAGAAACAAATAAAAACAGTAATAGCATTTTAAAAAGGTCACTGTAAGTCCCACATTACCTTTGGTCACAATCATAATACAAAAGTTGTAAAAATGGCTTTGACTGGATTTAACATCAGAATTGCATCTGTTCACTATGATTTGGTTTGGAGAACGATGCTTGATACAAAACTGCAAAGCAATACATTACAATTTTAACAAAGGCAGGACTTTTTTCAATAATGCCCCAAACTTGCAAATTCTTTTTATCTTTTGGCTATTGGATATCTTCATTATTCAGGCACTGAACAGAAAATAAAACTCATCATGAAACTCTCCAACGTGATTTCCAGTGGGTTAGAGAAATGTAGGGTCAATATCCTTTCATCATCTTGTGATTGAAATGTTCCAAACTAAAATAGTGTTAAGTTCTTGGGTCTTGGTGACCTAATTTGCTCCTTTAGGGTTCGCTCTACAGTGAGTTGACATTACTGTACTTTTTCTTCTAGAGTAAACTGTTAACGCTGGTTCAGCCACGGTTTATCCTTCGATTATGAATGGACACTACAAATTCTGCTTAGATATATAAAAAAGGTTTAATATATAAAAGACAGAATACAGGATACAGGATACAGACAAATGTAGCAGACTGGTGCTCCAGTCTGGGCTCTCTCCCTGGCAAACCCAAAGCAAAAGAACCCTGCTTCAGGAACAGGCTATCGATGATAAGCACACAGTCACATGACATGATAATTGAAGACATATGTCTCAACATCCTTAGGTGAAGACAATACTTCTCTGTTCAGGACACACAAATAGCCCCTGTGTGAGTAAGCCTGAGGCTACTCTAAACAGATGCTTTCTTGTGTTCTTGCCTTAATTTAACTTCCTGTGTTTCATGGCTGGGGGATGGATGTTTTCACACATTCTTCACTCTGCTTACTACTAGTTTTTAGATCCATACTAGACTAAACGTTACATTTATTAATATGATAATAACACAATAACATACTCCATTGACATAAACCATAAAGATGGTTATTTTTGATTGACACCGAGTGAAAAGCATATGTTGGTCCTAATGTGTTCATTCCTGTGTATCTACATCTAGCAAAGAATAAGAACAAAAAGTTACAAAAATAAGTCAGTTTTGTGGTTTGAAATGTCCCCAAATGGTTTTCTGGGTTCACCTGTCCCAGAGCAGGTTCTTTCCGCTAGTAATAATAATAATTATAAAGCATCGGTTTTTTTATAGCGCTTTTCAGGACTCTCAAAGACTGCTGCCCTGGGGCACACTGACAGAAGCAAGGCAACCAGTCACACGCACACCAGACTCATTCTGGGCAATGTGGGTAAAGTGTCTTGCCTAAAGACACGACAACAGTTTGGCACTTTTCAGCCACAGCTGCCCGACTGTGGCACCTGGTGTTCCCAGAGGTTTCACATCATAGTATGTATACATACTATGTAAGGCAACCTTGGGTGTCCAGAACGACGCCCAAGAGACAAAATGCATAATTATTACTATCACTGTAATTGAAGGCTTATTATTTTGAGTATTATGGCTCTGTGATGACGAGCCTTCATCATAATCTTTATCATTCCCTCCTCACTAACAGACTTCATGAGTCATGGAAAATGCCACCAGTTCATAAAAATATGTCTGGTTTGCCACACTGGGGTCGCTTTTCGACCTGTAAGAAATTAATAAAGTGAACTTGAACTTACTCAACTGCATCTTTCAATATCGTATTAAACATGTTGTTTGTTTTCTAACATTATATGAGAACTGTTACTTCAATCCTTTCTTTTTGTGTAATTGCTAGGGAGAAATCGGAGAAAAAGGACATAAGGTGAACATCTTTATTTCTCATTCATAAAAACTTACATTTTTGATTGAGTTGCACATGAAGAGTTTTGGTTTTGTGTTAAAGGGAGAGCCAGGAATGGGCTACAGAGGACCAGAAGGACAGGCAGGACCCCCAGGCCAGAAGGTAAACACGTATCCTTCTGTTTTTGACAGAATTAAACTTGATTCTTGACAAATATCCCATCTGAAAAGTTTATAGAATTTAATATAATAGTAATTGAAGGGTCGAAACATGCTGAAGTCTTCCAGCTTACATGGGGCGCCTCATCACTGATTGTCTTCCAACATCTGCTTGGTTTACTGTCATTGTGTGTCTTTCACCAGGATTGTGTTCTGTTTTTGATATTGTTGTGACTAGTATTTATTTTATTTTATTTTATTATTTATCATCTCATGACTCCTGGCTGTCCCATGACCCACATTGGGAACCTCTAAATTTAAATGTAAAAAAATATATGTATTTGGTCTGCTTTTTGTTTTTTGGTTTAGAACATTCTTCTAATAAGACAAACTTATAAAGTAGCTTGTAGACTTCTTAATTCTTCTAAGTGTGACATGTCTACCTTGGCTCACACTTGGGACTCACTTCTCCAGGGACCGTAGTGTGGCAGGGGGCGTGGTCAGATGGATCTTTAGTCTTTTTAAAAGAACCTTCAAATCTTAAAACCTCTGCCGTAGTTCAACGTCTGCCTCATTATCTACAAATGTAAAACATATAAAGAAAATATAAAAAAATCAACAACAAAAAGCCTGCTCCTCTCACTTTTAAACCAAGAAAATAAATCTGCAAACTGTAAGCTCCCAACTATGTCGCGTTATAGTTATACCAGAAATAGTTGATGAATTAATTCGATATATTTATGTCTGCTGAAGCAATTGACCCTCACAGCTTCAATCGCTCTCTCCCTGATTAACTTTCATAGTTTTAATTCTGAAAGCTAAATTGGTTTGGTCTGTTTTTGAAGTTGTTATGAACATGTTATGTGATAACAAGGACTTAATTTTGAAAGTAATGAGTTTTTAAGTAATATTGGACATCATGACATTACATGAAAAGCAGTGTGCCAGTTGTGCAGATCTCACCTTTACTTTGGCGTTCCTTCTTTTGGTTGTGTGATTCTTGTAGGGTGAGCCAGGGGAGCCAGGGCCCACTGGTGCACAGGGCATCCAGGGCATCAGAGGTAATGCCGGTCAGCAGGGTTCCCCTGGACTGAGAGGGGCCCCAGGGGATCCTGGAGCACCAGGGAGGGAGGTATGTGCATGTGTACTAAGCTGCTATTACAGGATTACATGGTACCATTATGAGATTATATATGTTTCAATGAGGTATATTTATGGCTAATTTAGGGCTATACAAGAAGAAATTTAATAATATCTCAGTGGATTTTGGTAAAGTTAAAACAGCAGAGTTTCAATGTGATGATACAAAGACGTAACCAGGATTGTTGTAGAAATGATGTATTTGTTTAAAGGTTAGGAGCAACATTCCTGGTGGAGGTCCCGCTTTTTGCTCTTTCACAGCCTTCACATCGGGTTGAATCAGCAGTGCTATGGCTGCATTTACACTTACACACCACTCACACAAGATCACTTCCTCATATGCAGCATTTGTTTTATATACTGCATGTTGGACACTGCATATTCTGGTTGTTGGTTCTTAAAGCCACAAGTGCCCTGGGCGAGACTGAAGTAAGTAAAGCTGTACCCACAAAATACAAGGTGGAAATTTACAAATCAAATGCAGCCTTGTCAAAATGTGAATGTTGATTTATTTCTACATTAGAAAATAGAAACATTGTTTATGTAACATTTTTTCAGCAGACTGAGAATCTCATTTTGGTTTAGGTAGTTTGAAAAACAGATGGTGACTCTCAAATTACAAGGAGCTCCCCAAACTATTTTACAAGTTCATATTATGCATTAGATGATAGTGTGCCCAACACAGACCTTTAACCCTGGTATAGTTTTTATTAAACGGATAAAAATCTTTCTTATGCGTAACATATACTAATACTTAACATGTGGTAAGTTCGATACATAGACGTTAGACTGTTACTGAAAACAGTCCTTACACAAGCACACTCACCAATCCTCAGTCAAATTAAAACATGTCATTCGTCTCTCTCATAATTGGATGATGTGCGATATCACCACTACTGCTGACACACAGCAAATGAAAAGACTCTTTCTGTTGAACAAAGATTGAAAATGTGTGGATGAAAGCCAAGAGTTCTGAAATATTAAAACCAGTGAGGAGTGTTTAATTTATATCTTTTTACACTTTTATGTAACTATTTTCAATATCAGAGGGTGTTGCATATTTGTTTAGGCATTTATTGAAAGACCTGCTTCTTCATGTGTGTATTCTTAATGCAGGGAGACCGAGGGAGACGAGGGAAAAATGGATCTCCTGGAACTCCAGGACCTCGAGGAGCTCTCGGCGCCCTTGTAGGGACTGACTATTGTTTCATTTTATTTTCCATGTGTTTGTGATTAGACTTTGTATTAATGTCATGTGTCCTCATAGGGAGATCCTGGAATACCTGGAGTGAAAGGGGAAAAGGTAACATACTATTCGTTCATTGGTTTAAGATACATGATGGTTTTATGTTTTGATCTCAAACAGTAATGGAAAGTACTTCTCTATTGGGTTGTTCCACATTTATGGATCTAATCACGTTTGCCATCCAAGTTGACTGCTGTTGTGATTTAGGGCTGTATAAAAATAAATGGAATAGAATTTTAGTCAGTACATCTACAATATACTATTTTCCAGGGTGAGATTATGCCATACTCTATATTACATTGTTTGTTGTGAACCAAACATACATCATTATTAATCACTTAAAGGTGAACTTCAAATATATGGAACTAATACAGTACATGTTAAAAAAGAATGTATATGCCTTAGCATCTGACCCTGTGTTATAAAAATATTTTTTTTACAATAAAGCCTACTACTTATAAATTGCTTTTTGTGACACCCAAAGACTGACTACACTCAGAAATCACATGTCATTATTCATTCACTCCGTACACTGTGGTGATAAACACACAACTGCCCTGGGACACACTGACGGATTGGAGGAAACCAACACCTTTACCAACCCTTCACAAACACACCAGACTCTGACGAGGTAAAATGGGTGAAGTGTCTTGCCAAAGGACATAACAACAGTAAGTCTTGTCACTGTGGCACCTGGTATTGCCAGAGGTCTTCCATCACAGTACTACCCAGGCTCTGCTCTGCTTCGCGTCTGAGGTTTATCAGGATCAGGTTTTCACATACAAGCAGTGCTACACATGTTCTAAAGTGATTTAAAATAGTCTCTCGCCTTCTCACCCTTAAGTCTGGCTTGAGGATAATAGTCAATAACCTGTCAATCAAGCATCTCAATTAATTTCATCCAATCAGAAAGAAGGGCAGGTCTAAGTGGTGCTTGCATTTGAACAATCTCCTACTCCACCTTGTGAAAATAACTGATTCAGTTTGAACTTCACATAGACATTGTATGTACTATGTGTTAACTGTGTCTGTCTCTCAGGGGGACAGTATTCCCGGAGAACCCGGGGCCAGAGGTTTGGTGGGATTCCCAGGCAGAAAAGTAACGTGATCACCTGTTCCACTTTGATTATTCCTTTAACAATGATTTTGTTAATCATTTCCTTGTGCTTATTTTTTTAGGGTGAAAAAGGAACATCGGGTGAAAATGGCACACCAGGACACATGGTAACAACAATTTAATTCATAGGCTAATGGTTTGGTTGTGTCTCCAACGCCTCTTGGCATAAAAATGTGTTTTGCGAGTTGTAGTTCACCTTGTGTCTGGACGAGTTTCCCACATCCTAAACGTGCTCCCCAATACTTTTACAAATAAAGTATATTCAAGTTTACGTCATAAACTATAATTTACACACTTTTGTATTGACCAAGACATTCATTTCTTGTTGCTTTTTTTGTTTGTGTTGTATTTTTTGATGACATATGAACACTTCAAGTCTCTATTTTATTCTTCTTGATTATAGGGTCCCAAAGGCTTTCGCGGCAGTAAGGGTGAAAAAGTAGGTATTTATATTTTTTTGTGTTGGATAACAATCCAAGTCACATTGGCTCTCATAAGACCGATCATAGCTGACTGTCATAATTATTTTTAGACCACAACACCACACCAAATGCTCTTCACTTTCTAAGAATGGGCATCAATGAAGCTTCTCAAATGTTTCCTCCATTTTGTGATTAGTTGACAGAACTGTTGAGTCAGGAGCAGTATTTGCGTCAGTGGACCGAGTTGGCAGGACAAACAATGGCATTTGAACGTGTCATCCTCGAGTATTCCCAGTCTGTTAGAGCAGTGGGACATTCAGAATGTGGCTGTGTTTCGTTACAGCTATTATTCTCTCACACATGGTTATTGTAATATTATGTATAAACAATGTATACAAAATTATGTTGCCATTTCTTGGGTAGTGAGGCTTGTTTATATATTTTTATATTTTAAATAATGGCTTTCACATTTTATTGCTAAAACTTTTAGATTAGCAACAGGAGGTTAGGTTTGGATCAATATCCATTGGATTGGTATCTATTAAAACGCTCTGAGTGAAGTCAACATATTTACGTTTTAGGCAAAACAAAACAACAAGTATTTAACATCTGCATTGGGACAAGACACACTACATTGGACATTCAAAAAACTTGAATACATATTTGATTTTTTCCCCCCAGAATTTCACAGCAATCCAAAATGCATTCCTAAGTTTTTTCACATTCCACTGTAAAGACTTTTATTAAGTAGCATTTTGTGTATCTTGATTATAAACAAGATTTGCCAATGCCACAATAGAAATTGTCTATTTTTTTTAGTTGTTCCAAGTTTTGCTTCTGCTATTGCCATATTCTTTCAAGACACCCACAAAATACCAAAAACCCACCCAATCCTGGTATCGGGTCGAGACTCGAGACCATAAGGTTGTTCTCGGCCCCCTAATGCTGCGTTCAGACCAAACGCGATTTCTGCGGCCAAAGCGGCGGGTCTACATTGACACAACATGGGGGACGCGCGCCAAGGAGCGGCGAGAGATCACGCGGCGCGATTCGCGCGGCCAGAGCGGCTCTGAAGAAGATGGCATAGTCTGGGATCGCGTCTTACATTCAGACAGAAGACATGTTTTATTGTCGATGGTAGACACAGCACGAACAAAGCACACGATCAAAGATACAAGAGAATGCAAGTGTATTATACAGAGCGGAGGCATGGAGACCTCCAATCAGCAGCTTCCACGGTGTGCTTGTAGCTTGGCCTTCAGATAGACAAAACAAGGGAAAAGTACAGGCTTCTGCACATTGATAGAATGATGAGTTTAACTTTAACAAAAGTTGCTTCAAAGTGTTATGAAATCTCACATTCCCCCCTCTGGTCATACATTCACGTGTGACCATCAGGATCGATAAACAGCAACATAACATCATAACTCAATACTTCAAAAACTCATAAACTCGGTACTTCACTCTGTACTTCAATAAACTCAGAACTCGGAATACTTCAAAAACTCAGAAAACTCATAAAACATGTTCAGATCTTTCATAAAACTTGTCAACAATCTTCAGTAAAATACCAAACTTCATCAGTCGATGGTGGTTCAAGATATTGCTTTGAAAACAGTCTCTCCCACTTCTCAGTGTTGGCTTCTTCAGGCTGCATTTGTGTCAAGCCATGAATTCTTCTTTGACGTGTCTTTCAATCACACGTTTCAGCTTTAGTGTCCAGATTCAGAAATCCAATTCAGTCCAAATTATGTCCAAATTCAGAAATCCAGATTGTTCCAAATGATGTCCAAATTGTGTAATCCAATTGTTCCAAATTATGTCCATGCAAAAGAGGACGCTGGTATTGTCCATGTCTCAGCAGCTCACAGCCTGACTGGAATCAGGGGCTGTGCAGATTGTCCAAGTGTGCTGGTCCAGATGCATTCTCTTGGGGTTTTTCAGTTTTGGCTTGAAAAAAAAAACCATTTTTGTGTAAAAAAAAAAAAGGTCTTCTGTTCTGTAGATGTTACAGACAAGGGCCGCATTCTTCCACCACCTGAAGAGGATGTGCCAAGTCTGGGATCGCGTCTTTAATTCAGACAGAAGACATGTTTTATTGTCGATGGTAGACACAGCACGAACAAAGCACACGATCAAAGATACAAGAGAATGCAAGTGTATTATACAGAGCGGAGGCATGGAGACCTCCAATCAGCAGCTTCCACGGTGTGCTTGTAGCTTGGCCTTCAGATAGACAAAACAAGGGAAAAGTACTGGCTTCTGCACATTGATAGAATGATGAGTTTAACTTTAACAAAAGTTGCTTCAAAGTGTTATGAAATCTCACAGCGCGAATTCGAGCGTTTCGCGCGGCGAGTTTTGCGATGTCAAGCGTTTTGACGCGCGTTTCGCGCGATTCGCGCTACCAACGCGGCCGCCGCTAGAGTTGAACAATGTTGAACTTTTTGGGAGAATTCGCATGTGCCGACCAATCAGGAGCTTTCTCCTACAGTGACGTAGTGACGCATTTCACTATGAACATATTTATCACAATTACATTCATAAAAATCACGTGACAAAACTTGGGTAGCATAAAATACATTAAACTAGTAGACAGTAAACATCATAGACAGTAATCATAGACACCATATTGTTGCATAATACTGTTTTCTGAGCTATTACATTGTGGATTGTGATTGAAAAATGACACACTTTGTAAGTATTTAGGAATTCTGAATGGGGTAAAAAACACTAACCGCAGACAGATGGACAGGCGCTCTTCAGCTGGAATAGAGCGCCTGTAGTTGGTGTCCTGGTAGGAGATCCTAGCGCCAATGCGGGTCAGTAGGTCGTCAAACTGGGCCAGGGAGAGACGAAAGTACCGCTGAAAGCGACCCTCATCCGAGCGCAGCTCCCGGAGCAAATGGTGAAACTCACCAAACTCCAACCGTCTACGGACTATCTGATGAATCCAGACACGTCGTCGATTCGCCCTTTGACGACGTTGTCTGGCTTTATTAATCAGATAGAGCCAAGCAACTCCTTCGCTGACATCCATGTTGGGAAACTACAGGGAAAAGAGACAAGCCCCGCCCCTAAACGCTCTCAACGCTCTGTGACAGCGGCTGCCCTCTAGTGTCCTGGCCGCGCGGCCAAGTTTCTCTGTGACAGCGGCTGCCACAATTTGTCACAAGCGGCTCAAGCCGCGTGATTGACACGATTTGGCCGCAGAAATCGCGTTTGGTCTGAACGCAGCATAAGAAAGCAAGCTAGCGGCACGCGGACAGTATGTCTGCTCATTCGCCCCCTACAGGCCAGGTTAATGAAATCCAAGAATAGTCTCAAATCATCAGTATTAATTTGGACAATAAATTCTAATTTAGTCTTTAGACTAAAATGTATTTTAGTTTTAGTTAAAATTGTTGTCGTCTGATTTAATTTAGTTTTAATCCAATTTTAGTCAATTCAAATTGCTTCATGTGTTTGTCGACCTTGAAGCTTCCAGCCATGATAAGGCTGCGATGCTTCTACATTTTGCCATCTCTTGTTTTCTTCTTTGTCAAACGTAGTAAGAGCCCACAGATCTTTTCCTCCCGGCCGTGGGCATGTTCTTGTTCTTTGTATCACCGATGGACACTTTACAAGCTTACGAGAGTAGTGTTGTGGTTAGCGTTGGTAATAGCTTCTGTTCACAGCTGGTGCCACCGGTGCTTACTAAGGTTCGGGCAGACCATTCGTTGTTTCTCATTTGCCTCTTAAATCTCTTCATCTGATCATCAATGAAAAGTCCCCATCAGGACATCATGCAACTGATAAATACCACCCCAGACAATGTTCCCGGGTCATCAGACTTCATCTGAACATCAAGGAAAAATATAATATCCAGAATTGGATGGTCTGTTGTTGAATGCATTGATCAACAGTATTATTATCATTATTATTATTATTATTGTTGTTGTTACAATTTGAAAGAAGGATTAAAGGTTTCATTGATTTTGAAGCGAGGTGTCTGATAATGACCTGAGATGTTTACCGTGTCCGCTGCATGTGCTGTGTCCCCCTGTTATCCACTCCACTCAAGCATCCATGTGCAATAATATTAATCACACTCAATCAAGCAGCAGCCGACCTTTCAAGGCCCGTTACCGCAGGACAAGAAACTCTCCCTAATTGTGCTGCAATGTAAAGTGTCACATGAAATGGACAGGCAGACAATCGGACGGCAACTTGGCATATGAGATTCGCCCATAGGTAAATATACAAATGTCACTCATTTTCATTTTCTCCAATTCACAGGGGGAACATGGGGTACCTGGTGTCCGAGGGGAAAGAGTAAGAGTATTTGACCAAATAATTGTAATGCAAATAATTAAAAAATGTATTGTAAGCTCTTCTGATTTTCCTTTTTTTTTTTTTTTTTCTTCAGGGAAGTGTGCTTCAAATTCAGGGGCCGCGTGGGTTTAAAGGCATCAAAGGAGACGCGGTGAGCACTGTCACAATAGTTTTCACGTGCGTGTCTTGTTCTGACACATTTTCAGGCGAGCTTTTTAAGAGAGAAAATTGAAGAAGGGAGGACCAATCAAGTCACTGCTACAGGCTCTTTCTTACAAGTAAAAAAGTAAAAGACACAATGTTATCTGACAAGCTAAAGGTAGCAGGTACAGTCTATGGTTGGGACAAACAGAACATTAATAATTTATGAAACAAACAGATACGTGAGGGCTTTAATTTTTTAGTTTTCATTGTGGTATCGTGTGTCATTTGTTAGATTGTTTGAGGATGTTTTGCTTTTGCTTGTGTTTCAGGGGGAGAGAGGACCACCTGGTTTTGATGGAGATAAGGGAGAAAAGGGGGAAGATGGTCCTCCTGGAGTTAAGGTGGGACTTTTGGATATCACAGTTTTATTTGATTTTGTAGAAAATAACCTCCGGATAAGGAACGTGTTAAATTTAGAAGATGATCCAAATCAAGTATTAATCAGACGCCAATACCAATAAGTTTTAAATCTAAATGCTAAAATTCTCCTTTTGATGTTTTTACCATGGCACGCATAAAAAAGCAAATCCTCAACCTGATCTAAAAACACCAAATTATGGAAAAAGTTTTCATTAAAATAGTAATTTTAAAAATGGGGTACGATCAATGAATATTAAACAATACAAACAAAACCAGCTAAAAGTAAAATAACATTGTAAACATCTGCATAAAAGCCATAAATATGATTTCAAAAGATATGCGTATTTGTATTCTGTTAGTGCTGACATTGTGTAAACACATTTGATTTGAATAGCTGTATTATATCTTAATTTATTTTATTTGAAGGGTCTAAAAGGAGACACTGGAAAAAAAGGTACAATTGGACGCTTTGGAGCCCGAGGGCCTGTGGGTCAGAAGGTAGGTGGACTTCATAGAAAGGCTCATGAAATGTTGTGTGATCATTTAATATGTAAGCAATTTGACTTCACAGGGAGATACTGGAGAGCCGGGTCTCAATGGAGTCATGGTAGAGTATAATTCAATGTGTCAGTGGTGTAATCATTTGATTATGTTCCTGATTGTGATTGGTGCAGCAATAGACTTTATAGAGACACGAGTACTCAAGGGGAAGCAAAGGACATTCATCTTTACCATTAAGATCGTGTAGCAAACGTTTTTGTTTCGTAGATCATCTATTGTTTTTAGTCCTTTGCATATAAGAAAAATCCTGTGAGACACTATTTGACGGTTTGGGTTGAGAGCAGACTGAAGGTGGTCCTCTCTTTTTCATGGTTGAAAAATAAGGGTAGAAACAAAATGTATTGACAGTTATGATTTATTAGACGAACTATTTTATTTCATAGTTTTTTTTTATTTGAAATTTGAATGAATTCATTTTTGTGGTTTAACAGCTGGTTACCCCAGCTTAATTTAGCTATTTTATCAATGTTGAAACTTGCTTAGCATCATCTATACCACCAATCAATGTCTGTTAAGTAAGAGGGATCTAAAAAAACAAATAAGGTGATTCTGACTATTAGCAGACTGATCGTTCCACAGATTTGATGAAGGGCTGACACTGTATTAAAGGGCCGCAATGGTGATGATGGAGTGAACGGAGCCAAAGGGGACAAAGGCGACCATGGCTTTCAGGGAGAAAAAGGAAATCAGGTACAATACCCTCAATTTTGAAAGACTGATTTACATCAGAGGTGCTCATTCTGCTCCTTTTTTCCTGTCTTCCCTTCCGTGTTAGTAGAGGTGTAACAGTGTAAATCTGTGCGCTAGAAAATCCTTGTCAACACAATATTGGTACCGTGTGTCCACCTGGTGTCACACAGTCAAAAGTGTCAAATCACTCTTCTGTCATTTCTGGTGCATATGGCCGCAATCACAGATATATGTGCACAACGAGATTTGTGCATTTGGAGGCTGCACTAGGGTTGCCAACCGTCCCTTAAAATACGTAATTGTCCCGTATTTTAGAAAGATTATGTGCGTCCCGTATTTTCAGAGTCACCTTAAATGCATCACTCGCTCACTGCATGTCACATGCGCGCGACACACACAGTAATCACAGTTTAGGCATCTACCTTTCGGCCAATCAGTGTCAAAGGGCGTAGGCTCGATCACATCCATGGGTTTAATGTTAAAAAGCGCCAGCAGCACAGAAGAATGGGAAGATTAAAAAAGCAGTTCTCTGTGCGCAAAGGTGCCGAAGCTGTTTCGGGTTTTGGCGCCGCTGTCTCGGCTCTGATCCAGTAGAACTCAGAGCTGCACTTATGGAAAGTACGCAGCTCGAAATGGCTGTTATTTCAAAGAACGTGGACTATTTTAAACTACGCGGTTAACCGCTTTCAACCGGTTAATGGTCGGTCATGAAAATTCATAGTTTTTTACATCCTTAATAGGGATCCATTTATTCCATAGTGACTAATAATGTAATTACGCCAAACGCATGCATCTCACTGCTGATGTTTTTTTCAACGTTATTGTGTTAAACATAGCCTGGCCTTAGCCGTCCGCAAACACCTGTCAGTAATATTTCGCTAAATGTACGTCTGGGTCTGATCCCAGTGGCTGCGGTTACCTCGGTTGTATCCCCTCTGACCATTCAGCGAGCGGGGGTCCGGGTGTTGTAGGTACAGTAGGTGTCGTGACATCAAATGTTTGCGCCGAATTTCTTGGTTGTGGTTTGGCCATGCCGACAAATGCGATAGTAAAGTAATAAAAACAAATTGAAGCCGGAGCAAGAGGAATGTTTAGCAAATGTCATTGCTGGCAAAGATGTTGTGGCTCTACTCCCCACGGGCTCCGTCAGTGGTAAAGGAAATGGCTAAAGCTAGGCTAAATGCTAAAGCTCAATGGAACAAATCCAGGCCTTAGTACAAAGTGAAAATAATACAATGGTATGGTAAGACCAGGCGTGATTAAACACAATGATGTGCTTAATACGTACAATGATTTGCTAGTGCATCATGATTGACTTCACAAATGTCTTGAAAATATGTATGTTGTGCATTGATAATTACTGTTGTTGTGATAGTAAATCTTTACAAACACCTCAAATCTCTCTCTTTTTTAATCAACCATCAAATGTATTTTTTTGTAGGGGGACACAGGTGAACCAGGTTTACCAGGAGACAACGGGGAGAAAGGAGAAAAGGTTTTTACGTTGCACCTATTACTCGAAAGACCGCTTAATACTTAATACAAACCGCACAAACTTTACAATACAATACAATTTATTCTTGTATAGCCCTAAGTCACAACAGAAGTCATCTCAGAGGACTTAACAAAACCATTGAAATCACCAACACAGGTCAGAGAATCAACAGTTAAAACACATGAAGAATATAAAGCACACACAGAAGAAAATGTCCATACATGTTGTAGAATGCTAAAGTGTCCTGATCATCACCAATCCTTTCTGTTGGACACTAACTGTCCAACAAGACCCTCCTGCATCAGCAAGGAAAAACTCTAGGAGAACTAGGGAAACCCACAGGGAGGGAGACCCATTTGAGAAAGGGATCCGCTCCTCCGGACGGACAGGCTGATGATCCAGGACCTAAGCTAGCTACAGAACGTGGACCAGTGGCCGCTGAACGTGGACAGGTCCGGTGCAGGACTGAAGCACTCCCAGGCGGGTCGGGCAGGGCAGTCCGCAGGTGTAGATGGAAGAGGCCAGGCTCAGAGATCCCGTCATCGTACCATGAAACAGACAATGGGATAATGGGTGAATAGCAATGAACAAACTACAGTCAAAATCCAAATAATGCTAAACAGGTAAAGTAGGACAGTAGCTCAGTTGGTAGAGCACTGGCCTTTAGGCCTGAAGGTCGTGGGTTCGAGCCCACCATAAGACCATAAGACCTACTTCACGACTCCCACTGATGACTGCTGTCGTTGTGTCCTTGGGCAAGACACTTAACCCCACTTTGCCTGAACCCCCCGCTGAAAGAACTCAGCTCCTGTGGACTCACCACCTGCAGGAGGATCAGTGAGGGGCTGGTGCTCTGTGTACTGGGTGCAGCTCTGACTGCCACCCACCCGACCCAGAAATGGATTAAGGGGAAGAAGATGGATGGATGGATGGAGGTAAAGTAGGAAGGAGGAGAGGATAGTGCTCAAGTTACCATACTTCTCCCAGCAAACTGTCTCCCTATGCAGTCTGAGGAGTTTAGCCTCCCCTGAGTCTTACCTTCCTAGCCATATGCTAAACTAAAGAGGACTGTTTTAAACCTAGCCTTTAATAAAGAGAGCGTATCTGAAAGGAGGTGAGACAGCAGCCATGGTTAGGCTACAGCACCAAGATTCATGGATTGCACACCAAGTGTGCAAACCGATACAGGCAAATAGCCTAGCTATATGCTAAATTAAAGTAGAGTGCTTTAAGCCTGTCCTTGACTGTGGAGACCCTATCTGCTTCCTTAACATGAATGGGAAGCTGATTCCACAGTAAAGGAGCTTGGTAGCTAAATGCTCTGCCGCCGACAGTGATTTTTGAGACCTTAGGAACCACCAGACGTCTGGCGTTTTGTGAGCGCAACGCTCGACTTGGTTGATACGACACTAACGTGTCTTGGAGATAAGAAGAAGCCAAGCCATTTATGGCTTTATATGTTAAGAGAAGGATTTTAAACTTTATTCTGTACTCCACAGGGAGCCAGTGGAGTGATTTTAACACCGGAGTTATGTGCTCCCTCCTTTTGGTACCTGTTAAGATCCTAGCTGCTGTATTCTGAACGAGCTGGAAGCTCTTCAAAGAGGCTTTAGGGCATGCTGCCAATAAAGCGTTACAGTAGTCGAGCCTTGAGGTGACTTTATTCTGCCTAAACAAACTGCAAACTAATCGACCCATGCTCACATCAAAGTCTCTCCTCAGACCACAGATCAAGTTAGCAATCCATGGATAATTTTTGGTTTACATATTTACAACACTACGTTATTATCCGGGTTAGGGTTATCACAGATTGAGAAAAGAAAAAAAAACAGTAGGGTACATGTCTCAGGGGGTTGAAGAAGAGCAATGGCGATGACTCAAACATGTAGAAAATAAAAACCTACTGTTACATGGTCAAAAGCTGTGGAGATTTGATTCAGCATATTTTGTTCCCTTCAAGTATATATTTTAAATGTGTTGTATTCATTTGTATTCAGGGTTTTCGAGGGGTACCTGGTCGCCCTGGAAGTCCAGGACATTATGGAGAAAAGGTTGGTGACATTTTACAATAAATACCCAAAGGTTCATTCTTTCTCGTTCCATTTTTGTTTTATTTTTATGTTTTACATCATGACTTTGACTATGACTCGAACCTCAATATTTGTAGGGCCCTATTCCAATGGGGACTTCGAACCCAGATCTTTTCAATTCAATTTATTCTTGTATAGCCCTGAATCACCACAGTGGTTATCTCAGAGGACTTAAGAAAATTGTTGAATTTGCCAACACAAGAGAATTAATGGTTCAAACACAAAAAATGCAACAAAAAAAGCTAGGGATGCACCTACACATCGGCTGTATATTGGTATCGGCCGGTGTTTGCCTTGTTAACTACAATCGGCAAAAAAAAAGACATGCTGATTGTAGTCGCATGTGAAGAGATACTGTGGAGAAGACGTCTGTGCTTTTCCTCAGTACAAGAAATAAAGAAGATGGCGGTGGTCGTCTGGCAATATTTTACAGTATCAGAAAAAGTGTAGCGTTTTGCAGTTTGCAATACACGTTACTGTGAGATTTCAAGAGGGGGGCTGCAAGAAAATCATTTACCACAACAAATCTGAGAAGCAAGCATGAGGCGCTGTATAGCGATTGCATGCAATAAAAACGGAAAAAACTAAAAGAATAAACATCAGACAAACAATGGCTATCGGCCAAATTGTTATGTTAAACATCAGTATCGATATTGGACCAAAATTTCACATTCGGTGCATCTTTACATGAACAACACATAGAGCCATTGGTCCATGGCGGCAGATGACCAATGTCCAAAAATTATGATGAATGTTATTGGATGTTCAGGGGAGTGCCCTGCATCATCACATCTTTCCTCTGAATAAACAGATGCCCGCTTTCCATTTTCATTGTCGAACTGGTACCAAGGACTGTCCAAGAAGTCAACCCAGCATCTTTTCAGCATTTTCTAAGTCCAGGCCCAAGACATGTAGACATGGAAAGATATTCATTTCAACAAGCAAGAAAGAATCCGAAAGCCAGGCAGGAGCAGCCTACTGGGAAAGCGTCCGCTCCCAGATAACATGTGTTGCTCCTTCATGCTGAAAAATCTCAGTCAAAACAACCAGGGCAAATGTGCTTCAGGCCTCGAATCCTCCACCAAATCTGTCATAAAAAATGACAGATTTTTAGACGAGATCTTAAGCTAAAATGCCTGTGGGCCTTTATTTCAATTTCCAGTTGTTTCAGTTTTTTCAGAGTTTCTAGACCAGAGTTTTATCTGACAATTTGCGTCACTGCAAGACGCCAATCCACAGGTGTTAGCTGTGACTGACCTTAAAGGCCTGAGCACTTGAATATCATGTCTTGCATTTGTCCATTTTGTGAAGGCCAGATCTCACTATATATTGCATTGTATTGTGTTGTAATGTGACCTAAGTATTTCCAGGTAAGAGGCACACACCCAATGATATGTCACATTCACAAGTCACAATACCCGATCCACAAGTTTTTGCACAAAAAAAAGTACTTTTGTCTGGGTTTAATTGTACTATCAATATTAACATGAATGAATGAGAAAAATAAAAAAAATCATCAGTAAAAGGATACTCAGAGGATTTTTATCAATGGTTTTATGTGTTGGTGCGGACACCCGGAGAGCCTGAAAGAAACCCACAAAGACACGGTTAGAAACAAGCGCCGCATTAAATTGTCGCTACCCACTCAGCCACTGTAATACCACGGCATCATTCTATAGATATTGTTACATCAATCCTCTGTAGAATGATGAGACAATATAGAAATAATTATGATGATTTATTGATAAACATAAAGGACAAAGTTTCCATAAAAGGATCTAATCAGTTTTACATTTCTCTTTGTAAACAGGGAAACATGGGTTTGCCTGGAAGCCCTGGAACCCCTGGCCTAAATGGACTCACAGGACCCAAGGTTGGTTCACACAAGGAATAAGCAAATGATTTTATACTCAAATATATTTTACATTTGTCTGAACATTGCTTTTTCAGGGAAATAAAGGTGAAGGAGGGCTGAATGGAGCGGATGGAGCAGTTGGGGTGAAGGGTGACAAGGTAATTCCCTCTTAAGAAATATTATAGGTTCTGTGAATATAATAATAATAATAATAATAATAATGATTCAGTTTTATATAGCGCTTTTTTGGACACTCAGACGCTTTACATGTCATTATTCCTTCACTCCACATACACGGTGGTGATAAACTACTACTGTAGCCACAGCTGCCCTGGGGCACATTGACAGAAGCGAGGCAACCATTATATGCTATCAGCCCCTCCGACCACCACCAACCATTCACACACACACCAGACTCATTCTAGGCAAAGGGGGTGAAGTGTCTTGCCTAAGGACACAACGGCATTTTGGCACTTTACAGCCGCAGCCGCCCCACTGTGGCGCCTGGTGTTCCCAGAGGTTAAGTGTCTTGCCAAGGACACAACGACAGCAGACAGTGGGAGTTGATAGTGAAAGTCTTGAGGTGGGCTCGAACCCATGACCTTCTGGCTCAAAGGCCAATGCTAACTGATCATATTCTTTCCACGTATGCTTGTATGAAAATGTGTTTTGCATTGATCAATGGGTGGTTTAGCACTTGTTTTACTCAAATAATAGGTTTCCCATCAGTTCTTTTCTGCCAACCAACTCATATGTGAAAACTATTGAGTTCTTGGAGATGTGAACGTACAAATAAAACAGAATCCTACATATTTTGAGTCAAATCAAATGCTCTGGGATGAATCAGTTGTAATAAAATTCACGGCGTTAAATGCACTGTATGCTTTCTAATCTGTGCTTCTTGGGTCAGGGAATAGCTGGATTTCCTGGTTTCCCTGGATTCAAAGGATCGGCTGGAATCTCAGGCAGAGACGGAGACGTGGGACCACCCGGAGCGCCAGGACTGAGGGGCCTCACCGGGCCAAAGGTTAGGTTTTGATAATGTTTAGATCATGGGCCTCCAACCTAAAGCTTGGGAACTACCAGTATCTCACTATCATCTTCAAAGTACCTCCCCTAAGGATAATTTTATGAGAATTATTATGATAGATTTTTATGGGTACAAGGCTACACAACATACATTTTGAAAAAGAAGCTTTCTGCCAGTGCTGTTCTGAAAAAACAGTAGCTCCCCAAGAGAAAAGGTTGGAGACCACTGGTTTGGATTGTTATATATTTCTAGTAATATGTTGCATACATAGCATAAAGGACATTAACAGTGGTAGATGGGTCTTTTATTACTTCCACAATGAGACAATAATTTTTCAAATTGAATGCACAAAAGAATGGACATAAAATAAATACTTGAAATTCACTTGTAGAGAGTAAACCTACCACATGAGGCATGCTTCCATTCTTTAAAGGCTGATTTTCTTTTTCATAAATTAACGTTGTTGTCCCAACAATAATTGTTTTTATATTTTGCATAATAGTAAGAGAGAGTCCTGTGTGTGTCTCTTTCTAACCTTGGGCTGAGAGCTGATTGGCTGAGTGAGGGCGGTCCTTTCTCTTTTCTGTGTGAAAAAAAATATGAGAGTGGCCAAAAATACATGCATGTGAAAACTGTTGATGATTATATTGCATAGTACAATTAATAGTCTTGGCTACCATAACTTTTAACCACAAGACTTTCCAGCAGATAAACATTGAATTACGGTTCTAACGAGTTGCGTCACTTGTCGAGTTGAGCTGGCAGCTGAAGCTATCCAATATGGCGGACATAAAGTCCATGCATTGTGCAAAAAGTTTAAATACAAACGAATTAAGACACAAATATCACTTATAATGCAATTTGAGGCGAGATGTTGATGAATAGCTTCCAACTTAGAGTTCTGGGTCGGGGGGTGGCCAGAGCTGCACCCAGTACACTTAGCACCAGCCCCTCACTGATCCTCCTGCAGACGGTGAGTCCACAGAGGATGGCTGCTCTATGGCCTAGCCTTGGTCTTTCAGTGGGGGCTTCAGGCAAAGTGGGGTTAAATGCCTTGCCCAAGGACACAACAACAGCAGTCATCAGTGGGAGTCGGTGGAGAAGGTCTCGTGGTGGGCTTGAACCCACAACCTTTAGGCTCAAAGGCCAATGCTCTACCAACTGAGCTACTGTCGCCCCACAGGAGCAGTGACTACTTAAACTTAAACCAAACTTCACACAAAACTTTGACTCTTAAAACCCACATAACACGGAACCACCAACATCTCGCCTCAAATTGCATTAAAAGTGAAATTCGTGTCTTAATTTGTTTGTATTTAAACTTTTAAAGCAATTCAGACTTTATGTCCGCCATCTTGGTTTGCCTCAGCTGCCGTGAGATGTGCCTGCGCAGGTTTGCATTACATCATAAACAGCTGAGGCAGCTCAACTCGACCGAACAACGGCATCAAATACTTCCCAATTGAACTTTCTTATTGTCTAAATGTCATGTTTGTGTTTGTGCCCTGTGACTGTTATTTGTTGTGTCATTATCAGTTCAGTCATAGGCGAGAATAGAAAAGTTAAGTCTTTATAAAGTCATTGCATTCATCAGTGCTTTGCTGCACTTTGAACAACTCAGACTCAGCTTATGAGGGGATCAGAGGTAGGGATGTAAAAAACTATGAATTTTCATGACCGACCACCGAGCCTCATTAACCGGTTGAAACCGTTTAACCGCGTAGTCTAAAATATTCCACGTTCTTTGAAATAACAGCCATTTCGAGCCGCGTACTTTCCATAAGTGCAGCTTATCCAGTAGAACCTGAGTTCTACTGGATCAGAGCCGAGACAGCTGCGCCAAAACCCGCAACAGCTTCGGCACCTTTGCGCACAGAGAACTGCTTTTTTAATCTTCCCATTCTGCTGTGCTGAGGGTTAAATTTTTAAGCAAAAGACGGCTCGTCCATGGTCAGAGCAGCGAGTGACGCGTCTCACAGGTCTCCGCTAAAGTTTAAAAGTGATGTGTGTGGAGCTGATCTAATGCCAAGGACCATAAACACAAACATGTTTCATGAGGTTTGACTGGAGCCGCGTATTTGCGAGGATCCTTTGAGCTCCGTGACACAGAGGAGCGCGACAGATCGGTATGTGTGTGTACAATACATGTATGTGTGTATGTGTATGTGTGTGTACAATACATGTATGTGTGTATGTGTATGTGTGTGTACAATACATGTATGTGTGTATGTGTATGTGTGTGTACAATACATGTATGTATGTGTGTGTAAATATAAGCTCCAATGTAGTTCTGACCCGCGCCAGTGTGCAACTAGCAGACGGTAACAGAGGGGAGAGATGATGCGTGTGGACGTTACGATCAATGGAGGGAGGGAAAGTGTGTGCATGTGCATGTCTGAACAACTGTGTGTCACCACTGTTCTCTGGCCTCATGGTGAGGTGTCAGGGCTCTCCCAGACCTTCCACCAGAGCCTCAGTTAGCGGGGATTGTGTGCTCCCTAAGTTTAGAAAATCTTTTGGACAGTCGAGCTTCTCCTTTAGAGGGGCTACACTGTGGAACTCTCTCCCCATTGCACTGAAACTGCAGAATAATATCAACATCTTTACCAGAGAGCTTAAACAGTGGCTCAAATCGGGCCAAACTTGTTCCCATGTTTAAAACATGTCTTATCTTGTTTAATAATGTGTTTTATTGTAACCTTGTTTCCTAATGTGTTTTATCTTTGCAACCTAAAAGCCCCCTATGGACAGGTGTTGAAAATTAGCACTTGTGCTATAACACTTTAAACAATGCATCTGGTTCGTCCAATGTTAATTGCTATGTCCATATTAAATAAATAAATAAAAAATAAAAAAATAAAAATAAAAATGAAAATGGAGTTTACTGTAACATTGACGCACACGGCTAGATACGGACCCGCTCGTCACATCGTGCAAATAGGGCTTAAAATAGCGTTATGAAGAGACCTCCCCTTTTCCTCTTTTTTAACCGACAGCTTTGACCGGTTAACGCTGTGACGGTCAACCACCGGTTAAACATCACCGATTTACATCCCTATTCAGAGCCCCATGTTGAAATAAGTTTTGGGCAAATAATGAAAATGTTATCTTCAAATTGTTAGTTAAAATTATAATACTTCAGTTAATGTATCAAGTTTATTGTGACTGAAAAGACTGGATTTGTTTGTACATATTTTTATTTTAGATCATAAATAAAATTTATTCAATCAGAGAGAATGTGAACAAAAATGTACACACACACACACACGTGTCACGTGGATGAAAAAACAAGGAGACCCAAAATGCTAAAACTGCAAAATAATGGATTTAATAAAAGTAATACAAATCCAAAACCACAAGGAACAAGGACAGAACTAAAACAGACGAGGGATGACAATGACGGAACAGGGAGTGAAGGAACACACAGGGCTAAATACAACAATAACGACACACAGGTGATACACATGAGGGCAGGGCAGGTCATCAGACAACAGGAAGTACAACCAAAGAAGACACAGGGATTAAACAAACTACAAAATAAAACAGGAAATAAATCTAAAGCATGACAACACACACACACTAACTGTGATAACTGTTCTAGACCACTAAGAGTGATAATACATGTGGCCCATTTAATATGCAAGTCAGGATGTTTTTTTTCTTTTCTTCTTTTATTAAGTTCTTTGACTTGCTTTTTGAATTCAGCAACTGAATGGTTTACATGTATAATGAACAACATTTAAAGCGTTGTATTGTATGTGTTGGTTAATGCTAAATAGTATCAGCATTTCCACAGACACCAGGACCAGTGTCTTTGACTGAAGTAGGATCCACACTAGTGTAAACTAATGTAAATGAAGGTTTATCAACTCAAATATTACTAGTTATTCACAAACATGTCTACCACTGCGTCCCAGCGTGTAACTTTTCCTTTGAAGGTCAAGTTACAAGTCAGGTCTATGGAGAGACAAGCCCACATAAAGAGAACAATATCCTGTCTGCTTTAATCTATGGGATTCATAAACACTGGTCTATTTTAGTCGGCAGCTTCCCAGTAATAACCTGCTCAATTAGTTTCTATCAGCTATGATTACTCTTGCCTTAGTGTTGGCAGAGAATGACCAGTCCACAGCAGCAAGGAATGTGTCCAATGGCATCATAAGCTATAACTGGCATGCTTTGTTTGTTTTTATTATCATTATTTTAGGAATACAGATTAAACTCTGAAAATTAGAACGTTGTTTAAACGTTAATCATGGAGTCAGGGAGATATATCAAGCCTTTATTTGTTAAAACTGTTGATAATTGGTTCACAGCTTGTAAAAGCCCTAAATCAAACTGTAATTTTTTAAAAATATGCCATTATCAAATAGCCATAATCATCAAAATTATAAATTAGCATTTGTCCCTTTGAATGTATTGAGTCTATGTCATATATTGATTTCATATTTTAACTTGTATCACAGGAATACTTTTTTATTTTTTATTCTACTATTTCCTCAGCATCCACTGTTGTTGGCTCCATTCAAGCTCCTCCCAACCCTGCTGTGTTTTCAAACTCATTACACGTTTACAAATCCTCAACCTATGGCGTCATGTTTGTTTTCTGCCTTTCAAAATTAAGTAATTATTTTTCAGATTTTGCAGTCAGTGCACAATCTTCAAAACTACCTGTCTTCAATTAGATCGATCTATGATGAAACTACAGTCCAGCGAGATAGCAGAATTTAACTCGTTCTGAAACAACACAAATAATGCTTCTGTTTTTTCTCTTTACAACATTGAACTTATGCTGTCTTCAGCATTCTGTGTTCAGTGGTTGAAATATTCTGATCCAGATAATATAAAATGACAGCTTTTCCCCATGGGCTGAAAAGAAGAGAGTGACGTATGGAAGTAATCTTGCACACTGCCATGATGTTTAAATATGTTCATATGAATGTGTGTCTTCAGGGTGCGATGGGTCGCCGAGGCCGGTCAAAGCCCTGTCAGAAGGGAGAACCAGGAATCTCAGGTCTACGAGGGCTTACAGTGAGTTAATTTAATTTCCCCACTGTAGCACAAGAAAAGGATCTCTTAATCTTCCGTTATAGAGGTAATTGTTCTAAATTTCTTGTTTTGTGACTTTTAGGGAATGATTGGGATTGATGGCATTAAAGGAGACAAAGGAGAGCCTGGACTATCGGTAAAACTACTATCGGCTATAATTACTATTCATAACACAACATGCAGTTTGATTTCTTTATATTCAATGAACTTTGAAGCACAATTCTGGATTTCTGACTTATTATGTGTTTGTCTTTTGCCAGGATTGTGCCAAAAAATGAATGATCAGTTAAATTTCACAGTGAGATTTTTTATTATTTATGAAATTAGTATGTCTCAGTTTTACAGCTATAGATAATAGCTTCTGCTTTCCTTGTTACAAACGTGTGTGTTACTAAAGCTGTATTCAAATCAATTCAGTTCACCAATAATTATCTATTACCAGTAACGCACACACACACACACTGTTCACATTATAAGGTGATCAAATAATCTAAACATTATTTAATTTTTTGGCAACTTTTTTAGAAATGATTTGCAAAACTCAACTCAACTCTGGTGCAAATAATTGGAGGCTTTCCGTGCTATGTTGTAAATAATTGTGAACATGTGTGTTTCTAGGCGTCTGAGGTGAAGGAGCTGGTGTCACAGGAGGTGGTGGACCAGTGCGGTGAGGGCATGTTCTCTTCTCTGCTCGACACACTACACTCTAAAAAAAAATGCATTGGCAAAACTTAATAAAATTGAGGCAGCATTTTGCATGCATCTTTTTAAGTTTTGCGAACAAGACTGTGTTTTAAGTATTCTTTGTAAGTCTTTTATCATTGGTCCAGCACAATTTTTTCAATACCACCAACTTGGATAATTGAGTTATAAAGACACTTTGTTAAGTATATTCAGCAAGTGTTTTAGCATCAGTTCAACTTAATTTTAACAATACTACCAACTTAAATAATTACATTGAAAATAAATCTTTTTGAGTATATTCAACAAGTGATTTTCAGTCAGGAATATGTAATCTTTATTCAAATACCATCTTTTACAGATCAGATTCACAATACGGTTCACAATTGTTAATTTTAGGCAGTAGTCTCTCACTCCACATGTATATGAGAGTGGACCAGCACAGTCACCTGTACTCATGTCCTCCTTAAAGTATTTGTTCAAAATTGAAGGGTGACACAGGGAGTATAGGACTGCTTTGGCTTGGCCCTCTCGATCATGGTTGATAAAAATAAATACAATTACTTATTTGGTCAAATTAGTTTATTCAGAATGTTGCTCAAGTATTTTGCTTTAGGACTTGCTTCATATTCAGTTTTAAAATTAATGCTCAAATGTAGAATTTTTAAGAAGTTTATATTTTTCGCTGCAATGCATTCTGGGTAGCGTCACTGCTTCGCCACATTTTGTTTTCAAGCAACACAATATATTTATTTTGAATCAACTCAATATATTTATTTTGAATCAACTCAATATATTTGTTTTTTCATTAATGGGCCACCAGGCTTACAAGAGGATTTTCATGTTGAGCAAACTCAATACTTCTCCGTTGTCCAGTTATGCCAGAATAGCAAGTTCAAATTTGTTACAAAAATGAGTTAGGATTCTTGTATTAACTTTTAATTGAGACCGACATGTTTAAAATGAGTTGCGACCACACTAATTTAAGTAAAACTGGCAAAAATCAATTATTGAGTTTAGTTTAGTATGTATTTTGAGTTCAAAATACTAACCACCTGAATCATTTCTTTGAGTGTACACACTGGGGCTGTGTGTGACTCTGGCTCTTCAGTCATTTAGAATTGTTTAATTGTAGGACGTCCCTAAATATGAAGTCTACGTTTTGAGAGAGACTTGGCCAAGAGGGAGCGAAGGTTTACATGTAAAGCGGGGAAAAAGAACTATAATGGGCAATCATGTAAAAAAAATTTGTGTGCGTGTGTGTGTGCGTGCTTGTGTGTGCGTGCTTGTGTGTATGCTAAGTCTTGTGGATGCGTGCCTCTTGTGTGGCTGGAGCTCGGCCCCTCTGAGTGCCTCCATCTGTTGGTTCTGTCAGAAGAACACAATGTAGTGGAGACATCACTGGGCTCACTCAGACAACACACACTATTAGAAACACTAGCAGCACATACTGTTTTTAAGAGGTTTAGAATTCTCCCTTCTCCCCGACCCACAGCCAAGACCCAAGACTTCACTCAATCCTGTTTTTACTTTTTACATGAATACGTTTGGATTTGGCAGCGTTGTGCAGACATCAGAGTAAATCTGTCTGCTGGCTCAACAGTCAGGCGCACTGGCCAATAGGCACAAAGAAATATGGACATTTTCAACACACTCATCAGTGGACTCAAATCTTTCAGATGATAACTTCAAGATGAGAACACCTTTAGAAACTGGTAGAATTTGACAATTGCAGCCCACAGTACAGAGCAGTGTGAATATAGTAAGCTTTCAGATACAAGATAAATCAAAAATTATATTGGCCTCAATATTCCTGGTCGTGCATTTATATTTAGTCAAAAGCTTTTGTCAAATCAACAATCAAGGATACACAATCCTGTCTGTCATCAAGATGTATTAATTAGGTGAGGTGAGATATAGGAGATGTCTAGAAGGCATCCAAAACTGATGCCACATCAAGGACCAGTGGCTCTGTGTCCCAATTCTTCTTTATTTCAGGTCTGGAATATAAGTTCATGGTGAAGTCTGTGGATCCGGATGGCACTAAACCGGTGAGGGGAGATAAGCCACACAGTCCTGAGAATTCCCTGGGACTGAGTTCAGGTCTGAACCATAAGGAGGGGCCAGAGGAGGGGCCTGAGGAGGGACCTGAGGAGGGGCCAGAGGAGGGACCAGAGGAGCTCCTTCACACTGCTGCCACTCTGACTCCAAGAGAGAAACCCGAGCCAATAAACCGCACTGGTAATGTAGTAGTAGTATATACAGTACTTTATAAAAAAGAGACACTCCACTCCCATACGTTACTCTTAACAACGCCGGGTCGCGAGGGCAGCAGTCTCAGCAGAGACACTCAATCTCACGCTCCATCCTTCCCTCACTCGTGAACAAGACCCCGAGATACTTGAACTCCTCCACTTGAGGAAGGACCTCTCCACCCACCTGGAGAGGGCAAGGCACCTTTTTCCGGTCGAGCACCATGACCTCAGATTTGGAGGTGCTGATTCTCATCCCAGCCGCTTCACACTCGGCTGCAAACCGTCCCAGTGCATGCTGCAGGTCCTGGTTCGTTGGAGCCAACAGGACAATGTGGTCCGCAAACTGCAGAGATTAAATCCTGTGGTGCCAGAACCGGACCCCGTCCTGCCCCTGCTAGCACATGTCAAGTCAAAAGCCCACACTTTTAACCTATTGAGTTAAATAAAATAAACGCAGCCTTACACACTCTCAAAGGAACAATGAAAATGAAAATATTTGATATCCATCCTGTTTATTATAGAGCCCCTTTCAGCTTCACAAAACAATTAACCATTATATACTATAATCAAGTCAAGAATAAATAAATACAATTCTTCATCTTTCACTTTGGTCGTGTTCTCTATCAACCTAAGAGTAACAGAACTAATTTGGTTCCGAACCTATCCAAACCCAGATAAAAATAGAAACAAATTCTTCCAATTAATGATAAAGACGTGTGTCATGATATTGTACTGTGTTACTTTTCTACAGTATTGTTCTTGGTTCTTGAGTAAATTCAATAAAAACAGACTATTTTGTCATCGAAAAGTCTTCACTTACTGGGGCTTTAATTGTTACTTTAGTCATCATTGATTTGTGTTGAACCATTGTCCAGTTATCTGCCAGGGTTCTTCAGCTGACACTAGACACGCACAGACAATTCCAAATTGTGCTTGTCTTTTTCCAAGTACTTTGAATACCATCAATGAAAATAATGACTTGTTAATGTCAATGGACAACTTTGGCCTGTTCTGGAAGCGTCACGTGGCCTATCGTCCAGATGGTCTGCACCCGAACAGATACGGCACCAGTTTGTTGACGGACTTCCTACGCCATGTTGTTCAGTGCTCCCCGAGGGGGGCGTGACTGTTTACATCCGAGGCTTCTCGGCCCCCACTACCCCCCTCCTCCTCCTCCTTACCAGCACCGGGTGAGTACTGTGGTGCAAACACTGACCCCTGTCAGTCTGGCAGTGTAACGACAGTCCTGCCACTGAACTGTGCTGACTCAGTTATGCATCTGGAACTTAACAAAGTACAACAGAGTTCACTTTTTAAACCAATAGAGACTGTGTGTGTTTCTCGCACCAGCTCAGAAATGTGTTTTAACTTGAATAAACACAAATTTAAAAGAAGGACAGCAGTTAGACGGTCCAACTCAGGAAATCTAATTCCAGTTCTTTGTAATCAATCAACTAAACCCATTGACACTGATATTAATTTTAACCTTGCTCTACTTAATGTCAGATCACTATGCAACAAATCATTTTTAATTAATAATTTTATCTGTTCGTATGATCTTGATTTTATGTTTATGACTGAAACATGGCTTGACCATAATACAGGAGATGCAGTTTTAATAGAAGCCTCACCACCAAATTTCAAATTTGAATATGAAACACGAGAAAATAAAAGGGGGGGGGGGCATAGCAGCAGTTTTTAAAGATCGTATTGTCTCCCATAGAGTGTCTCTTGGGAAATTTTCATCATTTGAGTATGTTTCTTTTAAAATAGAACAAAAGAAATCTTCTTCCATTCTTATTATTGTTGTGTACAAGCCGCCACAGTCATGCCATAGTTTCACTGATCATTTCACTGAGTTGCTTTCAGTTGTGTGCACAGATTTTGATGGTTTGGTCATTGTAGGTGATTTCAATATACATGTGGATAATGCTAATGATAGATATGCAATAGAGCTGAGCTCTGTGCTGGAAACCTTTGGTCTCACTCAGCATGTGAGTGGCCCCACCCACAGCAGAGGACACACTCTCAAGGGGGTTAATATTTCAAATGTAAATGTGGTCAATGTTGCTCTGTCTGATCATTTCTGTGTATTTTTTGACATGTGTCTTGATTGTAAACCACCAGCTGAATCTTCGGTTGTTAGAAGAAGACACATAAATGATAATACAGGCGAACTGTTCATGGGGAGGGTAAACTTTGAGAACACGTTGTGTGTTACTGTAGATGAATTACTTGATTCTGTCACCACCACTGTTTTGAATGTTCTGGATACAATTGCTCCTGTAAAGGTTAAAATAGTTACAAACAAGCAAAAAGCGCCATGGACTAAAGCAGACTCGGTCAGGGCACAGAAGAGAGAGTGCCGGAAGGCCGAGCGGAAGTGGCGAAAGTCAAATCTCAAAGTTGACCATGAGATCTTCAAAGATGCGTTGTGCAATTTTAACAGGGAACTACGTAGAACGAGGGAAATGTACTTTTCTGAAACTATTGAAGGCTGTAGCAACAATCTACGTGTTCTGTTTTCAACAGTAAATAGATTGACGAATCCCCCTGTTAAGATGCCATCAGAACTTACTTCCAAATCTAAATGTAATGAGTTTGCTCAGTTCTTTAATGACAAAGTCCAAGGTATCAAAAACGCCATCACCTCCACGATAGAAATAATAATCCAACCGCCAGTGAGGCTTTTTGGGCTGACGCACTTTACACCAGTACAAATTGAAACTGTCCAGGAGATAATCACTAGTCTGAATTCCTCCACATGCAGCCTGGATGTATTACCTGCTAGATTTCTCAAGTCAGTTCTGAGCAGTCTTTTACCTTCACTTACACAAATAGTTAATATGTCTCTTGAATCTGGAACATTCCCAATGGCCTTGAAAACGGCGGTCATCAGGCCCCTCCTAAAAAAGAGGAGTCTGGAAGCCCTGGCACTCAAAAATTATCGGCCCATTTCAAATCTGCCTTTCATGGGAAAAATTCTAGAAAAAGTTGCCTATAAACAACTTACAGAATTTTTAATAATCAATAACGCTTATGATATGTTCCAGTCAGGGTTTAGACCCCACCACAGCACTGAGACCGCGCTAATAAAGGTAACAAATGACATCAAACTAAACACTGACGCAGGAAAAGTCTCAGTCCTTTTTCTGTTAGATTTAAGTGCTGCTTTTGACACTATTGATCATGGCATCCTCATTCAGAGACTTGAGGACTGGGTTGGTGTTGCTGGCACCGCCCTAAGCTGGTTTAGGTCCTATTTACAAGACAGAAAGTTTTTTGTGGAGATCGAAAACTGTACCTCAGACCACTTGGCCCTGACCTGCGGAGTGCCACAGGGGTCAATCCTGGGTCCTCTTCTGTTTAATATTTACATGTTGCCTCTAGGTCAGTTGATTCACAGTAATAATGTCTCTTATCACAATTACGCTGACGATACTCAGGTCTATGTGTCCCTGACAGCAGGAGAGCATGAACCAGTGGACTCGCTCCTTCACTGTGTCCAGCAAATCGGTGATTGGATGCAAAATAACTTTCTCCAACTAAACACCGACAAAACTGAAATAATTGTTTTCGGACCCCAGAAACAAAGAGAGAGCGTTATTTGTCACCTCCAGGCTCTCTCTCTACAACCCTCAAATCAGGTCAGAAATCTAGGAGTGATAATGGACTCAGACTTAAATTTCAAAAGCCACATAAAATCTGTAACATCAGCAGCTTATTACCACCTAAAAAACGTTGCTAAAATTAAAAACATAGTGTCTAAGGCAGACTTGGAGACTCTTATACACGCTTTTGTCTCCAGTCGGTTAGACTATTGCAATGGCCTGCTCACAGGTCTGTCCAAACAGGCTGTAAAACAGCTGCAGTACATTCAACATGCAGCAGCTCGAGTCCTGACATAGAACTGGGAAGTACGACCACATTAGTCCAGTTCTCAGGTCTCTGCACTGGCTTCCTGTTCCTCAGAGAATAGACTTCAAAGCAGCTTTACTTGTGTACAAGTCTCTCCATGGTCTCGCGCCAAGGTACATCCATGACATGTTTGTGCCATATGAACCGACCCGGACTCTGAGGAGCACAGGGACTGGACTCCTGTTAGTGCCCAGAGTCGGTACTAGACATGGGCAAACTGCACTTCAGATTCATGCGGCTAGAGTCTGGAACAGTCTTCCTGAGAATGTGAGACAGGCGTCTACTCTGGCATCTTTTAAATCTAGGCTCAAAACAATTCTGTTTAGCTGCGCATATACAACTGAATGATTTTATCTTTTCATCTTTGTTTTTATCTTTAATCTTTTTAATGCACTGTGACTATTTATGATTTTAGTCCCATCTGTGATTTTAATGTTTAAAGGTTTTTAATTTTTGTGATTTTAATTTTAATGTTTTTAATATATCTTGTGCTCTTAATGTGTTTGATTTATGCATGATGTGATAGGGGATGTGAAGCGCTTTGCGTTGCCTTGTGTAGGAAAGGCGCTCTACAAATAAACGTTGATTGATTGATTGAATGGATGAATGTGGAAGATATTATAATATAAACTTTGAACTGAGAGACATATGACACTGAGATATTCTTTCACTAATTATTGATTGATTTATTTCAGTCATTTTGGTGCAAAGAAATAGTACAATTACAAAAACAGAAACATAATAGCATACTTTACACAGACTGAAAAGGCGTAGGCTGAAGCTTAAACTTATTATGCCTCTGCTACCTTTGTGTTTTTCTCATTGAAAATACAAAAGAACGAGATGAAAAAGAAAACCATCTGGCCACTCATCCTTTGGACAATTATTGGACTCTTGGATTTAAGAGTCATATTTTTATACAGTCTTTTGAAATGAAAGAGAGGTGCTTTGTTTAAGTTCCTCTGTGCAGTTATTCCAGAGGTCGACCCATTTAATAGAAATTCAGATACCCTTTGTAAGACTTCACCTCAGAGCTCATAATACCTTTGTCTTATGTCAAAGATCCCTTGCAGCGTTTGAGACAAAAGTTTGTTTTTAACTCTAAACATGATTTTTACAGTATTTAACTCTACTAGGTCATAAAAATTCAATGTTTTAAGATTTGTAAATAAAGGATGAGTTGTGTTTAGAGAACGTGATGGGTCTTATTGCCTTTTTTACACCGTAGCAATTGGTTTGGTGTTTGTTTTGTAGATAATTCCCCAAATCTCTATACAGTACGTTATATAAGGCATGGCATACTGTATAATAATTCAACCTTATTGATCTATTTCCTTTTTGTTGTTTGAGTTTCAGGTTGAGAGAGTAATGTTTCACAAAACCCATATCGACTCTAGATAGATAGATAGACACTTTATTGATCCCTGTAGGAGAAATTCAGGTTTCCAGTTGCAGCAGAAACACATCCATCTATACAAACAAAACAAAAACATCGATAATTCTAAAAATAGCCAACAATAGTGTTAAAATGCACCCACACTTTAGGTCACAGCAGCAGAGGTGGAGCAGGACAGGTCACGTTCATGTACTGTGTGTATGATAGTATATGTGTTTCTATCTTGTACACATAATACTTTTCAAGTTAAAGAAAGTCATTTATACAGTACTGTTGCCTCATTAGGGATTCATTAGGGACTATAGCCTGCGGTAAGAATAGGACGCTGTATCTTAATTAGCTGCTTTTCTGGCGTCAGGTAAACACAACAAAATGTAAGAATTGACATTGCCCCGTGTCAATGTCATCTTGCTTGTTTATTGACTTTTTTCCTGGCTTGAATTTTTTTTTGTAACTTTGAATATTAGGTAATATCAAAACAATAGTTTGCCAAGAGTGCTTAACTTGCATCTGAAAGGGGAACACATTGCCAAGTCAATCCGACGCGGGTCCAAAAATCCTCTGGCATTTCTTGAAAGTGGTCCTGTCTTAGTCACTTGGTGTTTAACTGATGTTGTTTTTGGCTTCAGACACTGTTCAGCGAGACGACGTGGCCAGGATGAAAAGAGGAGTGTTTGGAGCACGTAATAGTGGTGAGATTTGATTTGCGTTATGTTTTCTGTCCGTACAGACTTGCTTAGTTGACGTGATGAGTAGTGCACAGCCACAACACAGCTTTTCATCCAGATGGACAGATCCCGCTCATGATTATATAGTACAACAAACCAAGTCCTGTGCTGTTTTAAAGGCTTTAAATATACGTCTATAAGCTTTTATGAGACGCTGTTTGCATCTGTTAGTTGGTGGCACAGAAATAGAAAGGTTTGGATCATTTCCTTGGGAGATAGATGGGACTTATGCCATGCTGTGGTCTTCATAGGATTCAGCTTCTCATCTTTATGAAAGCCATGAGGTGTTGGGTCATAGGGATAGTATGCATAAAGGTAGTTTGAAGGCCATCTATGAAAATAATGACATGTCAATGGATAAATGTTGAACTGATGCATTTGACATTGAGATATCTTGTTTCACTAATTGAACACTATTGATCTATTTTCTTTTTGTTGTTTGAGTTTCAGGTCGAGAGCAGTGTCTGGAGCCGATGAAGGAGGGGTCCTGTTCAGAGTACATGTTACTGTGGTACTTCCACGCCCCGTCGGGGGAGTGTAGGCCCTTTGTGTATGGAGGTTGTGAGGGAAACCAGAACAGGTTCTCTACCAGGCAGCACTGTCAGCTCTGGTGTGGGCCCGGGCAAAAAGGTACCAATTTCATAAATGACAAATGATAAACTCCCAATAATTGCTTCTGCCCAAAGAGAGGCATTGTGTTCCTCCAGTGTGTTTGTTTGTTCATTTTTCAATTTGAGTTTGAGTCAGAAACATAACTCAAACAGAATATTCAGGAAATCTCCATGATGGCCTCCAAAGTGTAATCACTTTGGAGGTTCACAGTCTGGATGCAGGAACTTTTATTAAAATATTATTAAGTATTATTTCTAGTGCAGATGGGGTTGAGAGGGGTGACAAGCCATCAGCACAGCTGCTGTAAACTCATTGCAAACAGCTTAAACAATGGCACTCTTCCTCTTAGAGCAGATCCACACTTTTGTTTTTGCTAAGATGGAATCATTTTTAACACTCTGAGGCTGCTGGAGTGAATGTCAAGTACTTTACCAATGTATCAGCGGTTAGACCCGACCATACTCATTCACCTTGATTCCTGATTAGACGAAAAACCTTAAAATCCTTGATTGACAAGCAAGCACTCTCCTTACTAATCAAATGTATATATATTTATTAATTTTCAAAATTAAGTACATTTTGAGAAAATGACATCTACTTTATGTGAGCATGTAAAACAATGTCCTTCCAGGCTAAATCTGGGCATTGTGAAAAATCTTTTTTATGATGTTACTTTTCTTTTGTTGAAAAAGAGTTGTTGACAGTAACTAATTTCATAAATGCCCTTTTCTCTGGTGCAAACATGTTTACATTGATTTTTGTTGAAGTGTCCAGACAGGACATTATCTGCTTCACATGATATGGTGTGTTGTAATGTCATTTCAATCATATTCATTCCAGCTACTCATACATACACGTGTGACTACCTTTCGATACTGGTTTTAGTATTAATTCCTGTCTGTATCCGTGTCAAACTTAGTAACTATCTTGTATTTGTAGATCAACTGGCACTGAATCGTGGAGATGAAGACTGATATACATCTTGATTCTCGTTATGAATGTTGCAATAATGTTGAAATGTTTTGTACAATGTTTTATTTATGCAGCTTTTTACAACGAATAAATAAACAGTGTTAAATATGAGTCATTGTTTATGTGGCACTCACAGGTTTGCATACAGTCAGGTTTTCCAGTCCATTATTAATTCCCATTTTTTTTGCAAAAATCATCCAAGTGTAATTTATGCTGTTTATGTTTAACTATGCAAAATACATTCAGAAATAATTCCTCAATACCCAGGTGTCCCGGTGCATTCTTCAATTAGGATACGTGTTATAATTTACATCATAATTCTGCTCTACAGAAGGCCTATTGACCAGTGCTAGGAGAGTATGGTAAGGAGCCCCCCAATGTTTATCCCATAGACCAGCTAGCAAACATTTACCCTCATTCAATGGTTAGAAAGCAATTTATCCCAGTGATTCTCATAATGCCACACAATTATTTAATATTGAGAGCAGATTAGGGATTTATTGAACATCCCCCACATTCAGTAAGATATACATAAGGAAAGGAGATGCCATTAAGAAATGTTCCCGCTGTGGGACGAATGAAGGATGTCTTAATCCTAATTTCATTTGGTGATAAAAGGTATAATTTGAGCAAGGGGCTCCGGAGACAGAGGACTAAAACAGTATCCTTGTCCCGAACTCCTGGCAATGGTAAAGGGTGAAGAACAGTTTGTGCCGGTGGGTACCATTGCAAATAAATATTTTGAAGAACATGGATATTTGTAATGAATGTTGTAGCCATAAAATAAATCATGGCATTGAGTAAAAAGACTCCACTGGTAATGTAGATGTTGAGGTGTTAGTTAATCTATCTTAGTTCAACCAATTTAATATTGGGGGCTGTACAGGTATTTCAGTTGGGAAAGTACTTTTGGTAAGTTTTTCAGACTTTAGGAACTGTTGCTGTAAATGATTACACCAAAAGGAACATTTGGCTGTTGTACTTTATCGAGCAATAAAACACCAAAAACATGCCATATATTTCAATCTATTGATCTAAATAGTCACGCAATAGAGCTTTAAAATCACCCATTATATGAAACGATTTACGTCTCAGGAAGTAAAAGAACATGACAATATAATAAATCATTGAGGTACTTTGTGTTTCATACACAGGGAAGCACAAAGTACTTTACAGTCCACATCACACAAGGCACAAATCATCACATAAAACAGACACTGAAATCACCATTAAAAAGACAATACAAAAATGACTATAATAACGTATTCGCAATTGTACCCACCGGCAAGATTTGCTCTTCACCCTTTGCCACTTCCAGGGCTTTAAGACAGGGATACTCTTTTAGTCCTCTCTCTTTGGAACCCAAGTTTTACCTTTTATCTTCAATTGAAATGCATGCTACAAGACATCTCATTAGCTTATACAGAGAAATCCTACTGAATGTGGGGGGTGTTCACTTAATCCCTAAACACAAGGCTACAATTTACTGTACATTTTTTGAAACAATGAGAACAGTCTGCTCTCAGTCTCTAGCGCTGTGTGTCTGTGCTCTATGTATTCTCCTGTAACACACGCACACTCTACAAATAAAGTATGCATTCCCATAATCTATATTCATTCAAACTTGAGTGAGAATTGGCACATAGGATGTATTTAAAGGAGTATGTGAGATTTTTTTAAGCTGTGCAAAGGATGTACAAGTGCGTTTGAATTATTGCGTCAAAAGATGTGAGTTGTGCTGCTGCGAAGGTGTCAGAGTATTCAACGCTTGTTATATCACAAATGATCAAGCCTTTGACATGAATACACTACGGGCTCACAGCAGGTTTTAGTAACTTCTTAATTCTAATATTTTAAAATTGACGGAGACACATTTTCGAAATGTGTAAAATATGTATTATCCATCCATCCATCCATTTTCTACCCTTTAATCCATTTCTGGGTCAAGGGGGTGGCAGTCAGAGATGCCACCCAAGTCTCATAGCACCAGCCCCTCACTGACCCTCTGCAGGTGGTGAGTCCACAGGAGGACGGTTGCTCTCTGAGTGAGTGCATAGCCTTGATCTTTCAGTGGGGGCTTTGGGCAAAGTGGGGTTAAGTGTCTTGCCCAAGGACACAACGACAGCAGTCATCAGTGGGAGTCGGTGGAGAAGGTGCAAGAATATGTATTATGTTGGCAATAATTGGTTTAGTTGCGAACAGGTTAATGATGATCAAACAAGACAACCCTACACAAGGATAACACTAAAATGAGTGTTGGTGCCGTCTTGAAAACAGAGCTGGAGCTGTCCAATGTGCTGAAAGTAAACAAACGAGTCCTCGGCTATCCACGCTTTATTTTGTTATCCCTAAGAGCTGGAGTCTTTTAAATGTGGAGACATTTGGAAACAAATCGCTTTCCACATAAAAAAAAAGTTATTTGTGAGCAGTCGTGATGCCTCGTGCCGCCGTGCGCTCGGTGACTTAAGTTTTCTTTACATCAGCACCTCTCAGCCAATAGGACCCTCGCCTCAGTGCGGAATGTCAGTGCAATGACGTTGTTGCTGGCGCACAACTCCACTTTAATGGATCCTACTAATTGAAAGCGCTGCGTAAAGAAGCAGACTCTCCGCGGCTGTCAGAGCGCACTGCTGAGGACTTTTTGCTTGTTCCTAAAGTGGCGGTCCGTCCGGTGCTCGGCTGTAACGTGTCGGCTGTTTTGCTCAGAAAAGAGGTACGTATGCCCACATAACATGTTTTTGGTCAGGAAAAGTCGTGATGCGTTTTGTATTGCTTTGGAACAGTATTACGCATGGTATAGTGTGCACCAGGCTCACACAATGGTGTCTTCTTCAAGTATGTTGGATGTTTAAAATAAACATTTGATGCATTTCTATTGTTGAGCAGGAGCCGGACCGTAATGCTGTCCTCCCTGAAGACGCTGCTGCTTCTCTCGGTCGTGTGTACGCCGAGCTCCAGCCTGTGCCTGCGCCTGTACCCGTCCGAGCTGCTGTGTGACGAGGGTCAGAGGGACCGCGAGGAGCCCGACAGCGCTCAGCTCAGCGACTGGAGCTCCATGCTGCAGTTTGGACAACTACTGTCCTCATCGTCCTCCTCCTCCTCCAACTCCGCAGAAACCAGCCGGGAAAAACGGACTTCAAGCCCCTCAAACTATCGCTTCATCAGCCGGACCAAGCTCAAGGGCCAAATGCTTCGGAACAGCAGTAAAGGAGACCGCAGGAGCCGGCTTACCCTGTCCCTTGACGTCCCCACCAACATCATGAACGTGCTCTTCGACGTGGCCAAAGCCAAGAACTTGCGTGCCAAAGCGGCGGAGAACGCGCGCCTCTTGGCGCACGTGGGGCGGAGAAAGTGACGAGACTCAGACAGACTCTTCATGCGATTTGGTGTTTTTGCATCAGTGTTTTTCATTTCAAATATGATTTTTTGTTGTACAACTTCACTCAAATGCACCTCTAACATATTTCCGATTGACAGACAGACATGTGGCTACTTATTCCCGTTGTGATTCATCGTTATAGTTTCTGTGATTTTTTTGTCTTTACTTTTTAAATGTCACGCCCTGCTGTGTCTTTCAATTTGATTCTCATTGGAAATCTCCAGAGGTTGTTACAAAATGCAAGAGCTAGCCACCCTCTTGTGCATGAGAATGTATGTCTCCATTTGTACGTTATTTTTTATACCTGAAATAATGTATTTTTCTTCTAATAAATAATATGCAACAAAAAAACAAATCAAGATGATTTATTGCGCGCTCAAGCACATGAAAATCTTGAAGTAGATCGATACACGTTTTTGCTGGGGAAAATAAAACTTTTTTTCATTTGTTACCATAAACAGAAACCATCCTTTAGTTTCTCGTGTACCTCTTTTCAGGGTAAGCCGGCACAAACGTTGCCTGAAAACGGTCCAGGGAACGACTTCCTGCTTGTTTCCAAATAATAATATTAATAATGCATCGGTTTTAGCGCTTTTTTGAACACTCAAAGACGCTTTACATGTCGTTATTCATTCACGGTGGTGATAAACTACTACTGTATAGCCACAGCTGCCCTGTGGCACACTGACAGAAGCGAGGCAACCAGTATGTGCCAGCGGCCCCTCCCACCACCACCAACCATTCACACACACACCAGACTCATTCTAGGCAATGTGTGAAGTGTCTTGCCTAAGGACACAACAACAGTTTAGCACTTTACAGCCGCAGCCGCCCCGCTGTGGCAGGTGTTCCCAGAGGTTAAGTGTCTTGCCAAGGACACAACGACAGCAGACAGTGGGAGTCGATAGTAAAAGTGTTGTGGTGGGCTCGAACCCACAACCTTCTGGCTCAAAGGCCAATGCTAACTACTCCTTCGACTATACATTTCCACACATACACAATGGTATAAAATGGGATGAGGATGTGTCAAAAGTGTCAAAGAGTGTGCGCACATAGAACCATGCGCGTGACGCACCATCTCAAAGACTTTGGATCCGTTCATCTTTTGGGAAAGCAATGCTTAAAAGCAAAATGTATTGAAAACGTGGAAAACACTGCCATCTGATGGCTATGTGATTAGCCATGATTATAAATTATAAAACTACACACTTAAATTGTCAACCCGTCGTCAGTATCTTCACCAAGAAGAAACTATAGTCACCATGAGTTCGTTTGTCTGTCCGTTTGTTTGCAATATAGCGTAAACAGTTATGAGAGATAGTTTACAACAATTTATAGGCACTGGAAGTTTAAAATTTGATGTTTTTTATTATTATTACTATCATTTTTTACTTTTGATAAAAAGTACATACAAACAACTAACTATCTGACAATAATATCCTTAATAATAATACATATTATTCTATTTGTTGTGGTTGTTATAGTCAATGCCACTATTACAATTCGTTAAGACCGTTGTCCTTTTCAAGTATACTGTTGAAGGAACACTTTGCTTTAGTGACATGTTAGTCCCATAAGAACCATGTTTAGTTCTGACTCTGGGAGTCAGAACTAAACTCGGGGAGGCTGCATTTCAGATTTATGCTGCAAAAATCTGGGACTATCTTCCTGAAGGTGATACAGGCCTTTCTGACAATGTTTAAATCCAGGTGAAAAACAGTTCTGTTTAGCTCCAAATACAACTGAGGGATTTTATACTTTTTATCTTTCTTTTTAATGTACTGTGATTATTTATTATATTGATTTGTTCAGCACTTTGAGTTGCCTTGTGTATAAATTGTGCTCTACAAGTACCTTGCCTTTACGTTAATGTGTTTATTTGGTGCACCAACAGCGCCATCTGCTGGTGACGCGAGGTAACGCGTGACGTGGCTTTCCGACGTGGAGCTGTGAGGCGGAAGTGTGTTGTCCTTCTGGCTACGTGGAAGTAGCTTTCATTTCATCAGGAGAGAACCTGGTCTGTCCTCAGCCGCACAGCCAGACCGACAAAATGATTAAAAAGTTCGACAAGAAGGATGAGGAATCTGGTAATACTATTGTTATGTTCAGGAAAAGCCTAAATGTTGAATAATGATGCGATAGAATATCGCTAAGCTACAAATGCTAACGCAGCTCTGTTGAGTTAGCTTCGGTCCATAAAGTTGCGGCTTTAAAATTGCTTGCTGGAATTGTTTCGAGATAATCTATACATTCATTCTTCTAAGTAATTCAACGTATTGTGGAAAAAATCGCGTTATGGTTTCCGACAGTATCTGCGATGCTAGCTAAACCTCTGCAAACGGCAGGGACACATTCTCCTGTTCATTTCTGTACTAAGAAAATGTGTTCTCTGTAGGGAGTGGGTCCAATCCTTTCCAGCATTTGGAGAAGAGCGCGGTGTTACAGGAGGTAGGAGATGGCACTACCTTTTCAGTCCAATATACAAGCGCAATGAGTTTTACGCTTCTTTTCTGCTTCAGGCTCGTATTTTCAACGAAACCCCCATCAACCCAAGAAGATGTCTGCATATTCTGACCAAGATCATTTACCTGCTCAACCAGGTAATTATTAGTGCTTTTATCTTGTATTCATTCTAATTGCATGTGCTGTTATGAACTGGTCTGACTGCGTTATGTTGTCTATAACGCAGGGGGAGCACTTTGGCACCACCGAGGCCACGGAGGCTTTCTTTGCCATGACCAGGTTGTTTCAGTCTAACGATGTAAGTTATGGATTTTTGTTTTAAAGGTTTATTGTTTGGTTCATTGAAAATGTGAAAACAATATTTACATACATTTGTTTCTCCCAGCAAACTCTCAGGAGGATGTGTTACCTGACTATTAAAGAGATGGCCAATATCTCTGAGGACGTCATCATCGTCACAAGCAGGTTTGTCAGTCAGTGTTTTGGATGAAATATTTTTCATTGTTTTTGCAGATGTCCATTGATGGCTCTCCTCGTGTTTGATATCTATTTAGTCTTTGCACTGACTACAATTCATGTCTCTAAACCAGCAGTTACCCACAACTGGGTTTCTTGGATAATCTTTTAGCGGTAGAATCCATTACCTGAGCCGATCAAGCACATACATGATGAGTGCACACAAACGCTCCTTGCATTCAAGAGATTTAGTTGTAAAACATATATCAAGAATTTAATCTGAAAATTAACTAATAATTTGATAACAGAACTTGAACTAAAACAAATATTTTATTATGTATTGTGTCTGCTTTGCTATTAAGTTTGACTAAGGATATGACTGGTAAAGAAGACGTGTACCGTGGACCTGCCATCCGAGCCTTGTGCAGAATTACTGATGTGAGTGTCTTTGCTTTTACAATATATGTAATTTGGTCTGTTAGATCTATTTCAAAAGACAGTTAACGTCTCCTTTTACCATAGACCACCATGCTGCAAGCCATTGAGCGATACATGAAGCAGGCCATTGTGGACAAGGTGCCCTCCGTGTCCAGCTCTGCCCTGGTCTCATCCCTGGTACCATGCTATGATATTTACATTATCTTTCTACCTATTGTGCACTTGATTTTAACCTTTGATTTTGCATCCTGTCTCTCAGCACATGGTGAAGGGGAGCTATGATGTGGTGAAGCGCTGGGTCAATGAAGCTCAGGAGGCAGCCTCAAGTGACAACATCATGGTCCAGGTGAGTGTGAAGAAAGCTGAGACTGAAAACATTTGATGGGCCTTCATGAGTTATAGTGATCATTGTCATTGCATGTCTGTTTTCTCTCTGGTTTGATTCTATTGTCAAACAAAAGTGTATATAGTTTGTTGTTTATTGGTATTTCCAGTACCATGCTTTGGGGCTGCTGTACCACCTAAGGAAGAACGACCGTCTGGCTGTGACTAAGATGTTGAACAAGTTCACAAAGTCTGGCCTCAAGTCCCCGTTCGCCTACTGCATGCTCATACGCATTGCCAGCAAGCTGCTGGACGAGACAGAGGGAGGGTAAGTTCCAAGATTCCAATTATATTTCATATCATTTTTATGCATTTAAATAGAAAAGTCAATTTAATTTCAAAGATGATTATAATGTATTATTAATGATAATTATCAGTAGCTACATTCTTATAACCGTTAAGTAACAATGCCCAGGCTGAACTGATGTGCCAAAATTATGTATTCCCTGTGTGAGATAGCAGGATAATAAATGCATATGTATGCTCCAGATGTCCGACAGAGTGCAAAACAGTTGAAGTTTTCTACTTGGTCTCACTTTTGTTTTCCCTCAGCTGCACCCACATTGTTTTTAAGTCTCTCTGCTGTGCTTCCAGACACGACAGCCCTCTGTTTGACTTCATTGAGAGCTGCCTGAGGAACAAGAATGAGATGGTGGTGTATGAGGCGGCCTCCGCCATCGTCCATATGCCCAACTGCACGGCCCGGGAACTGGCCCCGGCGGTGTCTGGTAAGCGAGGCCACTACTACATCACTCAGACATAAGGGTTCACACGGGTCCACACCTGCTCAATGTTGTGTTCCTTTGTATTCTTCTAGTTCTGCAACTCTTCTGCAGTTCTCCCAAAGCAGCCTTAAGATACGCAGCCGTCCGGACGCTTAATAAGGTGTGACATTCTGCCCAATTTTTATTACACAATATAGTTTTTTGTTTTTTTTATTCTGACAATAAAATTAGAATTGCATTTAAAATGTGCCATTTATTTTTTAGACTGCATTTCCATTGCATTGAACAAAGAACAAGTGCACTTTGTTTACAACCTGTTTGCACCTTGAGCCATAGCAAATTCCTAGTTAGTTACTTACAATGGCAATAAAAATAATACAGATTTTGATTCTAGAAAAGGTTAATCCATCAATTCAGTCTTCTCTCGCTATAATTTTTGCATGAGATTTCAAATGCATGCATGATTTAAATACATGTTTAAAGTGATAGTCTGCAACTCTAAATTAATTACAAATTTTAGGAAATGTGTTAAATTGACCTCCTGGCCTTAAGTCATTTTATTAATTCTAATATTACGGGCAAGTCCCGCCTTCCCTTCTCTTAGCCATAGCTCAGAATCCACGGTGCCGTCGAGGTTAACCAATCAAGTGATGCCAAGGGCTGTCAATCATCGCACTGATGCTCGTAGCTGCGCGCATGCTGAGTTGTTTGTTTTTGCGGAGCTTCCGAAAACTACATGAAAACTGAACAAATAATTGTGAACATCCGTGCTGAGTTACCTTTGTATATACTGAACCAATATCCATAATCAGATCCTCTGCAGATGTGTCCTATAATGTGCAATTCATGATAATAGCACTTCCTGGTTTGCCGGGATCGCTTTTTTTGTGCATAAAAACATTTTAATTTAAACGTTAAATAATTCTGAAAACCTCCATGCATGTGTATTAATAATGTATATGTATAATGTGTTCTCTGATTAACATTTAAAAGTGTTACGGAAACGTAGGTGTAGACCAATCAGAAAGGAAGGGGGAGGAGCTTGCGTCGTTTTTTTTTTTCAAATCAAGTACGTCTTTGTCTCTCTTTCTGACGAACTCCAGACAATCACTTTAATTAACCCTACACATGGACTGTTTTCATAAGGATTGTTGCTTGACATTTCTGTGCCTGTGTTGTCCTGCAGGTGGCGATGAAGCACCCGTCTGCAGTCACTGCATGTAACCTGGACCTGGAGAACCTGATCACAGACTCGAACCGCAGCATCGCCACACTGGCCATCACCACGCTGCTGAAGACTGGCAGCGAGAGCAGCGTGGATCGCCTCATGAAGCAGATCTCCTCCTTTGTGTCAGAGATCTCAGACGAGTTCAAGGCCAGTGCTTCCCACATTTTATATATTTTTTAAATGCATCGTAGGTTTTAATATTATTGTGTGTGTGTGTGTGTGTTCGGCTGCAGGTCGTGGTGGTGCAGGCCATCAGTGCCCTGTGTCAAAAGTACCCCAGAAAACACAGCGTCATGATGAACTTCCTCTCCAACATGCTCCGGGACGACGTGAGTGGCCTTTGTTTTATATTTGTAGCGACCCAAAACTATGTTGTTTCTGAAGAGAAGAGTGCGGGTTCAGTATATTGTATGACGCACAGCTGATTGTAAAGAACACCCTAGAAGCACGTAATGCGTTTAGTGTATGTTTAAAAAATACAGCTGCCCAGCTTCTCCCCTCTCCCTGTCACTGAGCAGGAAGTGAGTGGCTTTCAAAACTGGCATGACACCATTGCCCATGTGACCCACGCCCCTTGACACATTGCCATGGCAACCACAACCCACGAACCAATAGGTAATGGCTCCTAAAATATATATTTATAAAAGTTGGATATATACATATTTGTGTTCCAGATTTAATTCATTAACTGATAGAATAATCACAAGAATAATCATTATCAAGTAATAGTTGGTTGTAGGCAGCCATATTTATAAATTATATTCTTGTTAATTAGTGTTATATTCACAGGGTGGTAATTCACTGCGTTCTGTTTTGTTTGTAACTAAGTACAGTACATGATTTTGCTCTCTTCCACTTGTGAACTATTGGCCATTCTGCAATTTAAAAAGTAGTGGTGACATGGCAATAAGAACCTTTGTCTGTGTCTCAGGGTGGATTCGAGTACAAGCGCGCCATCGTGGACTGCATCATCAGCATCATCGAGGAGAACCCAGAGAGTAAAGAGACGGGACTGGCCCACCTGTGCGAGTTCATCGAAGACTGCGAACACACCGTGTTGGCCACCAAGATCCTGCACCTGCTGGGGAAAGAGGGACCGCGCACGCCACAGCCCTCAAAGTACATCCGCTTCATCTTCAACCGTGTGGTGCTGGAGAGCGAGGCCGTACGCGCAGGTGGGGGGACTGCAGTTTGAGACGCACTGAAGAGTATGACAGAGGCTCTTCAGTAACTGGTTCTGTTTGTCTGCAGCGGCTGTCAGCGCTCTGGCCAAGTTTGGAGCCCAGAATGATGATCTGCTCCCCAGTGTCCTGGTCCTGATGCAAAGGTATGTTTGCGATGTCACTGTTCTTCACTTGTGTGTTTTTAGTTTATACTTTAGGCCAGGCATGCCAACCACAAGATCATTTTATCCCTTGTGCTACCCTTGGCTCAAAATGACCCACCACAGTGATTGAAAGTAGAAGAGATATGCCCTAACTTAGGGTCTCAAATGGTCTAAATGACCAAGGACTTGTAAAGTTAGCAAGAATCAAATTAAACATTAAACATTAAAAAATGTTTTAATCACTGTGGTTGGTCAATTTGATCTGAGGAAAGCACAAGTGTTAAAGCTCACTTCCTCAGGAAACGTATAAATATTTTTTGTATTCAGCTGTCTGTGTTTGTAACTCATTTTTAATACCTTCGGCCCTGACCAGCTTTGTCGTGGGGGGCGAACAAAAAAACATAATTAAAGAACGCTAACACTTTGTAGTGCAAGCGTTTTCATGATAAAAGTACTGACACAGCCAATAATATGGAGCAAGATGGTTTTGCCTGTGTAATACATCTGAATCGATGAATCAGAGATACATAAAGCAGAATGAACAACGCAAAAGAAAAGTTGGTGAATGCAGGAGAGTAAGTCGGAAGATGAGCAGGTTAATTGCTTGTTACTACTGGCCCCAGTGTAAGTTTTCAAGCTTTCAAACTGAAGTGTGTTTGTAGGTGTATGATGGACAGTGATGACGAGGTGCGAGACAGAGCCACGTTTTACATGAACGTGCTGCAGCAGAAGCAGAAGGCCCTCAACGCCGCTTACATCTTCAACGGTAAAGACACACACCGTACTGTTCACAGCTCGTGGATCATTTAAGAGGTCTAGCATTTGATGTGGAACCAAGGCCTTAAATTTGATGAAATAATAAAATGTGTTCTATAGGAATGTCATATTAGCATGTTTGTAGTTGTCCTATGTTTAATATCACAATGTTGGTGTTTCTATCATTTTTGTATGAAATTGTCTATAGGCAATTAGTTTGTAGATTAATAACAATTTATTTCCACTCTATGTATAATCGGTGTACTTAGGAGTCTATTTATTAAAAGATAATGCTTATTTGTGTGTAAATTAACGATGTATGTGTGAAAACCTCTAAAGTAAAAGAAATACAACACCATCCTCTGGTGGTAGATTTGGGGCATTACACGCTAAGCATGTATCTTTTACCTTTTTTACCATCTGACCTGCAGAATATTATTTTAATTGGACAAACCTATAGTTCCTCTCATAAATCTCCCATAACTATCTGTGATATTGCTCATGGCAGGTCTGTCTGTGTCCGTCCCTGGTCTGGAGAAGTCTCTTCATCAGTACACGCTGGAGCCTTCGGAGAAACCTTTCGACATGAAGAGCGTTCCCTTGGCAACAGCCCCCATCACAGAACAGAAAACGGGTTAAGTTTCCAACCCATATCATAACTTTACTTCTTTACTCAGGAGCTAGTGGGCTAAGGATTTGTGTTTTGTGAATAGTTTTTCATTGTCCATAATTACTGTTTTGATCATTGTAGAAATGGCTCCAGTGGCCACCAGCAAACTACCAGAGAAGCTTGCACCGTCACGACAAGACATTTATCAAGGTGAGGACTTTTTGAGTAGACTAAATAGATGTTGTTCTGCTTAAATACATTCTGCCTCAGTTATGGCTTTGAAACTCTGCCTATATGTACTTTTTATAACATTGTTGTTGTTTTGTTCACAGAACAACTGGCTGCTATCCCAGAGTTCCAGGGTCTGGGGCCTCTGTTCAAGTCGTCGGAGCCGGTGCAGCTCACGGAGGCTGAGACCGAATACGTTGTCCGCTGCATCAAACACACATTCATACGACACATGGTTTTCCAGTTCGACTGCACAAACACACTCAACGACCAGCTCCTGCAAAAGGTACGCACCCCAGTCCTCTTCCTCAGTTTTATCTCCAATCAACATGCCAATTCTATTTGTTGATAATCACTAGTGAAACATTAATTCTGTGGTTAGTGCAGTTTCATGATGTCCTTTGGTGCAGGTGGTGGTTCAGATGGAGCCGTCGGAGTCGTATGAGGTTATCCACTACGTACCAGCAGCCAATCTGCCCTACAGCCAGCCGGGCTCCTGCTACACACTGGTGCAGCTGCCCGAGGACGACCCCACTGCAGGTACTACTCTTATTTAAGGACACAGAGGTGATCGGAACATGTCTCTGAGAGTGACTTTGACTTGTGTCCAGTTTCCTGCACATTCAGCTGCACTCTGAAATATCTGGTGAGAGACTGTGACCCAAACACGGGCGAGCCGGACGACGACGGATATGACGACGAGTATGTGGTAAGGGAACATCCACATTTATAGATTTATACTGGTTTGGTTTTGGTTGTACATTTCCGGGTCTATTTGAAAGATTTTTTTTCATATTTATTCCCCACAAACAATTAAATGCATGCAGTAATAAAACCACACACGTATCTTATTTTGTACATGACTCATCTCAGCTGTTGAGGATTTTAAAGAATCACAGAATATTGTGTGCTGTGTGGAATCTGAGAACCAGAGTTTGAAAGACTGTATTGTTTAGTGTAGTCAGCAAAAACAAGATTGTTTGGCTGGTTTTGTTCTCCTGTAATTCCCAGTGGAGTCTACCAATAAACACTATAAAGGACAATAAACCATCAGTGATGTCACATAGCACCAATCCATACTACATAAATTGAACTAACATTTCAATTTATTCTTGTATAGCCCTAAATCACAACAGCAGACATCCCCAACACAAATCAGAAAGTTGGGCAGGGCAGTCCGCAGGGGGCATTGGGGTAGATTGCCTGGCTTACAATGTACCCATTTACCCCAGAGATTTATTGGTTTGCTCTTAGCTGGAGGACCTGGAGGTGACGGTGGCCGACCACATTCAGAAAGTTTTGAAACCCAACTTTGGTGCTGCGTGGGAAGAAGTCGGGGATGAGTTTGAAAAAGAGGAAACATTTGCATTGGCCTCTGTCCGCACCCTTGATGGTGAATCTTTCGCTCATTTCTTCTGTAATAGTTGATGTTGACTGTCTAAAATAATGTATTCCACATTTACAGAGGCTGTGGGGAACATCGTTAGTTTCCTGGGCATGCAACCATGTGAACGCTCAGATAAAGTTCCAGAAAACAAAAACTCACACGTCCTTTTCCTCGCTGGTGGGTGAAACTGAACAAACCCTTCTGTGTTTTCTACTTGTGATGGTTTACTGCAAATATAATACCATAAAGACTACTAAATTGGTGACATATTGGCACTATCAAGTCAGTTTGCTTTGTGCCAAACAAGTCTTGTTTGTTGCAGGAGTGTTTCGTGGAGGTCATGATGCTCTGGTGCGTGCTCGCTTGGCTCTGGCAGATGGGGTCACGATGCAGGTCACCGTGCGGAGTGGAGATGAAACTGTGGTGGACATCATCCTGGCCTCTGTGGGATAAACTTAACCTGTACTGCTAAATGTCCCTTGTACTTCTGTCTTTTAAACTTGTTCTTTACAAATTCTATAATAATAAAACAAGTCAAACATGTAATTTTACAAAATTTTATTCTGTCTGCTCAGAATGAATGAATGAAATTAAAATAACCGTTGAGGAAGCCTTGGGGGTCTTCCAGCTGGGGGTAGTGGCTGATATGCTTGTCCAAGACTGTGGCAGTGGATCTGGGGACCAACTTCCTGCAAATGCAAATCATTCATCAAGGAACATGTGATATTCCATGTTTATCCAGACTTAACTCAACCTGTGTCCGGATCATCACCAGAATAAATATTGAAACTGCAAATATCAGTCTTACCATGTAGCTTCTGCCATTGATTTTCACTAAAAATATTTTATACAGCCACAGTCAAAGCGCATTTGTCCATGTTTTTAATGGAACCAATAGAAAATGACAGGGAGAATATGTAAACTCCACACTGCCAGCATGCTGCTCTACTAAAGACGGGATAGACGCTCAACTTGAACTAATGGTTTTTGAGTAAATGAAGATCACAGACTTACTGATAAAGTCTCATGAAGTGTGGGTGAGGGTTAACCGGGTCCAGGGGGCCGTAGATTATGTGCACTGAAGAAGAGAGCATTTGTTAGAACCGCATTGAACTTTAATGAAAATTAGCAGAACAGGTTCACTACTAAGACCAAGGATATGAATCATATGATCATTGACTTTCACATATTTTTCCAGTCTGTGGTAGCTAGTTGTAGCTAATCGTAACAACAGGCTTATATCAATGCGCCGCCGAACAGAACGTTTCAAGAGATCCCAAGTTTCTTCGGCTTTCAGACTACGCAACAGACCTGGATGAGTTTTCTGCTGCTGGACCCCTGCATTTCTCCTACAGGGGATCAAGAGAGTGTCTATCTACAGTCCAATATTCAGTAATGCATCATTCAAAATAAAAAGTGAATGCTGTTCTAAAAAAAAAAAAATAACAGTATTAATATTACTATTTTTAACACTAATACAAAGAGCTGCGGAAAGATCAAGGCTATGCTGTCACGGACAGAGCAGCCATCCTCCTGTGGACTCCCCACCTGCAGGAGGATCAGTGAGGGGCTGGTGCCAATTGCCTTTTGGGTTTATTGTTTGAAGTATAATAAATGATAGTTGTGTTAATCTTTCTGAGAAAAAAAAAAAAAAAACGTTTTAAAAGAAGACAGACACACATTCCACTCACATGGGACCAAAGTGGAGGAGAGCGCTCCCACCCACCTCTCCCGGTGCTTCAGTCTTTGGTTGATGTACTGCAGAATGCTACAACACAAGCACAAATCCTCAATTCAAGGCCATTTCAGATAAAGAAGAGGAAACTTTATTTTGGACGGATTCAAAAGCATTTTAAGGTTCATTTATATCAATTGTGGACATGCCTTTATGTAACATTATCATAACTTTTTAAATAAACTTCGTTATTTTAATTAGTAATTTTATAAAATGTCTACGTAAACATGTGGATGTAAGATCAATACTATGGTCAACAGTTATTATGGGCTCGCACCTCGTTAGAATCAAGATGGAGGGTGTATCTGACCGCTTGGATGAGGATCATCATGTGTAATATTTCAGCTGACAGACTTCTGTGTGCTCACCTGTCTAACACCAAGTTTCCATCGTTATAGCGCAGTCCTGTCCACATGTCCCAGAAGTCTGCGTCTGTGGGCTGCGTGTGAGGTCCAAACACATCTCCAACTCTGCAAACAAAAACGTACAGTTACATAAAAAAGGTACTGCGACACGTAAGAGCTGATGTCAGACCTAAACTGGTCCCAGTGTGGATCCTGCCTCAGCTTTTAGACCTGATATATTCATAACAGATTATTATGCTGTGTCTGGCTCCGCCTCTTCTGTGAGAGTTGTGGAGGGACGGACCCAATTCACATGTGTGACACAAATAAATATTTTAAAAAGGGAAGAGGAAAGCAGGGAGCCAAGCCACCATTTTTGTTTTGGAACTAAATCACTTCAGTTTTACTTTGATTTAACCAAAAACTAACAAATCCTGAATTTGAGTTTTTTTTTTAATCACTCATGTTTCATTGCAAAAAAATATACAATACAAATGTTGAGAAAATTATCTTAAACAAATAAGTATGGGAATAACATGGCATGGGAGCACCAATGAAGTTGCAAACCTTCATGAACTCATTTACAAAAAGTTACAGGAGAAAGATGTCATCAATAAGACGCCTTTAACTGGAAAACTAAAATTGGCCAAATGGAGAGAGAAAGCCAGTCCTCAAAGCTTCACTGATGCCATGTGCCTCTTCAAACACGCAGTGGCCACAGGCCTTTAGGTCCATAATGGTAGTTTTGAAAAGATATGCAGATTGTAGCGTAAATATGAAGAATCTTTACAATAACGCAACACCACAAACATGAATCGGATATACACTCACCGGCCCCTTTTTTAGGTACTGCAAATTCCAAATCAACCAATCACATGGCAGCAACTCAATGCAAACTGTTGACCTACTGAGATTTTCACATGAGTATTGTTGCTGACCATGTCCACCCCTTTATGTACCCATCTTCTGATGGCTACTTCCAGCAGGATAAAACACCTTGTCATAAACCTCAAATCATCACAGACTGGTTTCTTGAACATGACGATAAGTTCACTGTACTGTAATGGCCTCCACAGTCACCAGATCTCAATCCTATAGAGCACCTCTGGGACGAGGGTGGAACAGGAGATTGGCATCATGGTCCATATTTGATAGCATGTTGCTATCAAATATGTCCCCGTAGGGAAATTTGCCCTCTGCATTTGACCCATCCTGATGCCACTACGGCTCACGTCAGGAGCAGTGGTCGGGAACCCATCTCCAGATGTTGATGCTCGGCTTGGTCAGGACTACCGGAGCTGGAGGGTGTAACCTAGTGAGCATGTTTTTAGTGGTTGGGGAAACTGGAGTACCCGGAGAAAACCTACACAGACACGGGGAGAACATGCAAACTCCACTCAGAAAGACCCTGTTCCGACCGGGATTTGAACCCAGGACCTCCTTGCTGAGTACCTTGTTGAATCTATGCCACGAAGGATTAAGACAGTTTTGAAGGCAAAAGGGAGTCCAACTCGATACTAGCAAGATGTACCTAGAAAAGTGGGTGTATTTCAAAAGTCACTGGGAATACAAATATACATCTTTATTTATCTTAATCCATCACTTTTCCCTGTGCTCTGATAATCATGGTTCACTCTGCTCCACCCACACAGCGGCCCAATTGTAAAAAGTTGAAACAATAATGACATGTGATGAGTCTTTAAGTGTCCTAAAAAGCGCTTTATAAAACAAAGTCATTATTGTTATTATTATAATTATTGTTATTATTATTAATACTAACAATAAGTTGCACATGTGTAGACAATAATAAAGAATTTGGCCAGCGGCAGAGTTCTGTTATTTGGACCTGCCCTGTCGTCCAGGAGAGAATGAGATGTGCTGCATGTGTAATTGCTCATCAGGGAAGAACATTTTTAAAAGTGTAAGAATTTGCAATTGTAACTCAGAACAGGCCGATCATGTTCAAACAGCAAACGCCAATATGACAGTAAAATGTTATTTCTCGCCTCAAATATTATTAGAAGAAACTTTTAATAATTTTATTATGCTGTTGCATCATCTTCTCTGCTGGTCTACAACCGCTCCCCTTTGTTACTCCTGCCATATGATGTCTATTTGTTTTGAAATCCATTGGCTTTCTATAAATCCAGACTTTTCTACGATAAACGTAGCTTGTTCTCGTGCCGCTCTAGCTCTGCTCTGATTGGTGAATGTGCATGAGAGCACTGAGCGAGTTTCACGATCCGCAGCGATGGCCATTACTGCCTTGAGACAGACAGACTGATAGCCATAAACTTCTTCCGCTTTTCCGTTCTCAAAGTATAAAAGACTGTTTTTTTCATTCTTGATTCCTAAAGGACAATCTGGAGCTACAGACTTACCCTTTCTGGAAGATCATATAATTGGTCAGTCGTGTCAGGATCGTAGAAAGGATGCTGTAATCTTTGAGAAGCTTTGGATGAAGACAAAGACAACAAAATGACTATTATTAACAAAACAAATCACAAACAGACTAAAGGTCCACAGGTTTAGACACAGTCACTCACAATCTGCAGCAGTCGAGGCTGATGCGTCTCAGGAAATATTCCTAGTGGAAAAACACAAATGTTGTAAAGCAGTTATCTTATCGTTACAACTAATGGTGTGAGAAGTACCCTCATTTTAATACAGTAGACTGAATAGGAACAACTTGATGATGTGGACTTAGAGTCTTACCTCCATTGGACAAGCACAGACTGTTCAGATGCACGTGTCCACTACGATTCTGGTCACTCCTAAAAAGGAAAAGATAAATAGATAACTTTATTTGCGGACTCGAGGTCCAAATCACAAGACAAGAAAACAAATAAAATAAAATAAACAACAGACAATAAAAACCTCTAATCTTTCAAGAGGCAGGCATACCAGTGTTTCCAAAGCAGCGATGTGTATCGCACCTCGCTGCACACAACACTGGACAATAAAATAATCACTTCAAGCATTCAGTTTGATTTTCAAAAGAAAATCAAACAGATTTGTTCTTTCTTTTGAATTAAAGAAAGCATTCAAACAGCCGGATTTTTAAACAAAAAATAACTAGTTTTATTCAGTTTGTGTAAGCTCTCAGTCGCACAGGGATTAGTTAAAACAAAGAGGGTTTCTCACCCATCATCTGTAGCAGGTTTTCTCCAAAGAACATTTTCAAGGGAATGGATAAATCACAAATTATTCCCTTGAAAAAGCACTTTGGTTAAGAACAAAACCGGCTAAGAAGTACAGAGGATGGGTGAGAAACGTTCCTTTGTTTAAGATTTAGGCAGAGATTCCAAATGTGTCCATACAAATTTGATTAAACACTTTAAAGACCATAATTACACTTTTTGTCTGTCTTCCCAATTTCTTTTTTCACGGCCAGGTCTGGTTTCAGATCCATGACCATGGCAGCAGGGCCTGATGCAGGATTTGTTTGTGATCCGACAGAATCCAGCAACTTCACAGACATAACGACTATTACGATCAAACATTACTGTAGTAATCCTGACTCAGCCACGCCTCGCCAGCTTGTGGACAGCATTATACCATTAGTTTCATTCTGAGTTGGTATTGTGCCAACTCCTTTAATTCTGGTTTAGTCAAGTCTTAATTATGGCTGTCAAAATGATCACATTAACGCACGTTAATAAAAATATATCATTAATTGCGTAAAAAAAATTAACGCATTTACGGAATGACCCGCCCATGCATCCCATAATAACACTCAGAATGCCGCAGACATGTGTAGGATGGAGACAGAGCATGTAGGCCCTCTGGGAATTCAGGTTTAAAAACAAAAATGCGCGTGACCGCGGGGCACTCGCTGTTTGCTGTATGAACTGAACAGGAGACTGCATCCTCAGTGGCTGCAGCGTTCTAACCCGGGGCAGCTGCGGCCGCTCTGGACAGAGGTTCCCACCTCCAGCGTCACGCGCACAGGACTAATCTCTGCTTGTTGTGTTTGAGTTTTAAGGCTGAGTTTACACGGAGACAATGTGGCAGTAAAACGGTATAGTTGAATGTCGGTTGCTACCAACCGTTCATACGAAGACTGTGTTCCAGGGGGGTGAAAACGTAAGTGTTCAGATCCAGCCTGCAGAGTGGGACAACTCAGAAACGCTGCACAGCAGGGAGCTTTTTCACACCCGCGAGAGGGGAAAAGGTGTGAAATCCCCCTCTGCTCTGACCCCCGCCTCCGCGCTGCTCCCCGCACGTACATTTGGACATGCGCAGTAGCGGAGAACAAACATCAACAACAATGGCGCCGCCCACACAAACTAGCTACGTGGGCTTCCAGCGCGGGACAGAGGATAATTCTACACCTTCGTTCGTCCAAACGAGACCACGCGAAGCTCTAGGTTCAGTTCCTATGTTCACAGCTGCTGTTAAAATGCAGATAGATGTTGGTACTCTCTGAGGGTCTGGCACAGGAAGTGAGTACACTGCCGAGAGGGGGGCTGGGCACGGGGCTCGGGGTCGTGTGTCGTGTTGTAAAGTTTATCTGCCCACTACTGGCCGGGCGCAAGAACTACATCGTTTTTCAACCTCATGTGAACGCTGAGAAATTTGCATTAGGAGCCAGGTCGTTTCTGTTAATAGCCTGGAAACGTCTGCGCAGCGTCTCAGTATAAACAGGGCCTGAGTCTGCAAATGTTAAAACACACAATAAAAAAAATCAAACTTTAAAGTTGAAAATATGAAATGTGTTCAAAGTGGTGGGTGATGTGCAGAGAGATAACGACTCTTTCAACAGCCCAGGTCTAGAATGTGACTGAAGGAGAAGTAAAGTTTTCCTCTCTGACCTGTAGAGCAGCTCCAGGGCCACTGTGTCGCCGTAGTCATGGGAGATGAGGTTGACCTTCTGATGGTTCAGGCCCAGATGAGACAGCAAAGCCTCCACCAGACTGGCTTGCTCGAAGATTGAGTATTTGTGCGGCCGCTGCACTCACAATACGTATAAGTCAGACTCATGCTGTGAATGCTTCTTCTACTACACTATAACACACTGCGGACACCCCAGGGCTAGTATAGGAAGTGCTTGTTGAGAACTAATTAACAATTTATAGATTAAAAATAGGCTTCAATACGTTTACTATCTACCAGTACACAGCATTTTCCACTTCTAACTAAAACCAAGAGTTGGACTAAGAAAATGCACGTCGTGGTTTCATTGCAGAAGTTTATCAAAGCAACATTTGATTTATATTCATGTAATTCAAACTATTCAAGACAGATCTTTTTGCATCTTAAGAATGAAAACAATTCTATAGACTGCACAATGTCATCACATTCCTCCAAGAGAATGTACCGTTTCAGGGTATATTGACACTTAGAAAATAAAAAATAAAATAACTTACTGGTTTGTCACTGAAACCAAAGCCCAGAAAGTCCAGGGCAATGACCCTGTGGAAACGCAGGGTCAGGGGCTCCCAGATCTGTGGAAACACCAGCACAATGTTACAATATCAGATTAATTCAGAGAAGAACGACATCAGAATCACTTCCCAGTGCATTTACAACGACACCAGAAAAACAACAGATCCATGACCAAGTTCAAGACTGTGTTGAAATAAAGCAACGAGAAGCAAGTCCCACAACCCCCAAAGGAAAGATGATTCTGTACGAGAAGAGCACATGTGTCAAACACAAGGGCCACATTTCTTGTGGCCCCTGAAAGGATTTTCAATATTGAAATTGACGTTAGTGGGGCTACCATGGAACGTTATACCTAATCTTAAAGATACATTGATTATGAGAACACGTTATTTCTAATGTTGAACAATAAGTGAACCGACAACTAAATCCAACAGGGGAGGGGTTGGAAGAAAAAAAAAGTTCATATATCTAAAATAAACGTAAAAAATTCACTTTTTTATCCCTGCAGGGAACTTTGTCGTCTGCATTTGACCCCTCTGCAGGGCCATTCGTTTCACTACACATCATTATGCGTTTGTTGTTTTCAAGACGGTTTTGTTCCATAGCACCTCATCTCATAGGAGAAAAGATATTTTATGTATTTTTAAAAAAAACATTATTTATTTGATCGGGACAACACACATTAATGAACAATCATATACAAGTTGTACACAAATTGTAAATGTGCCAGATTGTAGCAAAACTGCTAATTTACATCCGTAGTCCCGAGGCAGGTCACACAACAATAATAATACAAAAGGACAAGATACAATTATAGAAATTACAGTTAGTTAAAATGAGTGCAGGACTGATTTACTTAAAAATGGTGTTTTAGTTGTTTTTTAAAAGAGCTGTATGTTGGGCATTCTCTTATGTCTGTAGGAAGGTTGTTCCAAGACTGACCTCCGCTGACTGACAGCACAGTTTGTCCAAATGTAGTTTTTCTGTGTGGGATCTCCACATCTCCTCCTGAGGACGCTCACGTGCAGAGACCTGTCACTACTTTAGCTTTAATGTAGTTTGAGAGTGGGGGCGGGGCAAGACCATGAAGTGCTTTGTAAATAAGGCAACCATTTTTAAAATTTATAAAGTTTTATGAAGACACCACCTTCCTTCTTCACTTCTACACTCCCACTTTTCTCCTACTCCTAGTTCTGCTCTTCCCTCCTCCTACTTCTAAACTAGTTTTCTTTCTGCATCGTGTTCCAGTGCATTACAGTACACTACACATACACGTTGGACATACCAAATGCACCTTTTAGTCCAAATCTGTGACGGTAGCTCCGCTCTGCCTACACTTGTTCAATTGGCACCCACTTTCTGAATCACAATTCTACAAAAAATGTGTACACCTTCCGTAGTGACGGAGATATCCACGAAAAGACAGACCTTGATCCAGTCGTAGCTTGACGTGGGGAAACCATGGAGCAGAACCACCACATCTGAACTCCCCAAAGCACCAAAGGAATCTGCAGGGGACAAACAATCTGCACCAGACTACAAGCAATGATGTTGGTCACACACAACATGAGCAGACGAGGGAGGGGCCAGGAGTCCTTTTTCTTTTCCCAATTATCTAGTTTCATGTCACACAACGTGGCAAGATAGAAATTCTCCAGAAGTTGAATGTGATTTATATTTGGTTTTGACAATTTTTTGGGGGGGAATTCTTGGTTAATTACTAAATGTGTGGTTTAGCATTGTGAGTGTGACTCATGGCCCTCTGATACAGCCACATCAGAGACTTTCCACATACACATACACATACACATACACATGCATTCAGATGCATGAGGTTTGAGGCCAGGAGCAGAAGGGACTTGTACCTCTGTAGAAAACTTTGTGACCTCTGAAGAAGAAGTGCTCCCCAGCGCTGTGCCACTTGCTGAGAGCCGGAGAGAGCTTTGGAGGAGGAATGTGCAGATAAACAGCCACCAGGGGGAGGCAGAGGAGCCCCACGTGCAGCCACCACTCCCTCATGTTGTGGTTAGCCTGGACAAAGCATTCTGACTCCTATTCACAGGGAAAGACATGATATGACTTAGGTCTTAAAACTTACCTTATGATCTCAACCCTTGTTACATGTAACACACATATCCTTGTTAATGTCCTGGCTCTAAACTGTTGCAAACTATCAGACATAGATACCCTGGTGATTACATTACTCACAGACATCAGAATTTGCTAACGACTGAGCTCGCCCCAGCTAGTGTGCATGGTCAAATCGAGATGGGTGTTGAGAGTATATACATATTTTAAGTAATGTGATAATTTGGCCTAAATTACTATAAATGAACAAACTCAAGTTGCATGTGCTGTTGCATACTTAATGTAAATGGACAATTAATCTTTTTTCACATTGAGGAAACTATTATTCTCTAGGGAGGGGTTCTGGGCACGTTCCACCAGGATGAGACCCCGGGGAAGACCCAGGACATGCTGGAGGGACTATTGCCGCTTTTCCACAGTAACGGTACGGTACGGCGCGGTTATTTTGCATTTCCACTGGTGTTGGCATTGGGGTTTGCGTACTTTTTTTGTACCACCTCGACTGTGGTTCCAGCCGCGCCGTACTGATACCATGACGTGACGTCGGCCAACTGCCTTACACTGTGTCGCAACGTCTGACCCTTTGGTAAAAACAACTCAACCGCCATCTTTAAAACCGGCTGCTCTGCTGCGGCTACATTACGTCTTCCTCACTCCAGAGAAATAGAATCGCACAGAAAGCTTTTACATACATTATATTTGTCAGTAAATCCATATAACCTTGGTAAATTCATGAACAAGGATGGAGACATTTGGTAAATACAAAAAGGTTTTGTTTTTGGTCAAACCACTGCTACACAGAGGGGCTCGGCCGCGCTCTGACCAATCAGAACTGCTGATCAGAGCAGCGGTAGAGCGGAGTCAGAGCAGGAAGGAAAGGAGCAGAGTTTGTGGCACTAAAGTGTGGATTTAAAGAAAACCGAAGGATTTAAGAAGAAAAAAAGTTCAGGATGACAAGGGACACTAAAATCCCTGTTGTGATATGTATTGGAACTATATTACCTAAGGCGGAGTGATATACACTAGGCCAGTGTCTCCCAAAGTGGGGTCCGCGGCCCACGAGGGGGCCGCGAGGGTACTGCAGGGGGGCCGCGGGAGGTCATAAAAAAAAAATATATATATAATTATTTAATGTTAAATTTATAATGTTTGTTTGTAATATTAACATATTTGTGTTCATTATTTGACTTGAATAAGCCACTGTAATCATTTTTGTATTACAATGTTTGTAGCAGAGGCTATTTCCCCAAAATAAAATAACCAGAAGAGCCTATTCTTAATGTTGTCTTCTTGGTTATTATTTTGGGGGGCCACGCAGACCCGTCAGATTTTTAAGGGGGCCTCGGTGTTACTGAGTTTGGGAATGGCTGCACTAGGCTATGGTACCAGCATGGAATACCCAACTGTTGTATTGTGTACGAGGTTATGAAGTAAACATACTGTGACCTATCTCCGAGCCTCATTCTTAAGTGTCAAATAATACTTCATGGTGGCAGCGGTAAAGAATCGCCTTCGTGATCGCCATACAGAACTGTTGTTGTGCCTGACGTGAGTCTCCAATAATTTTCGTCCGTGGATAACTTTTAACGAAGACTCAGCGGGCTAAGCGGCTAGCGGGAGCAAGCTAGGCGGCTAAGAGAAGCAACGTACGTGTACACAAGAAACTAAACAATGGCATCACACTTACCGACGATGAACTGGTCCGACCCGGATCTGAGTGAGGCTATCTCTCTATTTAAACAGAAAATGTGTCTGTACATAGAAGATGAGGAAATAGAGGACGAAGCCAAACAAGCAAGGAAAATATGCCGAGGCATTGGAGATGAAGGACTAAAAAGACTGAATGCTAGCGGACTCAGCGAGGCTGATAAGAAAATACCGGAAAATCTGTAGAATTTTTTTGAAGGTCAACTAAAGCTTAATGTAAACTTTAGGATACACAGACTTCATTTAATGCAATACAGACAGAAGCATGATGAAAACATCGATGATTTTGTAACTAGGGCCAGGACGTTAGCGTTGAAATGCCAGTTCACCGATGGGGAAATAAACGAACGTCTGATCGAGCTTATCATTGCCAGTACGCCACACGATGCCCTGAGGAACGATCTATACAGCAAGCCTCCAGGCTACTCCGTGGCTGATGTGCTAAAAGAAGGAAGAAAATATGAAGCGTTATCAGCTGGCAATGAACAGCTAAACCAACTTGGTCTGTCTACTTTAGAAAAAGTTCATGCAATACACAGAGGGCGAGCATGTCAGAACTGCGGCACGAGCCATAAACCGCGCCAGTGCCCTGCATACCACGATGAGTGCAACGCTTGTGGCATGAAAGGACACTGGGCAAGGTGCTGCAGAAAAAAAGGACAACAGAAGTCAGACTCAGGTCCAAGGAAAATAAGTAAGTCCCGCCTACCACAAAACAAACAGAACAAACACCAGGCAAACAGGAGAAGGCACAGGCCACAGCACAAAACCAGAATTGATTTGGTTGATAGTCAAGAGCCAGATGAATGCATGTACCACCAACAATTCCACTCGGTTACTGTCAGCGAAAAATGCATGCACAGCATCAATTACAATCTGCCTAGGGAAGAAGCCTACACAACACTAAACGTGAGACCACCTGATGTAGCAGGCTGCGGACACACACTTCGCTTGAAAATAGACACAGGTGCATCAGGGAACACACTTCCACTGCGCACATTCAAGCAGATGTATGGAAGCAACGCACTCACATGCAAAAGACTGAAGAAAAACAACCTGAAACTGTCTGCCTACAGTGGTCACGAGATACCTTGCTATGGAACTATCAACATCCCATGCCAGTACAAGGAATCCAGATGGATAAGTGCCAAGTTCTATGTTGTGGATGTACCAGGACCAGCTGTTGTTGGACTACCCACAAGTGAACTGTTGAACCTTGTCACACTGCATGTGGACACAGTCAAGCAAAAACCTGACAATACAAAGGAAAAAGGGCAACAAGCAAAACAGCTGAAAATAACCACCTGTGAGGAGCTCATAAGGAAATACCCGAATCAGTTTGATAAAATAGGAAACTTTGAGGGAACTGCAAAACTCATCCTAAAGCCAGACGCTGAACCATTCATAGATCCACCACGGAAATGCAGCATCCACATCAAAGACAAGCTCCAAGACGAACTGAGCAAGCTCGTAGAACAAGATGTCTTGCGGAAAGTAGAACAACACACTGATTGGTGCTCCAGCCTAGCATTCAGCACAAAGAAGGACAAATCTCTGCGTATATGCCTAGACCCACAAAAACTGAATGCCAGCCTGAAAAGATGCCCACACAAAATACCTACAGTCGAGGAACTGAATCCAAAATTTGCAAATGCCAAGATCTTCAGCAAGCTTGATGCGAAAGCAGGATATTGGTCAATACATCTTGATGAAGATTCACAAATCCTGACAACGTTCCGCACTCCATTCGGTAGATACTGCTGGAAACGTCTGCCATTTGGACTGAGTGTGTCTCAGGATCTCTTCCAGGCCAAGATGGACCAAATTCTGGAGGGGCTTGAAGGCGTGGCCAGTATAGCGGACGATATAGTCATATACGGGAAGGATGAAAATGAGCACGACAGAAACCTCACCGCCCTGATGGAACGGGCTGTAAAAGCAGGTATGGTGTTTAACAGCGACAAATGTGTCATTAAGCAGAACAATATTTCATTCTTTGGCAACCTGTACACAGACAGTGGCATAAAACCAGATCCTGCAAAAATAAGAGACATACAAAAAATGCCAACACCCCAAAACAAAGATGAACTGCACAGATTCATGGGGATGTTAACTTACCTTGCTACGTACATACCAAAGTTTGCAGAAAAAGCGCACACCTTAAGAGGACTACTAAAAAATGACACCCTGTGGCTATGGGAAGCAGACCACCAGAAATGCTTTGACGATTTAAAGTCTGCCATCACAGAGGATGCGTGTCTAAAATACTATGACGCCAGCACACCCCTGACACTTGAGGTGGATGCGTCACAGAAAGGCCTGGGTATAGCACTGGTGCAGAACAACAGACCTATAGCATTCGGATCAAAGACCTTAACTGATTGCCAGTCAAGGTACAGCAACATAGAACGGGAAATGCTTGCAATAGTTTATGGAATGCAGCGATACCATACTTACCCTGTACGGCAAGTCATTCACCGTGATAACAGATCACAAACCACTTGTCACCATCTGCTCAAAACCACTGCATGCAGCGCCACCCCGGCTCCAGCGTATGTTGATAAAGACCCAAGGGTACAATTATGAAGTCAAATACCGGCCAGGAGCGGACATGGTTCTAGCGGACACTCTCAGTCGGCTACCAAACCCTGAGAACGACGGTGACATTGAGCTGGATGAGAGGATAGATGGAATCGAAACAGAGTTCGAAGATGCAGAGAGGCATACCATCGCCATAATAAACTTTTCACCTGAAAAACAAAACTCTCTGCGAAGCCAAACTGCGAATGATACAAAGCTCCATGTGCTGAAAGAACTCATTCAACAGGGATGGCCTGAAAGCATAAAGGACCTACCTAAAGACCTGCGTCCATACTGGTCAGAGCCGAAGTTCAGAGATGAACTCGCAACAGAATCAGGAGTCATATTCAAGGGTAGACAGGTACTTATTCCAGACTCCATGACCGCAGACATTCTCACACAACTGCACGTGGCACATCAAGGCATAGAAAAAACGCGTCGACTGGCAAGAGAACGTGTCTATTGGATCAAGATGAACGATGACATCGAAAGAGTCTGCAGATCATGCAGTGTGTGTGCAGAGCATCAAGATGCAAACCCAAAAGAAACTCTTAAACCACACGACCTACCAACCCGACCATGGCAGTCAATAGCCTCTGACCTTTTCGAAATCAGTGGCCGCCACTACCTGTTGACAGTAGACAGATACTCAAAGTATCCACTTGTAGACGAAATGCCCACTCAAGTAACCAGCCATGCAGTCACACAAAAAATGCAGTGTTACATGTCCTTGTTTGGACGACCGGATGAAATTCTGACCGATAATGGACCACAGTACACAGGACAGGCTTTTCAACTGTTTGTGAAACGGTGGGGGATACGACACGTCACCAGTTCTCCCCACTACCCCAAAAGCAATGGGTTCATCGAAAGACACGTCCGGTACATCAAAGCCATTGTCAAGAAAACACAGCAAAACAAAAGTGACCTTTACATAGCTTTGCTACAAGTAAGAGCGACACCTATTGACAGCAAGCTGCCTTCACCTGCAGAACTGCTCTTTGGTAGGACTGTCACCACCCTACTGCCAAGCCGAGCAGACCCAGGTAAAGTGGGACACCGTCAGCACCTGGCACACAGAGCAGCTGTGATGAAGGAACATCACGACCGCAGCTGCCGCAGAGAACTACCTCCACTCCGTCCTGGACAGCATGTGACCGTGTGGAATAAAGAGAGAAGGACATGGCACCCAGCAGTTGTCCAGCAAAAGTGTAATGAGCCAAGGAGCTACGTTGTCCAGACACCGAATGGAAACATGATCAGGCGTAGCAGGAGCCATCTGCGTGGACCCTACAACACGCAGGTGCAACAGACTGTGAAAAGAACCCACCTGGTAGAACCACCAACACTGGATGAAGACCAGGAGGATCGCAGTGACCCAACACAGCCTGCACCATCCTGTGAAACCGAAAGTAAACCACCAGACCCCAACAACCCTCAGACAGTCCGTACACGATTCGGAAGGGCTGTGGTCAAACCAATGCACTACAGAGACTATGTCTAACAGCAAGCATAATCCACTTGGATAGAACATAGTTCTTGTTCACTTGCTAAGACTGAATTGATGTTGACAGTTTTAAATAGGTCCATATTAGCATATATTAGAGACATATGTTATGCTTTACAAATTGTTGGTTTTAAAAAAGGAAAAAAAATATGGTTGTTTTATGCCTACAGATGCACAGGTAACGCAACTGATTGAACATGTTTAATTACAGCTATGGCTTAATCTTTTGAAAAAATAATTTAGCCCAATTCTTTGTTCTGATTATCTAATAGGGTCTCAGCTTAACAGGGGGGATGTTGTGATATGTATTGGAACTATATTACCTAAGGCGGAGTGATATACACTAGGCTATGGTACCAGCATGGAATACCCAACTGTTGTATTGTGTACGAGGTTATGAAGTAAACATACTGTGACCTATCTCCGAGCCTCATTCTTAAGTGTCAAATAATACTTTCCTTTCCGACCTTTGTGAAAGCTGTAGGTTCTCTGTCAGCTGAGGTCAAGCTGTTTTAGTTTACATTGAGATCTATGGGACTTTTTTCTGGGTAGCCCGCATGCATTTAGTCTGCTATATTACGGGCGCCCACTGTGTATATGGGTGGGACAGCTATAAGCTAGTAATACCCTATCCAGTTATTATTATAGATCCATGCATGCACCGCACCAATGTTAATAGTTACGCGTCGCAAGTAAATGACGTGGTCTGACAACGCTGAGGAGATACTAGGAGGTACTATTTTTGCCGGAAAAGCACCCGAACTCGGCCGTGCCGCACCGCAACGTCCCGTTACTGTGGAAAAGCGGCAATGTCTCTCAGCTGGCCTGGGAGCACATTGGGGTCCCCCCGGACGAGCTGGAGGAAGTGTGGGTGGATAGGGAAGTCTGGGCGTCTCTGCTTAGACTGCTGCCCCCGCGAGCCGGCAACGGATGAAGCAGAAGAAAATGGATGGATGGAGGAAACTATACTTGTGAGGGACAAGCTCAGATCTTTCTGCTTTTGAAACAGGAGAAGAAACAAAAAACCTAGACCAAAGTCATTCGAAAAGTGCAATATGAGTAACTTTTGGCCAAGAACCCTGACGTAGTGCTACTCAATTGAAAACAGTAAAAACAAAAAAAACAAAAATGTTCACCTTACCAAGTAGCAATATTAATATTACAATTATAGAGTAACCTTCCCAACCGTGTTAGTTTGGTCAGTGGACATCAGAGACCAGAGCTGGAAACAAGGTTTCAAATAGAACTTTAGCGTTAGTGACAGTGGTATAAAACCAGTCAGAGCAAACCACATACTGTTCCTTTAACGCGTGTGTCCCACTGACAACAATTGTCCCACAGCCTATTGCACGAACTTTGAGACATGCACGTTGCAATTAAATGTCGTTGTCTCCTCATTTAACAGCTGTACGAGTTGAAAGCATGCTTTAAACGCGCGGGGACATAATGAAGACATTTGCACACAGTACCGGTGTGTAGCTGCTGTCAGACTGTCCCTCCGCAGACCACGGTCACGGCGCCATCATGGCCACGGGCCGCGTCCCAAACGTCTTTAATCGACTTATCTCCTCTTTTCCATTTTCCAGCCGTCAATCACCGTAAAGCTCCTCCTCCTCTTCTTCGCATGACTCTCTGCCTCTCTTCTGTGGGCGGGACTTCCTCACACATTTCCGTCATAGCGGAATCCAGGACAGAAGGCAGCGAGGAGAAAAGGATTTGAGACGCGTTCGTGGAAGATCCTCTATGTTGAAAGAACTGGGAACAATCATAACAGGACGTCTCACTCTGCGCTGTTCAGGTTTACAATGAGTCTCATAGTCTCATTTCAAAACCGACCCATCACACCAAAACAGCTGTTCATATGCTCAAAAGTAAACTCTGATACCACAATATTAGTCAAGGCCTGCACAAATGTAAACATTACTGAGCATCATTAACCACATTACCAAAACAAGTGAAAACACAATTTTCAGAGTGTGAGTTTACAGTTTTACAACTCCCAGGATACATTTGAGCAACACTTATTTTTTCTCAAATATGTTTTGGGAATTTACTATAGATTTGTGCGTTTCATTAGAACAGTGCAGAAAATGCAGTTATATCTCAATATAACTGCAATAACAAAAAACATAACTGCAATAACAAAAAATTTACGCATTTAATTGCGGAACGTTTCTCACTGGAGTAGTTTCAGACGGACCGATTATACTGGAGCACCAACTAACACGGATGGCAACCATAGCAACATGAACAAAGAGGCTGTTTTGACTGCATTGGCTATTATTGGCTTTTATTTCAAACAAAGAACGGGTGGCAGCGCTGATAAGAGTATTGTTTTGTGCACGCTATGAAACAAATAATTTGCATATCACCGCAGCACATCCAGCCTTAAAGTGATAGTATGTAACTCTAATTAATTACAAATTTTAAGAATTGTAGTAAATTGACCTTCTGGCCTTAAATGTTGATATAAATTAAGTCATTTTATTAATTCTAATATTACGGGTAAGTCCCGCCTTCCCTTCTCTTAGCTATAGTTCAGAATCCACGATGCCGTCCACGTTAACCAATCGAGTCAGACCAAGGACTGTCAATCATCGGCGCTGATGCTCGCAGCTCCGCGCATGCTCAGTTGTTTGTTTTCACGAAGCCTCTGAATCAAGCCTCTATCTGGCTTTGAAACTACATGAAAACTGAACAAAGAATTCTGAACGTCCGCGCTGAGTTACCTATTTATATACTGAACCTGAACCATCATCAGATCCTCTGCAGATGTGTCCTATAATATGATAATAGCTTCTTCCGGGTTTGCCGCGATCGTCTTTTTGTGCATTAAAACATCATTTTTTAAGTAATTCTGAAAACCTCTGTGCATGTGTATTAAAAATGTATAAGGTGTTCTCTGATTAACATTTCAAAGTGTTACGGAAACGTAGGTGTAGACCATAGACTGTATATATTAACGGACAGAGTCACGCCTATCTCCGCTGTTCTAACTAATGGGCCAAACAATGTGCTCTACTGGAGCTATTCAAAATGGCCGCGAGTGGTCCCGCCCACAAGACAATTGTGAAAAAACGCATCTGCGCATGCGTCAGCCGGCGCAGCTCCATTCATTTGAACGAGAGACTTCAAAAATTCACAGCGAGTAAACTAGAGTGGACCAAAAAAATCCACCCCCCTCAGCATTGACACACATGTGGAACGGAGCTTTGGGCCAAGAGCCAACTTTTGGTCCATCCTGTAAAGACGTTTTCGAGAGGTCTGCCAATGCTATATGTTAGCATTGGCTAATTCTTCTTCTGGGTCCACCCCCATCGGCCCGGGGTGGTATTGCAAGCATGTCAGCGCACGTCATTTTGGCCACTTTTGAGCTGGGACCCGCCCCCACTGGTGTAGACCAATCAGAAAGGAAGGGGGAGGGAGCTTGCGTTGTTTTTTTTTTTCAAATCAAGCACCTCTCTGTCTCTCTTTCGGACAAACTCCAGACAGTCACTTTTACCTCGTAAACTCCTACATCTGTTTTGGCTCGTGCACAAAAGTTTGGCATACCCAAATGTCTTTGCTTATTAAAAAACACATCTCACATGCTTGTATGATGCATCATTTTAAAGCTAGGCCCTTCTAGTTTATGTAAATATACACTGAAATAATGTATGTCATTCCTTTTTTACTCTGCATCCTTTGAAGTTTGGGGAAAAAACTTGTTTTTTTTTAGCCTTGCCTAAAAAATTCAATGTATAAACGCCCTAAAAAAGCCTACTTCATTGGAAGAAGAACATTTTCAACGCCAATTTGTTCATTGTGTTGTTGACAACAACTGTGTAAAGTTTCAGACTTCTAAGTTTTATAGTTTTTATGCAGTTTCTCTTTTAAGTAGTGCCATTCGGAACCAATTTGGCAAAATGTGTGCCATATTCTGCCAAACTGCTTTACTAACATTTCACCATCATAAAAAGCATATTTTTTAGTTTTGGTACTTATAAGTTACAAATCTGTGTAATTTTCTTTTACATTTTTTCAAAATTATTTTTTTAGTAGAGTAAATGCATATACAATATGCGCAGTAGTACTAACAGCGTCTTTACGCACGCTTTTACTGTGAAAATGAAAAGAGTTCCTACAAGTCCCACCCATCAAAAGAAATCTCTTTTTTATTGGCTACTTAGACACGTCAATCATTCAGTGCAAGCACATTGCGCTAGCCATGCTAATCAACAACAAGGGAAAAAGGACCCTGTGCAAGTGTATCGGGTTCGTCTTTTTCACAAGGGTCCTGCGGACTGAAACCTGCTCCTATCTTTTCATGGAACCTCTCTTTTTGAAGCTAAGGACTCAAGGAAAACGTGGATATGATGTTTGTGGGGCTAAACAAAGCTCAAACTTGGTGAAATGTGAAAGAGAAGCCTCAACATTTTTCGGAGCGTTTTTTTTTGCAACAGAAAAATTCACATTTTTGGATTATTTCTGAAGATTGGATTATACTTTGGGAAATACAAGTGGATATTCTTTTTCAATGAAGACTTACGGAGAGAAAGAGACTAAGCAAGGATGGGGAAAGTCTAATTTGTAGGAGCAGCAGAAGACAAAAGGTAAGAAACTTACACAAACACGATTTATTTTATGCCCATATTATGCGTTATATCTTTTTAATGCAAAGTCTGATATCGTTCGTTAAAATGATATATAGCTTGTGGCTTATGAAGTTCAAAATACATCTGATATTGCCAGCAGATGTATTTAAGAGGTGTATCACCTCAGTGCAAAACATATAGCAGCTAGCGTGGACGCTAGTCTGAGTCCGGGTACATCCCACACACAACCAGTTGACTGGTTTTAGGACGAGTGTAACTAACTCCACGTCTGAGAAAATAACCAACGCCCTGGCTCACTGGGTTGCACTCGACTGTAGACCACTTGGAGTGGTAGAAGATAAGGGCTTGCAAAAAGTACTGCAGATTGCGTCGTCTGACAAAACATACGAGCTGCCATGCAGAGAGACAGTGACAAAAAGAGTCCAGCAGCTTTATGACAATGAAAAGAAAGAAAAGGAGGATTTATTGTTGGAGAAAGCCAAGTGGGTTGCCCTGACTGGGGATCATCGGACCTGGTTAAGCAATTCAAATTATCTCAATGTGACGGCACACTTTATTGACATGAAGTGGCATCTTCGCGCATTTGCCTTAACTATGCAGAAGACCATCACTAGGCACTTTGCTGAAAACGTGGCAGAAGATTTTGAGTCTGTGGCAGAGGCCTGGGAAATCAGACAAAAAGTCACCACAATCAGAACTGACAGTGCCCGAACCATGGTCTCTGCAATGAGACAGCTCACATTCCAGCACATTCCGTGTGTTGCTCAGTTTGCCTTGCTGACAGCAGGTTCACAGCCACATTGGCAAAATGTCGTAAAATAGTGGGGCATTTTAAACATAGCCCCTCAAACACAGACAAACTGCAAAAGGAGCAAGCACGAAGTCAAGACAAAGAGCCACTGATACAGGATGTTTCCACAAGGTGGAATTCAACACTGTTTATGATCTCTCGTCTGCTAAAAAACCCAGAGGCTGTGAAGGTTACTATAGCCAAACAGAAGCACAAGCTCACCATGTTAAAGTATTACTAGAATTTAATATGCTGCTATCCAGAATATATGACTACAATATGTGTTTATAATATTTCGGGTGTTCATTTTGAGATGTTCAGATGAATTATATAAAAAAAAAACGGCTTTGAAGTTTCACCTTTTCACAACCGCTAGGGGGAGCCAAAATGGCGGCGATGACGTAGGAGAATGATCTCACAGCAGCGGACACATGGATCTAAGTATCTACCAAGAGGAGAGCGAGGACAGGTGTGGACCAGCAGTGAGGCACTGCTGCGAAAAGATCCAGACATAGCTACTCAAGAACCCTCAGAGGAGCCAGCAAGGAAGAGGAGCCTCCTGCGGTTTCATTCAGACTCCTAATCAGAGGATGAGGATGAAGAGGGGCCCAACTGGGCTCTGACCTGCTACAGGGCAGAGCCCACCATAGCAGGTCAGAGCCCACCATCAGTGAGACAGATTTCCCACTGCAGTGGTGGTCCACTCATGAGGGAGCCCATCCACAGCTTTCTGCTCTGGCCCGCAAGTATCTGGGCAGCCCTGCCACTTCTGTCCCTTGGGAAAGACTTTTCTCATTGGCAGGTTACATAGTTCAAAAGAAAAGGGCAACCTTGAGCTCTGAAAATGTGAACAGGCTATTTTGTCTCAGCAACTGGCTGAAAGAGAAGTAGAAGTAGTAGTCATGGAGGTATCCTGAGGCTAATGGGCTTGTTGTTACTGAAATGTTGATAAAACAGTTGCCTAAGCAACAGAGAGTTTTTTTTTTCATCAGGTTATTGGGAGAATAGAAGGGATTGAGGTCAATCACTGGCACTGTTTTTTATAATGTCTTTTAAATGGTAAATTTTATGTTGAACTATTTTGTTTTACCATGTTGTATTGTGTTGTTGGTGCAACTGGTACTTTAGGTTGACCTCTTTATTGTTTTGGTCAAGGTTATTGAGAGAGTTGCATTGAAATTAATTTGCACTGGTCTGATGGACTTGAACAAAAATATTAAATATTTTTGTTACTTATGCTTATGTATTACTATTCAGTCCTTATTCAATGGTAAACTAAAAATCCATGTGAAAAAATACTTATCACTGTTCTCAGGTCAAATATTGATATGTGATTAAAATGCGATTAATCGAGATTAATTACAAAGCCTCTAATTAATTAGATTATTTATTTTAATCGAGTCCCAACCCTAATCACAACTCAATGCAAGAATTAGTAACTCCATAGGATCCATGACACACAATAGATACAACAGTACAGTAATAATTACACACAATACATAGAACAGTAGAGTAACAATTTACTGTGGTGAAGAGGGAGTGAGGAGCTGGCCTGGGATCACCTCATCCAGCTGTAGCAGGTGAAGAACGAAGTCTGGGCCTATCTGCTCAGACTGCTGCCTCCGTGACCTGGCCCAGAAAGTGCGTAGATAGATGACTCCAGACGAGCCCAGCACAAGTGACCGAGGGATGGAGAAAGTTCAACAGAAGACCGCACTGAAGGAATCCATATGTAGTCACATTAAAAACCAAACAAGTCAGATTCAGTTTGAGTTGTTGTTGAGATTCATTTCTTATTTAAATATCAGAATGTTTGTGTTGAAGTGCAGTGTAACATCAGCCCAGCAGAGGGCAGTCACACGTTCACACAGTCAACAAGTTGACATTCAGTGAGGCAAAAATAGATTTTCACATTTCCTGATATTTATTCCAAGTAAAACTCAAAATATAATAGGATGGAATGAGAATCTAAAGAATATCCAAAAAACTATTCACAGAAAGAGAGATAATATAACTTGGAATGATCAACTTTAGGGTTAAAAGGGTAAAGAGCAGGTTTCTGTGCAAGGTGTACAAATGTGGAATAAATTGAGAGTGCGGGTCAAAGAATATCCAAATTTAGCAATATTTAAAAAAGGTTTTCAGGAAATGACATTTGAAAAACATCAAGAGGAAAATATGTCATAAGAATCTAGTAGTGTTATTATTACTGTAGGGGTTGACTCTAAAATACCAGCTTGGGCCTTGGGATAGATGTGTTTTAGGGACTGATGTTGCAGTGGTGGGTGTAGGCGTTGTCTCTCTGGCTGGGCCTTTGCATGGTTGGTGAGTACTATGGTGGGACTTGAGATGTGGAGGAGACTGGCCGGCGTCACGGTTCCTTGATGGTCTGGTGAGAGTGCTTTCTTTCATTCTGAATTGCAGTTGAAACAACAACAAAACTAAATGCTTTCTTTGTCTAAATATAATAAAACACAATCAGTCAATCAATATGGGTATATCATGTATAGATGTGAAAGAGCAGACTTGTTACTACATTGTCCTCCATCAAGAAAGACACAAATCATACATACCATGACCAGTCCTTATGGAATAAAGATTTGTAATAACAAATGTTGGGATTTGACCCATGTTTTTTAACTGTTCTTGTCCACCACCCTTGAGTTATGCCTTGTACAAATTATGCTATACAAATATATTTAGAAGAAAAAATGTAATATTGCAAGTTAAATTTGACACCTGAATGTTGATTATTTCAGACAGCTGCCATGTGATCACTGTGTAAACTCTAACGATATAAAATATGACATTGTGGCCTCCAGAGGGCGCCAGGGACCCTACAGTCTATGGCCTTACCGCACACTTCAAGAGTCACAGGGCTCTTCCATATGGGCTGGACTAAAACTCTTTACTGTTTCTATTTGTATTTACATGTCAGAGCCACGTGCACCTGCCGTTGCCATGGCGACACAGAGTGTTTATATTCAAACGCTGCTCGCTCGACGCTCACTTCACTTGCTGTTGGACGCTGACACTTGTGCAGAACTCTCTTCATCTCATCTTTGTTTAAGGACAAAGCTGTGGTAATTACACTGTAGCACCAGGACACGGTCTAACACTGGTTTGTTGACACTTTTCAGCTTTGAAAAGCGCTGTGAACAAACACAGTGTGAAGCATGGCTCTCCCCTTCCACGCCCCGGCCGACCTGCCCCTGCCGCCTGGAGGTAACACCACATCACTTACTGATCACTGAAATGATCATGAAATATGGGTAAAAGACGTGATATTCGCACTTTTGTCCATGTGTGGCTGTTTCGATGGACCACATGTCTGTGTAGGAGCTAACGCTAGCTAGCATGTGGCAGGGCAACTATGAAAGTGCTTCTTTAAGACATAGACTTTTGGTCACATGTGTAAAAGCTGCTGAAAACAGACAAAGTTGATCAGAAAGGTTGTAATTAAAACGTTATCACAGCTTTATCATCAGTATTTGAGTTTTAACATCAAATGTATCCAGTGCTAAAGGTAGATGAGAGCAGCTGTTGTGCACATGTGACCGTGACCTGATCAGTGTTGGAGAAACAGCTCCAAAAGTCACTTGTTCATTTAGTTGTAACTCACTAATGTAACTGGTTACACACATGAACAGAATAGAGTAGTTACAATCAAAACATTTACAGTTACATTCATATTTTAATTAATTGAACCTTTCTCACTGCTACAAATAATTTGACTGAAAGTTCTTCATGCAACAGTTAAATCAATTATTGAATACGTTGACAACTCATTTAGTTTGAAATGAATGGGTTTGTGAACCTTACACAGGGTGAAACATGAAGAGGTTTTCATAAGTCAAACAGTATTTTAGTCTTCATAACGGTGTATACTTGTGTGTTTGACTGTAACTTTGACAAAACAAAAACAGTGTGTGAGGAAGTTGTTCATGTTGTCATTATGTTCCAACAGCGTGGGACGCCCTGCAGGTGCTTCTTGCTGACGACCAGGAGGACGCAGGTGGGTCGCAGGTAAGGTGGGCTTATCACGTGTTGCGTCACGTCTATGGTTTGGACTTGGAGTCTGATGAAGTGGAATTTGACATCCACCACTGGGATCAAGCTCTCGTGCCAGAGGCCGGCATGGACGATGACGCGGACTGGGAGGACTGGGACGCCTCCCCCTTGGACTTTTTCTGGGATGAGAACAGTGACTGGGACGATGCACTTGTCCCAGACGATGAAGAGGACGACCAGGACGCGAAGAGTGAGGAGGAAGACCAGGACACAGAGGGTGAAGAGGACAACCAGACTGTGCCGGAATGGTCCCCTTCGTCTCGCAGTCCAGATCTCGTTCCCTCCCGTCGCCCTGTGAGCTTCCTGGACTTTGAGCCCCTAGCAGGGGCCAGGCGCCACAGGAACGAAGAGGAGGATAAAGAGGACAACCAGACTGTGCCAGAATGGTCCCCTTCGTCTCGCAGTCCAGATCTCGTTCCCTCCCGTCGCCCTGTGAGCTCCCAGGACTTTGTGCCCCTAACAAGGGCCAGGCGCCACAGGGACGAAGAGGAAGAGGAGGAGCCCATCTCCAAGAGGCCACGCTTTTCCTACGACGAGGACATGTTTGAGGAGCCCACCCTCTGCTGGGACGTTCGAAGGCTTCACCCGATACTTCCTCCAGCCCCACCTGCCCCAAGACTCCGACTCAGAGCAGGACTGAAGATCAACCTGAGCCTGAGACTGAGCACCTGGAGGAGAGAAGGCAGCACTTATTTCTACAGCACTTTAGACAGCCAGAGCAGGTCACAAAGTGCTTCACATGGGCCGCACACTCCACCTTCAGCAGCGCCCAATTTCACCTCTGGACATTTATTTATTGATTTATTGATTGTGCAAAGTTTTGACACTTTGACTTTAAACACAAAAAGAAGTTTCTTTCTGGGACAAGGGTTTCCAACCTGTTGAGAGATAGTGTTAGATGTTTCCATATAAAACATAAACCATTCTCCATGTATTACAAAACATGATGTCACTGAGTAACTTCTCTGAAGAAAGACTTTGGAGCAGCATTTGTAGATTCCCTGAGCCCTTTCTCAGGCCACTTTGAAAGAGCTAGAGAGCCACTGGTAGCTCCTGTGCTGTAGGTTGAAGACCCTTGTTCTAGTATTAGTAGTAGTTTGTTTCAAGAAAGGAGAAGGCAAAGAAAACGGTGTAGGACTTCCATAAAGATGACATTTGTTCACAGCAGAAACACATTGAGCATGAGCAGTAAGTAAATAGATGAAGCTGATGTGAGCAGAGATCTTCAGCCTCACTCTGTCCTCCATCGTACTCCTTGCTTTCTCCTCTGGGGAGTCGCCCGATAACCAGCCCTTAAACTTTATACATATAAAGTTTGTTGATTTCTTTATTTATGGTTGTTGGTGCAATACCCACTCCTTTGCTGTGTTTTTTTATTAAAGGAAAGGAATAGTATGTAGGAAGGTAACAAACACAGATCAACTTTGACAGAACTAAAACTAAAACGACTCAATGACTTTACTGTATTTGAGAATGGATTAAAAAAGAGCTTAAGCTGACTCTAGTGTGGTTTCCTGCATAGTACCCCTGGCCTTGTGTTCACTCTAGTGCAGGGCTGCCCAAGTACTACTACTACTACTACTACTTACATTGGTCGCTCTGTGGGGTCTAATGTGGTCCTGAAGGGGTGGTGACATCTGTTTCCTTCAAAAGACCAAATGAATGAAGGTTTAATTGTACCTGTCTGTTGCTCTAATAAACCTGTTTTGATCAGCACACTATTAGCTTTGGCTCTCAGAACATCAAAATCATTTTGTCCCACGGATCAGAAGTTTGGCCACCCCTGCTCTAGAGCTTAGGAGGGTTAGCAGGAGAGAAGGTGGAGCGCCATCTACAGGGTTGGTGGTGTGATCCCTCCTCTTTTCATTGTCAAATGATTTCAATGATTCATATTTTATTCATCTGCTCCTTCTGCAGGTCTAGTTGATTAATCCTAGTTTTTGTTAACATAAAATGTTGTGTTTTATTTATATATGTATATGGCCATACCTGCATGTGAAGGCTAGATCCCATCAGACCTCTGAAGCTGTGCAGGGCAGGGTCTGGTTAGTACTGTGATGGGAGACCTCTGGGAACACCAGGTGCCACAGTGGGGCGGCTGCGGCTGTAAAGTGCCAACCTGTTGTTGTGTCCTTAGGCAAGACACTTAACCCACATTGCCTAGAATGAGTCTGGTGTGTGTTTGTGTGAATGGTTGGTGGTGGTTGGAGGGGCTGATGGCACATACTAGTTGTCTTGTTTGTCAGTGTGCCCCAGGGCAGCTATGGCTACAGTAGTAGTTTATCACCACCGTGTATGGAGTGAAAGAAAAATGACATGTGCAATGTCTTAGTCTCCTTAAAAGCACTATATAAAACACATGCATTATTATTATTATGATTAAATACTATCATTTGTTGGACAGGAACACTGCTGTCAGACAGTCACAAGACAAAGCCTGCAGCTGATGTGACACATACAGAGTATATATTTTACAAACACAAATATGAAGTTATGTCTCCTTCACTCACTCATACACATACAACATTCAGAACTTAAGTGTTCATAACGTGTCGCAGTGAAGAGTCTCTGTGGAGAAGGGACTTTGACTTTATTTGTTGATAAGAACATGTGGAGATTTGGGTCTGTGGACAGACACTGTCAGCTTTGACAGCACTCAAAAAGACAGGTAAATATCATCATGTTAGATAGTTCTTATAAAGTCCTAGTATATGAGCACATGAGACTTTTACTGACCCTGAGTCATCGTCAGAGATGTCTTTAAGTCTGTTTTCAGATTTGTTTTTCCAGTTGGAGACAGGAGTCCGCAGCATCCAGCATGTCCCGGTGAGTCAGCCTCAAATCGGTATTGAACTCACCATAAAAGAACGACTCGGTCTGTTCCCACTGTTCACAGATGGAGCTGTCCCTGATGGAGCTGTCCCTGATGGAGCTGTCCCTGATGGAGCTGTCCCTGATGGAGCTGTCCCTGATGGAGCTGTCCCTGATGGAGCTGTCCCTGATGGAGCTGTCCCTGATGGAGCTGTCCCTGATGGAGCTGTCCCTGATGGAGCTGTCCCTGATGGAGCTGTCCCTGATGGAGCTGTCCCTGATGGAGCTGTCCCTGATGCAGCAGTCTCTGATGGAGCTGTCCCTGATGCAGCAGTCTCTGATGGAGCTGTCCCTGATGCAGCAGTCTCTGATGGAGCTGTCCCTGATGCAGCTGTCCCTGATGCAGCTGTCAATAGGAGCATCAGAGGACGATGAACAAATCCACACAGACCTCATTCCCAGTGAGTAGCCTCCCGTCTCGTCTGCTGCTCTTCTGAACTACAGTTTTAGAACACATTGGTTTGATTAAGAAGGAAACCTGAGGAAGATCTCCAGAGAACTCCGAAGCCACTGGAATGAGACGATTTGACTGGGAAAGTTTGCAGCCGAATGTGAAGCAGCTGGAGTGAAAATAAGTCCCTCCAAATCCTTAGATCTGGACTAGAGAAGGAGGACTTTCCCTCTTCAGGTCGAGTTTGTTCACTATACGTGCCAGACTCTAACTAACATGTCATGATCAGCATTATTTGCTTTTCATTATAGGAACCAAAGTCCAGTGTTGGAAAAGTCCTCCTCTTCATCTCTGCCACGTTTTCTTCAACATAGTCCACATAACACAGATCCACATGTGTAAGTCAATATCTGAGAAAACAGCTGTTCACTTTGTAGTTGTACATTAGAATAAACTTTTATTTGACCAAATGTAGGATCCATTCTTGTGAGAGGGACCTGTGGATGCTGCTGTCCACATCAGAGGAAGAGGGGAACAAAGCCTGCTACAAAGAGACCAAACTCATCCCAAGTGAGAGGACCTCCTGAAGGCCTTGGACCAACGGTGAGCTGTGTGTTCTTCCTTCGACACTGTGATTTTGAAATCACAGTGTCGAAGGAAGAAAGCTGTGTTTAAATATCTTTGAATTCCTTTTTAGGGGTGATCTAATATGGTGTTATTATTTCTGTTTTAGAACCACACAAACTGCTATCCGCTTCTATGAGTCATCAATCCCCTTACAGTCACTATTCACCCACTATTGACCCAAGAGACCAGTGGTTTGATAAGACTGAAGCCAAGCACACTCCTAACCCATGAAATAAGCCTGACCTGACCACAGCCCAGCGGTACACCAGAGAAGATAAGATGAGAGCCATGTCTGCTGAGAGGCACCAAGACTAGAATCTCCAACACAAGTGAGAGCTAAGAACAGCAGCAAATCTTCATGGGGATTAAGATTCCAACAGTGTAATTGTCCTTTCTTATTGTGTCAGTGCAGGAAAAGAAATCTGCAGATGAGAGCGCTTGATTGAGGACGGTGTGTAGACCGAAGAAAGAGGCCTTGCCCTCTCCAGGTGGTGTAGGGGTCCTTCTGCGAGGGGAGGAGTTCCAGTATCTCAGGTCTTGTTCAGTGTGATGGAAGGAGCAGCGTCTGCAGTGATGCGGTCGCTCTATGGGACTGTTGTGGTGAAGAGGGAGTGAGGAGCTGGCCTGGGATCACCTCATCCAGCTGTAGCAGGTGAAGAAGGAAGTCTGGGCCTATCTGCTCAGACTGCTGCCTCCGTGACCTGGCCCAGAAAGTGCGTAGATAGATGACTCCAGACGAGCCCAGCACAAGTGACCGAGGGATGGAGAAAGTTCAACAGAAGACCACACTGAGGGAATCCATATGTAGTCACATTAAAAACCAAACAAGTCAGATTCAGTTTGAGTTGTTGAAATTAATTTCTTATTTAAATATCAGAATGTTTGTGTTGAAGTGCAGTGTAACATCAGCCCAGCAGAGGGCAGTCACACGTTCACACAGTCAACAAGTTGACATTCAGTGAGGCAAAAATAGATTTTCACATTTCCTGATATTTATTCCAAGTACAACTCTTAGAATATATTCGGACGGAATAAGGATATAATTTATGTTTTATGCAGAACATCAGAAGTTTTTATAATCAAGGTTAATTGGAAGAATTGCTATAAAAGGGAGAGACTTGAGCCAAACGTTTTGGGTTGCCTCTCACACGCTGCTGACAGTAAAATTAAGCTGAAGCGCAAATTCAGACTGAAAGACTGGCCACGCCTCTCACCCATCCAGGGCCTGCCAATCACACAGCTCTGCCAGTCTCGAGCCTCTGCCAATCACACAGCCTGGCCAGCCCTTTGAAAACCCACTGACAGCAAAGCGGGCAGTTTAAAAGCAGCCACTCCCCAATAAACAGCGCTTCCTGAAGCTCTTAACACCCACCACCTCCCCAGCGCCTCCTCAGCTCCTGGTTCCTGCTCCGTCTACGCCCCATTCACACCATGCTTCTAGCCACCACCGCAGTGCAGACGATCTTCCTCTGCAAGTGTCACTGCCGGGGTCAATGCACCAATCAGATGCATCTTTTTCATGCATTAAAGTTTCTGTCTTGGTCTCTTCAGATTGAATTGGTGGAAGTTTGGCTCCTGACAGAACTGGAATTGTTTGACCTGTGATAGAAGCAGTTTTCATTCAAAGGGTTATGTTACGTAGTGAATTTTTTGTTTTCAAAGTCTTGTGTGCACCAGCTGTAAAGTGCATGTGACGAGCTACAAGCATGTATACTGCTTGTAAACAATGACATCACAAGTGGGATATAACGTGCAGAGAAAATCTATTTATACAATCTAAATGATAAATTTGACTAAAATATATTAAGTGTCAAAAATGTGTTTCTGCATTCATTTAAAAGTATTTATTTATTTAAAGGCGCTATACCCGTTTCTGCAATGTTTGAATGTTTAGCACCGCCCCCAACTCGCTCACAGGCTTCTCATTTCCCCTACGCTCTCATAACACGGAGCCACCTAGTTTTATTTGCGATCTGATAAATATGCTAACATTAGCATTAGCACAACTTCTTGTAAGCTGTGCAACAATCACCGATGAAATGGCACTAAAGCAACGCACTGCTAACACAATATATAAGTAAAAGAATACCGCTAGTTTTGCGTCCGAATGTATTAATTTAAAACCTTAGAATATATTCTAATATTTAATTATAATGTGTTATAGAGCTCCTCACAGCAGCAGCAGCAATTCTTCCGATAATTTTTTCTTGATAACAGAACTCTCAAACCAATAATGACCGAAGCCCCAATGCAATCTCTGTTTGTGATTCAGGTGTGTAAAATACTGCCATTACTCTGCAAGTACAAAACGCTATCAGCGCTTGTCACTACACACTTGTATGTGTAGAGAAGCTAGCGGAGCTAGCCACGCTCAATAAACAACTACATATCTATCAATCAACACCATTAAACATCAATCGGACAATACAGTATACATATACATCCTTAACACACATGCACGGATGATTTCAGAATTTGCTGTCAACGTTTTCATGACAAAAATACTGTTTCAAAGTGACAAAAAGCGATTGCGAAAAACCCGGAAGTTACCATGAAACAGCTAGCTAGCTTAGCTGTTACCTGCCTAGCACGTCCCGGTGAAACCTTTGGGAGCTAACTATTTTATTTGCAGTCATTAAATACATTTCGAATTACAAGGGTTGTCTAATATTTGTTCACATTTTTTTATTCAATTATTTTGTTCCTCATTTTTTATTTTAGAATTATATTCGAATTTTGAAGTCGAAGCCCTGGTGTTAAGCAGCGCTGTAGAGACTAGAGGACGCAGGCTGTAGAGGCTAGAGGACACAGGCTGTAGAGGCTAGAGGACACAGGCTGTAGAGGCTAGAGGACGCAGGCTGTAGAGACTAGAGGACGCAGGCTGTTCGCTGCTCGTTCTGTGAGTGGAGGAGAACGAGCGGCCCGCTCAGACTCTACTCAGCACTTTTCACTGCTTGTAATTCTTACACAGCTGAATCAATTACCTCAAGTTTTCAATTAAATGATGTATTATGATACAACTTGTATGTAGTAAAAAGCATTTTTATGAACTACTTAGAAAAAAAATCGGGTATAGCTTCTTTAAAGCGGGAATTGATCCACCAGAAAACTAGAACATAATTAATAAAAACTTTTGATGTCTGTTTTGAACCAGTTAAAGTCCAGCATTGAGTCTTTTTAAAGAATTAATAGAAATCTTATGAAAAAGTCACTTTTCTGTCTGATATGGGTATATTATGTATAGATGGGAAAGAGCGGACTTTTCTACATTGTCTGCCATTACAGTTTTTCTCTATTTCTTAAACACATTTCACGATACTGCCCTCACTTTTCACTGAACTCTAAACACAAACCACTTTTCTAAAGCTACGTACACACAACCTCACACTTTACAGTCTATGGTTGATGTCTGCAACAAGATCAGTATGATAAAATTTGACAAAAATGTGCATTTTAATTTCTTGAAATATTGTGCTTTCCTGTTTCAACTACAATAGCCTGGTCTTTCCCATAGACTGTAAAGACTTACCACACAGTCATACTAACTCCATTTCCTACTAAGGTAAATAACGGACCGGAATTTACGGATGGCTTAGGCCAGGTTACAACTACAACACTTGGAAATGTGTCATTATTTATTTGGAAAAGTGCTTTTTAAAGTACAATTATTTGAATACAAATCTAGTCTTGAAAACAGTGAAAAAGTAAAAGGAGTTTTTAAAAAATTACTAGGACAACATTTTATACAAATTTTGAAGTGGCTCATACTGAATTTATGGTCTTAGATATACAGTCTTTAGACGCTGTGGAGACATCCTCCTCGGGCCACTGCAAAGCCAGAAGGAAAAAAAAAAGCACAAAGAGGTCAGAAACCAAACAAAGTGGCAGAACCACATTTCTCTTTTTGAAATGTCACTATCACTCACTGAAATCCAAATCTTTGGAGTCTTACTCAAAGCAAATACAGTGCCTTGCGAAGGTATTCGGCCCCCTTGAACCTTTCAACATTTTGCCACATTTCAGGCTTCAAACAAAGATATAAAATTTACATTTTTTGTCATGAATCAACAACAAGTGGGACACAATCGTGAAGTGGAACGAAATGTATTGGATAATTTAAACTTTTTTAACAAATAAATTGATAAGTGGGGCGTGCAATATTATTCGGCCCCTTTACTTTCAGTGCAGCAAACTCACTCCAGAAGTTCAGTGGGGATCTTTGAATGATCCAATGTTGTCCTAAATGACTGATGATGATAAATAGAATGCACCTGTGTGTAATCAAGTCTCCGTATAAATGCAACTGCTCTTTGATAGTCTCAGGGTTCTGTTTAAAGCGCAGAGAGAACCATGAAGACAAAGGAACACACCAGAAGTTTAAAGCTGGATTTGGATACAAAAAGATTTCCCAAGCTTTAAACATCTCAAGGAGCACTGTGCAAGCAATTATATTGAAATGGAAGGACTATCAGACCACTGCAAATCTACCAAGACCCGGCCGTCCCTCCAAACTCATCTCAAACAAGGAGAAGACTGATCAGAGATGCAGCCAAGAGGCCCATGATCACTCTGGATGAACTGCAGATAACTACAGCTGAGGTGGGATAGTCTGTCCATAGGACAACAATCAGTCGTGCACTGCACAAATCTGGCCTTTATGGAAGAGTGGCAAGAAGAAAGCCATTTCTCAAAGATATCCATAAAAAGTCTTGTTTAAAGTTTGCCACAAGCCACCTGGGAGACACACAAAACATGTGGAAGAAGGTGCTCTGGTCAGATGAAACCAAAATCGAACTTTTTGGCCACAATGCAAAACTATATGTTTGGCGTAAAAGCAACACAGCTCATCACCCTGAACACACCATCCCCACTGTCAAACATGGTGGTGGCAGCATCATGCTTTGGGCCTGCTTTTCTTCAGCAGGGACAGGGAAGATGGCTAAAAATGATGGGAAGATGGATGGAGCCAAATACAGGACCATTCTGGAAGAAAACCTGTTGGAGTCTGCAAAAGACCTGAGACTGGGACGGAGATTTATCTTCCAACAGGACAATGATCCAAAACATAAAGCCAAATCTACAATGGAATGGTTCACAAATAGACGTATCCAGGTGTTAGAATGGCCAAGTCAAAGTCCAGACCTGAATCCAATCGAGAATCTGTGGAAAGAGCTGAAGACTGCTGTTCACAAACGCTCTCCATCCAACCTCACTGAGCACGAGCTGTTTTGCAAGGAAGAATGGGAAAGAATTCCAGTCTCTTGATGTGCAAAACTGATAGAGACATACCCCAAGCGACTTGCAGCTGTAATTGCAGCAAAAGGTGGCGCTACAAAGTATTAGCGCAAGGGGGCCGAATAATATTGCACGCCCCACTTTTCAGTTTATTTGTTAAAAAAAGTTTAAATTATCCAATAAATCGTTCCACTTCACGATTGTGTCCCACTTGTTGATTCTTGACAAAAAATTAAATTTTTATATCTTTATGTTTGAAGCCTGAAATGTGGCGAAATGTTGAAAGGTTCAAGGGGGCCGAATACTTTCGCAAGGCACTGTATACCCACACCTAGAAATGCATGGCACAAAGAACACAAAACGAGCATGTTAGATGTTGAGAAATGTCTACCCAACGTGCAAATTTCATTTTAAGCACTTCATTAATAAATGATAATATTTTGTCCTTCAAGACATTTTTCATTTTATGTATAATGTAGAACCCCCCCAAAAAGTTTCCAAAATACCAGTACTACTTTTTTTGCATTAACTTTATGAATGTTCTTAAATATTTGCTTTCATCCACTCCAGGCGTCTATAAGGAATGTACATCACGCAAACCTTTAAATAGGTCACACATATCTTTGAAAAGACAACAACATGGCCCTGCAGTTAGGCTAAATACATTTTTTATTTTGAAAAACCATACACATTACTCGACAAGTTTCAAATGTAAATCCAATCACAATATCAATTTAAAATGCTCAAGATAAACAGACATGAAGTATCTTTATTTCCAAATGTCAAAAGATAAAAAAATAATAATCCATAGAACAGATGGAAAATAAAACATTCGTTCCCATTGACAGCAAGAAACTCTAGAATAAACGGCTCCTAAATCTTTTCTTTGCATCCCTCGTTGAACGTATTCGAAAAACAGTAGTGTTCAGTTGCCTCCTCAAAGCCTTTCAATAAAATCTACAGGACGTACTAGGAGCGCAGAAGGAAATTTTGATAATGTTTGCGATAAGAAAAAGTACCCCGTGCAGAGATGTGCCAGTGTTTGCCAAAAGACCGTGCACGGGATTAGTCATGAAAGAAAAATGCCTTCAGTAGAACAGCGCTCCCCAGTGGAGTCCACGGCTGCAGCAGGGCGTCCAAAGACTATTCAATTATGTTTTAAATAAGTTGCTTTATGCATTAAGTTTGGTCATTGAACAATGACAATAAGACCATTTACTTTTTCATTTCATGTTTTAGAATGTGACCTAATATTAAAACCATACACCGTAGAAAACTACAAATGGTAAAACAAGAATGAAAAATGCTTTCTGCCTGTAGCTCCAAGCTACAAACAGAGTTGATTTATTTTAATCAAAACTCAAACTTGTATGTGATTTAAAAAAAATCCTCTCATCTGAGAAAATTGCAAAACTATGAGCAATACTTTTGTTTTTTGAGGGCAGATGACTGCTGTCACAAGGGCAAAATGACATTGTTGTCTTTGTATCATTACAAATCTTTTTAGTATAATTTCAATTTTTTATGCGTCTCCTTCTGCTCAATCAAACCATATCTAATCATGATCTTCACTTGACGTGTACATCCGCAGATGCCTCTTGATCTAGAAACTTTGGTTACGCCTGTAGTAGAGGGCAGAGCCTTTACAGCTTGTGAACGGGGCTGTTCCAAGTTTTAACCTTAGGAACAAACTATTTAGCATACAACCTGTGTTATGCAAGTGTCTAACAATACAAACATTGGTTCAGCCAATGACACCATGACTATATCCAGGTGAAATCATGAAATAAATCTCTTTAGGATCGACCATTTTAGGACTTTGAGGAGGCAAAAACGAACAAAAATTGGCAGAAACATTGCCCTTTCCTCCCGTTCCCTTTCGTGTGAGTGGAGGTGATTTCATAACCTGCGCGCTGCAAGAGCTCACATCCACCCAGGTTAAGAGGACTTGAATTCTGAATTATTTAAGTTAACAAGATCAACTTTTACAGAGTTTTTACGTTTCAAAAAAATATCTACAAACCAAAAAACAAAACTGCAGAAAAATGGGTGAAACTTTCAGAATTCAAGTCGCTTTAACGTAAAGCTGCATACTGAGGAGGCTTTGCTTGTGTGGTGACGGTGGTGTTGCAGTTACAGGTCGTATCTGTGGAAGGGCGCCGCTCAAACAATACCTATGAATTGAACCAACACAAAATTGATCATTTTTCAAACTGTGGGAACATTTTCTTATACAGGTGGCGTACCCCTCACCAAAAAGTTACAAAGTGCGCCTTTAAATCGACATGTGGCCTTATGCGGTAAGCAGCACCAGCCCAGAAACCGTGAGCCAGAACCGAAAAGAGGCCAGTTCTTGTTCACACCGGTTGCACCCTGAGATGAGATATTCCAGAACAATAAATAGTTGGTTTTCTTTAATTGCCAAAAACCCTCCCTCCCCCTTGTATTGTAGTACAACGCTGTTTGGTGTCAAATCATCCAAAATTGTGTTGAAGTCAGCTGAGAGCATTTATCAGTATGGTCATAAAAATACAAGGTACATTTTCTCTTTTAAGATCTGTATCAAAATGCGCTCCTTTCGTACGAAGAACGCTGTAGGAAATCCAGTACCCTGTGTGCAGAGTTACGCCAGTGTTCGCCTAAGCTTCATCAAACTCTGAGAGAAAGGGAAAAAAACAACACAAAAAAAAAAAACACAAATGCACGTCCCGGTTTTCCAGTCGAAAAATGTCAAACAACTTAAGAAGTCAAGTGAACAGGGTTGTAAAGAAAAATGCCTTAGGATGTGGTGAAGTCCGACGTGCAAAAAAAAAAATAACCATATTAATTTAGTTTCGCCTAGAATATGAAAATAATGTATTTTCCTTTAGGACAAGACATCAACCAGCTATTAGAATATATTTTTCAACTCAAAGGACATCTTATTCGATTCCCTTTAAAAATGCACATTTTTCTATTTGCCTGAGTAAACAAACATTACAGCGCATGCATTGGCGGGGGCTAGAAATAATAAGAAGAATAGGCAGGGAAGGTAAATAAATAATAATGATCACAAATTGCACCAATAGATTAAGAAAAGCTGGGACTGTATTTCGTCAAAGCGTTGCACGATCTACCCTCAGGATGGCATCAGTCGGTGATTTTGGATTGAAAAGAATCTGGAGATGGCTGAAGATAGTTGTTGCGGATGGTAGCCAAGGCACATTTACTTTTATCTTTGTAAAAATTTATATATTAGACCAGAGTTAAATAAACCAAGGCAAAGAAATGAGTATGCCCACCTGAAACTTTGCTGCCCTCATTATAATCCACAAAGTATAAAAAAATCCTAAATTGATGCATAACACGAGGCCAATTCAAAACATTTGGGTAAAAGTTGTGCCAAACCTGTGGGTAGATGCTCCTGCTTACAGCCCAGGTCCATTCCATGTACATCCCTTTATGAGTGAAACCTTTCAACATGTGGAAATCCTGAACGATGAATGAAAAGGAACCCAGAACGCAGGTTTTGTGCACATTGAACTATTGAAGAATGGAAGAAGTAAATATTTATAGCGAGTTAGTGGACAGAGGTCCTACTGGTGTTTATTGTCGAGTCTCTGCTGGACCTCTTCTATACAAGCCTTAGTGTTTATCTGTTTGGCTAGAAGGTTCTATATTTATCTACAAATATATAACAAATAAAACGTGCAGGCAAAAATAGTTAAGTTTAAAATAGAAACACCCTTTTTCCTGAAAATACAGCAGTATCTGAAATAATCCTCTCAATGAACATCTGCCCCAAAGTCTGTATCATACATCAGGAAGCTCTTTGCCTACAAACAGAAAAAGTATCTACAAACTTTGTAAACAGACCTGCTTTTCCAAAAACATAAATAACTCAAAATATTAACAGCCAATGAACAGAAAGAGCGAGGGGCAGAGATATAAATATACAACACCATTCAGATAAAAGAAGCCAAAGGTTCGTTCAGAATCGTACAGACGATGGTAAAGCTCTGTTCATTTAAACCAGATGATAAAAACAGGTCACTTTCAGTCACTTTGTAGTCACCCCGTCTTTCCGAGCCAAACAAAAGAAGAGGGCTGGAGTCCTTTGCAGCGGCCTGAAACAACCAAACGTAAAAGATCAAAGCATCAAAACCACGCCTACATTCCACTGAATGTCTGCGGCCCTGCCCAGAGCTCTGGGGGTCATCAGAGCGACGTCTCCAGGCTGTGCAGGGGGCTGCTGGGAGCAGAGGGCGTGGCCTTGGGGGCCTCTGGGAGCAGGTGGTTACTGTCCACTGCATTATTGTTCTGGTTTGGGGACAGGGGCATGGTCGCAGGCGGACTTGCAGTGACCGGGGATGGGACGGGGGATGGGACAGGGGATGGGACGGGGGATGGGGGGGGGGGTGTGGAGTTGCGAGGGCTGGCAGAGTTTCGTTTAGTGGGCGCGTCGTCCTCTGCATCAGTGTCGTCAATGAGCGGGATGTGAGGCTCCGAGTCCTCGATCCGGAACTCTGGATGAGTCATAAAGTTATGAATGGAGCTTCTGGACTCTGGCTTCTCCAGCCCCTCATAGAGGGAGATGGAGCTGCGGAATGCATTCACCACGCGGATCTGCAACGCACACACGGACACGAACACAGTCAGTGACATGAGAGAGAGCACACTGTCGTAGTGTTAAACCACAGCTGTAGTCGTGCAGTTATATACAGTTATATACAAGTGTGTGTACACCGGCACACTACTGTTAGACACACTCCTTTAGTGTCACCGACTCCCCACTATTCACATGGTGTCAGCAAACAGGTTAATCAGGACAACTGGATTTAGTTTTTATCAGTTGCTGAGACAGCACAGGTCCACAGACTAAGTTTGAATTTATGTGGGCTTTTTTTTTTTTTTTTTTTTTAAACAATACGATTGTTTTAAAATAGTTATCAGTAAAAAAGGAAAATAAACAAAAAAAGGAAATTACAAAAATAGAGTTTTTGGAACACTTATTGTAATGACTTATTCACTAATGTACATGCGTAGACGACAGAGAGAGAAAGGGACAGAGAGAAGTGGTGGTCAGTCATAACTCATGTTTGTGAAACAAAAACTGCGAAAGCCAAGCAGATATCTACAAGCTGTGTAAGGTCCAAAAACAGCACAAACGAGACTTAGGACTTTGATCCCATGCAGAGCGCAGCACTACCTTGGTTTCAATGGTAGTAAACCTTTGAGTATAGCCCATGACACATTTCACAGAATCTAAGGGAGAAACAGTCAGTGGAAACAATGTTTTTTCCATTTAGGCTTCACATGGGACATACTTTTCTCACAGACATATTTACAGAAACAAAAACATTTGTCAGTGAAGATTCTTCATATGTTCCAGGCACCTGCTTTTCATACGGAAAGAGTTCTCAGATGGGTGTCGCACTATTGTTATGTGCTCCATTAGCTCTTTCACTACATCTGTTAGACATTTGGAAAGCAGAACTAAAACGCTCTAGTGTTGGTGTGACTCGCAGCATCTGAAAAAGAGAAGCAATGATTGTCAACAGGCTACCGTAGTCCATGTGAGGCACTGGCATTGGATCTATGAAGCAAAAGTACATTAGCTGTACTTTCCCCATGGCAGCTGGAGACAAAGAAAACACTGATTGACAAGACATCCACTGACAGTTCTGACATTTCAAGTTCAAGTTTTAGGTCGTGACCATGGGCGTATACTCAAAACATTTACCCAAGTAAGGGCCCACAGAGGGCTGCCACAGACGCCACAATGGCACAGAGCAGACTGCAGACAAATCTGGGCACTGTCAATCCATGTATATGTAAAAGATACAGGTCCACTATTCAATACAAGAACCACTGAAACACCTATGTCAAGCAGCAGCAGACAGGATGACATTGAGGACACCTTGAAGCTACCTGGTCACAAATACAGATATATATAGATATAGATATTCACAGCATTGTATCAAAGCGTTATGATAATGTAGCACTGTTTGGTATTGTGTAGATAAAAACATGGAGGACATTAAAATGAGTCAAACGTTAGAAGAGCGAAAGATGTTAGAATAAAACAGGACAGATTTTTGTAAACAGAAAATGTCATGCACTAAAGGAGAACACGCACTCACACCCCACAGTGGTAGCAGCGGAGTTGGCGGCAGTAGTGGTGGTAGTAGTAGTAGAAAAGGCTACATGTGAAGGGCTAGAAACATTGGTTACATCGTGCTGCTGCTGCTGGCTGGAGTTGGAGGCCTGCCGCCTTAGAGCCCCCTGAAAGGAGGTTCCACTCTGGAACGCACTCACTACATCCATCTGCAAAGAACCAGAACCAGACAGCATGACAGGAGAGAGAGAAGCCAAGAGGAGAGAGGAGCAAGGAGGAAGCACCAGAAACCAGAGGTGGTAGACTCAAATCATCTTCAACCAACTGCTCAATGAAGTCATGGGACACTGGTATGGCCAAATTCCATTTATATAAGTATACTTTATCTTGCTGTTCTTTGTCTACTAATTATCTGATAAATTTCAACATGAACGTGCATATAACAATTTACTGCTCTCACCTGGCTGTTACTGTTATTGGGAGGATGAAATTCATATTAAAAGTGACTGTACCAACAGTGTGTAATAAAAATGACACTAATATACTATAAACCTCTATCTATACCCATTCAATCTAAATGTACAGAATACGTTAACTAAATCAAGATGTCAGGGAAGCCTAACAACCTAACAATTTTTGTGAAATGTATATTCTAACCAGCTAGATGCACTACACAGCAACATTAAGACAACTCAATACATATGCTGAACGTAAGTAGGTGCCAAAATATTACTTTTTGGCAAGAATATATTTCATTTATTATACTCCAAGTGGCACAGTTGGAATCTTCCGAGTGGAGCAGCCTCGGGGACGAATAGGGCGCACAAGGCCTAATGAACAACTCCCACACTTACTTATGGTTGATTACGTAAGGTGCACATAAGGTTCAAGGCATGTGGTGAAACCCAGCGTTATACTGTTGGGTTTGTACGCAAATGTGCATTTCTTTTCCTGCTCACTTTGAATTCACAGCTGCAGTGCTGCTCACCCCCTCTACGTTCTAAAGTCACACAGACTTTACAGCACTGATGTCTAGCACTGATGAGGCTGCTCTGTGAAGAGGGGCCTGGCCTTGGTCAGAGAGATGATTCAGGTTGTATTTTCGAACTTAACTACAAAACGTTTGATTGCATAACAACAGGAGGAAACAGAAATTAGGTTATCGGTGATGAGGAACACTGGAAATGGTGTTCTCCATTTAAACCCCTTTGTAAGTGCCTCAAGATATAAATATGAGCAAAGTCAGAAAAAAGGCAAAGAAAATAGCTTTAGCTCAAGACGCACAAGAAGAGAAAATAGAGGAAGTGGCCTTGGTTAATTTTATTTAAAGCTGTTCTCAAAAGATTCCTGACATGGATAATGAGCTGCAGGAGTAACACACAGTTAAAAGGTTCAAGTATGGCTTTTGCTTTCCGTTGTGGCAGGTGTGCGCTTGTGTCTTCAAGGCCCGTTTCTGCGTGTTGAACATTACCTGAGTCTGAATGCGGTTTAGACCTCTGAACCACAGGATCTGGCCGCGCCGCAGCTCTCTCTCGGCGTGGTCGATTTCGTCCATGTCATCCAGCTCCTCCAGCTCCTCATCAGGGATCTCTTCCTTCTGTGTTCCGTGACCCGCTGTCTTTAGGAACTTTAGTCGACTTGTGGGGATGGAAGAGATGACCTGCCAGGAAGTAAGAATTAGTATAAAGGCACGGTCACATCGGTTTTCACTATTGAACTAGGCCATGTGGCCCGGATTGTCGTCACAGGGGTGTGAAGACGGCCCGCGGTCACAAGGGTTTATTTTCTCAAACGTGCCAGACCAACTGTGCTGTAGTACAACGCTCAGTCCAGCTGATGGTGCCAATACTGACTTCAGCGATGACCTTGTTGTCAGAGTTAAATTCCCGTTTCTCTTCCCATTTACATTCTGCTACTGTAGCGCTAACAGCTCGAGCACGGATCGCATTCTTTTCATCAATGTGAAAAACTTTGAGACGTCTTTCTTGAGACACAACATGTGTGTGTGTGTTTGTGTGTGTGAGCAGGCGCGCAGTGGCCAAGGGAGCGCACCTTGGAGTAAAGAGCGTAAGCGCTGAGAAATTAATGAATGAGAATAAAAAGTGTGGCGTACGATCAGAACGACCGGAGCCAGGCAGGATACAAGCGTGTGTTGGTGTGTTCTGGCAATTACAATGTCTGAAGTGTTATTGCAAAAGCACCACACTGACAGCGAGGGTCAGGACAGAAGGGAGTTCTCCGCGTAGGAAATGCTTCCCTTTGGCCCTGGAGCGACACACTTCCCCGCACCCCTCGAACATCGTCCGGGGGATTATATGAAGGGTTTAACACAAGCAGGGCGAATACAAAAGTATGCAACTGCCGTAAAGGAATCCTGAAATCCAACTTTGGCATAATGCAGAACAATTTAGAAACATCCGGTTAATATAATAGTGCGTTAATAGTGCTTCCTTTCTTGACAGCACATATTTTATTTCAATTCATTGCTGGGAGGTGTAATAGTGACCTAAATTCTACTTGCAAGGAAACCTGAGTTAATGGTGCTGAGCTCCATTAGTGGAGACATGACAGCAGCAGTGACCCTTAAAATGAGCTGTAAGTCGGACACGCTGCTGACGTCACACTGCCTCCATCAGACTCATGTGACTGATCCAACGCGTCCAGAGCAACCCGAGCTGTGGAAAGCCACTTTTTCCGACCATGTAATTCAAAGATGGTGTGGGCTACTATATAGAAAACATGTTAAAACGGAATGAATTATAAAACATAATCAGATTGAGTGTTTGACAAATAAGAGGACAAAAAAGAATTGTCCAAACAAATTCAAATTATACATTTGAAAGGCTAAATACTGCAGAGGATTGAATCAAGAACACATCATTCTAATGTGATAAATATTTGACAGAATAATAAAGTATGATGAGTCATCTCTGCAAGATTTCTGCAAATGTTAGCGTCAACGGAGTCATCTTTTTGTTGTGAATAGCAAGCTACAAGATATGAACCAGTTGAACGCGAATGAAAATCATTCACACTGACGCAGTAAATCATCACTTTAACTGAATGTAATGCAATAGTTTCTCAAAAGTCTACCACCAGGGGGCAGTGTCCACCCAACACAATACTATGGTGGAGAGTGAAGCAGAGTGAGGCTGTACCTGTCCCCAGAGAAGAGAGCCAAAGCCCAGAAAAGTGCACCACAGCCACTGGTCGATGGTCAGAGACACGCAGCTGAACGGTTTCCCTCCAAACTGCACAATGACAAACTGGACAAGAGAGAAAAAGGATTTGTTTTGCAAGTATTTGTCAGCATTGTTTCTCTGCAAATTTAACACTGGTTACTTTCTGATAATGGCCTACAAAAGGTAAAAGGCTAATAGTTTTGATAGGCGAGACCACAACATGCTGTATTTTTCTTGTTTGCAAACGTTTTATACTTTGCATATTTGGAAGAGCCCCGTGAGTAATTATTTTACACTTTGCGGTGAGCAACAAAATCCTCTCTTTTTCACATTTCCGTTGGAAAAAGATGTAAAAGAGGGCCAAAAAGCCTTTTGAGTAGTGACGACCTAAGGTATATGGATTATATTAAATAATTTGTAAGTTAAGTCCCAGCTTTAACATTAGCTAAATCTTACAAAATAAAAACTGGCCGATAGCATTCTTTACTCTTGATTCTAGTTTCATCTGCGATATTATTTGACATTCTAAAACATTAAATTACAAAGTAAAAAGTCTCATTCTAATTTTTAATGGCCAAAAATAATGATTTCTTAAACAAATATTGATATACAGAAGCAGCTCATCTGTGCCAGTGTGTGTTTACCTGTACGATGAAAGTGCCAAAGACGATACTACAGAAAATTAGATTATTGAAGATGCCGTCAAACACGTTTCTCTCCCCGTGGATCTTTCGAGCATTGATTTCATTGAAAAGTTGCATGAGAACAAAGGTGTTGAAGACAATGGTGTAGTGTTCAGAGGGGGGTGCGTGGAGAGGAGCGTTTCTGCCGCTGTCAATGTCAAACAGTCTCTCTCCTGAAATACAACACATGATGATTGAGACATTTTATGTGATGAGATAGAAAAAAAAAATATAGAAATCCTACAGAAATAATCCTCCTGTTGATTACCTTCATAAGTAGTAATATGAGGATACTAAATAATTCCTAAAGAAAGTCGAATATTGGGTTAGCTCTGTACTTAAATCAAATCCTTAAACCAGCACATTATGATCTTAAACAGAACAAAGGCTACAGAAGACAAGAATGTTATCCTTTGAAATTAGTTCCAGTTAAATCTCAGTTTTAGCATATTAATAATCCACAGTTATGGAATCATGACTAATAAGTTAACATCTCATGTTGATGCAGTTATGCCACTTAAAATAGCTGCTATCACCTTGCGTTGTTTATTCAACAAGATAAAGGGTTAGTCTCAAGCTTTGACCTGTTTCAACGAGTGGTTGTCATGGTAACGTCAACTGCAGTAGAAACCGTGTAATGATTTAACTATTTATGTTACTTTAGTTACTTTATATTTCCCATTTGCTCAATTGACAATGACTTTGTAGAAACAGAAACAGATTAAAATAGATTAAAATAATTGATATTTATATACATTTATAATTTCAGTATACACAGTATATGCACAGTATAAGTAAACCTCCTTGAGTTGACAATCTGTAACTTTAAGTATTCGCGGCACATACCAGCAAACAGCAGCGTGAAGATTATGATGAGCTGGTAGACGCCATGTCCCAGGATATTCTTCATCATGGTGCGTGAGATGAGGGGTTTGTTGCGTCCATACGGCTTCCTAAGAAGCAAGGACTCTGTGGGGGGCTCCGTGGCCAGAGCCAGAGAGGCAAACGTGTCCATGATCAAGTTCACCCACAGCATCTGCACAGCCTTCAGTGGAGAGTCCTGCCAAAGGAGAGAACCACGGGAACAGCATGTAAGCAGAGTTTCCCTCGGATGAAATTGTGTTCTTATATACAATACACCATCTGCTTTATGGAACTGTATATACAGGGGTGCACATAACTTTTTCAGTGAGGTTCTCAGATGAGTACCAGGACATGGTGTTTGGTACTCACTCTATTTGTTGCGTGGTTCTTAATCGAGATTTTATACTTGCTTTTTAATGCTAAAGTTTAGATCAGCTCAGATAATCCACTCAATCAACTCAGTCAAATAATGACTCACTGGTCTCTTTCCTAAAAATGCAAAACAAAACAAAAAAAATCAAACAATATTCTGTTTGATAGAACAGGCGAGCTCAGAGTCAAGTGCTGAGGTGGGTTTATTTTCTATACTCTGAGTGCAAAAAAATGGTGAAGGCAGTGCAAGAGCGTATTTACAACGAAATTAGCACACACAAAAAACAAGTTCACACTGACACATAGGTCACCTTTAAGTTTCAAGTTACCTCCTCTGTAACCAGCAGCAGATTGTGCCAAACACGGCTCCTGGCCCCTCCCATAGAGCAAATTATTATGGTAGAAATTACATTACATTACATCATTATAGTCTCAGAACATGTACATTTAATTGCGCACCATGGGCATAATTCTCATTTAACCCACCAGGAAATAGTGATCCTCGTGCACAGACCCAGAGGAGCGCGACAGACCGGTAAATGTGTGTGTAAATGTATGCTTGAATGTATTTCTAATCCGCACAAGTGTGCACCTTTGGCGAACTAGTGACTGAGAGGAGAGACGGACGAGAGAATGGATGATGCGTGTGGATGTTACGTATGAATGGAACGGGGGAAAAAGGGTGTGTGAGTGTGGTATGGCGTTTGTGTGTGTGTGCCGGTGTGTGTGTGGCGCGTGCAGCATGAAAGTCAGCCTTTAGTATAATACTATATTCGCGCACGTAGCTAGAGACGGACCGTTCCGTCACACTGGCATTGCACCACACCCCCCTAGGGAGGAGCACCCCACTATTTGAGAAGGACTGGTCCATGTGAAGTACGCAAAGGCGCTTACTAACTCAAGTGATAGTACGCATTTCTGATATTTGTCGCGCATGCGTACCTGCGTACCATTTATGTGCACCCCTGTGTATTTACACCGCACAAAATGTTTGATGTTGAAAAAAAAATCCAACACCTGCCTCTGGAGGCAGGAAAAGGGAATTACATTGAGGAATTATTTCTATTCTTTGTGTATCCTAGCCAAAGGTCATACAAAGGTCTGGAGGTGCTCCATTGAGCTCCGTTAACAGGTGGGAAGGGTTAACTCCTTTTGCAGATTGAAACGATTGGATCTGAGTTTACCGTGACAGTAAACTCAAATCCAATCGTTTCAATTGCTGCATTACATACGCGGTAGGGATGTACCGATCCAGATTTTTTGTGATCCGATTCAGATATTCTTAAATATTGTTTTGCCGATACCAATTCCGATCCAATTTTTTCTAATATTTCCAAGGCATTAACATTTTTGCAACCAGTATTACTTTAAAATGTTTTTTTTATTTTTAATGATCTAAAATATTTTTTGGCTTTTGGTTAACAGACCTACTGAGTTAGGTCATAGGTAAGAATCACATCAGTATTGAATATTTCACCTTTAAAATAAACTTGATATAAAATAAATATCAAAGAGGAACATTAATCAAAAATCTGCCCTCAACATTTCAGTATAACAAAAAGAAAAGAGTAAGTAAGTAAGTAAGTAAGTTTTTCCTGCCCCGCTGGACTCCAACATCAGTCCCTGCTCCCCCCCCCAACAAGGAATTTCAGTTCTGTCCAGACCCCGCCCCTACAGACCGTCCATACTCCGGAAACCGTCCCTCAACACCCTCATCCCTGTTGCCCTTTGCTCCTCCACATCATCTTCTCCCCTCACTACAAAAAAAAATGACTCTCCATCCACCATCAGGTTTGCTCTTTTAAATGTACGCTCTCTTTTAAATAGAACTTTTATCATTAATGATTTGATTTTACAACACAAACTGGATGCTATGTTTTTAACTGAGACCTGGCTGGGTCCGGATGCTCCGGCTGTTCTCACAGAGGCCTCCCCTCCCGATTTTAGCTTTGCTTTTAAAACAAGAGAAGGAAGAAGAGGTGGTGGCACAGCCTCAATTTGGAAAAACACCCTGGCCACCAAAACCATTAATTTTAACCAATACTCAAGTTTTGAGTATCATGCCCTTGTTTTTAGCAGCCCCGAAATTTTAGCAGTAACCATCTATCGGCCACCAAAAAAGTGCAGCCGTTTTATCAATGAATTTTCAGAGTTTTTATCTTTTTTATACAATTCCTATAATAGGATTGTTTTAACCGGTGATTTTAACATCCACTTTGACAACCCATCAGACCATTTTACCTGCGAGTTTGTAAGTATTTTAAATTACATGGATTTTACTCAACATGTCACACAGCCGACGCACAACAGAGGGCACACCCTCGACCTGGTCATTACTTATGGCCTGAGTGCGGGTGTGTCCTCTGTTGTTGACCTGGCTATCTCTGACCACTATTGTGTGTTTTTTAAAATCACTGGTTTTGTTAAACAGGAGACCTCTGTGAGAACTGTGAAGAAACGACGTCTAACCCCTGAAGTGGCTGCAAATTTTATGGACATTCTAAATAACACTCCTCAGTTGGTTTTACCTGCCCCCTGTGATTTTATAGCAGATGATTTTAACAGTAGACTAAGAACTACACTGGATCAGGTTGCTCCATTAAAAATTGTAAGCATTCAACAAAAATCTATAGCCCCTTGGAAAAATGAGGAAGCAAGGAGTATGAAAAGACAGTGCAGGGTGGCAGAGCGAAGATGGAGAAAAAATAAAACGACAATCAATCACGAAATATATAAAAACAGACAGCAAATTTACAACAACACAATCAGGAAAAACAGGAACAATTACTTTGCAAAACTAATCAGCCAGAACAAAAATAATCCAAAAATCCTCTTTTCAACCATCGACACCATTTTAAACCCTGATTTTAGCATGTCTCTTTTAACCCCCACAGACTCCCTCTGTGAGGATTTTGCAGTCCACTTCATGGGGAAGATAAATACAATCAGATGTAACATTTTATCCAACCGCACAACTGTTTTTAACACATCTGATTGTTTGTCTTCACCAGAGGAAACACTGGACAGTTTTGTCCTGGTTGATGCCGAGATGCTTGATAAAGTTTTCTCCTCAGTGAGGCCCACCACATGTCTTTTAGATCCAGTCCCCACTCCATTTTTTAAGTCATTTTATGAATCTTTTAGAGAGGAGCTTTTAAACCTGATGAATTGCTCTCTTCAGACTGGGGTCTTTCCTGCAGCCTTCAAAGCGGCTGTGGTGAGGCCCCTTCTGAAGAAGAGCAATTTGGATTTTAATGATTTTAACAACTACAGACCGGTATCCAACTTACCATTTTTAAGCAAAATTTTAGAAAAACTTGTTTTTACCCAGCTCAATGCCTTTTTAGATCAGCAGCAAATTTTAGAGAAATTTCAATCAGGATTTAGGGTGAACCACAGCACAGAGACTGCTCTTTTAAAGATTTTAAATGATTTTAGACTAAATTATGATTCTAAAAAGGTGACCGTGTTGGTTCTACTGGATCTAAGCGCTGCCTTTGATACAGTAGACCACACCATTCTTTTATCCCGCCTGAAACACCTCGGCCTCTCTGGTGCTGTCCACAAATGGTTCACTTCTTATTTAACAGACAGATCCTTCATGGTAAGTTTGGATACCTGCTCCTCTCAGGTCCATAAAATCACATGTGGTGTGCCCCAGGGTTCCATTTTAGGTCCAGTCCTTTTTAACCTGTACATGCTCCCTCTTGGCGGTGTCATCAGGAGACATGGAATTGACTTCCACAGTTATGCAGATGATACACAGCTGTACATCTCCATGTCTCCTGACGACACCAGGCCAATGGATGCTCTTTTTAACTGCATTTTAGACCTGAAATCCTGGATGGCAGAAAACTTTCTCCAGCTCAACCAGGACAAAACTGAGGTTTTAGTCATCGGTCCTGAGGCCCAGAGAGAGAAACTTTTACCGAAACTCCAATCACACTCTTTTAATCCATCATCACAAGTGAAAAACCTGGGCGTAATCTTTGACTCTGAGCTGACTTTTATTCCTCACATCAAGAACATCACAAAAATAGGTTTTTATCATTTAAAGAACATCGCCAGAGTCCGCCCCATTCTCTCTCGGGCCAACACGGAGACGCTGATGCATGCTTTTATCACCAGTCGCATTGACTACTGTAATGCCCTGCTCTCTGGTCTTCCCAAAAAGAACATTTCAGGTTTACAATTACTTCAAAACTCGGCCGCACGTGTCCTGACTAAGACCAGGGGGCGGGACCACATAACACCGGTTTTAAAATCGCTGCATTGGCTCCCCGTGTGTTTCAGGATCGATTTTAAGGTTCTTTTAATGGTCTTTAAATGTCTTAATGGTCTTGGGCCTTCTTATCTTTCAGATTTGCCTTTATCCTATGAGCCTTCCCGGCCCCTGCGCTCCTCCGGCAGCAGACTCCTAACCATCCCCAAAGTCAGGACACACACTCACGGCGAGGCATCTTTCCAGCACTACGGCCCCCGTCTCTGGAACAGTCTGCCGGAGGAGCTCAGGGCCGCAGAGAACGTTCATATTTTTAAGAGTAGGCTCAAGACGCACCTTTTTAGAGCAGCTTTTGATTAGTATTTATTATCTATTATTGCTTTTTAGTACATCTATTTATGTTTTTAGACGGATTATATTTTTATTTATTTTTATTATTTACTATTTTTAATTATTTATTGTATCTACCCATTTATTGTTATTATATTAGGCAGCTGCCATTTTTCTTTTTATTTTCACATTCTATTGTTCTACTCTCTATTGTATTATTGTATTGTTTTAGTGTCCCCAGTGTTTCCTCTGGAGGAGCCCTCTGCACTGAGAGCTGGGGTCTGCTGTGGCTTCGGGGGACTGGCTCTTGGATCCGGTGGGGGTCTGGGGCCTCCTCTCTCCTCTGGGTCCTATGGGGTCTGAGTCCTGGGCCTGGTGGGGTCTGGGGCCCCTCTCTCCTCCTGGGTCCTGTGTCGTTGCCTGTGGCTGCAGCCGGCTCTCTGCTCCTGGTGCAGATGGCTCCTTGGATGACGCTTCTTCAGCCGGTTACATCTGCTCCCAGCCCCATTTCTTTTTATTGTTTTACCTATTTTACCTGATATGACTTTACACTTGTGTATATGTGTGTGTGTGTGTGTGTGTGTGTGTGTGTGTGTGTGTGTGTGGGTGTGTGTATTGTATATATAATTATAAATGTGATTTTGGGGGGTCTGTGGGGAGGAGGGTTTAGGGCTGGGCATGTTGGATTGTTTTTAACTAAACTGTAAAGCACTTTGTGTTACACTTTTTGTATGAAAAGCGCTTTATAAATAAAATTTGATTGATTGATTGATTGAATCTTTGCCAGCAATATCTTTTGCTATACATTCCTCTTGCTCCGGCTTCAATTTCTTGATAGAACCAGACCGGAATACTTTACTATTGCATTCTTCGCCATTGCCAAACTACAACCAGCTCGCTCGGCGCAAACTCTTGACGTCACCCACATCTAACTACAACACGGATGGTATTCAACCGATGTAATCGCAAACACAGGGACATGATTGAGGGAAATGATGATTGACCGGAGTGGATGGCTAAGGCCAGGCTTCATGTATCCATTCTAATCCATAATAACTTGAGATATGCAAACATTTTTGAGCTTTTAACAATGTTACAACATTGTTACCTTATCTTAGGGTGTATTCAGACCATGTGGTCTCGGTCCGCTTCCAAACGAACTCTGGTCCAAGTCGATTCAGGTCTGAATACAACCGGTGTACAGTAAGTTGTGGGACAGGGCCGTTATTATAGATCCATGGACAGGGCACGTAGTGCACAGTCTCCTTTGGCTTTCTCCTAACGCATTCGCAGACGCGGTTCCAAAATTTGAAACCACGCGTTTCGCCTGTATCGAAAGAGCTGCTGTTGATGTTGAAGGTGGTTTTGCTCTAAAAAGAGCAAACATAGGCAGAGCAGACATGCAGCACGTACAAACTCTATATTTTCCTCCATTTCCGCATCTATTCTCCATGAGCTCTGCTGTCCAATAGGAGCGCCGATCGTCACACGTGTTGAAATGTTTATAAAAAAAAGATAACTTGCGAAAAGTACAGTCTGAATACGAACTGGAGCAAAAGAAACATTTTTGGTCCTCTTTTGGTTCGGACCAAGCAAGCTGAGCAAAGGACTTTTCTGGTCTGAATACACCCTTACTGCTAATTTACACATCACGCGTTACAGCACGTACGCGTTATACGCGCAGCAGACGCGCGTAACTTTTTTCCATGTTAACCTATGATGATATTTGCACTTCTAGCGTTATACGTGTGTATGACGGACGTATGACGCGAAGCTTCGCTCTAATTTAGGATGGATTTCTAATTTTGTGCGCGCACCAACGCGTCTCCCATTGAAATCTCATGTAAAACATGATTTTTCTAGCGGCCCTTGGCTCTAGATCGCATTTACACACACACAGCACTTGTGTCTAAACATCAGCAGGAGGAGCAGCAGGTTTTACAGTGATTCTGGACATCGTTTTTTTTCTTTCATAAAGTCTCGCGTCTGGCCAAACCAGCGCACAGAGACCATGAGGACAAATGCATGCATGTGATTTGTGTTGCTCTACATCAGTCCTCTGGCCCGTACTGTCCTCTACACTGCTCCATAGACACACACAGGGAGAGCATCAGAAGACGCGGACCTGCGCGCACGGCCTGTGTAGATACTCCAAAAAAAATTTACACGCAGAGAGCGCGCAGTAAACGTGTACGCGCTGTTTACGCCTACTGTGTAAATTACCCGTCACACAGACCCGGAGTTGTTTTTAGATCCATCCACGCTAAGATCAGGAACTGTTAGCACAAACATGTAACAAACGCTTCTCAACTTGGGATATTCAACTCTGAATTTAAACTTGGAATTTCAACTCAGAAACTTGGGATGGTTCAATGGTCCCAAAGTTTGTGTCACTGTGGCATGTGTCAGATTGTAATTGGAATAGAGAGAGAGATTAGAGAAAAACTGAGGGGATACGTTTATATCTCACAAATAAAAATGTTTAGTTGGTAGAGCATAGACCTTTGAGTCTGAAGGTTGTGGGTTCAATCCCCACATGAGACATTTCCAACTTACTACCACTGACGTGCTGTCGTTGTGTCCTTGGGCAAGATATCAACCCCACTTTACCTGAAGCCCTACTAAAAGGTTATGCAATAGTGTGGCCATCCTCTTGTGGACTCACCACCTGCAGAAGGATCAGTGAGGGGCTGATGCTCGGTGTACTGGGTGGCAATTCTGGCCACCCCCCAACCCAGAAAATGGACTAAGGGGAAGAACATGGAAAGATGATTGAATGGAAATATTCATTCATTTCTCATGTCACAACATTGAAGATTTGTGCCTTTCTTATGAAGGTGCAAAGAATAGTTTACATTTCTGTAAATTTTAGTATTTTCGTTGTTGCTGCTGCACGTGTGTGACAACCGTCACCAGCCCCTCCCGATGTAGTCTCGATCACAATTAACAAATGAATTGACATAATAAATAACACTGGTACTAACTATAGTACAGAGCAAGAAGATATAAAAATAAATTAAAAAAATAACAATAATAACGAGTGGATGTGTTGCTCCTGACCTGCGTGATGCATGCTCCACTGAAGGCCACTATCACGGCCACCACGTTGACAGTCAGCTGGAACTGGAGGAATTTGGAGATGGAGTCGTAAACATTTCGACCCCACATGACGGCCTTCACGATGCTGCTGAAGTTATCGTCTGTAAGGATGATGTCTGAGGCTTCTTTGGCTACGTCTGTGCCCGCAATGCCCTGAAGACAGAAAAGGAGATAGACAAAACTATTATGCTCTTATTTTATTTTAAAACTAGGGGTGGGCAATATTAGCCTGACTCTCGCCAGACCCTTGTAGTTAGAAGCGTTTGGCTCAACACAAGAGTCTGGGATCGACGGCAATGCAAACTCCTTCAGGAGATCCAAAAATAATCGGCCAATCAGGTTTGCCGGTGTAACGTTGGGTTTGCACTGCCTTCTCAAGCGTGTCTCACTCAACAGCAAAAGCAATCAAAGATGACGGACATAACGTCTGTGAATTTAAAAAAAAAGTTTAAATTAACGAACTTAACGAACAAATTAAGACACAAATGTCACTTTTAATGCAATTTGAGGCAAGATGTTGATTAGGGCTTTGACTTTTGCACAAAAATCATATTCGAAGTTTATTTGTTTGTTGATTTAAACATTCGAATATATTTGAATATTTAATCATAATTTATTATACAGCTCCTCACAGCAGCAGTAGAACGCTCTATTGATTTTAATTTAATTTCAAAACGTTCTACCAATAATTTTTTCTTGATAACAGAACTCTCAAAACAATAATGACTGCTGCCCTTTAGCAACTCACTAAAATGCTAACATTACTCCGCAAGTACAACGAGCTTTCAGCGCCTGTCACTACTTCTGTCTGTGCAGAGAAGCTAGCGGAGCTAGCCACGCTCAATAAACAAATACCAATCAATCAATCAATCAACACCTTTAAATGTTAATCAGAGAATACATTATACATATACAGTACATCCTTAACACACGTGGACGGAGGTTTTCAGAATTATCTGTTAAAGTTTTCATGACAAATATACTGTTTTAATGTGACAAAAAGCGATCGCGGTAAACCCGGAAGTAACCATTAACATGAAACGAACCTTTTAGGACACCTTTGAAGAGGATCTGATGATGGATTTAGGTTCAGTATATAAATGGGTAACTCACCGCTGATGTTCAGAATTCTTTGTTCAGTTTTCATGTAGTTCCAGAGAGTTTTTGAACTAGCTAGCTTAGCTGTTACCCACCTAGCCACGTCAGGCGAAACCTTTGGGAGCTAACCATTTTATTTGCAGTCATTAAATACATTTAGAATATGAAGGGCTGTCTAATATCCATTCAAATTATATATATATATATAATATATATATATATATATATATATATATTATATTATATATATATATATATATATATATATATATATATATATATATATATATATAGTGCTGTCCAACGATTAAAATATTTAATCGCGATTAATCGCATGAATTTCATAGTTAACTCGCGATTAATCGCAAATTAGTCACACATTTGCGTGCTGTGTGCAATTGCTTTTTTTATTGAAAACAATGTGTAGTGTTATATTACACACTAACATTTGATGCAAAATCATCAATAAATGGATGACAAAATAAATAATTGGTAACAAAAAGCCCCTTCAATGTGTGTGTGTGGGTGTGTGTGTGTATGTGTGGGTATAGACCATAGACTGTATAGAAACATCATGGTGTCATTATGATGATGATAAACAATCTGTAAATATTTTGTAAATTTGTTCATGTAAATACTCTATGCCAGCCATTCCCAAACTCAGTAACACCGAGGCCCCCTTAAAAATCTGATGGGTCTGCGTGGCCCCCCAAAATAATAACCAAGAAGACAACATTAAGAATAGGCTCTTCTGGTTATTTTATTTTGGGGAAATAGCCTCTGCTACAAACATTGTAATACAAAAATGATTACAGTGGCTTATTCAAGTCAAATAATGAACACAAATATTTTAATATTACAAACAAAACATTATAAATTTAACATTAAATAATTATATTATTTTTTTATTTTTTTTATGACCTCCCGCGGCCCCCCTGCAGTACCCTCGCGGCCCACCAGGGGGCCGCGGACCCCACTTTGGGAGACACTGCTCTATGCTGTTTCTCTGTTTACCTTCGGTATATCTATGACTGTATACTGTTTGCTTGTATTGCCTTTTTTATTAACCCCTCCCCCCATCTCCCACTTCATGTCCCCCCCCCCTCCTATGTGCCCTTCTGGGTTTCTTCTTTGGCCCCCTGTATCTCCAACTACATATTGTTTGTAATCTCTGTCTACAATGTATCTGAACTAGTCCTTTTCTTTGTTTCTATGTGTTGGTCTGCAATAAAAAGTAAAAAAAAAAAAAAAAAAAAAAAAATCTTTTTTTTTTTTTTTATCGCGCGATAAAAAAAATGACGGCGTTAATATTGATTTGCGTTAACGCGTTAATAACGCGCTATTTTGGACAGCCCTAATATATATATTATATATATATATATATATTCCAATATTATTCGAATATCGAATTTTTATGTCAAAGTTGATGGCTCCATGTTGTTATATGTGTGTTTTAAGAGTCAAATGTTTCAGAACATTTGACATTTTGATATCCTGAACTTGATTTATGGGCCTTTCCTATCTATCTAAGTTAAACAACATGGTGATTCTCATCGCCATTTAAAAAAAAAATGTGTTCTTTGTGTTGTAACATCCTAAAAACTCACCATTGCAAAACCGACATCAGCTTTCTTCAGGGCAGGGCCGTCGTTTGTCCCGTCACCGGTCACAGCCACCACTTGTCGCTTTTCTAACACTGTGCTGTCAATAATACCTGAAAAGTACAGCCCGTGATGTTAGGTGACAGTAGCCTCATGTTTCTCATGTTATATTGTGGGAGGAAGGACATACCTTTAACTAAAGTGTGTTTATCTGTGGGTGAAGAGCGCGCCAGAACTCGTAGCTTAGGCCAGATTTTGTCTATGCGTTCCTGTTCGATCTAGACATCCAGAATATAGAAGACAAAACATTAGTGATTATTCAAATAAATATTTCATTGAGTGATTTACAGATTTAATGTTATCATGACAAAAAAATGAGGCTTTATCTGCACAATATAAGTACATCATTATGAGCTCAATAAACATCTATCTTTAATGTATGAATGCATGGTTCCATGGACTAATCAGCGCTGTGCTATAATAAAAATGAAATAAAAACTTTCAGATTATCAACTAGTGGCGAAGTAATGTTATTTTAATGTTGTTTTAAAAGGTATTTCAAAACAACAAATCTTATGACTTTGAAAGGAAAGCATATTTGAGGGTGCCTGAAACAAATTCCAGTCAACCCAAAGCAATGTTTCAAAGGTTTCAGTGTTGGTTTGTTCTGACATTTAGAAATAAATCATGGCTTTTTCAAAATTACAAACTCGTATTGGGGGAGAAATCAGACCCTCAGGCCCCACTAAGGGCCCTCCCAACATTCAAATATTGTTGATTTCAAAGAATTTGTTTGTCAGAAAAAATAAATATTAACAATTTTAACAAATGTATTTAAAAAGACAAAAACGAATTGATGTATTTGTTCTTGGCTCCTACCTCTCCTTTCTCGTTGCGTATTCTGCGGTTGAACTCTTTGCCCTCGATACACAGGAAGTCGTCTCCTGGCAGCAGAATGCCACATTTGGTGGCAATTGCCCGTGCTGTGTTTATGTTGTCTCCCGTCACCATCCGCACAGTGATGCCTGCACGCTGACACTTCTTTATGGCGTCTGGGACCTAAACAGTATGTGCTACTATTACAGCAATGAAGTGACTCAACCTTCAATTTAAGTTTTACAAGTTTTTATTGATCGCCTATTTTAACATGAACAAAACTTTGCATCATCCTTGCTTATCTGACAACTTAAAAAAAAAAAAAAAAAACGGTAATGCTTTATATTAAGGTGTGCTTGTTAAGTATTAATAAGGTATTAATAGACATTAGCAACATGCTTATAGATTGCTTATATGTACTTATAAACATATTAATAAGCTGCTCATTTCACTATTCTCTAAATGATGTTGTTCTAGTTATATGCTTTTAAGCATTTAATAAGTAATTAGTAAGATACTTATTAAAGGAGGAATATGTTTATAAATATATGAATAAGCTGCTTATTAAACTATTATCGATACCATGTTAATAGGCCATTAACAATATGCCTATAAAGATATTAATACGCTGCTTATTAATAGGCAATAGTGGTAATAGGCCACTAAAAATATGCGTTAATAAATTGCTTATTACACTATTTTGCAGTACCCTAATCTAAAGCGAGGAGCATTTTTGTTAATGCAGAAAAAAACACAACAATGATCTAAGATGTTTTTATTTATTCAAACAGCAACAATTAAAGTCTAAATGAAAAAAAATATCAAAATTAAGTTTGTGCCAAAAGTTTGTTAGTAACTTCAAGGAGCCATGATGAACCCACTCATGCTCCGACCTGCTCTGTTAATGAATTTGGCTTTGGCAAAACAGTGAATCAACTGACTTCACGAGCCTGAGAGATTAGCGGACAGAGGTGGGAACCTAAGGGTACCTCACGATACGATACGATACACGATACAAAGCTCACGATAAAGATTACAATAACGATTTTATCACAATATGACGATTATTGATATATTGGTCAGAAATATACGATATGCCAATTTATGGCAAAAAATAAAATAAAAAATACTCTTTATGTCATGATAAATGGAATGGAGATGCGTAATGTAGCCATATATTAAGTATTGATACCAATAAAAACTAAAAAAAGGAGAAAAAAAAAACATTTTTTTTTTTTTCAAAATTGATATTGATACTTGGCAAATGCATATCGATAATCGAATCGCGGGAGAAAGTATCGTCACACCCCTATTTTTGGGCATTGTCTGGTCCTACCGGTTCTGCGCAGTTGACGAGCTCCCATGATGCTTTGCGCCAAATACGCGTGCGTGGCTGTCATGCACATGCACATAGGGGCCGCGCTCTGACCAATCAGAGCTGCTGATCAGAGCGGGAGTTAGAGCGGGAGTAAGAGCCAGACGAGTAGAGTTTGTGCCAGTAAAATGTGGATTTAAAGAAAACTGAAGGATTTAAGAAGAAAAAAAGTTCAGGATGACAAGGGACACTAAAAGCCCCACAAAATCCGACCTTTATGAAAGCTGTAGGTTCTCTGTCAGCTGAGGTCGAGCTGTTTTAGTTTACATTGAGTTCTATGGGGACAATTTCTGGGTAGCCCACGTGAATTTAGTTTGCAGTACCACGAGAATCTCCCGAGCTACAAGCTAGTAATACCCTATCAAGTTATTATAATAGATCCATGTATACAACGCACCTGTGGCACAACCATGGAACTATAATAATAACTGGATAGTGTATTCCTAGCGTATAGCTGTCCCACCCATGGGCACAGGGGGCGCTGTGGTACTGCAGACTAAATTCACGAGGGCTACCCAGAAAAAGTCCCATAGAACTCAATGTAAATTAAAACAGCTCGACCTCAGCTGACAGAGAACCTGACAGAGAACCCACAGCTTTCATAAAGGTCGGATTTTCTGGGGATTTTAGTGTCCCTTGTCATCCTGAACTTTTTTTCTTCTTAAATCCTTCAGTTTTCTTTAAAGTGGTTCTCACCCCCGCTCCTCGGAGCTTACGTCACTCACATTTCCTGTTCAAATCTTCCTCTGAATGGGCGTAGCCTGGAGGACTAAAGGGGGCGTGAACGAGACTGGGCCGTTTATATAGCTCTGGGCGGGGGGCTGCTGACGTCAGGTCTCAGGCGCCAGATTCAAAATTCAAATGTAGTAATACAGGTCGCCAGCAGATGGCGCCTCACAGATGTTTTAGGCAGAAAGTTTAACTTTCAACTAATTTGCACCAAAGTGACAAAATTATGACCAGGATATGTAGACAACACTATTGGACACTCATTTATACCGTTTATCAGCACACAAAAAAAGTGGATTTGAGGGTGAGTTGTCCTTTAAATCCACATTTTACGGCCACAAACTCTACTCTTCTGGCTCCCGCTCTTACTCCCGCTCTAACTCTCGCTCTCAAAAATAGGCGAGTTCCGCTGATCTCTCAGGCTCGTGAAGTCAGTTGATTCACTGTTTTGCCAAAGCCAAATTCATTAACAGAGCAGGTCGGAGCATGAGTAGGGGCATCATGGCTCCTTGAAGTTACTAACAAACTTTTGGCACAAACTTAATTTTGATATTTTTTTTCATTTAGACTTTAATTGTTGCTGTTTGAATAAATAAAAACATCTTAGATCATTGTTGTTTTTTTTTCTGCATTAACAAAAATGCTCCTCGCTTTAGATTAGGGAACTGCAAAATAGTGTAATAAGCAGTTTATTAACGCATATTTTAGTGGCCTATTACCACTATTACCTATTAATAAGCAGCTTATTAATATCTTTATAGGCATATTGTTAGTGGCCTATTAACATGGTATCGATAATAGTTTAATAAGCAGCTTATTCATATATTCATAAACATATTCCTCCTTTAATAAGTATCTTACTAATTACTTATTAAATGCTTAAAAGCATATAACTAGAACAACATCATTTAGAGAATAGTGAAATGAGCAGCTTATTAATATGTTTATAAGTACATATAAGCAATCTATAAGCATGTTGCTAATGTCTATTAATACCTTATTAATACTTAACAAGCACACCTTAATATAAAGAGTTACCAAAAAAACATTCTCAAATGCATTGTCACTGGTGTTAATATCAACATTTGAGAAACGTAGAAATTAAGTGGCGTGATAGACCTGGCAGCCATCATGAACAAGCCTTCAGAACACACAGTGAGAAAGCCCTCACCTCAGGTCTCACAGGGTCTTCAATGCCCACCACACAGAGGCAGGTGAGTCCGGAGAGGATGTCATTCTCGCATTCCCAGTCTGGCTCTCCGTCTGACACAGGGAAGTCTCTGTAGGCCAGGCAGATGGTCCTCAGCCCTTCCGATGCCATAGGTTCGATTACCTTTTTCACCAAATCGTCACGGTCACGCGGCCGGAACACCTTCTGCTCACCGTTGGCGGTCAGGATTTTATAACACCTGAGCCAAACACAAGGGAAAAGTCCATGCACTGTGAGGGTGGGCTTCTGCAGGAAGGTTTCACTAAGCTCTGGGTGGGTACAAAAGCTGCCAGTTAAGAGGCTTAGGAGTTGTTACAGGCTCATTTTCTCAGTGCCTGGTTTAAGTCGGAAAGTTAAGTGTTCAAGTGGGATGCAGTTGGACGTCTTAAGGTCTTAAGCTATTAAACACATCGTTAAGTAGTCACCAGTCATAACATTTAAAATGACCCCTCCACACAGTATAGGGAAGTAAAGATACTTCATAACATCTTAAAGTGTGTGCTGTTTTTCTCACTAAAAGACATTGACTGGAATGCATCTGCCAAAAAGTTGAGCAGTTAATGGAATTAGAGTGAATACAGAAAACAATTACAGTTATGCAACTACATATCATTAATTCCAAACATTCTGAGGTAAGGACAGCTGATGCACTATAGCTGCTTTTATTTAGCTCATATTGACTTTACGTGTTCATTCGGCTGCATAAAGTTGGATCTTTGCTCAGCAGAGCTAGCTTTCTGATCTGAAAAACCAGTCTGTAGGAGGGTGCTGGTGTGGTTGAGCTGGTCCACGCATCCATGTAAACCAGTTCATAATGACATAATGGGCAGTAATTAATTTGAGCGCACAAGAAAGGGCTGCAATTATATTAGAAATATTTATATTTGGACAAATAAAAGGCAACAAAACCATATCAGACCGGTTAGAAAATCCAATCGAATTGAGAGTAGCCATTGAACTTACTCCGTATATGTTTTGTATGTGATGGGATCGATCATTTGTATAACCTCTTTTCAAAACTACAGCTGTCTCATTTCATCAAAACTAAGACTTACTTTCTCAGGAGGATTTCGGAGGCCCCTTTGCTGAACATGCGGTAGCTGCCGTCAGCCATCTTCAGCACTGTGCTCATGGATTTGCGCACAGAGTTAAATGTGTAGACTTTGTACAGTTTCTCTTCTGGGATCTCGTTACGGATGACCTGGTAGTCTCGCTTCAGGTCCTTGGCGAAGCCGAGCAAGGCACATTCGGTTTTGTTGCCAACCTGTCGTGGCAAGCCTCCTTCTTTTTCAGGAGACTAGAGACAAAGAGACATGATAAAGAGCAGCAGGAGAATTTGAAAAGCAGTTATTGCATGAGGTTTCTCTCACCATGATTTTAGTGGTGTAGGCGCAGTTGACAGCAATGCCCAGAATGAGAATGTCTAAAGTGGCAGAAGGGATGCTTTCAGGCTCCGGGACTTTCCTGTAGTGCTTTTCTGCCACATAGGCCTGAACCACAGTCATGCGATTCATGGTGAGTGTGCCTGTTTTATCGGAGCAGATGGCCGTGGCGTTGCCCATGGTCTCACAGGCGTCCAAATGTCGAACCAGGTTGTTGTCCTTCATCATTTTCTGTTCACAAAAACACAATTAAGTATTCTCATTTTTTTGGTGGAGCCTGTTACTTTGTTTGTTTTTGGCTCTTAAACATTTGAATTATATGCATTTTATTGCTAATATATATCATTGTCATTTATTCCTTCCATAAAACATGACAACGAGACTATTTCCTTTGCCAATTATTGAGAATGTGAAAGAATATATTTAGGAGAAAATATAATTTCAACTGAAATTGGAAAACTGAATTGAAAACTGTTCTTACGTCATTGTACAACTATGATATCACACTCGTACTATTTTGTGACTAAGACGAGAGAGAGCTTTTAGACAGAAGGAGTGGAGTTACATTTTTGAACACGAATTTGTAAAACCAAGATTTTGAATGAAGTGTTTAGGCAACATCCTTCAATCACCTTATAATTAGTAAAGACCTTTGTTTGGCTGGCAGCTGGAGCGTAGGAAGATTACGGCTTTACAGGGTTGATTCAGTGCTCCGTCTTAACAGGCTCCAGACTCCATTGATAGGTTTAAGGGTAAGCTGGTGGAGTAGGGGCACAGGTCAACGCACTGCTGCACTTACCTTCACAGAGTATGCCAGGGAGATGGTCACAGCCAGCGGTAATCCCTCCGGCACAGCCACCACCAAGACTGTGACACCGATGATGAAGAACTTGACAAAGAACTGGATGTAGATGGGCGTGCATTCCTTGACCCAGGGCAGGTTTTGTATCCAGAAAGTGTCCACGGCAAACAGCACCACAAGTATGATGACCGTAATGGCGGACATGACCAAACCTGGAGCATACGCAAGAAAATCAGCTGTAGAGGCTATGTCGCCAATCCCACTCGAAGCATTTCCAAAAGAACAAGTTTCCAAAACTACAAGAATGCCCTTTATAGGGCCCAAACTCAATACTACTCAACGTTAATAGATATATATATATAGAAATGAAAACAACAGTAGATTTCTGTTAAGCACAGTCCCTAAACTAACAAACTCCATCCATCCATCCATCCATCTTCTTCCCTTTAATCCATTTCTGGGTCAGGGGGGTGGCAGTCAGAGATGCCACCCAAGTCTCATAGCACCAGCCCCTCACTGACCCTCTGCAGGTGGTGAGTCCACAGGAGGACAGCTGCTCTCTGAGTGTGAGCATAGCCTTGATCTTTCAGTGGGGGCTTTGGGCAAAGTGGGGTTAAGTGTCTTGCCCAAGGACACAACGACAGCAGTCATCAGTGGGAGTCGGTGGAGAAGGTGCAGAGGTGGGAATTGAACCCACGACCTTCTGGGCTTAAGGCCAATGCTCTACCAACTGAGCTACTGTCGCCCCCCAACTAACAACTAACAAACTGTCATCGCAAAATCAAGCCTAAAACCAATCTCTCTTTGCAGTGTCGACTTTCTTTAATTCTTTAATAATAGAATTACATATATCCGTGGTAAACTAAAGGAAACCACCCACAATACTAATGATGAACAGGCTTCTCAGTAGGGCTTGGAAGAGTTCATTGCTTGAGAGGCAAACAAAATCATATCAGGCAAATCAATCATCATCAAGATCATATCTCTAAAACCTAAACTTGTATTTTAGACCCAATTCCAGTTAAGCCTAGTGCATACTTGCGCGGCGCTGCTTACGTTAGCGGTTGCGGTGGACCTTCGCAAGCACAATTTAATTCATACTCCTTTTATTTTGAGGAGAATGTTGTAATCCCACAACCAACCACCTGAAGGCGATCTCACAGGAGTTGCTTGAGATACCAAAGCGCTCTCATAACGCTGCTACTTTCTCCTCTTCAAAACAAAAACATGAACAAACTGAGCTGTTTGAGATCATTACATGTGTTTCTACTGTAGGTTTATGTGATAGTTCTATGGACTCTTTATTTCTTACCTCATTTAACTGATGTTGTGAATAAAGACACAATTATATATATATGTTAGATATGCAACAGAACTCTAGTCCACAGTCTCTGCATATATCAGGCTCTGAGCCCAAACTACTTTTCCTTCGTTTCCTTCGAAGCACAAATCTCTCTGCTCCATAATGCCTCGTCCATGTCCCTGCTGCAGCCGCTTCATGCTTCCTTCCAATACACACACACGGACCAATCACAGCGAAGCTTCCTTGCGGCGACCCTTACGTAGTTAGAAAATGTTGATGCTGCGCGGCAGGCAACGTAAGGGCCTTGCGGTGACCAACGCGTTGCGCAAGTGACGTCACGTCACCTCCGTAAGCTCCGCGCCGCGCGAGTATACACTAGGCTTTAGGCTCTTTAAAGATACACTCAATTTGATAATAGAGCCTATCTTAAATACAGGGGTTGAACAGCTTTTGAAGTGTGAAATTCAAGCACTTTCAAGGTAAAATGGGAACTTTTTCAAGCAACCAACACTTTAAATAATATAAACAATAATAGACATACTTTAAATAAAATTGGATGCGCTTTGGCCCAAGAAAGCTTTGTGGTATAACTCTCTGAAACAACTTGCTGTGACCCTGACTAGGAGCACACCAGTCTCCCAGTCTCACTTTAAACAACTTCAGCGTTACAGGCAGCTTGTCAAATTAAATGCATCGGGTTGCATCACTTAATTTATCAAACCCAATCCTGTAACCTACATGCATTGTTAATGCAAGGGGAAATGTAGGTACCCCAGCTTTAATTTAGTGAGTTTTACATCAGTGCTTCAGGAGGAGACACGGGGGAGACATGAACACTTCCTGAGGCTCCTATAATCCAGCTCCGTTTCTTGCATCAGCGTATTTATCGCGTGCACAGGTTACGGAAAGACAGGTACAAATTTTCAACAAGCAGGGGATGGTCCTGTCTCTGTTTCAGACAATTTGTAGTGATGACAAAATAGAGTCAACAGGGAAAGAAGTCTACTGTCCAACCCTCACCTGTGGTCTTGAGCTTTGGGTAATGTCTATGTAAGGACAAGATTGTGGGGAAACACATTTTAACCACTCATATCCAAAGACAGGCTGGGTTACATGGAAGTAGTTCAAAGTAGAACCAATTATCCTCCACATTGAGATCAGCCAACTGTCAATCCTGGATCTCTTCCATGTATATACTATAATATACAGTCCATGGCATTGACCATGGACTGTATATTTTCGTCCTTATGATGGTAATCGATATAGTAATTATTGTGAATCACAAAAAATTCTGTATTGATTTATCGTTCCATGATTGATAGGAAAGAATGATACCTTTTGAAATTTGTTTTTTTTCTTCTGGATTTTTTACATCAAGTCTTAGGCTAACCCTAGCCCAAACTCTAGATGTAGAGGGCTTCTCCGCCTTTTAGTGAAATCGAACAATTTAAAAATAACTTTGCTGGATTAATCCTGCAATATTGTGATAATATTGAAACTACTTTCTCTCTGCTCAAACAGTTACAATGTCTTTCTGAAGCAAAATGTGCTATTGTGACAGGCCTAATCCAGACTATAAACAGACTTCAAAACATTCCATGAGCAGAAAGGGGGGAATTGATATAAAAAAAAAAGCAGCCCTTTGATTTTCCATTGTAATACGGTATTGCAAGCATGTATCAGTATGCATCTGTACCCAGCAGGTGTGAAGCATAATCAGCAGTCATGACTCACCTGCTTTTCCGATCTGAACAGCCAGTTTGGTCAGTTTGCCCTGGAGAACAGACTTTTCTTTCTTTGGAAGGTTGGCTTTCTTCTTTTCTTCTGCATCGGCTCCTTCATCACTGTTCAAAGGCTGCATCTCCATAGCTGCGCCATCCTGTGCTTTTGCTACAGTAAAAATAGAAGAATAGGGAATAAAAGGGTAGATGAATCTATGACGAGGCCAGGCTGACTGAATTCGAGCCAGTGCAGCGAGCAAATTATCACAATCTTCCATTGTGCCCATTCTATTCTCAACCTGTTTGTATAAATGAGATTTTAATTTGTCACGTTTTACAGTAATTAAGCGCACACAAATTAAAAGAACACATTTAGGTGCCATGGGCCAAACCTGACAAATCCAATCTGCCTCAATATAATATTCTCTACTCCTGTCTTGGCCCCTGCTGATTTTACAATGCAATTACCAATGCACAAATTCTCACACTATCACCTCATTCAGTTGGACTACAGGAGGAGTGGGTGGGAGATTAAACACCGAAATACTAAATCATCATTTCACAATGGGGGGCTGGGATTTTATTTTATGATTGGTTTGCAACCATCATAAATTCAACCCGATAATGGAACGTAGAGAAAAACAAAAAGTTTGTGTTTATCATGATGGAAGATGGCTTCAGTTCTGCTGCCATCTGCATGATCTGTAAGCATAGTACAAGCTTCTGTCCAATAGTGTTTCATTGTCATCTTTCAGTCCCCACCCTGTTCTGCGATTGTCCCCAAATACATGCAAACATTTGAGCATGAATATACAGGCTTTTGAGAAGTTTGAATTAATTCCAGCTCGCAGAGTAGTATGGGTATTCCCAGTAATATTGGATGTTTGCGTCCATCCTACATAATGCCATTGTTTGGGTTTAAATACATCTAGTAGTACAAGGCTGCTGCAACTGCTGTCGGTGGTGGCTGGATATGCACTTTGCCTGTGTAATCTCAGTCTAAAGGATTACGGCCGCTTTCTGGCTGCAGCGGAGAATATGCACCAGGGAACGGAGCCAGGTAGCCAGCAGCCACAATCCCAACACAACTGGAGCAGAGCTCACCAGCAGGTTACACTATATGCCGAACACAAACCCATGGGGTTCTTAAGCTTCTAAAACTAACTCGCTGCCCCCACTGCTGATTAACATTTAAGGCAGTAACATTTGATAATTGAAAACATAAATCCATTGCAGTGTTGGTAATTTGAGTTTCAGTTTATTGTGTTACTTGACCTAATTTCACTTTCAAATGATTGCATTTTTGGGTAAAATAACTGGGGGATATCTAGTATTGCCTGATTTACACCAACTTTGACAGGTTGACAATTTCGGTCCTCTGTTTTATAGTCTATGTCAGTGTCTCCCAAAGAGGGTACTGCAGGGGGGCCGCGGGAGGTCATAAAAAAAATAATAATAATAATATTATTATTTAATGTTAAATGTATAATGTTTTGTTTGTAATATTAAAATATTTGTGTTCATTATTTGACTTGAATAATCCACTGTAATCATTTTTGTATTACAATGTTTGCAGAGGCTATTTCCCCAAAATAAAATAACCAGAAGAGCCTATTCTTAATGTTGTCTTCTTGGTTATTATTTTGGGGGGCCACGCAGACCCATCAGATTTTTAAGTGGGCCTCGGTGTTACTGAGTTTGGGAATGGCTGGTCTATGTGATCCAATTAAAATTGATTAAAATTGGTTGACTATTTGATTACTCCGTTTGGTCTCCTAAATATTGCAGCCCTAAAGTGAAAGCTCAAACTGTATGCACAGTAGCTATATTTCTCTGGATAATCAATACTGTATCAAATTTCAATAAAGCCAACACCCGTTTTGCACTGTGGTGCAGTTGATACAGTGTAAACAGTGCATGGCATCACATCACCATAGGATCAGTAATCAATAGAAATGCAATAGCATGCGCCTCTGGGCAGCAGCGTAGAGGGGGGGTGGCAAAGCAGATGCTCAGGACCCAGAATTGTTGCGTGGCTTTAATCTCTTAGCCGCTAATCGCTATAACTGGATTCTAAGGCACCTGCTGCTGGACGCGGAATGTGCCAGAAATGGCCGACAAAAGAGGAGAGAGGCCCGAGGTAGAGGATGGAAGCAGCCAGTTCTGCACGACACGTCACGGGGTCAAAAAAACGTGTCCCGCTTCATAATGGCGGCAAAAGACCGCAGCCAATTATTTCAATGAGGCATTAACCTATAACGGCACTATTAAATTAGGAGCAATCCATTTGGGAAATATGTAGATGTGAAAGCAGCAGAAATATCCGTGTGCTCCAATAGTGCTAGTGACTAATGAAATGAAATGACTATGAATTTTGAGGATGGCTGAGCATGGATGTCTTTCAGCCACTGTCAAGTCATCCTTCAATGAGAAGTATGGTGAACAATTTGGCTTATACAAATGTTAAATGGAAAAGAAGGACTTGTCTCTGGAAAAGGTTTTTTTTCTTTGGGCAAAACTAGAGAGGAGAGTTGTTTGAATTTTCATAATTTTCTTGAGATGTTGGTCAGGATCCAGAAGGAGTCTGGTTTGGAGACTTGGATTTCATCTCTGTGGTTTGCAGACTATTTGTCCTGTTGGCTACAACAAATCAGGACCATCAACATGTCAGTCGGCAGATGAAGATCAGGACCTCCAAATCAGCCCATGGTGCTTGCCTTGCCCTCTCCACAAGTGGAGGAGTTCAAATACGGAGCGTGAGATTGACAGAGACAGGATCGGTGCAGCATGTGGAGTGATGCGGCCGCAGCATCGGACCGTTGTGGTGAAGAGGGAGCTCAGTCAAAAGGCAAAGTTCTTGATTTACCAGATCCACGTTCCCTCACTCACCCATGGTCATGAGCTTTGGGTAATGACCGAAAGAACGAGATCGCGGATACAAATGGTCTAAATGAATTTCCTCCGCAGAGTGGCTGGGTGCTCCTTTGGAGATAACTTGTGACTGAGCTTTTCACCCTAAGAGCTCTGAGTGGAGCCGCTACTTCTCTACGTTGAGAGGAACCAGATGAAGTGGCTGGGGCATTCAGATGCCTCCTGGATGCTTTCCTGAGGAGGTGTTTCGGGCATATCCCACCCGGAAGAGACAACGGTGCAGGACACTTTAGAGGAACTAAGCCGGTATTTCCCAGATGTGCTGGAGGAAGTGTTTGGGCATCTCTACTAAGACAGCTGCTCTAAATAGCTAAAGATGTGACAGAGGCCAAAAATAAATGTGAAAGCTAGTAATTGAAACAAACAGATTTGAGAGCTAAGAACTAGCTGCATAAATGGCATTACATAGATATTATTTGTGGTTTCACGAAAGGTTTTACAAAATGGCTGCAGCCAACACTATTTGGAGACTGTACAGTAGGTCCCATTTAGTTTTGTCGCCTTTCACGCGTGAATCACACGAGACTCACGTGTGATTCACGAGTCTTTTATTTTCCTTCCCCCCAGTGACGCTGCAATGACCAAAACAACCACCAGGTGGCACTTGTGAGCGGGGTTACATTGCCGTCTCATCGCCCTTTCTTCTCTCTTCACCGGACAACTATCTGTGGCTTTAAGCCTAGCGTACTGTACATCGGACTGATTATATCCGTCGCCTGTGAGTTTCTGCCCCGCGCACATCGACAATCTGGTTAAAACGGGCAACTCCTTGTAGCAGGCCAGTCTCTGGAATAACCCGCAGACATTAAAACTACTGCATATAACGTAAACTTTTGCATCACGTTGGTGATCTTTCCAAAAAGAGAGAATATCGTTATGGAAAGAGAAACTATTGGTAATATAACGCTGAACGTTATCTGACTCAAACAGCTCCGCTGGTGTCTCCTCCCACTCAGAAAAAAAGCAGACGCCTTTTCTCTGGCATCTCTAACATTTATAATAAATACATAAATATAACAATCATAATGAAGATGCTTTCAAATAATTTAGCAAGCAGTAATTCATTTATTTTAACTCCACACGGCTCCTCCCCTGCCAAACTTCTCTCGCTGCTCTCTCCTCCGCAAACCACTAAATGAGGAAAAGGGCATATTCACTCAATCTATTTTGAATGTTACACATACAATATTAATATAGTCTAAGCACGTGTAACACCTGTAGCCCGTGTATTTACCACAGACTGTAAGTATTAAAGTAATGAGGCCCCTGCTTTAGGCCTCTGCTGTGAGGCCCTAATGTACCTACCAGTAGCGGCGCCAGGTTTGCAATTTTGGGTAGGCCTGCAGATTAGTAAGTAGGCCAAATTCGCTTGCAAACTACAAAGGCTAACTGGAATTGGGGTTTCAAAGAATATGGCTCAAACGCACACACGCACGCACGCACACGCACTCACGCGCGCACATACACACAAGCTCATTTATGAAACTTGCGTAGAAAAAGGTGTACATTTTGGGTGTATATTCCATTTACGCAAAATCCACTGTCGGATTTATGAACATGTGAGATCCGCACAGATCTGAGCGTACGCAGCTGCGGGTGTTGATAAATCGACTGAATACAAAAATATTTATGAACGTCACACCTAGAATTATGCAGCAATCGCGTGTTTCACGCCCCGTCTTCGTGACAGGTCAGCAGGAAGCCAGCCTAAAAGACTGTTTGGAAGCCTCAAAAGGGACGTTTGTTTGTTCATGTTTATGTAAAAATAAATATACTCTATATATTCAGCTGCGTTTTGAACAAATTTGCTAAAATGTTTTGATACATTAGAAAAATCTCTCTTGAATTGTAGAAGTGAATAAATATAGATTGATTGAATGAATGAATAATTCATATATATTATGCAGCGGTGGCTCTGAATGAAGCGTCTGCAGCGTCTTGGACGCAGCCTGGCTCGGGGTAGAAGTGCGCATTGAAGCGCTGTACACTTCAGAGAGCGTTTGCGGTCCAGATTTCACAAAGAAACTCTGGAGCCAAAACTTCTGCACATGTGGCGCGACCTCTCACGGCACTCGCTGCGCACTCTGGACAGGGCAGTGAGACATTTGTGAGTGAGCAATACCATCGATGCGTTATTGGGGTGTGTGTCTGTGTGAGGGTTACACAAATCTAATGAAATAACACATTGCTTTAGATGTGAATGTGGAATACAAATAGGCGTGCGTAATTACGCAGCGCAGAGCCTGCCACAGCAATAGATGGGTCACACATCCCTGTTGCGTAAAGTGTATTTATATAGAGCCTTTGACTGTCCAGGATCACAAAGCGCTTCACATTTTAAAAACGTACAGATCAAAATAATACACACACAAGTCAGATTTAATAGAAGGTTCTCATCATGAGCTGTGATGTGTCTTTCAATCACACATTTCAGCTTCAGTGTCCAGATTCAGCAATCCAATTCAGTCCAAATTATGTCCAAATTCAGAAATCCAGATTGTTCCAAATTATGTCCAAATTGTGTAATCCAATTTTTCCAAATGATGTCCATGCAAAAGAGGACGCTGGTGTTGTCCATGTCTCAGCAGCTCACAGCAGGCCTGACTGGAATCAGGGGCTGTGCAGATTGTCCAAGTGTGCTGGTCCAGATGCATTCTCTTGAGGTTTCTCAGTTTTGGCTTAAAAAAAAAAAAACACTTTTTGTGTAAAAAAAAAAAAAGTCTTCTGTTCTCTAGATGTTACAGACAAGGCCCGCATTCTTCCACCACCTGAAGAAGGTGACATGTCTGGGATTGCGTCTTAAATTCAGACAGAAGACATGTTTTATTGTCGATGGTAGACACAGCACGAACACGAACACAGATACAATAGAATGCAAGTGTATTATACAGAGCGGAGGCATGGAGACCTCCAATCAGCAGCTTCCACAGTGTGCTTGTAGCTTGGCCTTCAGATAGACACAACAAGGGAAAAGTACTGGCTTCTGCACATTGATAGAATGATGAGTTTAACTTTAACAAAAGTTGCTTCAAAGTGTTATGAAATCTCACAAATGTCTGCTTAGTTTTAACACTAGCAAACCCAAGCGAAATTGGCCCCTGTTTTGAAAAGAAGGATAGGTTGGCTGCCAACATTTGCATGTATTGATTTGCAAATTTAGGTAATGACTTATAACAGCAGGGGCCTGGGGTGGGCTTTGTTTATTCGTGCGGGGGAGGGAGAGCTGCAAGAGAGTAGCATCTGGATCAGCACACTTGGGCTGAGTTTACACGGAGACAATGTGGCAGTAAAACGGTATAGTAGGATGTCGGTTGCTACCAACCGTTCATACGAAGACAGTGTTCCAGGGGGGTGAAAACGTAAGTGTTCAGATCCAGCCTGCAGAGTGGGACAACTCAGATACGCTGCACAGCAGGGAGTTTTTTCACACCCGCGAGAGGGAAAAGGTGTGAAATCCCCCTCTGCTCTGACCCCCGCCTCCACGCTGCTCCCCGCACGTAAATTTGGACATGCGCAGTAGCGGAGAACAATCATCAACAATAATGGCGCCGCCCACACAAACTAGCTACGTGGGCTTCCAGCGCGGGACAGAGGATAACTCTACTCCTTCGTTCGTCCAAACGAGACCACGCGAAGCTCTAGGTTCAGTTCCCATTTTCACAGCTGCTGTTAAAATGCAGAATGATGTTGGTACTCTCTGAGGGTCTGGCACAGGAAGTGAGTATACTGCCGAGAGGGGGGCTGGGCACGGGGCTGGGGGTCGTGTGTCGTGTTGTAAAGTTTATCTGCCCACTACTGGCCGGGCGCTAGAACTACATCGTTTTTCAACCTCATGTGAACGCTGAGAAATTTGCATTAGGAGCCAGGTCGTTTCTGTTAATAGCCTGGAAACGTCTGCGCAGCGTCTCAGTATAAACAGGGCCTTGGACGATCTGCACAGCCCCTGATTCCAGTCAGGCTGTGAGCTGCTGAGACATGGACAACACCAGCGTCCTCTTTTGCATGGACATAATTTGGAACAATTGGATTACACAATTTGGACATGATTTGGAACAATCTGGATTTCTGAATTTGGACATAATTTGGACTGAATTGGATTTCTGAATCTGGACACTGAAGCTGAAACGTGTGATTGATAGACACGTCACAGAAGAATTCATGGCTTGACACAAATGCAGCCTGAAGAAATCAACACGGAGAAGTGGGAGAGACTGTTTTCAAAGCAATATCTGGAACCACCATCGACTGATGAAGTTTGGTATTTTACTGAAGATTGTTGACAAGTTTTATGAAAGATCTGAACATGTTTTATGAGTTTTCGGAGTTTTTGAAGTATTCCGAGTTCTGAGTTTTTTGAGGTACCGAGTGAAGTACCGAGTTTGAGTTTTTGAAGTATTGAGTTATGATGTTATGTTGCTGTTTATCGATCCTGATGGTCACACGTGAATGTATGACCAGAGGGGGGAATGTGAGATTTCATAACACTTTTAAGCAACTTTTGTTAAAGTTAAACTCATCATTCTATCAATGTGCAGAAGCCAGTACTTTTCCCTTGTTTTGTCTATCTGAAGGCCAAGCTACAAGCACACCGTGGCAGCTGCTGATTGGAGGTCTCCATGCCTCCGCTCTGTATAATACACTTGCATTCTATTGTTTCTGTGATCGTGTGCTTTGTTCGTGCTGTCTCTACCATCGACAATAAAACATGTCTTCTGTCTGAATTTAAGACGCGATCCCAGACTTTGTCATCTTCTTCAGAGCAAATGCAGTAAATATGTGAAAGACATACATCGATACATACATGCATACACACACACACACAGTACATATAAATGTGTATTTTACTCTCACTAAATACAGTCGTGTGTAACTTTACTGTAGTATTCAGCTGTACAGTGTTTAGTGCTCACCAAGATCTGATTTTTTGCTTTGAAAAAAGCAGAGAGAGTAAAGTGTCACAATGAAAACATGACTAAGTCATTTGACTGTTGTTCATACTCAATGTTGTCAGGACTTATAATTTTGACGACACAGACAATTTCATTGACATGAAGACTTGCTTTTGAGGAATAAACTTTTCATTTTGAGAAGGTGATGCACTTTTGCAAGTTATCCACCAGGTTTTGCAGTTTGAACTAATTGTTCTGAAAAATGCACCAACAGTTGTGATGTATTATACATTATACATGGTTTTATGAAACAGAATTCTGAGAAAAACAGGTTTAAAGATTGACATTCCAAACATAATCATCAGTCATATAACATGTACATTTTGAATTACTCTGTTATGGCACACTTGTTTTATTCACTATGTTGTAGAAGATTAAAAAGATGTTACTTTGGCACCAATTAAACACACAACACTGTATTGATTCTTTCAATATTCAATGGATTGAATTTTGACCTCCTCTTCTTTTTCTTTCTTTTTATAATTTACTGAAAATTAGATATGTATTAGACATTGCCAGTATTATTCTATCAAATCACGCAGTCTAAATATCCACAACCACCAAGCATTTTTAATGCAAGGAGAAACTTAGGTAACTTTAAACACAAATAAAACAAATGGACCTGTCCGACTCGAGTGTCTATGCTTCGTGTGTCTCTGGTTCTGTCCAAGTGTCTATGATCCGCGTGTCTCGCGTGTCTCCGCCTGTCTGGGTTCTGTCTGCGTATATGTAAATGTAAATGTAAATGTCTGTCTGTGGTTCTGTTCGGGTGTCTATGGTCCTGTCTGTGGTTCTGTTCGCGTGTCTATGGTCCGCGCTCGGAGCCCAGACGGCAGTGCGTTCACTGAGCTGTCAGAGCGGGGGTCACAGCAGCTGCTCCCGGGGCCAGAGCGGAGGATGTAACGTAACGTTCGGTTTATCAAAACATATCACAATATTTAACGTATAACACTAGTGAATTTCACCTAGATTTTTTCAGACATTAAAGACAAGATGTTATATAATAATTGTTTAATGAAAAAACAATTTTGCCAAAAAAATGACAATCGACCTATTTTTACTGTTTACTCGGAACGTGCCAGCGTGACATCCGACGGGTTTTCCCAGATCCCATCACATATATACGTTAATGCAATTTAATTATAAAGATTAACATTAGTACAAAATATGTATATGTGGTCTGTTATGCTCTTACTTTGAAAAAGCATTCAATAGCAACACATATACATTCACATGCACGGCTTGAACACACAGCCAATTTTACACATTTCCTTTTGACAAGGAAAGAAGATAACAATCTGATAAAGTTACGTAATTGCACACAAGCAACCAAAAGATGTGCAACCAAAATTGCCTCAGCCAAGAATCGAACCTGGGTTCACTAGGTCCCAGCCTTCAATGTTAACCATTCGGCCAACATACAATCTTTGGGCTAGACAGGTTTGCACGCAGTGTGATACCTGAGCGTCTAAGTCGCTGGCAGAGCTAAAGTGGACTTAACCTGCCACCTTGTGGCGATAAGATGTAATATTTTTCACGCAGCTGCGTGATTCATGAAAAGCGTGAATGAAGACGACAAAACGAAATGGGACCTACTGTATGCCATCTAATTTAAGACAACTTTTGGACGATCCGAGGTAGAAGTTTGACTTGGAATCAAGTCCATGATCCAGTTGTGTCTTGGTGTGTTGTAAAGTCACACAATTAAAACTTACCTTTTTTACGATTCTCTACAGATCCGTCTTGTTTTTTGTCTGTTAATAAAAAAGAAAGACATCATAAATGCACAATTAAATGCGAAGCAGAGCCTTTTCCAAATTAAGAACTAAAAAGGACTTTACATAAAAAGTGTCCTAAATGCAGAAAGGAGTGGTGCTGGTAAATATAGTGTGCGCAGAGGCCGAGTGCGGTTGTGGTGATGTTGTAAAACTGGTGCAAGCTATTCCCAATGCAGAAAGAGCGACTTTCAGCACCACAAAAATCTGTTTTTTACTGATTAATAAGATAAGAATTAATATAATAGTCTTTTGATAGTTGATTAATTAATCAACTATAAAAGGTTTTGGTCCCGTCTTGATTCAATCATGTAATTGAATTCTGTTCAAAAAAATCTACCATAAAAGTAAGTACAAGTTTATTTGAAACAAAAGTAATGATTTCCTATAACAAATAATTACTCTAATTAGCTCCTTAAAATAAAAATAAAAAAGACGGACAAAAGTGGATCTTTAAATAAAATTTCTAAATGATGAAGTAACCCAAACTCTTTAATCAAACATGTCCGGCTCTTTGATTGTGAATTACTCAAAAACTATTGATATGGGACATGTTTTTGTATTTTTCAATATTCCACATTTCACACATTTCCCCCACTATATTCATTTGAGACCAAATTCTTCAAACTCTGCACTCTCGGCCTGGTGTACAATATTCTTTTTGTATCTCAATTGAATCTGCCACAATTTTTTATATTTGAAGATAAGGAAGGATCTATGAGCCTACTTTTTTTGGATTTCTTCTTCTCCTCCTTCTTCTTCTTCTCCTCCTCTTCATCATCTTCCTCTGCTTCTCCGAGTAGAGTGAAGATGATCCCGGTTTGGGAGTTGACACCCACTGCGATCACCACCATCTTCCCTGAGCCCTCCATTACGTGAGTGCCTTTTGGAGAGACTTTGTTAATAATGCAAGACAAGCAAATTTCACCACAATACAATCTGCACTTGTTCTTTATGATTCTGGGTCAGATAAATAAAGTCTCTGCTACTACAGCATCTACAGACTGAGCCGACCATCCCACCGCTAAGGAACAAAACCTCACAATCCAAATTTGAAAAAACAATGATGGTGCGATAAAGAATGATTTCCATTTCCAGCACCAACTGACGACCACAGCAAAGCGGTTTAATCGTCAACCTGAAGTCGCTGGGTTTATACAAGTTGTTAATAACAGTTTGTCTTGTGTCAAATGTGCGTCCACAGTTTGAATTAAATACATGACATGACAAAGCTTTAAGCATTTGATTTTGTAAGAACAATAGATTTTTGTCACCATAAACGGCTTTAATCATGATAACTTATTTGGGTTTTCAGTGTTTCAATAATTGTTAATGGTCACTTTTCTTATGCGGTGCAAGTCAGAGTGATTGAGTTTTCAGTTTTCAGTTCAGTCTTGATTTGAAAGGGACAGTGCACAGTAACATTAAGCTAAAAGACAGATCTGTTCTATCTGAACCCAGATTATAGCTACAAAGATCATTTTCGTCTGCAGTCTTTGGTGATTTTTAACAAAAGAAAACCAATACAATAATATAAAATTAAACAGTAATTATAAATGGGGGAAATCAGTCATCATCAGCCCGACACAAAGGGTCAAAAACATTGACAGAGGTGATCGATGTGATGCAGTTGTGGATTTCAACAACAATAACAGCATTCGCTAAGAAAAAACAAAAATTCTGGTATAAGGGATGTACTGATATAAACCAACACGAGTAAAGATAATTAATATATATATATAATTCCTTTCTAAATATGTCTAATCGTGCCATTTAACAGGTATTTAATCTTGAAGTAACTACAGGACAACTAACTTTATATCAGCCAGTAAATGGTCTAATTATCCATCCATCCATCCATCCATCCATTTTCTTCCCCTTAATCCATTTCTGGGTCGGGGGGGTGGCAGTCAGAGCTGTACCCAGTACACAGAGCACCAGCCCCTCACTGATCCTCCTGCAGGTGGTGAGTCCACAGGAGTTGAGATCTTTCAGTGGGGGCTTCAGGCAAAGTGGGGTTAAGTGTCTTGCCCAAGGACACAACGACAGCAGTCATCAGTGGGAGTCGTGAAGTAGGTCTTACGGTGGGCTCGAACCCATGACCTTCAGGCTCAAAGACCAATGCTCTACCAACTGAGCTACTGTCGCCCTGGTCTAATTAAATCAATTTAAAAAGCCTATTGATTCACCAATTATTCCGCACCATAAGTCAATATTATTTTGGTGCATCCCTAAAGATATATATTAGTGCCATTTCCAATGATTAATCCTTAAAATGTGAGGTTTCTTAAACGGGTAAAATCTCATTTAAAGAGGACAGCTGCTTTCAAAAGTTGTTTGCGGTCTGATCCTGGTTCAGTTCAGATGGAGACTGTCCTTTTGGCCTCATTTTGTTTAAGTTATAGCTTTTAATAAGGTGACACACCTTTTGCGTATTAGCACAGCCAACGGCTCGAATTGAATTGTTATAGATTTGGCAGCACACTAAAGAATTTTATAAGACTTTAATGACCTGCCTTTAATCATAAGACAATTACCTGAATGAATGAATTGTACTATCAGAGGCGACATCAGAGACACTACTGGCTTTGTGTGTCCATTAAACCTGCCTCACTTTGCATGATTTGCTGTCGGAGGAGTAGAAATCAACACCTAAGCCACTGTTGTCATGTTTTCAATCAACCTTCAAACAAAGTTGGGATTTGTTGAAAAATGACTTAAATGTTAAATCATGTATTATCAATAGTACATGATTTAGTACCACTAAAAGGAGGGTCCTAATTATTGGCATGTTCACACTTGTTGGTCTAGTTCACTTTAACTGGGCATAGTTTGGTTAACTTGCAACGCAATGTAACCCCACATCTATAAGTCACAAAAGCATTTTTTCCCACAAGAGAACCAGCCTTAGGCCAGTTGAAGTCAACAAGATCAATTGTGTAAACACCCCCTCTATCGAATGGTAGACTGTAATACTTAAATCTAGGGATGCAACAATACCACTTTTTTCAAAACCAATACAAGTACCTTAATTTGAGTAATTGCTGATACCGAATACCGATACGAGTAATGCACACAGACAAAATATAACTGAATTGTGTTTTCCCTGGGAATTCATAAAAATACAACTGAAAATAATAAATGTTTTATTTCTCATTTCAACAATGAGAAAAGGCTTCAACAATTAAACATTTTAGCAATTGTTATAACAGTCAACAATAACAGCCACCATCTTATTCACCTCAAACAAATGGTACAAAGAAATAGCTCTGGTGCTAGCAAGGGTTACGCTGCATAGTGGCTAGTTTTATTAAGTTTATACATTGTTTTGTGGTATACAATGTTTTGGACGCAACCTATTGACAGGTTTGCTTTAACTGTACGTTGTCCACGTTACTCTTATCACTCTTACTTAAAAAAAACTGCTATATGGTTGACATCCTGTCCACTCGCGGCTAAATTGCGTTCCGCCGCCGACTTTGGGAGATCACCATGGCAACACCTGCCGCACAGCTGTCTGCTGTTGTGACGCTAATGTGAATTTAAAATGTGGGTGTCGGTAGCCGGAATCAGGTCCTTGTATAAGTACTGAGTACAAGCCTTTGGTATCAACCCACATCGCTACTTAAATCTAGTCATTAATTAAGAATTGCCCTCTCCACATGTGACCACTGTTCCTGCTGTTATCCAAGAACAAAACTTAAGAAGTAGAACTTCGCACATCAATTGCTGGAGCATGTGCGCAGGAGAGGGGGAAAGAGTCCTGGTGTACATGAAAAAAAAAAATGGTTCCCGCACACTGCTGTCCTTGCAGTGACAATCGTCATAGAGGAACTAAAAAAATGACATGCACCCTCTTTAATCCAAATTCCAAATTTTAATCCAAAGTTAAATATATTATGACGAGGCTACGTTCAAATGGTGATTCAGAGGGTCTATTGAGGGTTACCTGACAGAAGCATGGGGTCTTTATCCTGGGTCTTTTTGACATGGTCCGACTCTCCTGTCAGCGAACTCTCATCTATTTTCAAATCGTTTCCCTGGATCAAGACTCCGTCAGCAGGCAAGAGGTCACCTGAGAAACACCAGACACAAACCCAATATATAAAACAAAAGCAGACGGACAAGTCTCCTTGTCTCTTATTATTATTACTATTATTCAATATTCAACTTTTCCATTTGTGAAAAAGAGAATTTTTGAATGCAGAAATTAAACCTGCCCCTTGCGGGACGAAATTCATTCAAATCATTGATGGACAAATGCGCACTCCCCCTCATCGATCCAACTATTCTCCTCCAGCAAATCTTTTTCGATCTGGAATTGATAGTGTGGCCATCTAATACAAATCTAGATTTAATTGTTATCCATATCCCAAACATGTACAAAAATTAAAAAAAGAAAAAAAGGACATCAGGACAATGTGACTCATACTACATTTTTGTTAACAATCCGAGCCATCATTGAAAAAAATATTATACATTCAATCTGAATTTATCACCCATTCCTACTTACCATATTTGACTTGAGCAATGTCCCCCACTACTATCTCTGCCACAGGGATCTGGATGACCTGGCCTCCGCGCACCACCGTAAACTTCTGCTCCTGTTCAATGCGGTTCTGGAGGCCCCTGAACTGCTTCTCTTTACTCCAGTCATTGAAAGCAGTCACCAGCACCACACAGACCACTGATAACAAGATGGCCGCCCCCTCGATCCAGCCCGCCTCCGACTCAGTCTCGTCCTCAACACCTCCGGCGGCCTTCCCGCAGTCTGTGCAAATCATGGCAATTATATACTGAATGGTTTTCCTTGTTAATCACAGAAGTATTGAACTAGCACACATTCACTTATTGAGTTGTGGGGGTGTTAACCTCCAGGTTCAAGTTAAATCCAATTAAACAAAAAGACAGTCAGTTAGCTTAATTCTGCTATTGAGCAGTGTTTTGTAAACACTGTTTTTGACAGTGCTATAGAAATAAAAATGTATTATTATTATTACTATTATTAACACTATTATTATGAAACTGCTTGAGGTGCAATTGCATTCACTTTGTGAAACAAAAAAGACATATCTACAGTAAGACATTTGTTTTGTGATACAAGATGCCAAAAGAAGCTTTTTCTCCTTCAATTTTGTTAATATTTTTACTTCACAATGAGATTGACCATTTGATTTCAATCACCAATCATAGATCCCATGATTATTAGCCGTGAACCTGAGCAATTATAGTAACTACCACCTCTACAACATTTTTCAGTCCTCTCATTTGTTCTAAGAGTTGTTGACCATAAACAATTAGACTAAATATTCAATGTATCATTATTTTTTGCCTTCAATCTACTACATTGATTTTAGTCAAAATTAAAAATGCACTCAATGCAATTATCAGACAGAAACACTGATTTAAAAAAAAAAACCATTGCAGAAGCATTGATTAAATTTTTATTTTTCAAACCGTTTTAATGAAAAACTCTTTGTAAAATGGATATATCTAGATATGGAGCTGTATTGAACAAACAAGAGTAGAAGTAACCAGCAAACAACAGTCTAAAGGAATAAAAAGATTGCACACATTGTAAAATACTTTTATGTCAAGATGTACGAAAAGAAAAACTACTCACGCTCCCTTTCCGCGTCTGGAGGTCGATAAAAAGAAAGGCCCAATGAAACTACGGCTGCTACTTCCAGGATGATAAGCGTGACGTCTTGTAGCGCCTCCCACACTAATTGTAAAAAAGTCTTAGGTTTTTTGGGTGGTATTAAGTTCTGCCCAAACACTGTTATCCGCTTCTCGATGTCTGCCGGCTGTCCACTTAAACCTGCAACAGAGCAGAAATAACGCAAGCTTTTAGTCATGAGAACTTAACAAATATTAGACTATAGAAGGCTTACTGAAGAGGAAATACTGGAGAAAATAGATTATTGTTGTAAAACCTTAAAAAAAGAAATGTTATGCATTATTTTTGGCTATTAACCTTTATACGTTTTATTATGTAAAATAAAGAAGAAACTATATGGTAAAACAATGCTAACCACCTGCACCTCCCAAAGCTACCAACAGAGAAAGCGGTAAAATTCCTTGTTTTTTTATTCACAAATTTGACAATCTACCGGCTGCAAAAACACAGTCATGCTTTTGTAACAAACAGAAAAGTACTAAACTAATATGGAACCAATATAGTAGGCTAACACTTCTATAAAACAGAGACTGGAGCTTTTAGACAGAAATAGGAAAAGTTACCCATTAGTGTCAGAACTCCAGGTTTGTTTTTATTAGGAACAATGTAACATGGTTCAAAACAATGTTTTTACAGAAGACTCCTTTAAGAAACATAATCCATCCATCCATTTTCTTCCGCTTCATCCGTTGCCGGGTCACAGGGGCAGCAGTCTAAGCAGAGACGCCCAGAGTTCCCTATCCACACACACTTCCTCCAGCTCGTCCGGGGGGACCCCAAGGCGTTCCCAGGCCAGCTGAGAGACATAGTCCCTCCAGCGTGTCCTGGGTCTTCCCCGGGCTTTCTCCCGGTGGGACGTGCCCGGAACACCTCCCCAGGGAGGCGTCCAGGAGGCATCCGGAACAGTCAGCTCTGGTCACACAGGGACCGGATGGCCCTCAGCAGAGGACCCCGGACCACTCCCGGAGTACAACCCAAAGGACACCGCTGGGAACACGGTCAAACGCCTTCTCCAAATCCACAAAGCACATGTGGACAGGTTGGACGAACTCCTATGAACCCTCGAGTATCTGATGGAGAGTATAGAGCTGGTCCAGTGTTCCGCGACCAGGACGAAAACCACACTGCTCCCCTGAATCAGAGATTCGACCATTGGCTGTTAAACAATTAAAAAAAAAAAAAAAAATCAAACCTTTTCAAAATCATGTCAACAATTATATGTGAAGGAATCATTGTGTATGCCTAATATGTAGTATATTATAAAATCGGTAAGGCCCAATTATTTATCCAAACTAAAACTGGCTGTTTAGACTACACATTTTACTAAAAACAATTCTAAGAAAAGATAGTCGTTTGATAGACTTCTGGTAAGTCTGTCACTTTGATGGACGCCGTCATAGCAACTATAAATAAAGCAAGGACAAAAGCTAGTGTTATTTTAAACATTGTGTGTGAAATCTTTGTATTGTTGGAATGTCAAGATGGCGTTTCCTCAGGCCTAAAAACATTTTAAAGTTGAATTACAACTTAAAAATGCAGGAGCAGGAGCAGGCACAGGCTCAAAGGGGCCTTCGCAGATTTGATGATGATGCATGACAGGTTTTTGCTTCTGTTGGAGCTGGCTAACAGTGTGTGGGCGATCTGCAGACTGAGGGTGGGGAAGAGGAGTGACTGTGTGAAAGCACTCCTGACGGGCAGAAGGGGGATGGAGGGTGCAGCAATGTGCAAGTGAAGCAGACTAATAAGAGAATAGAAGGACAGGCCCATCGGAAATAGTACTTGCCATCTGTAGAAAAGTCATGCCAGTTATTCAATCTACTGTTCAAAGTTCACAATATCCCAATTTGTGCATAGAAAATGTAGATAAAGTGATTTCAAAATAAAGCCATACTCTCAGGTTCCAAGTACTGGTCTTGATACAGACTCAGACTTTGAATACCAATACGTTGGTGTTGCGGACTATAATAAAAGTGCAGTTCAAAAGGAACAGAAAACCTGTCATTACCGATGTGCCTGATGCCGACTTGCCCAGTACTTTTAATTCTTGTTTTTTTTTGCCTGTGTCATGGAGTGATGATGGGACCCCTGAACCCAGCCTCCTCCATCTGCAGACTTTCCTGCCTGGCCTGACTTGTGGGCTGCACCCCCTCCCCACCTTGGAGCTGCCTCAGTCCTACACGTGGCCTTGGTTTTCGTTCTGCAGCCTAAGTCCTGGATCTAAAGGTAAGACTCAAGGAAGGCTAAACATCTTAAGATTGACTCCCTTCGCAGCTTGACTGACAGTCTGCTGGGAGAAGTATGGTAACTTGAGCACTATCCTCTCCTCCTTCCTACTTTATCTGTCTGCATTATTAGGATTTTGACTGTAGTCTGTTCATTACTAGTCACCCGTTGTCCCATTGTCTGTTTCATGGTGCGACAACGGGACCTCTGGACCTGGCCTCCTCCATCTACACCTGCAGACTGCCCTGCCCGACCCGCCTGGGAGCTGTTTCAGTCCTGCACCAGACCTGTCCATGTTCTGCGGCCGCTGGGTGGCCCTGGTCCACGTTCTGTAGCTTCGGTCTTGTATCATTAGCCCGTCCGTCCGGGAGCAGTGGATCCCTCTCTCAATGTGGGTCTCCCCGAGATTTCTCACTTTTTTCCCCACTGGTTTTTCTAATGAGTTTTTCCTTGCCGATGCAGGAGGGTCTGTTGGACAGTTAGTGTCCAATAAAAAGGACTGTGGTTATGATCCAGGAGACAAACATTGGGCATTTATCAACGTGGGTTCTATATTCTCTTTGCGTCTTAACTGTTGATTCTCTGATCTGTGTTGGTGATTTCAATGGTTTTGTTAAGTCCTCTGAGATGACTTCTGTTGTGATTTAGGGCTATACAAGAATACATTGTATTGTATAGCAGTTCATGGGAGCAGATCCCTCTCTCAATGTGGGCTTCCACGAGGTTTCTCACCTTTTTCCACTGGGTTCAAGAGTTTTTCCTTGCTAATGCCAGTGGGTCTAACATAATGTAGAGACAGTGGTCATCACCACTGTCCAGGACACTAGATTCAACAACATTTAAGGTAAGTGATCATCTGCCGCTTATGGACAAATGGCTTTATGCGTTTTCCATCATTGCATTTATTGTTGTGTAAAGTCCTCCAATCCAATCCACTTTATTTAAATAGCACATTTCATAAACAAGTAGTTTCCAAAGTGCTGTACAACAAGCAAAAAATGTCAACAAATAAATAAATACACCCATGTGAATTTTTTAAAAATAAAATAAAAACACAGAGGACCACACGACTCACGCAGTGTTAAAAGCCAGAGAATAAAAGTGGGTCTTAAGACGAGACTTAAAACATTCCAACAAGGGAGCTGTTTTGACATGGGGGGGTTAGAGCGTTCCAGAGCTTTGGTCCAGCCACAGAGAAGGCCCTGTCCCCCCAGGTTTTAAGTCCAAGATAACTGTCGTGATTTCGGGGTATACAACAATAAATTGAAATGTATTGAAATCTCAAAATATTTACACCTCCAAGACATTAAACACTGCAATACAATCATTTGCCTCAGCCGAGACTAAAGGCTGCAGTAGAATAGGCATTATTTTGATTAATTATGAATTATGTTATGAAAATTGTCACTCTGACCCTCTCATTGAGACAGTGAGCAAAAATTGAGAAAAATGACTTGAGAAATTTGTCCATCTAATTAACAAAACGCTCTTAGTGTTCCTGCCATTTTCAGAGACTAATTAATGTCCCAACATAGGAGTGTTAATTCAGTTCATACAAAAGACTTATTCCAGCAAAGAAGAACCAAGATAAGTGTTAAAAAAGGTCAACTTCCCTATGCAAGTCAATGTGGTAAAATGTTTAACCCTGTATGTAAGCTGTTTGTGCATAAGGAAATCTGATACATGCCACCATTAAAACATAATTCAGCAGAACTTCGAAAGAAAAGTACCAGTATTATGAAGTAGTGTTTGAGAGAAATCAAGACCAGTTCAGAGGTATTAAAATTAAAGACAATGAAAGATACAACTTGATGAAAAGACATGACAACAGCTCAGACATGCTGACTGGCTGGACAATAAAACAATTATTCTACCACAGGGAATGCAATTGCTTAGGTATGAATTCTGCAGAGCAAAAAGTAAAAAAGGTAACGCCAAAATTGTATGGATCATTTTTTTAACTTTGATTTCACTTGAAGTTAAAGATGCTATACCCTTTTTTATGAGTTCATAAAAATGCTTATTACTACATACAAGTTGTTTTATAATCCATAATTTAATTGAAAACATGAGCTCATTGATTCAGCTTGTGTATGAATTCAGGTTAAAATTTCTGAGTAGAGAGTTTAGCGTGACGCCCGCTCTCCTCCACTCACAGAAAGAGGCTGCGTCCTTTAGCCTCTACAGCGTTGCTAAACACAGTAGCATGTTAGCAGAATTGGCTATAACTCCTTTTGCTGTAACTGCATACACAGCAAAACGGCCCAAACAATACAACAGTGAGGAAGAGAAGAGGGAACTGAAGCAAAAATATGATCAAAGATGAAATCAAGCCCGGGTGAACATAGCTAGCTTACATCGTATCCTCTGGAGGGACTTACAGTTTATGGGAGAGACCTGCAGCACCGTTTGGACCATCTGAGCTCGGACTACATTCGGACGCGGAACTAGCGGTAATCTTTCAGTTGGATATTTTGTTAGCAGTGCATTGCTTTTGTACCATTTCATCAGGGATTGTTGTACAGCTTACAAGAAGTTGCGCTCATGCTAATGTTTGCATATAGATCGCAAGTACAACTAGATGGCTCCGTGGAATGAGAGCGTAGAGGAAATGAGAAGCTGCTGGTCCTTGGCATCAGCTCCACACTGATCACTTTTAAACTTTAGCGGAGACCTGCGAGACGCGGCTCGTCACTCGCTGCCCTGACCATGTGGACGAGCAGTCTTTTGCTTAAAAATGCTTTAAGCCGCAGCACAGAAGAATGGGAAGATTAAAACAGCAGTTCTCTGTGCGCAAAGGTGCCGAAGCTGTTGCGGGTTTTGGTGCCGCTGTCTCGGCTCTGATCCCGTAGAACGCTCAGCTGCACTTATGAGAAGTACGCGGCTCGAAATGGCTGTTATTTCAAAGAACGTGGACT